CTCTAGGTCACACTAGTAGCAAGTTTCTACCATTTCAATCATTCATAATACTTTCAAGAATAAGATAGATAAATGAATAAAGTGATTGAAAAATATTAAATTGATGTAAGTGTTTATATCAATGTTTTAGTATGACTAATGTTATACTAGAGACTTTTGATGGTGTAATGCTTATAAACCTTATAACTAATATTACCATTAGATAATATGACTTTGGTAATATAGACCTACATGTAACTAAGTGATCATGCATCAAATCTTTCAAATTTAAAATGATCTACAATAAAAAAATTTGCCTCAATGTGGAGGCCTTCGTATATACAATTCCTTTAGATGCTCTTCAAAGGGATGTGCAAGCTTCATTAGTGGTAGATGCAACTATATGTGGTTGGTCACCTATTCAAATTCCAAATGTTAAGATTTGTATTGTACACCATTATTGCTATGCTAGAGGGTACAATATGGGTGACTAGGAGAGTGGCAATAGGTGTTGATGGTAGAGTCACTTTGAATTGTTCTTCATTCCCAACCATATGAACCCCCTATGGAACTTGTCAAGCACATGGACGGCAACAACCAGTGAGGATTAGAGAAGGTTCACCTATATAGGGGCCTTGTCATCAATTGATAGGTGCCTCAGTTGGAGATACCACTAGGCAACATAGGACCTTTGTTGCCCATTTGGATGGAACTCTCAGAGGGAATGTCTGATTGCTAATGTTTAATCAATTAATTGAACATTGATAAAGTACTTAGAGATCATTTATTCTCACCATAACTAAAATTTCAATGAGTACTAATGTATGCAGCCCATGCTCTAGAACTTCATGCCTAACTATAACTCATAAATATTTTTCATGTTCATATTATAGTAACAAACTACAAGCTAGCCATTAGGTACATGCGATCCACATTTAGAAGGGCCAAAGCTATCATTATTTTATTGTCATTGCTTGAAATCAAGTAAATATTTCTCAAGTCATCACAAACTTTGCAAAATTTTGAGACATCTCTAATAAATATCATTTTAAGGGGGACTTGAAAATTTTTATCCTAACCCATGGATAGATCCCTCGTCTTTTATTTAATACCCTCTAAGTAGTCAATATATGCTTTAACACCCATCTCAACTTGCAGTTCATTTAGTTTTCACTTTAATTTATCTTGTAATAAGTCAAATTATTGTCATGACTAGACCTTCAATTATAGTGTGGCCTTTTAAAAATTATATAACTAATTAAAAAATGTAAAAAAGGTGTTAGAAATCCTTAAATATAAAGCTCATCTCATAATAAGATCAATAAAATTTGGTCTAATTACTATCTTTCTTTAAAAGTACAAAAAGTTGACAAGAAAATTTGCACTCAGAGTTATGCATTAAATTTAACACTTCAAATGTACCAAAGTGGCAAGTTCATGACAATGATGTAAATAGATAGACGAATAAAAAAAAAATATCCTTTTTATAAATACTTAATTTAATGTTTTTACTAATTAATATTCAAATAAATGTTCATTGTGTTTAGGCCTCTACAAATCACTTAATTTAAGGGCAAGTACCTACCTTTTCAAATTGTACTATTGATCTTGATAATGTACATTGGAGTTTGAAATTCATCCCTCTAATTAACCCATAGCAATAGACACCATATTATTTTTTTTCATTTTCAGAATGATAGTTTTTCTTACTAAACAATAACACGCTATAAGAGTTCAATATCACATGAACGGCCATGAGAGAGAGAAAGATGGTGGCACTAATGGAGGGTACAAGTGGAGAGGCTGAACAACACCTAGGAGGTATGAGAGAGAAAGACAACATAATTGAGTAGTCACAAGACACCTCAATGCTAGGATGACATTACCTTACAATGAATTTAGTTGTGCTCAATTTACAAAGTAAGCATTTCTGTTAGGATGTGAAGTCTTACAGAGGTTAGGCTAAACTAAGTTGCCAATGATTTGATAAAAATGATATTTATGAGTCACACTAGTATGTGACCAACAAATCTTTCAATATTAGTACATGAGTATTGTTGGATATAATACTTTGATTTTGATGATTAGGAATTCTCTATCAGCATGCCAACTTCTATGGATTTGATTAAAGTTTTTTTTAAAAACTAAATGAAGGTTTTATGAATATTTTTTTTAAAAAAAAGAGGTAATATGTAAATAATTGATCCTTCAAACTTGGAGAGAAATTGTGAAGAGAATAAGTTATTTTACATGCATAAATATCAATTTGAACACATTGGCTGACACCGAAGCATTAATAGATAAAAGTAAAGTAGAAGTTAGTAACGACATAGCTCTACTCTCTTAGTTCAATGCTTAACAACTAAATTGTTTCAATATCTCTAATACTCAAAATAATAACTGACAAAATACAAAAATATAACAATATTCCAACAATTGAAAGATTTTTTTCATGATGACTAGTTGGGATTATCAAGCTATAAAGTCTAAAATATCTTATTGAATAGCGGTATGTCCATCCCCAATATCATAAATGACTTATCAAATTATTGAGATTTAATTTTATTATCAAGTATAAAGAGGGATGACTTAACACTATGGTTGATGCCTTATCTCAAGCATCTCACATGAAAAACGTAGGGCTGACATCAATCTCTTAACCCATTTATTGGATCATGTGATTGTCTAACAAGAATTCTCTCAAGATACCATGCTCTATCTTATTATGAAATTACTATTCTACAAAAAATCTGTTAGCACTACTAATGGGTCAAAGGTTATTAATTTTTCTTTGCACCAAGGAGTACTACTGTACAAAAATAGATTGATAATGCCATATGATTCATTTTTAATACCATTGATGCTAAGAGAAGTTCATGATTCGTCAATCGAAGGTTATTGGAGTTTTTTGTGCACATATAAGAGACTCACCCAGCATATCTTTTAGAAGGGCATGAAAAGGGCTATTAAAGAATACAGAGAATTGTCAACTATGTCAAAAGAACAAAATTTCATCTCTATCTCTTGTAAGTTTAATGTAGTCATTGCCCATCTCACATCAAGTATGAGAAGACCTTTATATGGACTTTATAGAAAGCCTACCTAAATTCAATGAATTTAATACAATATTAGTCATGGTGGATCGTCTTAGTAAGTATAACCACTTCATTCTATTAAAACACCCATTTTCAACACTATAAGTGACACATGCCTTTCGAAAAGAAATGATTTGTCTACATGGCCTACCTAAATCCCTTGTTTTGGATCATGACAAAGTATTCACTGATAATTTTTGATGTAAATTATGCAAATTGTAAGAGATTCAACTCTAAATGTCATCATCTTATCACCCTTAGATTGATGGATAGACCAAGGTAGTAAATCAATATTTAGAATCTTATCTAAAGTGTTTTGTATTAGATCAACTAAGTGATTGACAATCTTATCTTCATTGGACAGAATTATCTTATTATATTACCTACCACTCTATTAAAATTGCTCTATATAAAAGAGTCTATGGTCGTGATCCACCGACTATCATTAATTATGGGCCTTTTCCTTATCTGATCTCTATTGTTGATCAATAATTACTAGAAAAAGACCAAATTCTCAACTTACTGAAGCAACATATGCAAAATTTTTAGTCTCAAATAAAACTTAAAGTAGATTGACACTGACAACCTACAAAGTTCTTTGGTCCATATAAGATCATCTCCCATGTGGGTCAATGTACAAGTTGGATCTCTTACCGTCATCATCAATCCATCTAGTGTTTTATATTTTTCAACTAGGATGAGCTTTAACATAGACCAAACTTCCCCAACAACTTCCACCTTCACTCAGCTCAGACATGAAATGTTAGGTACATCCTCAATCAATTCTAGGGGTGCAGATGACTCTTACAAGCCCAGAAGTATTGATGAAATGAGATAAGCTACTAAATCATGAGTCTTCATGAGAGCTGACTTGCAACCTTACATGCCAATTTTCAGAATTTCACTTGGAGTACTAGGTGAATATGGAGGGAAGTAGTGATACGATGTCACTATTAACCTACATAAGGCGTAAGAAAAGAGCACGTGCACAGCACATGAGAGGGGTTATAAATACAACACAAAAAGAGGGGTCTAAGGCAGCAAGTTGGTCTTTTGGAGAGGTGGGGAACCCTCTCGAGCATTGTTTCCTCACTTTACTCTTCTTTCCCTTTTCATCTATGTTATCTGGGGAGACTATTATTCCTATCATTTTGTCTCTCGTCATTGAAGAAAGTCCGTGAATTCAATAAGAAGCATCATTAACAATGTAATGAAATTGTTGGGGAGGTTTCTAGATCAACTCATCAAATCAAGCTGGGCCGGTGAGTTTCTCCACAGCATCATTAACAATGTAATGCATCTCCTGTCAAAGCACACAATTTCATGAACAACCTTACAAAATCTCACTCGTTGTGTTAGAGATTTCTAGACACAGATATAGGCACAAAACAGAATAGGAATCCCATTTGATCTTCCCAAGCAAAGCACTTCAGCAAATAAAAAGCTGATCTGTGCAGCAAAGCACTTTATAGATTGTTAAAGCCGTCAGGTAAAAGTGTCACTAAAGTCACCAGCACTTCAGTAATGGCCTAGCAATTGCATTGGGGTAGGAAATGGAGAGCACAAGAGTCGCAGGGCTGGGCATAACTAGCTCTGCCTTTGCTCACTCCAGAATCAGAGAAGTACAGATCTTCATTGCCAATAAATGCCAGGAGAGGCCATAACTAGCTGACAGAGAACACTCTCAGCACAGATGTGTACCATAAAATCAAGCAGCTGGAAACTGTCTTCCCAGGAGAAGTACAAGCAATATAAACACTAGAAAACATTAAAGGCATACATAGAAGCAGGTACCTAAGTTTCCCATGGTGAGCTAAGTACTGGAGGGCCCCCACATCATCGCGGTATCCTTCATGTAAGAAATCACGAGAGAACAAAGAATAAAACCGTTATTGGGCTCCAGGGGTTCTCCCGACAGGAAGCCCACTAAAGAATATCATCGTAGGCAACGATTTGCCTACCATCATGCTGCATGTCTGACCCTCCCCTGTCAAAAGTCAACCTACCCTCACTGAGCAACTTATTGCCCCTGCCATATTTTCGCAGTGGATGTTCTGCTCTCAGCAGTTTAGATGGGCCAGACAAGCCAGTGCTAGGTTGCCATTGAGGTGCAGGTTCACTCGCTTCATACACTTGCACCTGAAATTGGTAAAGAAGAGATATTTTTGAGAAAATAAACACTGACAGTTGAAACACGGAACACATGCTGGACTGGCTTCTTCACGACCTTGAAAAAAAACAGTACAGAAACGAAGGAATGAGGTAGCTATTAAATGCCCCGGGACATGCTATAGAGCCCATTTGTCTGACAAAATCAGGTGAAGCAGTTTGCACCTTATTTCAACATTGAAATAAGCCTCAGCCTCATTAACAACCATTCCTACAGTGTAGCTTCACCGTTCTTACTGAAACAAAAGCTTTTCAGTTCCTCTTTAATCGAGCACAAATTTATTTTATAAATTTGAAGTTCAAGATAGAAAATATCTTATTTATGTTAATTAAAAAAACTCTTCTTTTGAGCAACTGATATGCACAGGTTTCCTTTCACAAACCAATTTGGGATCTAACGTTAGCATCCAAGGTGAAGTTTGGGACATTATGAACAAAAATCAACCCTTTCTAGCAAAAATCAAAACCTTTCTGAGAAAGTCGGGAAAAAAAAGAAAAGAAATGGTAGATAGTAGACAAGTTGACCATTTCTCACTCCATGGGATCCTTGTCATGAAGATGAGCTGACAAAAGTTAAACTTGGAAGAATACTCACCACTGTCTGTCTTAACATAATGTTGTCTAAAAAGTGTTTGGCTACCATTTTTAATAAATGTTTAAGGGCAAAGACTTTAGGAAACTGTGATCATCCTATTTGTTAGGGACTAATTTCAATGTACTATTATTTTATTAGGAATTCATTTTACGATTTTCCTCATTTATAACACGAATAACAGCAATTTGAAGAAAAATATATCCAGAGATGGGAAAATGCAAGAATGAAGCCCTCGACAAATATCATTTTTTAAGGCGAAACCATAAAGAGGACATAGGTACTTATTTAAGGCTTTATGTTTTGTCTTTACTGGCTCCATAAAAATGGTGAAACCCAAGGGTCTCCTTCCGTCGTTTTCCTGAATGCAGTAAAAGGACAAGCACTTAACTTTCTTAACAAGATCAAAAAACTAAAATCTTTGATCAGGACTGGCTGTAAAGCAGAACAGATAATGAAGTGATAAATAGAGTCCATCCTGTTCCTGATTTGGAAAAATAATTGAAAATGAAACTGTCTAATACGTATCTAAACCACGTATCTATCATTTCCTCACCACACGAAAATCAAATCTTCTTTTCTACTCCAAATATGGAAAGACCCAATACAAATGTCACAAAATAAATCCAAATATGGCAGTTGGTACGAATAAAATGCATAAAAATCATCAAAAAATGTCCCAAAATAACACTTCTATCCTTTGTATGAAAACAATTTAACATATTCTGTAAGCTTATCCATTGACATCTCCTCCCTCTCCCCCACATCCATATAAGGTTATATCATCATGAAATCACATACATCAGTGTGAACAAAATATAGCATAAAACTAATAAACCACCGTTGATAACCCCTCCACATTAATATATGTCACTCAAATTCACAGTCATCCCCCACCATCTCCCATTGACGCCTTTCCTCCCTCCCCCTATTTACTAAGTAACTTCTTAATAATGCCTCTCCCCAACACTAACCAAGTTCGTTTCAAATTTCTCATATAAAATATGTAGTGCTGTCACTTTAGAAAAATTAACACGAGTGAATGGGTATAAAACGAATATTCTGTATTTACAGCGCTCTACCTAGAGGGCTTATTTATAGTGGTAAAGTTTCTTACGGGAGATATATGGAATAAAAATAATTCAAGGTGTTGAAGGAAGCAAAAAGAAAAAAACTAGTCCACAGCAGGTGAGAACGTTTTCAAATCCAAATTATGCAATCTTGAGACACTGTTTCAACCAGGAAACATTCCTTCTTCTGGCTTTTTTCAGTCACAAAATGTAGAGGTCCATTGAACATGCGTGCCCTTTTATGACAATTAATGTTGAAACCACACTGATGAAAAGCAACAACAATGTCAACTAATGCCACAGGATCACATATTGTCTGACTCAAGCAGGTGATATTGCAAGAATCAATAAATGATTAACCACGGAAGGACACAAGAAGAGAGTTAACATTGGCTCTCAAACTCCATGATTTCTACTGGTTGATCAACACTTGATTATCAATTGGAGTGATACCAGTATTCTGACGTTTTCATCAAAGGGGAATGACATAGAGCCCTGTTGAGAGACCATAACATTCAACTCATAAGGTCTATAAGGAAGCATCAAGGACTAGGGCCAAAGAAAGTTGAATAAGATTAGGAGCTGCTCTTGACGGACTGCATTGCTATGTGTTGGCTATAATTAGTATTTGATCAAATCACAAAAAGTGTCAATAGAAAACCACAGAAGTGCAGTGAACGATTAATAGATATGGCAGTGAACTCCATCCTTGTGGTAAAAAATAGGAAAATAGGCAGGAGATTAGGAATTATCTAAGAGCACGCCGGACATATCCCTAGAAAAAGTTTAACAAGCCCAAATAGAATCAAGTAGATTGAATAATTATCTCAAACTATGTAACCTGATCCATAAAAAATGGCAGATGCACCATAATTTAAATTATATTACCAATGTAACGAACCATCTCCACTTATTTCACCATCATAAAAATGAAGGAAAAAAATAATTGATTATTACATCCACATTAATGGAAATTGAAACGTTAAGGCACGATTGCACCATCTTACTAGCCAAATATCTATTAGCATGTAACATCATGTTAGACATTAAATGAGCGACAATGAAATGAAATAGAGCACACTCAGCGAGTGGATAATCTTGGTATCCATAAAGATTTTCACCCTTAGTTCTCTGCAGACAAGCCCAACTATGAATGCAGCATATTTACACTTGTTGAAGGCTACAAATCTTCCAGTCAGATTTGCATATCATTTAACTCCCGCTTACTAGACATACACCAAACTTTGCAAGAAGTTAGACATGGTCCTCACTGAGTCACAACCTAAAACGTAAAGAGTCTTTGTAGATGATTCTCAAAAAGAAGGAAGGCTACGAATCTTCCACTCAGATTTGCGTATCATTTAACTACCGCTTTCTATACATACACAAGACTTTGCAAGAAGTTAGACATGGTCCTCAATGCGTCACAACCTAAAAAGTAACGAGTCTTTGTAGATGATTCTCAAAAAGAAGGAAGCCAAAAGTACACTTCTAAAAACGAAACTTTAGGCCAAAACTAGTAGATGCATCACTGATTCACAGAAGATCCCATCAAGATTATAAATAAATAGAAAAGCTGTCAAGGTCTTAAAGGTGAGATACAGCGAACTGCCTACTGTATAAGAATAGTTTGGTACCAGCACAGTGCAGCCTTCAAAATATCCGTATGCATGTGCAGTACAATCAGTTGTTTTGAGGCAAATAGTTCAGGTGCGAGCATTTTAGTATCCAAAAGTTCATTAATGCCCTACATGAACGTATTGCCTTGTAAGACAACCGCAACCAAAGTGCAAATCCGTATACAATAGCATATTAAATTGCGGAGTTAACCACCAAACAGCTACTGATTAAAACGAAATAAAAATGTACATATCTTTAAGTAACCATTTGATTTCAGTCTCTCATACACCATCATATCACTTTTAAAAGTAAAATTGTGTCCAATTCAACCTATATATCACCAATTGCTTCATATTATTTTATCATAATCAAGTTGAGCCCAGTGGATTTACCATGAAAAGGTTCCAAGGGATGAAACAAGACTGAAATCTTACTCATTGTAAGACTGACACTTTAATCGACAGCTGAGAGAAAACTTCAAAGATTTCAACAATGATATGTATGACAGAGAGGAAAACGAAAACACCAACCATCTTTTCAATCAAGCATGAATACAATGGACATCTCCAAATTGGTTGTCACTCAGCTTGCTGGTACCTTCAGCCTCCAGAAATGTTTGAATACTCATCCATGAGGAAGGAAGATTCGGATTGTAAGATGCCCACCGGCAAGTGAATGATTAAAATTTTGCATTCTTTCTGTCCATCTCCCCAGTTCTTACAAAGGTTGAAGCAAGACATTTCTCGGTTCCGATCACACATGTCCCCGAGAAATACCAATTAAAGCTAGAAGGAGGGGAAAAAAGAAAGGCTACAGATCATGGCAAGGAAATTGGGAACGGAAAACAAACGCAAGAGCAGAATCACGAGAGTATGAAGTCCTGGAGAGCGGAGAAATATGTACCTTTCCAGTACCGATCGTGATGCCGAGAACAGGATTCGCAGCGGCCGCAATTGCTGCTCGGGACTGGTCTGGGTTTCGATACTTGACGTAGCCAAGCCCCTCGCCGTCGTCAATTCGGATGCGGGCGATGGAACCGTACATCTGCATCCGAGACTTGAGCTCGAGGACTGTACAGTCAGAGGGCAGGCCATTCACCACCACCACAGTCGAACCACTACCGTCTGTCGCGCCTTGGTCCGCATATCCAACCTTCACCTTATCTGTGGAGGCAAGGGCATCAGCCGCTCCCTCTTCCACCAGCAGCTGTCGCCTGCCGCGGCGCCTCTTCCGCGAGGGGCCGGCGGCGTTCGTGTACGAAGCGTCAAGCTCGGGTTCCTCCTCCCGCCCCCTCCTCCGGGTCATGGCGGCCCCACCACCCGCCTCCTACCGCTGGTCCGTCGACGGCACTTGCTCTGCTTCGCCGGCGGAGAACCGAAGCTTTCTTTAGTAAGAGGGGGAAGTACTGAAGTTTTACAGTAGGGCCGGCCATATGGACGCATTGAGTCCTCTGAATTGACGGAAAACCCCTTCCCATTCCCTTCCCCGTTACTCTCTCTGCCTTCCATACCCTCCAACCGTGACCCTTCTCATTATTCGGGCTCCCACACGTCTCGTCTGAAAATTGCAGTCCCTCCCCGCTCCCCAGTGGCCCCACTTGTTCACGGGAAGCTGGGCGGAGAGATCCCGAGAGTGGATGCGGACGGGGGCCTTCACCGGCCACGGGGTTGCCGAAGACGGCGAAGCCGGAGATGGGGAAGAGGACGAGGAGCTAAGCGCTGAAGATTGGCGAGCCGACGAGTTGTCCGCGGATGAGGCTCCCCATGATCGCGATCTCATGGACTTCCTCAGGAATCTCCGAGGAGCAAGGTCGGATGCGGACAGCTTCCCGCGTAGCACAGAATTCCTCCAAGGCGCAGACTTTCGAATTTGCAAGAATCAGAATGGATGCTGGGTATTCCTCCCTGCTTCCTAATTCTTCTTCAAGTCTCAAGGGTCAAAACTGGTGACATTTCGATTACACTAGGACCGTTATAATCGAATCTTGTCGTCATCAAATTACTCTCTTCCATCAGCGTGGCTCCTGATTCGACATCTTGGCAGCTGTGGAAGTAGAGCTTGTTTTTGAGCAGCCATGGAAGCTGTGTCTGTGGAGTGAGGAGGAGAAATGGTGGAAGGCAGGAAGTCCTCGAGTGTGTCAGCAAGATATATCAAAGCCTCTCATATGTAGAGGAAACAACTGCCTCATTGAAACAAGCAACCGATACAAATCGTTCTCCATTGATCGATCAGGAAATTAAGCTTCTAGCCTAGAGTCGAACACAAAGCTAGTTCCACTGAGATTTCTATGCAAGCCATGTGGCATGGTCTACCATTACTGACATACAAGCTCTCTTCCGCAATGATTGTTCAGAAGGGAAAGTAAGTATTAATATCAATGGACCTGAGAAATAGTCATAAGGAATGCAAGTGACATCACCACTATAGTATTTCTTGTGCAACGGAAGTGAAAATCTCAACAAAACTATGTGAGAAGAGATTCAAGTTTTGATATACAAGTACTAGAAGAATTTGAGTACAAGGGACTTCCTCCACGTTGGAGCCAGCCCCATGTCATACCACTAATTAATGAGAATAAGTCAATTTCCATTAAACCATACTAATAACCTCATTTTCAAAAGGATGTTGTTAAAAAACTAGCATGGAGGCTCTATAGTAAGAAATAGCCCCAAATAATTATACCTCATTCTCTTCTCACACTTCACTCATAACATACATTGAGAATGTATGTAGATTTGAAGGGATAATATGAGATTGTACTCAACTTTTCAAATGGCATTATTCATTGGTTTAATATCATGGTAACAACTTTTATTTGTTATCATCATGCATATAATTTTTCTATTTGTATTCATGATATGATGTGTTAACCACTTTTATATGTTATGCTATTATCATTTGTTTACTCTGTTATTTGTGTTCATGATATGTGATGCTAACAAATAACATGATATGTATACTATGTTGTCTGCTAACTTATATGCCATGTTATCTATCCTCATACACAATGCCCATGATGTACAAACTCATCTATAATCATGTACTATTCTCATCTATTGAGTACTGTATTGTCAAGTAACATTCGAAATTTAATGGTTATAATCACTCAACTTTTATTGGTTATTTTTCTATGCACATTCTTACAAGCTTTCTTTTGATTACGAAATCACTATGGATGATTGTTAAAAAACATTCATCACTTACTTATTTTAGATTCAAAACTTCAAATGTTATATTACAATAGTTATGCATTCTACAAGCTAAATTTATAACTAGGTTACACTTGACTTTCTGAAAAAATGTAGATATAAGTTCTTCTCACATCTAAAGACATGCATACTCATTGGAATCTCTTCTATGATGAATATGGTTATATCGTGCCAAGTAACTCATTGTATTTGCAATGATATTGAGCTTATAAGATTCATGTGTACTTTCTTGAGATTCATTTAAGGCATTTGATGTGAAAATTAATGAACATGTAACAAAAAAACCAATGAGTTTGTTAATTGTAGGCCTACTAATTAGGTTGAGAGTGTGAATGCTTAAAGATTAGCTATTACTCAACACAATCAAGCCCTTGTAAATTGATGGAGCATCAGAGTCATCAATAATGTATCCAAGCCTACACACAATGAAAATCTTTAGCTAGATCTATAAGACATCAATCATCATACGATAGTCAATTGCAATGGACTATTACTATGATGACTTTGTATTATGTTTTTATGTCTAATTGTGTCCCATGACACTATTGGAGCCATAAGTTGAACTTGTTGGGTTTTGGCTGCACTAAGATCAAGAGGGGTTTGGGGTTGAATTTTTATGTTTTTAAATCCCTTTACATGAAATCCACTCATGTGTATTCAATTTATTTCCCTCTTGTGTTCCGTAGGTCTTCCCTAGCTTAATCACTACAAAACACATAGATTTTATAGTGGTTTCACTTATGGTTTACATTCATTCTCTAAGAACAATCTTATTCTTGGGCTCCACCAGAATTGAATGTTAGATCATACACCAATGATTAATAAGCTCAGCTCTCACAAAATTTCACCCAAAATTTTTCTTTTAAATTCAAAGCTCTAAGAGGCCAATTATTTAAAGAGACATCTCTAACATGTGATTAAAATTGATTTGATCATAAGTTTTTCTCACAACATATATGATAAGATTTCACCATTGGTAGTTTCTAGAGGTAGTGAAGACTTCAAGTACTTCGGATCTTTGTGTAGTTGTTGTCCTTTTCTTTTTGAAATGTTGCCAATAGATTGACTCGGTCAAGAAAGATCATTCAATATCTAGCTACTCTTCTCAAGTTAATGTCTTTAAGTTGTTTGAATAGTCAGCACGAACTTTACTTTGTGTCGCTTGAAATTTCTTCAATAAAACTTAATGTCAAAGTTGGAAGTGGTTTGAGTAGAAGTATAAATGTTATATCTTAATTTTATTTTTTGAAAATAATATTATTTATAGATAAATCTCATATAAAGTTTTTTCTAGATCTTTAGAATTTTCTCTAAAATAAGATTAATTCAAATAGCTGAGAAGCCAATACGACATATCTTTAACTCAGTTTGTATATCCTCAAAATGAATCAATATGTGATTCCTTTATTACTCAACATTTGTATCGACTAATTGTTCTTAACCTTTCTTTGGTTTCTTTGAACTGATAAATCAAGTAAAAGTTTGCTAAAGCCTTTATGTTTAATTGATAGATTTATTAAGACCTTTATGAAATATCAACATGATTTTTCTAGTGTAAAATTGTTATTCTTATACATATTTTCCCGCATTAAAACTAAAGAAGTTCCAAAAGTCAACATCAATTATGAACACCATGGATGCATGTGGGTCAGCATCAACTATAAGTGGAGCAAGCCTGGCGCATGACTTGATATCAAATGGGGCACATGCAAGAACACTTTGATACTTGTGCTGATTAGTAAACAAACAAGCATGAGAGCAAATACCCATCTTGGCGAACTAACATGCGTGAATGGCGGGGGAATGCCTCAACAGCTCAAGTGTTAGGTGCTAATGGGGGACAAGATGACTGAGACACGAGTGGATGATTTCACTAGCAAGTGTAGGTGGACAGGATACAAGTAAAAGAATGAAGAGTGGTGTGGAAGGGACGGAGAATGAGTGACGCAAGTACTCGCTAAGCTGAGAAAGGAGAATGGATGAGAGGAGAGGAAGATGTTGACCCCTCTCCCATGCTCTCTCCCAGAGCCACTCACTGATGCGAAACGCAAACGAACATTTGCCTCTGTCAACCCGGAGCTTGAAGACGATAACAAGGTTGCTTTGATACCATATTAACAAAGACAGAGAGGATAACCAGGTACATGGTGGGGAGAGAGAAAGAAAGAAAAAAAAAACTAGAGAAGGGAAACCAGACGGAAGTTCACGCTCAGTCATGACAAGTCTCGTATAATCCTTGTACAATTACTAAAAATAACAAGCCCACAAACACAATAAGGACTGATGCATGAATGGCAATCCCATAAACTAAAGTAAGATATGGCAAGTCCATGAACATAGCAGTACAACATCTAACAAAGATGAGGGGAGGGACGGTTTCAAATTCGTCACTTTCTTCTCTGTTCATCCTCCTAGTTTCCCTGTTCAGGGTTTCTCGATTGCACCCACAGCTCATATGTTTTCTTGAATGCTGTGATTGTTCTTCCCGGTTTGATCGTCTGTAATTTAAAAGAATCAGCTCCGGATTTCGTGATCGAGGTCGAAGTTGACAACATTAGTGACCACAGCTATCGTCAGATCCTTTTATTGTGGGATTGTTCTCATTTATTCGGAGGAGTTTGGAGCTACCCATCATCATAGCTCCCACTACTTCGATCTCTCAACAGCAGCGGACCGAGGTCTCCTCGGATCCCAGACATGAAACCACTGGTATCTATTTCACTGATCAGTGTCCTCCTGCCTGTTTCAGGGCCACGCGCGGAGGCGCAGGACGAGAAAGAGCGGTCTATGGAATCTCCCGGTCTCAGGCATACCTGCCTGAAGCTTCACATCGAAGACGGCAGAGGCGCCGCCGTCATCTTCGTCAAGGGCACATGGCTTCCGACCCGGTTCGAGCTGTTCATCACTGATGGCCTCGACGCCTGGATTTGCAGCGGTCTTCTCCTTCCTCCTCCTCCTCCTCCTCCTCTCTCTCTCTTTCTCACTGATGTCCTCTCCTCTGCGCCTATTTCTGCTGTAATGCTCGATCTTTATCCTTTTGGGCGCTGAGCAGCGACGGAGACGGAAGTGGAGCAGAGAGCGGAGCTGTGGGACCAGCATGTGTCGGAGTACATCGCCATGGCTGAGCGGCACCTGGGATTCCAGCAGCCGGGCTCCATCTACAGATTCGAAGATGCTGGGGTTGGAGAGAAAAGAGTGAGGACTTTTGCTCCCTCCCTCGCCTCGTGTTTCCCTGAGCATTGCAGTTTCCCGGTGGATTTGAGAGTAGAATCAGTAGACGCAGGTGGAAGCATCCCTGCATTGATTTTCTAGCTTCAAGACATTACTAGATTGAGAAGGACTTGGCTTCATGAGTACGGCCAAGAAATGATAATTTGATGACAGCCCAGAAGATTGGCCCTTTCGATGGATGCCACAAGCTTAACCAGATGGGTCAACCTGGTAAAGGTCACGTCCACTGTCTTCATCTCTGTTCAAGTGAGAATTTGGTTGCTATGGTGAGACCAACAATTCGGAAATCGAATGGCAGCTTATCTTCCAGTCTATGGCTGAGGAGGTAGAAAGGGTGTGGGAGTTGCAGCCAACAATGTTGGAATTGCTTCAGCCAAAACAAATCGAGATGGTATGTTGCCAGAGGTAGGTGCCTGCATGGGAACCATACTGCTCATGTGAAGTATGGTACAGATGCCAACCGATCGGACAATACTGTGCTATTAACAGGAGTTCTTGATTATGGGGTGGGTGGGGCGATTTGCCTTTTTTCTCTTTTAAATTGTCTGCTGGGTTCGGAATAGATTTTATGGAGGATTAGTTTTAATCAGAATAAATGGATTTTCCCATGGGAATTTAATCCCCCTCTTCCTCTCCCCTCCCCTCTCTTGTGGTTATCCTTCTGCCTGTGAACCTGCCAATTATGTTGAAATTCTAGCCAAACTGTGGAATGGGCTTTTATTCAGATTCTCATTACATTTTATCTTTTTATTAAGCATTGATCTTCAGTCTCACCATTCACTAGAAAGAGGAAAACACTGCAGCAGTGGCAGCTGAGTTGAAGCACACATCTGGACATTCCATGCATTATTTTGCTTTTGACTTTCTAACTTTGTTTCTTATCGTCCCATTGTCTATGCCAGAAGGTGCCTTGTCCGAACTCATCTTTGAATACCATGGTGGCCAATTTGCCTCATTTAACAGACATCGACAGCTAAATGTCTGGGATCATGTTACAAATCTTTTTGCCGAATAAATTACCTGATGTTAAATAAGTCTACATGAAGCATTCTGTGAGTTCGTATTGGGTTGGTAAATTTTCTATCTACTTCGACTAGATGTTGTGTGTAGGGTTATATGGGATTGCATCTATCTTGGAAGCATTATCATTTGAACAACTGTGAAATGTTTTCTAGCCAATACGCCCCTTCACTCTTTGGCTATTACGTGGTTTATGGTATGCAGTTGTCATGGACGTTTGAGAAGCAAGGGACCAGACTAGAGTGGCGATGGAAATGTCAATCCTCTCCTAATAGCAAGCAAGTTACAGCTAACATCCTTGACTTTCTTATGGATGCAAACACACGACTCAGTGTAAGGAATCTTTTCACAACCTTCTTGCTGAATTAGATACGAAAATATGATCTCAGAATTTTTGTTGTCAGAGCACAGGTTCAATTCTTTTTTCTTTAGAGTATAATGACATTGTCTTGTTAAATATGATTACGAGGGCTGTGACTCTAGACGCAGATTTCTGGAAGATATGAAACCATTGTACAATCGAGAATGGAAGAAAACGAGTCATTTCTAAGGGTTGAAGTCGCCTTATGACTTTCAGGACGGGCACTTGATGGCTGCAATCTATCCAGTCTAGTCGTTGTTTGTGCAAGCATGTATTTTGAGATCTAACCAGCACCTAGACATTCTGTAGTTACTTCTTTGGCTTCAGCTCTTCAACTTTTAACTCTTATTCAAAATATATTTTACACACGTAAATTTGTGTTTAATAAATGAATTTTTGTTAAAAAATTTATATTATCATATTACACATGGGTTCATATTTTATTAAACCACTTAAATACCAATTGTAGGAATTTACAATGCATAAACAATATGAGTGATAGTCATTTGTTATCAGTCATGATGATAGTCATTCATTAATTTTGCTTTCTTGCACATTACAATATGAGTGACAACAAAATTAGGAAAACATGACCGTTCCCGCAATGAATCATGAGAATGTCAAAGGAATTGAGAAGAAATCAAAGGCTAAGAGGACAAAGGATGTTTGGGATGGCTTGAGCCATGTCGCTTTGATACACATTTGCTTGGATTAAACGCAAGCAAGCAATAAGTGTTGCAAGAACCTAAATAAATGAGGATATTTGAACTTCAGGAGGAAGTTTGACAAGCAGTAAAGTGTATACTAGTGATGATATCCATTAAAAATTTATCAAGCCAGCCATGAGAAGAGGCTGGAAAGCATGGACTGTAATAAGGAAGGAGATCAGAGATGGTTGGACTAAGATAAAAGGGACTTGTTCTCTGATAGAAGAGTTGGAAGATAAACCTACCAGTGAAGAGCATACGGGTCAGATCTTCTTCTTGGACACACTTCCTCATAGATTTTCAGGAATATTTCGAAGACGATGTCATCAGAAAAAACTTCAAGTGACTGTAGTATGATGAATCTGTAATTTTTCTGCATGACATTTTTGTTCTTAGTAAATAGCAATATTTCATACCTTGTTAGTAGAAATCAGTTGAAATGAAGGAAGCAGTAAGAAAATGTCAAAAGAATAAAAAATATAAACCTACGATTAAAAAAGAATATTTTGTGTGAATGATCTATTTGTAAAATGATCTATTTGTAAAATTTCCAAGTTGTTAGATTGTGTGGTAACTCTACGGATTCCAGAGGACACTAATTAGAATGTTCAAACTATCCATTTACACACTGGTTTGAGCAAACGTGAAAAAGTTAAAATGTTAGATATTGTTGGAAAAACATAGGCACACGGAGAATGACTTTTGTCACGGAAGACAGAGGGGAGAATGGCGGACAACCGCCTCAAGATTCATTCACCTCTAACATCCCTTATATAGGGAGAAACTCTACACAACTTTCCCAAAATGCTGTCAGTCTTCTATGGTATTTCCTTACGACTTAGAATTTCCAAAAGATACTTGTCATGGTTTTGATCATTGACTGTTCAGATTACGAAGGCAAAGTGCTTTTATAATGTTGCTTTACTGAAATTGTTAGTCCATGAATGCCCATATCCTGGTCTGACAACCTTCACATTCCCTATCATCACGCCTGTTGACTTTGGGTAATTCTTTTTACTGTTTTTAAAAGTAGTCTGCAGTTAGTTTAGCCAACACCATGTTTTGTTTATAAAACTTCATCTGCTTACATGGTCTGCTATTGTCATAGGAGGAAGTTGTTTCCAAAAGACAATCATTTGAGAGACTGAAAGCAGAAGCGGAAAAGTGCTTAGCACAAAGTGAGAAATATTGCATTGAGAAGAAGGAATTTGAAGATGCAACGTATGGGAAGGTACGCCATCAGATCTCTAGCTGAGCAGCCAAAGTTTCACAAAGAATATCTCCTCGTTTGGCACATTTTTATTTTTGTTAAGGCGCACTTACACATTTATCGGGTTGACTTGGGTTGACATTTTAAGATTGCTGTTGATCAATGAATGTCGCAATTGACAAATCTGTTTATTTTAGACATGGTTGTCAGTCGTTGACTTTTAACAAGGGATGCAATTCGGGAACTTTTTTCTCATGTCAAAATATTCTTCCACCATAAAATGGTCAGCGAATGGACCTTAGATATGAAGAGTATCTTGGATGCAAGGCAAACAACGAGGCTTTGAACTAGATGAAGAAACCACGGCATCGCTCCTGTCTGTCACACATATTCTGAACCGGAGAAAATTACCAACGTAGGATGGAATCTTTAGATAATTAGACTGTGCCGCCTAGGTAGACTACTGAGGAAGTGTAAAACAGAAGGAAAGAAAAAAAATAGATTGGAAGAGAGATGAACTGGGAAGGAAGTAGTTTCCTCATTTTACCCCAGCCTACTGTTTACCACCACCAACTATTGACTGGCCTTGCCAGATTGGTCCCAGCTGCTGCCGCCACTGAGAGGCCTCCAAAAATTTCCATTTTAACGATATATTTGGTAATTTCATATATCAGTCGCACCCAGAAACTAATTTATATGATATTTGCAGTGTGAAAGACGCTCATGTCTATCTGCTTTCATTGAAAGCAAATATCGTAATATCTCTTCGTGAGCTCTCATCACCTGGTTACTTTGCTATGGATCAATCATTTTACGGGATATATTTCCCATCTTATCAATTCACAATTTATATATTTTTTTGCAGTTTGTGGCAGTCTTGAACTCCAAGAAGGCAAAGCTGAGGCAGCTCAGAGATCGCCTATCAAGATATGAGAGCACTGACAGGGGTCCTCAGTGTAAAGATGATTCCGGCGACAATGTTGGCGCAGTCGACATGTCCAGTGAGGATGAAGAAACCAAAGTATAGCTGAACAAATCATTAGAGTTTTGAAAAAAAAGGGAGGGGGGGGGTGTCCAGAAACCCTCCCTGTACTCTCTCTCTTCCATAGGAAAGCTGGAGATGGTCATAATTTGGCCAGCTCAGAAAAACTGGCCATGAAGTGAGCTTACGCTTGTGGTCTAGTAAAGTAGAGCCTTGCAGCATCATGATGCCATATTAATGAGTCATCAGATCTTTCAAAGAGCTCCTTCAAGGTAGTAGAGTAACAGCTGACTGAAGAGGTGAGGTTCAGAAAGATGAGGTTCTAATGGATAAGTAAAAGCCCTATAATGCAGGTTATTGAGTTAAGATTGTTTGAAGATGGTTTTGATGCCAGTTTAGGCCTTGCTTTTGAGGCATTTTCCCATTTATAAGTCATAACTAAGAGTTGTGTGGGCCTACATGAACATAAGAAGGTTGACTTTGCTGGTTTAGCACTGACCTTTGAAGATTTCTAGATCAAAGGTAATTTCTTTCTTGCCACAAGAGCTCCATTCTACACTCTCCTCCCCCAGGGGAGCAGCTACTCGTTGACCAACTTTGTCAGCACTTGACTTATTTCCCCAATGGTCAACTAATACTTTATAATATTTCCTGAAAAGTTACTGCAGCACTTGACCAGCTTTGTTTTGTAAGAAAATTCTCAATTGAACAAAATTTCCTCAGGATAATAAATTAATCTTCTGACAGAAGGAAATTCAATGGATATTTGCTTGCAAACATTGGTAATTACACAGATTTCACAAGTACTTGAAAGCTAGCGCATTGGATGGCTCTCCTGAATTCGAACAAAAACTCGAGAAGATTAATGACTGTTCTAATGATGATTGGTTTTTGTTGACTCTGATTCAGTGGTTGACTTTTTTTTCTCCCTGATTACACCTCACAGATAAAATGTCTTGGTTTGGAAGGATCTTCAGGGGTCATCCTTTTTTATTGAAATGATATCTCTTTTACCAAAGTGGGGATGTACATAATGGTTGGAATTTTCTTCGAGAAAATAAGAATAATACATTGCATTTGCATTGAGAACTAGTCACGAGAGATCCTCGGAAATCGGTGAAAGCTTTGGTAGGAAATGGGGGTAGTTATGTAAAATATGAGGAAGTAGGGGGGAAAAACCACTAAAATTACTGTAAAAAACTGCCCCCGGCTTCTTTCTCTACGAGGGTCCCTAAGTGTGTTTACGAGGGAGTCGAAATCCCAAAAAGATGCTTTGGTTTCTGAAGAATTGTTTTCTGACCGTCTAGATTATCAGAATTAGAGATTTGTCTCATGGAACCCCTTCAGGAACGACAAATTCTACTTTTGTAGGATTTTTTGGTGGATTGTTATGTTAATCAGGGACATAAATAAAGAGTGCTACGCAAGAAGATGAGCCCAAAATGGATGGAAGAAGACTGCTCCAAAGGCGACAAACGAATTCGAGGGAGTCGAGGGCTCGCTCGTCTTTCTTTAGTTGTGGGGGACGGTGGACCGTTGTTGCGGCGGGGGAGAGACGTGGCGGCGGCGCCTGGAAGGGACGATCCTTGTGGTCTCCACGTAGAGGACCCACCTCCTCGTCAGGACAGTCCGGTGATCTGGCGGCTGTCGGCACCTCCTCCTACGACAGTGAGTCCAAACGCCCGCCACCGACAGGGCAAGCCGCCGCCGCCGCTTCCTCCCTGCCGCAATTTGTCCGGTTGGGCGGGCGGTGCCGACAAGGTTATCCGAGGAGTTTTCGTCGTAATTTCTCATTCCCGGATGATCTGATGAGCGTAATCTGCTGAGGTAGTTTGGTAATTGGCAGAGAAAGGGGGAAAGTCCGTGCTAAAGTTTTGTGCTCGCAAGTAGGGGATTGGCGGGCAGGTGGAAACGGGGAATGTCTCTTCGGATATTCGATTGGTTGAATGGTGAAAGTAACCTGTTCCTTTGACTTCTGTTATCTCCGGTCCGGGCCATCGTGAGCGAAGGAGAAGAGGAAGACGGTGGGCGACGGGGGGGGGGGGGGAGGTATGGAGATGGAAGGGGGTTGGTACGGCGGGCTGGCGGAGCTGATGAGGCGGCCGGCGGTGGTGGAGACGCTCGTCGATCTGCTCCTCTGCGCCGTGCCGATCTGGGTGGCTGTCATGATCGGCCTCGTCATCGGGTGGTCGTGGCGGCCCCGGTGGACGGGTCTCGTCTTCCTCGGGCTCCGCAGCCGTCTTCGTGTACCTTGGTTTTGGACATTTCCCTTGGGGTTCGGCGCTCGCCGCCTCTGGTTCGCCTTCACCGCGCTGTCTGCGTTTTCCGTCTGTCGCCGTTTGTGGGCTAATTTCAATGGGAAAGGATACTCCTCCACCGCGGTGGCCACCACTTCCGATTCACCCGACGCGGAGATGGTACATTCGGTTGACAGCCATGAGTTCAGGTGATTCCATACTCTGCAAATCCTTTTATTGTTAAATTATATGGCTTGCTAATTAATCTTTTATTTTTCAAAAAAAATCCAAAAATTATAATCTTATGCTGGCATGGATGAATAAATTAAGATGGTCATGGATGGGTCGGAGGCTGTTTTGGCATCTTCTTGAGGAGTTGTTCTATGGGATTGTTTCACAGATTCCGTTTGAAGAAGCCTACTGTATCTTACTCCCATTGCAATCTAGGACCATTAAATAAAAAATATTCGAACGATTTTCAATCCTTGTTTGCCTCGAATGTGGTGTACTACTACATTATCGCATTTAATTATTATTTCTTTTAGTGATCAATGAGTTATCATGGGTGCTCATTAATTGTGAAGGATCGAGGGTCAAATATTGTATTTTTGTCACTATTTACAGATCAGAGATTTTTTGGTATCTTTCCGGAAATATTAACCAATTGTGTTGTCGGGATCTTTGTCTGACGCGTGTCAAATATGTGTTATGTTTCCTGGTATCTTAAGAACATTTTCTGTCCGAAATATGGAAAATATTTCAGATATCTGTGGTAAGTTTTTCAAAAGATTATGACTACCAACAATCCTTCACCCTAGCCAATGTTTTTAGATGATATTTTGAATTATATAAAATAACCGTCATTTTACGAAGCAGCTCTATCCACAAAGTGACAAAAAGTGTTCGGCAGAAAGACTGGCTGAACATCTGTGCAACCTCAGTTCTTTGGAATATTCGGGTGTAGTTGAATACATTTCACCAGTAATTGTTTTCTGAGTTTGCATTAAACGCTGCAGCTATGATTTTGATAGATCTAGTTGAAGATCTTTTGGAGCAGGTAGGTTATGAACTTGCCAAGTCCGGTCGTACTGTTAGTACACGAGGTAAAGTTAGGGAGTATTAAGTGAGTTCTGAAGACAAAAGAGGAAAAAGTTTCTTTTGTTACAGAATATTTAGATAAAGGATTAAGGTGCCTCAGAATATTCAAGCACTAGATTAAATTTATAGAAAACAATGCTCAGTTGGTACTTTTGAGCCCTACAATCCTCTTGAGGTAATTTTTTTTTTTGGGTGTTTTGGAAGCCCTATGGTTCTTACGAAGAAAGTGTGTCACAGTGGGGATTTCGGTGCTGACAAGTATCATGAGGATGGCTAACAAGTCCATCAGAAAGTGGGTTTTGTGAATGGATGTATTTGGAAATTTGACAGTTAATAATAGACTATAGCGGATCATGTTTTGCTTTTCCACATACACTGGGAATGAGCAATCAAACTCAACCATTTGATGGCTTCTTTTTATGAGAATTAAATTCCCAGGTACTTATGTGGTAATATTTAACTCTACATATCAGCTGTTCTTAGTAAAAAAATAGGCAAAAGAAAGGGAAGTCCTTCATGATTTGGCATCTGTTTATTGTATCTATTTCTTTTTATCAAAATCCTGTCTAGAAGTTGTTGGATAGTCTTCTGTTTTTCATAAAAAAACACTAATATTACTTTTGTGGTGGAAACATGGCAGTGTATAACACATTCCTCGATAAGGGTATCCTGTTTCTTTGCTTGTTTTAAAGACGTATTGATGGACAATATTGATTATATCAACTTCTGCCCTCCTTCCCTGAATGCACATGTTTAAACTGCTATCAAAACATAGAGCTCTAACCTGTCAATGATCCGGTTAGTCTTTTTGATTGTGCCTTCTCTGTTGAGCGGAGAGGTAACTCAGCGAGGTGCGTTGTGTTACCTTGAAGATGTTATCTAGGGTAGGGATGATTCTTATTAGATATAGCTGATCTGAGATTGATTGAGTTTCTACTTACGATTTCATTGCATTCTTTTCACTTTTATTGAACAAAGTTTAGCACCTACTTTTACTTTCTTTTTCCGTTTATCTTTATTTTTAGCCATTGACATCGCAGTACCTTTTGTAAGCTTTATTTGTCTTTTCTTGGCCTGCAATTTCTACAGCAGTGCCAGTCATACAGAGGATGTGTGCGATGCTGTGACAGAGAAAGACTTGGAGCGCTTTTTGCTTCTTTTAGATAATAAAGCTGGAGATGCAGTTTGGCATCATTTGATGGAGCGCACTACACAGAGTATGACTTACCAGGCATGGCGTCATGAACCTGAGGTGGGCTTTTACTTGTAGAGAACGCTTGTTTTGTTCTATGGTGGAACATGAGCTTCGAACATTTTGCTCCAGTTTATTCCCTCATGAAATTAGGGAATTTCAGATGATGTGTTCTTAAAGAGAAGAAGAAAAGGTTAATTGACTCTCAAATTGACATCAAGATGAGCCAGCCTATGTGGTGTTATGCTATTCTATGGCGGTTTCCTAGCAAGAACCCATGAAGCTGCTTATTGTACACCTTTGCTTAATATTGTAGGGGAGAATTGTTTGGTGCCATTTACTGTCTAGTTTTGATGATACGTTGCTAGAATACTAAGGAGTTTGATACTAGCTTCAAATGGCAAATGCTCTTCTTGTGGGTGGGTTAGCCAATTTCTAAGAAGAGTTGCTAGTATTTGGCTGTGTCACAGAATTGGGTGAGGAATTGACTTGGCTTTAAACCCTTATCAAGGCTTACCGAGTGAATAGGCCCAAATTTGATTTATGAAAAGTGGATCGGACGACTCTACGTGATTTCATAACAAAATTTGTCTCTCTTTCTTTCTTTCATTCTTTTTATTCAAAGGGGTATTCGCTTTTCTGTTCTAAGTTGAACTGTGTGCCTTTTAAGGGTCCTGAATTGGTGAAGGCTTCATCTAGTCATACCTCGTCGGTGTGGAACAAAATAAACCAATCAGATTGTTATCTGGAATATATGGTTGGTTTCATGATGGAACGAGCTTATTTTTCCTCATTTTTTTTTTTCACTTTCATAGGGGTGATCTGTGTTTCCCTTTTCCTATTAGATTGGGAGTGGCTATGAATCACAATTATTTATAAAAAAATGTATTTTTATTCCTGAATATTAAATTTATTTGATGATGATTAATTTGTTTCTGATTCACATTTAAGATTTTTGGTTTTTATAAGTGTTTACCACCCTATATTGAAAAGAGACGAAATATGTACATGTGAGTAAATCATTGTCTTATACCAGCAAGGTCTTGTAATAACTTATGAAACCTAACAACCAGAGAGGTACTCAATCGCCACTTGCAATCTTACCCAATCTCACCTAGACCTTCATCTTTTCACAAACTCTACTTTAACACTCGAAGATGTGCCGCTCTATTTAAATTGAAGTGTTGGATGTAATAACACCTAATATGTATTTTTTGTGAATTGGTGAATTCAGGTATCATTTCCTGTTCCCCTAGCATATTGGGTTTCCTTTTTGGAAAAATATGTTGTGGGAATGGTTAATTCCAGAGCCTGCTGTAAAATGCACTGAAGAATTTTAGTTTAACTTTTTTTTCCTCATCTATCTACACAGTCCTTTGTTGTATTCTGAGAATACTTCGTGAATATGTGGCGTCTGCGTTTAGAAATAATAGCCGTCATTATATTTTAGTTTTAAGGGAATTGGTTTTATTTTTTGTTATTTTCAGTTTGAGTACAAGATGGCTTGATTTTGACTTTTTTTCTCCTCACCTGTGAGTTTTTTAATTTTTGACCATAACTATTCTGAAACACTGTTAACCGTTTCTGTGCATATTATGAGTTATTTTTTATTTCGTCGTTTAGCATGCACCATCATGATCACATTCTATCCTTTTAGATTTCTTTCTGTATCATTAACTCCTTGAAGCGGTATTTGTTCCTTGTTGACTGTGATTTCCTACTCTTCAGGTGGGCCCTGTGATATATCGCAGCAGAACTGTTTTTGAGGATGCTACTCCTGAAATAGTTCGTGATTTCTTTTGGGACGATGACTTTCGGCTCAAGTGGGATCCCATGCTTTCGTATTTTGAACTTTTGGAGGAGTTCCCTTGTACAGGGACGTCAGTTGTTCACTGGATAAAAAAGGTGCGTAGAAATTTCATCCTTGTTGCAGATTGTTTTTTATTTTGTCTGGAGTCTTCACTACTATTGTTTGATAACTAAATCTCTCGTCTCATGCAATTTGCAGTTTCCTTTCTTCTGTAGTGATCGAGAATACATCATAGGTCGACGTATATGGGAGTCTGGGAAGACCTACTACTGTGTAACAAAGGTGTCTAGCTTAATAACGTATTCATTTGGTGATGTGTATGTTTTCTTTGATATAATTCTCTCGTGGAATTAGTAAATAAGTGCTTGTTCTACATTGGCCTTGGTTGATTGGCAATGGTTTGTATTGCATCAAATCTAAGTTCCTCTTTTGTTCCAATTTGCCATTAGTAAGCTATGGACTAGAGAAGGGAATTTTGCAATCTTTATTCATCTGGAGCAACAAGTGGGCACTATTTAAAGGAAAACCAGTCTGCCTAGTATCCCAAAGTCTGGGTGTAAGAGGGATTCTCGATTTGCAATTGAAGAATCTCTGTTAACATTTATTTCAAATAACTCATACGATCTAAATTGTTAGGTTCTCTCGAAAGAACGTGACAAGGATCATTTTGATAACTTGGCAGTGTATGGATAGCCTGGAGAATTATAACGACTGCAGGGAGTACTTTGAAATAGTATTATTACGCACTGTCAAAAGCTTTTAATTATATAGGGAATACTTTTCATTCACCCTGGCCTTTATGTAGGAACAATGGGTGCCGAAAATTCTCTCAAGTCAACCCATGGGTTCCCCTGGTAAAGTTTGAATTCAGACGTCACACTTTTCGTTTGTATGAAGTTTGAAAAAGAGCGTTTTACCAAGTCTAACTCATGAGAGAGATTGTTCCCTTAATTTCCTGGCTTCACTCCAGGATAGAAAAAGATTCAACAGAAACCTGAGCAGGGGGGTAGCAGTTCTTTTTTTTTTCTTGTTTGTATTTCCAGTGCATGGCGACTATGCCGATAATACTATTTTCCCTTTTTCATTTTCTGGGTTGTATCCAATTATATTTTCTGAATCGATTTCTAGGCATGCCTATGGTTTTATTTTTAAAAGAGATGCTTGAAAGCCTATAGAAAATTTAAACCATGATGATTTGGCATAGGGACAGGTGGTGCAAGAGTATCCCCTTCAAGAAGATTTTCAAATGCACTGGACAGTTCAAGACCTTATGTAACATTGGTTGTTGCTTTCGATCATACTGCTGTAGGAGGCTGATGTTGGTGACAAAGATTTAGAAGGAACATTAGAGATGAAATTGTGAATGTAGCAATTTGAGGGGGGGGGGTATGTTTTCTGAAAGAGATGTGTGGAGGAAGAAGCTTGTTCTTTAAGCGCTCCTTTTCACAGTAAATAGGACTGAAATGCTTGAGGATGATGGGCACCAGTTTACAACATCATGAAGCTGTTGTGAGGTAGCTGGGTTTTGTACAGGGACTGAGTAATTTTGTGGTACATGGCTCACGTGACCCTTGAGCCACTTGGTAGGAATGAAGAATTGCATATTTGGTACTAAGAGCTGCCCAGTTACAGAGTTTTTCTTACTTTTCAGGGGAGGAAGAGACGGTTTTGCCAGGGGGAGATGTGACAAATTGAGTTTTGTGAGATGCGGGTTTATAGAGCAGGATAATTTTTTTTGTTCAGATTCTTTCTTCTTTTGTGGAGGTTCTCTTGTCCAAGAGTTTAGTGCATACATTTTCAATCTGAATGACTGCATAGCACTATTCTTCTTGACAAGAAAAAATATGTTAAAATGTGTGTATATTATTACGTTGACTTTTTAACGAATAGGATTTTCTTGAATTATACGTGGAAAGTTGAATATGTGTGGTAGTCATTGAAAACATTGCAAGTATTGAGGTCTCCTAAACTAGAATAGATTTCTGGTTTTTCTGGCCCTGCATCTAACTTTGTGGCTTCACCCAATTAAAATCTTGCGCATGCTAATGCTGACTTCATTACCTTGATTCACAGGGAATTCAACGTCCATCCTTACAAAAGAAGGAGAAGCCTCGGCGCGTGGATCTCTATTTCTCAAGCTGGCGCATCAGGGCCGGTAGGTATCATCATGCCTGGGAATCTGATTTCTTGTCATCGTCTCAAGCTGAATTCTGGACAGCCACAAAATGCAAGGAGTGTGGTGCTTTATAATATTCCGAGAGAAAATGTTTTGGTCAAGTTGCTCATCAGCCCGAAGGAGCGATAGTCATCTGACTTCTACCCTCCATTGGCATCCAACTTGGTCCTTACCCTCTCATAAACAAGGGAATGATTATAGTAACATCCATCCGCCAAAAGTTTTCAAGGCAGTCGGCATAAATTATAAGCATACTTGGAGAGAAAAAACGGACTTCCACATAGTTCTTGACAGCAATGAGTTCCTGTTATTTGTAGAAGTGTACCCCATAAGTGATCTTGTTAATTTCTAAAGTGGTTTGGGCCTGGAACTGGTAGGCCAAGCTGTCCCTGATGGGTTTTCCATCTATCTTAGTTAGCTCTTCTAAAATGTAGATGTTCCTAGTATGGTCTAATGAACGCTGTATCCTTATCTATTCTTTACAAGAAATATTGTATCCATAAAGCTTGTCTTTATTTCTGTTTCTCCACCCATATGGTTATTGATATGGCACTTTAGAGCTTGCTGCAGAGTTTAACTGATGAATTGACATTTTGTGGTCGGTGTCAAGAATTAGAATCATGACATCAGAGTAGTGTCTTGCTTGTTTCAGTCGCGCATCATTCACATAAACATACAAACAATGTCCAGGGTAACTGACATGAAAAGAGGGCAGGTAAGATTTACGGTGTTTAACTTACAAAACTGTGGAACTGGGTTTTTCGGTTTATCTGTCTTAGTCATGCTATTTAATGGTTAGATTGTTGAAAGCCATAGCTATTTATCATGCTCGGCCAAGTATAGAGAAGGTATAAACTCATTTCATATTCTTTGCTTTTTGGTACGTGGATGGCGATTGAATAATTGGGTCTATGAAATATTTATATCCTCATTCAAAGTCAGAGAAAATATCCTATTCATGGTGGTGCAGGCATTGATGGTGTGCTTATCCGAATCCCAGATTTTTGGATATCTTCGTTTTGTATTTTTTTGCAAGCTTCGGAAAATGAATGCTACATCGATCGAGCTATCATCTGATTCTTACTCATGCTAATGTTGAGATTTATTGGTCTCCGGTTGACCCATTTTCCCCTTTAATAGTAAGAGCTAGTAATCACTGAGTTTTCCATCGTGTTTTCCTAATTGTTGTTGTTGTTGTTGTCTACACTCGTGTTTAATCCCAGCTGATGTTCATATTTATGGTGGGCAAATGCAGTGGAGTCCTGCAAACAAGATGGCCAGCAAACTGCTTGCGAGGTGACGCTCGTCCACTACGAGGACATGGGAATTCCCAAAGATGTAGCCAAGGTTGGGGTTCGCCACGGCATGTGGGGGGCGGTGAAGAAGCTCCAATCTGGCGTGCGGGCCTACCAGCTCCAGAGGAAGATGGACTCCCCCTTGTCGAGGAGTGCCCAGCTGGCGCAGCACGCCACGAAGATCCCGCACTCCGGCGGGCATCTCCTGTGCCCCGAAGCCGAGCCGCCCGAGATTGCCGGTGGCGTCCGGGCGGTCTCCGGCGGGAGGGGAGGGCAAGGGATCGACTGGAAGTGGGTCGCTGTTGGCGGCGCCATCGCCGTTGTCTGTGGAGTTAAGACCGGGGTCATCGGGAAGACTCTGCTACTCGGCGCTGCCAGGAGGTTGGCAAGGAGGTGAAACCCAGCTTCCTCTCCTTCCTCTTTTGCTCTGAATTTTCTCAGGAACCACCCGTCTCCTCCATCCTGTAACCTCATTCAGCAGCTAAAGCTTCACCAGAGCTTCGCATCGGTTTGTACCGTGCAAGATTGCCTCTTTTTTTTTTTTTCTTTTTTCTGCCTTCTTCGTCCAGCCTCATGGCACCTGTATATGTGACGAAGATCCTGCTGAGGATGTGACGGCCCTCCGCTCTGATGCATTTATAGATGAGTGAAAGTTACTTACAGATTAGCCAGGTGGAGTCAGAAAGCTTGGAACTTCCGAGTTGGGTGAACGGGTTCCCTCTCGCTGATGATCCTCTTTCATCACTTGGCCTGCAGATTGACGTCAATCCCTTTGTTTCTTTAAAAGAAGTGCTCAAGTCCCTTATGTCATAGCCTAATATTCTTTTAATCAAGGATTAAACAAGGCGGCAAGATTTATCTATTCTATATATTATTTGACAGTGACAACGGATAAGCTACGGCTCTGTTTGCCGTCATAGTCCATAACTCTCATCCATCACATGAAAAAAAATAAGAATTCCCCATAGAAGGTGGTGATTTTTCTTGAAATTTATGTAGATATTATAACTTTTAACAAGAAAATTGTCATTAATTTTCTCTTTCTTAAAACCATTCGCAGTATAGTTAACTCTCCTGCATGATAAAATGGACTTAGGTGTAACTTAGAAAATATTATTTTGTTGGCTTACCAATGGTGAAATGTTGTGTGCATAGTCTGCAACTGTTAGTGATTAGATACGTTAAAGCCCACTTAGGCCCCAATGCTCTTCTTTTTAATAGCCTCATAAAATAAATAATTCAGAGATGACCTGCTAACTAAAGATTGATTACGCCTAAAATTTGTGTTAAGTTTATCGAAAAACGATAACATTTATTAGTTTAGAAATAGTTTGGAACCTGCACGTCATGATGTTGATTTAGTTTTCTATACATCCGGATAGAAATACGCCACAATAATATATATATATATATATATATATATATCTCAAGTCTTGATTTGACTGACAATCATCCAAATCAATTCCCTTTTCAACTCATGATTATTAATGCCTACTTATAGAAAGAAGAGTAATCAAGCATGATGGTGCTACTTTTATTGGTGTACATTATTGATGATAACCATTCAAACTAAAAATAAACCTTTCTTGGACAATGTTTCTTTTCTTCCACGTAAAATAAAAATGTTCAAGTAAATGTGTCATTGGTTCCCTTAATGACCTCATAAATTCCTACATTTCAATTCAATAAGCTTTTAAATAAACTTAAATCGTCAAGCTACAAGGAAGGATTCTAGAATATCTCACAATGTTTCAAATAAACTTTTTTTTCTTTAATTATTTTTATTTTACTATATGAAAAATAATTCTTGAGTAAAATTTTGAAATAAATGGGTAATTATGCAAATCCGCTATATAAACTATCCACTACCAATTTTATTCTTGTGCACTTTCCATTCATTATGCCTCATGATCTTAGCCATGTCAAGTTATTCAGCTTCCAACAAAAAATACTATTCATGAAACAAGATAGTGTCAAAATTTCTCACTGATTTGCTTCATAAGTCGTGTATAAGAAATGATTAAATTTATTTTTTATTTAAGCATGTTTTCATACATTTTTTTATTAAAAATGTTTAATAAAATAAATGACGTAAATGATGTTCACAGATATTAACAAGAAAAATGCCAGTCACTCTCTAAACATGGAGAAAGAATACCTTAAAATTATTAAAAATCATGTATCTAGTTGAAGTGATTAAATTGGTTCATTTTTCATGTCTTATAATTTTTTTCCTAATTCTACTAAAAAAGAAAATTTTGTGGTCATAGCTTGAGCATTGTTCGTTTTCTATGGACAACATTAATAAGGAATGAAAGTGATCCATGGCACAAAAGACAATAGAAGTCAATAGAAAAGAAATAAATTAAGATATTTTCTTATTGAATTTACTCTAAAAACTCACAATCCATAAAAAGCATAATCATTTTTTATATCATTCTCTTCATATGACACACCTCTTAGTCTAAGGTCACAAGATAATGCTATGAATATTTTCTCTAGTATTATAGGACAAAGGTATTTTTTTTTAATCTATGCCTTTCCAAACGTAGGTCTAAGGGCTATTGATGATATAGATAGGTTAAATGAAGTGTTGTGAATAATTGGAATGACTCTAAGTTTGTGAACTTAAATTGGCTTGAAGCTAGTGGTGTAAAGGGGATTTGACACAATCTTGTTCCTGATCCATGCTTGAGGGGGATGATTGGTCAAACTTAATGAAAGGTAGTGGCTTTATAAGAGTAGAAGAAGTTGGAAGCCAAACTACTGATAAAAATCTTAATATCCTACTTGGTTCTTATTATCACGTCTACCTAGGATAAGCATTACACTAGTTTCTATACACTAGTTTAGGTTTCATGGTTTAAAAAATATCAATATTTAGCTAGAATTTATAGTTGAAGAAAATACATGAAAATGAAAAACCTTTAATAATATAGATTTAGTTTTTTTCCAAAAATGTTTTATAAAAAAACAGAAAAAATATTTTAGTCAAAGTCTCTCAATGTGAAGCAAAGGTGAGAGAGGCCTGATTGACCTACCACCAAGTTCCTAGTGGTTGATGATTCACATGGGCAAACGATTACTTTTAGGCCTATGCCCCAGATATCATTTGCTTGAATTCTTATCGTCTCCGTATCTTATGATTATTGATTTCTCCACACACAGACCCAAGTCTGTAACACCAAAAATTATTTTTTGGGATTTGGGCCAACATATTTGATAATTTTCTAGCATTTTTGCGAGATATGTGAGACTGATTAAGATTTGTGATGTGATAAGTTGGCTCGAGTCGCATGTGGGTGCCAAATTAATTTATCATTAATAATTTACCATAATTTTTAATAGAATTGACCCATTTGTCCTAGCTTTCATATTTATTTATATTATATTAGTATAAAATGGTTAAATTGAATATTTCCCAATTAATTTCTTGGTCAATTTTTCCGGAGGAAACCATAGGATTCCTTGTCTAATGGGAATAAATAAATTATTTATTTTTTCGTTTATAAAATGCAGGAAGGCTTTTACGTAAAATGGAAATAATAATTTGTCGTGGATAAGTAGCCCTCTCGTCATTTAACCTCGTAAAGACCGTTCCTAGAGTCTCTGTCCACTGTCCGACGGCTGCTGACCAAGCGTCTGTAGGGTATTTTCGTGACCTGTCTCTTGGGGGTAGCTGTCGCTGTGAAAGGGAGGATACAGGTGGCGCTTGCATAACCTCTAAAACTACGAAGTTCCCGCGACGCTGGAATTCTCTCTCGGCGCCAGAGACGTGGTCCTTATTAACTCAGAAGTCTCTCTCTCTCTCTCTCTCTCTCTCTCTCTCTCTCTCTCTCTCTCTTTCTCTGCCCCCCTATTTCCCTCGGCATGGTCGGCAGGAGGGAAGAGTGGAAGAGGACGTGAATGGCGATATCCAATTGAGAAGTCAAAGCGGGTTTGCCCTCAGTCTCTGTAGTATCATGTAATGGATGATATTTCATCTCCGCGCTGAGCTCTTCTTCCTGCATGCTGGTTCTTGTGTGGAATTTTGGGGTGCTCTTCCATGGTTTTCTTTGCATTTCCCTGCTGTCTTTGGGTGGATTACACTTATTTCAGTTTGTTGCTTCTTATTCAGGGTTGACTTGACGATGACTGCTTCCCATTTTTTCGTTGTATTTCTGAACAAGAAACAGCTTCATGCTGAAAATTGTGATTCCTCTTCTGTTGGATCAGACAGAGTCCTCCCTTTGACAGCTGTTCTGGAGATGTCAAGCGGGCAATTTGCTTATTTTCTTGTCGTCGTCCTCCATGTTAAAACGCTCTCACACCAGTCAGAGATCATGTTCCCGGATGATCATGACCCTGTGAATTGGGAGGAGTTTTGTTGTCAGCCTGGAGGCCTGCACGCTCAACTCTTTGTGCCCAGATATTCCCAAATGCCCATTGGCAGAAATTTTTATATTACGGAGAGAAAATATATGGGGAGGGGGTTTGTAAAATCTTACGATTTCCTTGTTTCCAGTCACCGAATAATCAGATTTAAATTCTCTCAGACATCAGACCAATGCATGTGCAGAAACAACAAATTTTCAGAGTTAATATTTGTCTGTCGATTGAATCACCTGCAACGGGGAGCATTTAAAGTGGATGGTGATTGGATAATATGAGGGTCACTAAAATGTTGTCTCCATGGTCATCTACCGTAGTAATTTTGAAACGCACCCTGTCCAAGGCTCTTTCTTTGGAGGTTCCTCTCTTGGAATATATGTTGTGAATGGCAGAGGTCTATCTTCAGTCCTACAGTAGCGCAATGAAAGAAAAGTTCCCTGTCTAAGGATCTTTCTTTGAAGGGATTAAAGAGTTATCAATCCATATGAATATCATCAATCATCATTTTTTTGTTCCATGTAGGCCATGAGTTCCTTTCTTTTGGGAAATATTGGATGCCAAGGAGAATTATCAAGTTTCATACTTAAGTTGGGAATCCTTTTTTAGTGCATTGTATTGGTTCTGATATGTACTTTTCCTGTTGGACCTTATGGAGAGTGACCAGGCTCTTATATTTTCCTTAACTTCTATCATGCCATTATGACGCCCCAAAAATTGGTTAAGACTTGCCAATTATTCCCTGTGTTAATATCTGTTTAGCATACCTGATTTACCTATGATTTAACATCTAAATCATCTCGGGAATGACTGCAGTACAATTAGTTTTCCAGTGTCGCACGAACTTATGCCTTTATCGTTCATTGATAAGCACTAGTTTTTTCCTCCGTTTTAGAAGTCGTAGATGGTAATATAAAATTGTTGAATATAACGAGGATATTCGCTACTTTCAAATGGCGACCTAACTGGAGAAATAAGGGACAAAAGCTTACTAGTTTTCAGAGAGATGTCAAAGAAGCTGAACAAGAAAGGGATTTTTCTGTATAAAACCATTGAACTCTGCACTCATTCAACATAGGAAGGTGGGAAAGCATTCTAGAGGGTTACACTAAAATAAGTTTCATATATTGCGCAATGCATAATACGGCCTGCTTTTCTTCGCATCCAAGTACTTAGCGACCATAAGTTTTAAAGAGAGCGAAGTGCCATGCACTTATGATGCATTCATATTTTTCTCTCATTATTGATTGTTGTAAACACTAGGAAGGTATACTTATACTGTGAACTACATAGTGGGCCCATAGATAACCAATCCTACTTGGGGTTTCTCTGATTTTTTCCTATTCACTGCTGTGCGTACATGGATGACCGATTACTTCGAGGCATTGAAGATACAACAATTTACTTCAAACATTTGAGAAGAATGGAGCAATCGTCATTTACCAGTGAAAATTGGTCGAAAAGGAGATGAAAGAACATGAAGAAGAGGGAAAATAATTGAGGAAGAGGAACAATCGTAGGAAGGAGAGTTGGCAGGGAGGACGTGAACTGGAAAGAGAAGAAGAGGAGAGGAAGTAGCGGAGGTGTGGAAGGAGTATACTGAGTTGAAGGTATATGAAGGGGGACATAAAATATGTTGTTGGAGGAGGGGGAAGATTAAGTGGAGAAAACGAAAAGAAGCAACAGAGATGGGGGAACGAAAGGACAAGGGAGTTGTCAATAGATGGAAGTATAGGTAAGGAAAACAGAAGAGACAGATGACAAGAATCAAATGTGAGATGGTGAAGAATGAGGAGATTCAAATCCGCTGCATTTCACATTTTAGCAGTGATACATCAGTGTAATCATAGCCTGATCTGTACCCGTATTTTCATTGTTAAATCTTGGGATGTTGAATGATGAAAAAAAATCATATTAAATCATAAATCAAAAGAGAGAGTTCTTGTTATTCACAACCAATGCCCCTTCATTCTGCAGAAACTTGTTTGATAGGCAGCAATGGCCTATCCAATTAACTTATTCTTTAATGCCATGATTTATTTTTCTTCAGGCTCTTAGCATGGATGCGATGGCTATTTTTAAACCACCTGTTTGTTTTGCTTACTTTTTCCAGATGTTTGTTATTTTTGTAGACTTTCAATATATTTCTGGAGATATGGACGGCATGGCTACAGAGACGGCCAAGTTTCTCGACATCCCTTATGATAGCTCATATTCAGATGACTTAGACAGTAGCTTTGGGTGATGATGGAAAACCTAATGATGGCAGGGTCCAAATCGCGAAATATGAGTGCAATAGACAACTACTCGTGTGAAGTGCAAATAAAGGTTTTGTGAAAAGAAATGATTCCTGTTAGTTCTTTGTTGTGGAGTGGAAGTTTCCATCTGAAGGTTCTGTCTGAAATTGCCTGATCCTATATGAACCAAGAATGTTTCGTCAATGTCAAGGAGGGTTGTATGCACCATAGTAGTTTGGGTTCCAGAAACTTTCAGTGATGTGAAATGTTCATCTGCTGTATCTATGACTGAAGGAAATCTACCTATTTTTAAATGCGTCTTAATTCTTATAAAAACATCCATCAGGAAACTTTTCTTGGAACTCGTAGAAGATCTGTGACCATGGAACAGATCTGCACCTTACGATCTCATGAAAATATTCTGAGTAACAATGCCGATGATGGCTGGATGGTTTCGTATCTTAGGACCCTTCTAATTATTTGAATTAGTTAATGTTATGAAGATGAGATTTCTTATATTTGGAGTTATCGAGGTTGAAAACTGCCTTTTTGGGATTCAAAGCCTGGTCGTAAATTTTTGATACAATTTCCTCAAGGGGAAAAAAGTAGCTGGGCACCAAGAGTTACCAATACCAATATGAGCCATGAGAAATGGAGTCCACAAGAAAATAGGAATATAAGCACATCTTCCCCCAGGGTGATCTCCCATCAGGCATGGCAAAATGCTGCCATCACCTTTTCTGGAAAGACCAGTGATGCAGGTAATCAGGTACGTTGTTGAACTGCTTTTTGTACCTACAATGACCTGAAAAATTGAATGTACTATGCAGGTCCAAAGAAGGGAAGTCGTTCTGTTTGTTCATCTGACAAGACAGAAAAGCCTGCTCCTTTGACACAGATGGACATTCAACTTGGAGATCGAAATAAAGCAACCATGCCAGATCTAAATGAAAGTTTAAATCAGTACTCAGACACAGCTGAAGCATTAGTCTCTGATGCACCAAAGTTAGGCAAATTCATCACTCCTGAAGAGTCGCCATATATTAAGAGATTTAAATATGGTAAATTTGCGCCCCTCAAAGGTACTATGAATGAAAATAATGGTAATATGATAGCTCCCGTAGATGAACAACGCCTACTTGACACACATGAGTCAGATTTAAATGAGCCACCTTGCAAGTTCACTGTGGGAGTATCACGGCTTTCAGATGAAGAGATTGTGCGCACCTTTAAAGGAAAGGGTGTTCTGATTGAATCACCTGTCAGCGGAAATGGGAACTCTTTAAACGAATGGAAACAAGATGAAAGAACGGTAAGTAATGATAGGACTGTTTCAGGGGAGAAGACCCACAGTCATGAGAGTGCTGAGAGTAGAAACAGTAAAGAGCCATTTGCCACTGGAAAAAGAGTACGGGACTATGGAGAGGACATTCTTGGGGGAGTCAAGAGGATGCGGAAGTCAAGTGATCAAAATGCCAATGGGGGTAGTTCGTTTACAAACTGGATGTCAAGTTTGATGAAGGGAGCCTTCACATCTGATAACATGAAGGTGCGGCCTTTGTCTTCTGTTCACAAACCTGGGCACAAACCTGGGACCAGTTCAAATGATGGTGACTACAATGGTGCCTGCAGAAGTACGGGTTTTGGTTCGATTTTCAGATCGCTGTACTGCTCTGGGTTAGGAAAGCCAATGAAGGTCAAGTCTGAAGAACTTCATTTCAACAATGGAACGATAAAAAAGGACCTAGATCATGTAGTTCATAATGATGGTGATCATGATGATGATGCTGAGTTGTGCCGTGCATTTCGTATATCAAGTATCAAACATGAGGAAGGCATATGCCAATTTGGAGAACCTCCACAGGCTGGACCTGGTGTTTCCTCTACTAGTTCTCATGTTCCAGAGAGGAGGAAGCTCGACAAAGAGGAATGCTGGAATTGGGACAATGTGGGAGCTTCAACTTCATCTTCTTTTAATGGTTCTAGTTCTCCGTCCAAAAGCAATAGGGGAAGGAAACTAGTCTGTTCTGAAGCAATGACGTTTCCAAAGCTGTCCGTCAAAAGGAAAGCTGATAAATTTCCTGAAAGCTTGTGGATTGCTAGATTCTTACCAAGTGTTTCTGCACCTCCGCCATATACCTCTACAGGCAAGCAGAGTTCAACTCCCAAAGTTAAAGGTCCTATTGATTGTGACATGTTTCTTAGTCGTTCTCATGATGATATTTCATCTTCAGTTGCGGATTGGAGAATTTCGGAGATTAAAGATGCACTCCTGCCACATGATCAGCGACCTTCTAGTGACCATCTTCATGATTATTCCATCAGCCCTATAGGTTCTTTTTCATCCAAAGGTATTGACAGTGGTCAAAAGGAAAAAAATATATCATCACAGATGTTTACCAGGTTGGAACCAATAACCTCGGTTTTTGCAAAGAGATTGGATGCTTTCAGACAGATCAGGATTTCAGAAGCATCATGTGATGCAACTCCTGAGAGTGTAACCTGCTTCTTTTGTGGAAAAAATGGCCATAGCATGACAACATGTTCTGATGCGATCAAATCTGAACTCAACTATCTTATGCAAGCCACGAATTCAAATGAAAGGAGACAGAAATCATTGTGTATATGCATCCTCTGTTTTCAGCATGACCATTGGGCAGTAGCATGCCCATACAAAACCCTTAGTCGTCACCAAATTTATAGCAATAATTTTTCAATCAATCCTGAGAATTTTTCCAGGAAAATTGAAGGGCATAGAAATGGTGCTCGTCTGTTTGATAATGAAGATTTTCTTCTGAGTGACCAAGGTCATGATGGGGGACCCCGATATCTCAGTGAACATCAAATGCCCTATTGGAAAATGGAAGGGAATATAACTGAAGGGCAAACAAGCAGTAATGTGGGCATTGCTGATGTTAGAAAGTTGAATGCATTAGGATCTTATCAAGTCAATGAGAAGAAAGGAAAACGGATTGCCTCTACCCCAGGAGCGACTAATTCAGCAGTTGCACCGCTGCCTCTTGCCATCAACAAAGAAAATGAAGCCATTGGGCAGCGCTGGATTTTTGAGCGAATAAGGAAACTTCAGTTATCTCGTGCTGACATAATTAGGTAAAAGGAAATCTCTTCCAGATGCAAATTTGATTCACTGGGTGATTCCATTGGTCGTTTTTCTGGACCAAATAGGATATAGTATTATTGTTCATTTTTTTTGGGAATTACATGTTTATGCTGTTTTTTACATAATTTGTCAAAACTAGGTACCTAATTAATGCTTGATATCTCTATGAATTTTTCATGAATACATTGAATGTCAGTTTAGGATTGACTGATGGCCAAGGGGCATTTCTCTGGAATGGCCCTTGGCCATCAGTCAACCTAAACCCGTCTTGGAAAATTTATGAACAAAGAGTTTGGCTGGCTCAGGGCAAACAAACATATGCTGACTTGTAAAATAGTGAACGATTATTGCTCATAATTATATGGCATAAAATGTGCTCTGATGTTGCTCTCACACCTGCATTTAATCATGTCAGGAGTTTCCATCCTTTGAAAATATATTATATTACTATAGTAGAAGGTGGAAATTTTATTTATAAGTAGGAATAAGACGACAGCAAGTACCTCAACTTTCTATAAAATTACCGATAGCAAAAAAGATTAAAAATATTAGATTGTAAAGTGTTAACTGGTTAGGTTGTAAATGTTTCAGTCGCACCATTTTTTGTACAATTGAATTTCTGGATCATAGTTTGGGTTTATATCACTATGCCGAAATGATTCTAGTTATTTTCATCTTTATTTTTCCAGATTAATTCTGGCCAATCGCATTTCTTCCGTCCGTGAATCATGATGATCGTTAGCATCTTTTGATTCCCACATATTTGATTTTTTTGTCTTCCATACTTATGGATGACATAGTGTCGTTTTTACTTATTTTTCTATTCATTATTATTATTATTTTTTTCTCACCTTTATATGCTTTGGGTTTTGAGGTGTCATCCACCTTCCAGCCGACAATTGTTGTCAATAAGGCATTATTTAATATGAGATAACTCTCCTGTAGTTCGCTAACTGTTCGCACTTTCCAAGCACCCAACTTACTCTAATGATAGGCATTTCTGTTGTCATAATGACTCCGTCTATTTTTGACTGTCACTTAGAACTGTTAAGAGATTAATGCTGCGTAACATTTGGATCTTTCAGATGGATGGAATCATCAGCTTTCCATTCTAGTCTCGAAGGTTTCTTTCTGCGTGTCAAGACTACAAAGAGGGAAGAGGACCTGGCAAGGACGGGATATCATGTGGCTTTCATTAATGGTAGAGTTTTCTTCACTCTATCATCCGTTCTGTCAATAATTCTTCCTAAAATTTTCACATGTTGATATTGTATCCAGTAAGATATGATATAGACTGCCGCAGTATCTAAGATGTACTGGTGAGAATATCTTGTTTGTTTTTTTATCTGCAGCTCATTAATTTTCTTTACACCTCACTTTGTTTCCAGATGCTTCCGAGCAAAAATCATGTGGAAGTTCTAGGAGTCACCTCTCAGTGAACGTAGGAGGATTGAAGTGCTCGATTGACTTGGGTTTCGTTTCTAACCAAGATTTTGTTGAGGTATCCTTCTTTTTCTTGCAGGTGTGGGTATGTGCCTGTGCATTAATTCTAAATATCTGAGCTTCTAGTCTCACATCATCATGCTTCCAAAGTCATATTGGGGCTGATAAAATCGTACAAATGTGGCTTCTTTTCTTTCCTCAGCATAGTTCTGTTCTTCCTCCTTGATAAAGTTGTGCCAAACGTTTTTCAATGCATTTTGGGAGGGGAAAAAAAAAAACTTCACGTCTATTTTCCTTTTTTAACCCTGTTAATGATCAGCGGGTTAGCATTTGAATGTACTTAGAGTGGTGATATTTTCTATTTGCCCTCTCCGTGAGAATCATGCCATTAACAGTGTCATTAATCACCAGACGTGCAAAGTAATTGTCTGTTCTTGTATGGTTCAGAAGTCTGCTAATCAGTTGAACTTGATTGAGCGTTCTCTCTCTTACGTCATCCAAGTGTTTCTCGCATTCATTCGCGAGTATGGGTTTCTATTCCAATGCCTTCGCAATCTACACTATGCTTCATGTCTGTCTGTACCTTGGAAATGATTGTGGTCTCTTGTACGTCAGATGGGTATTATTTTCTGCATTCTGGTTGCAAGTTTGACCCTTATGCGCCTCAGTTGAAACCCAGTTTACCTTTCTTTGACTCTGATTTTTATGCTCCTACTCCCTGTGCCGAAGGGTATTTCGGGTCTGATTCATCTCTTCCAACGCGTTGACCGCAGGATGAACTGAAGGTTTGGTGGCTGGCGACGGTGAGAAGGGACGGCAGGCTTCCCTCCGTTGAGGACTTGGAACGGAAACTCCTCGAGAAGGAAAGGTTCGGTCTCTAGTCTCCGGCGATGACATCTCCCCCTCCATACATAACCTTGTAAACCACCACCCTTTTCAGTACTCCGAAAGGGGTCAACTCTGGACTACATTGTAAATAGAGTGCGGCTCTGATCCGTTTCTATATATTACCCGAGGAAGCACTTGGCTGCCCGGAAGGTTTGGGCAGAGTCTTTTGCAGCTCCATTACAGCTTCCACCTCAGGGTCTGTTCCTTGGACTTCTGCACCTCATATATAACCGACTATGAACTTTTTTCTCATTAGACAACATTAGAGGAGATCCATGAAGTAATATCAGTTTAGACTACAAGAGATTGTAGTAGTTAATAAAATGATCATATCCTAAATTTATTAAATCAGAATGACGACTTCTCCTAGAAAGTAGTCCAAAATTATTTATGCCATGTGAACCATAATTTGATTTTCGTGATAATTATTTTCTGAAGTGCATGAACAATTGGGTAATTCATTAACAAACGAATTGAAAGCATGTTGACATTTAACATTGAATACTTGGATAAAATACTTGTGATATGCAATTTCTTCCAAAGTTGTCATTGGTCCTTGCTCAGTTCCAAGAAGAAAATTAGATAAATAACATTTTATGAATAGAATTAGTAAATTACTTTCTTAGTAGGCACCACCACTTGACATATTTACATGGAAACAAATGAGAGATCATATATGGTAAATAAAAAGTTAATTGAGAAACAGATTTTGATCATTTTAAGAATGTCTTCTATAGAGTTTTAAAAGTTTTTTATCTTTAATTTTTTATTTAAAAGTCATGTCAGCTATAGATGTGTGTGAAAAATCTATATGTTTCCATTGTATAGTGTTAGTGATAACATACTTGACCAATGAGGTGAGGCTTTTTCAAGTCTGAAATTAATTTGTAATCATGCATGTTGGTTTTGACAAGGCTTCAAAGGAATTCATCATCTTCTTGAATTCACAAAGAAAGGATAATGGTACCGAACCCAAATTAACTTCAGTTCCGGAAGTAATATTTTTGTCTAAATTTTATAAAGAAAACCTTATAATACATAACGGAGTAGAAGATAAATAATCTTTGGTGAAGGAATGAGTTCAATACACATGACGGAGTAGAAGGAATGGTTCAATAATCTCTAAACAAAATAAAGTGAAGAGCTAACATTCAGTGATAATAATAGAAGATAAATAATAAGCTTTGGAGATGTAGGTTTGAATGATAATCAAAGACACTTTACATGTGTATAGGCTAAGACATAATCTTATCAACATACATCAATTATGTGATCAAAATCTCAAAGTAATACACCTCTAATAGAATTATATACAAGAAAAATAAGATCACATTCACTCCATCTAGAATAAGAAATGCTATATAATGTTTGATCACATGATCCAAATAGAAACAATAGCCAGTAAGACTTTGAAGATTGACTCGTGGCATAAAAGATTAGGGCATGTGAATGTCAATACTATTAAAAAACTAGAGATTAAATCATGTTCATGATTTGCCATCTATTTCTATTTTCTCTAAAGTGTTATGTAATGCATGCATTAGAGATAAATAAATCTATTGAAATTTCAAGTCTAATTACTGGCTATTTTTCTAGATAATGCATGCACATCTAATTACTATTTTTCTTTTTTTTTTAAAAGTAATGGATTTATTTGAGTTGATGATTTTTTAAGATTCACATAGGTTTGTTACTCTTCAAAAGGAAGAATCTCTCAAGTATTTTTCAGAATTCTGCAAACTAGTTTTCTTAATTAAAATATACTTCAATTTCTTATGTTTGCAGAGATAATGGAGGTAGCTTTGGAAATCAAAATTTGATATGTATTATGAACATGACATGAAACATTACTTTTTTTTTTGTTTAGAAAAAGAGTCCAAACAAAACAAAGTGGTAGAATGAAGTAATCAATTTATGATCAATATCATTTGAATCATGATATGTAAATATATTTTATCAAAATGGTATTTAGCTGAAGTTGTTAATAGCACTTTCTACATAGGGAATAGAGTTAAAATGAAAAAAATCCTCAAGAAGACACCCTACAAGTTCTTCAAGAACAAAAGGCCCAACCTGAGCCATATGGATACAAGTGGTTTATTTAAGTAGAAAATAAGCTTGAAACATGTTTAATCTGAAGAGTGATTAAAGAGGTCATAAAAAAAGATCTTCATCATAAAAGAATCTATCATCTATGAATAGTAATTGATCTCTAATAATTATGAACAACTCATTTGAGCTCCTTGAAAGTAAAATAGCAAAGTCAACCAATGGGATGTGCTCTACTGATTTAAAATTATCTAGAATCGGAACAAAAAGATTGCCCATTTCCTAAGGACTGAAGGTTTATTAGAAATCATCCAAAGGAATATATTTTGAGAAATATCCAAGAAACTATCGAAAGTTATTTACAATGTGACATGTGGGCTGAGCTAGTATCACAATTAATTTTGAAGATTCATATTGGTAAAGACATTAAACCTCGAATGCACCAACTTCACGTTATTAAGGTGCAAAGTTCTTATGAGAGATATCTTTTTGTGAGCTTCTAGAATGAGGTTTTGTTTTCATGCTATTAAGGTCTATTTATTTCTCTCTTGATTGCTAAATAGATTATCCATTCATCCTTTAATAGTCAAGTGGGACCATAGTTTGTATGTTTCCAATGGTAAGGTATGTTGTGAACAGCAAATTGATATCTTGTGCTATTATTTTCAATGTTCTTTCTTTTGTAGGTTTCAAGCTGATGTATGATTTTTATGATGACAGTATCTTGCATCCATCTTAAATTAATCCATAATCATGAAGTAACCATGTATATAAACTATGTAGTTTACAATATGTGCCCAAACCATTATGACATGGTCCTAATGAAGATAATGTTATGACACTTCAAAGTTTAAGATGTGCTATGTCATAATACACTTTGACTTAGTATTGAGATCCTCTAATATTTCCCTTGAATTCTTCTATATATTTATTTATTGTACAACTTAATTAAATATTTTCCTGTTACACATCAAAATTTGCATATGCAGAAATAGTAAACTCAGTCTAACTCACTTTCATACAACATTTTTTTCATTGACTAAATTGCATATCTTGATATGTTGGCATATTTTTATCTTATTTTTTCATTAAATACTTGTGTTTTGTAACTTACTGGAAAAAAATTAAAACTATAGGAATCAACTTAGGTAATAAATACTAAACGGATTTTGAAATAATTTTACATGATATTTTTGCTTCTTATGTCAACGCTCAAAATTTATTCCAAGTTTTAAGACCTCTAAAGAGTAACTTAAATCTGGATAGCTTAGTCTCAAAGTCAACGGGTGAGAAGAAGGTGATAGATATAGATAGGATGGTGATAATTAAATAGAGCTAGTTAAGCTTGCGAACAATACCCAGGTGATTAATAATAATAATAATAATAATAATAATAATTATTATTATTATTAAAGTAATGGTTACTCACCGATGCGTGGGTCGCGGAGATCTTCAAGGAGTGGGGGGCCATCTCAGCGGCGCCGCCTCCGAATTCGGTATCTAGGTGGGCCCCACCACGCGCGCTGCCCCAGGACCGCGCTGCTGTCGTCTTCCTCTCCCCGCATTTCCGAAGCGCCAGCCGTCTTCTGGGGGCTCCGACGATTCGCCGCCGTCACCGAGCGACGGTTGGACTTCCCCGTCGAGGGAGGGTTTTGAATGCGATGGTGAGGAGAGAGAGAGAGAGACAGAGAGGCTCACCCTGGTTCCCGGAGGCGGCGCCGGCAAAGGTTTCGCCGCCGCGGACGGCGGAATTCTCTCTCCTCACCGCGGACACCTCCTCCGGCGTCCAGTGCCGCCCCATTGAGATGGACGCCGCCGCCGCCACCGTAGTAATTAAAAAATGAAAAAGAAAACCCAATATTTTTTTGCCGCCCTGCCTAGAACTCACCAATATTCGAAATCTGCCCTTCTCTGCAACGTCGCAATCCATCTGCTGACCTTCCCGCCATCCCCATTGGACACCAAATCCCTATCGTGCCACCGCGGGACACCTATCAAAATAATTTTAAAAAATAAAAATCCGGCACGTGCTGAGCTGAGGTTGGCCCGATCGAGCCCTTTTGTTGCCAAAAAGTGCTGCTTTTCCTGTTTCTTCGGTCCGAGTCTCTCTCTGCGCAGCGGCGGTGGTGGGGCCCGCGCCGCCTGCAAGCGGCGGCGTAACTCAGAGCGGAGCCCTGACAGGCGCCGCCCTGATTATGGCAGTGCCGCCCCGGCCGTGCGGCCAGCGGCGCCGCCCTTCTCGGATCTGGGGGCGGCTGCCACTGGTGTAATTGTAAGCATCTCTGGGGGCAATGATATTCCTTAAACAAACGTGGGGTTTTGACCGCTGACTTCTTATCCTAGCGGGAGCCATAACGGGTCCGAGTGGACCGGATATTGGGCAGTCGGGCCAATAGAAACTTCCATGTGACGCCGTGGGCATTATCCCGGGAGGGGGGGTGGGGGTGCGGGGTGATCGCCTCGTTGAAATGGGGGGATTTTGGGGACCACCGCCGTCAAGTCGCCGCAAGCGGAGAAGGGGTAGGGCCGCCGCCGCCGCCGCTGCTAATAGCATGGTGGGCCCCACTATGAATCAATCACGCCGCGCCATCGTCACAACGGCTAAAAGAGATTGGGGCGCGGGGGGGGGGGGTGGGGAGAGAGGGGAGGGGTCCTCCGTCTGTCGGGATTTCGCCGGCGACTTATTCCCTTCCATCGCTGCCTTCTCTTTCTTCCGGCGCCGTCACGTGGGTTGGACAGCGACGGTGGTGGGGACCAGTCGGGCGGCGATCTGACGCAGCCTTGAATGCGTAAAATGGGGGGCAGATCGGGTGCTATGCCACGTGGCCGAGTTTTGACCACGTCAACGATACCTCGATTAGACAGACATGAGGCGAGCGGCGTGCCGTCACCTGTTGACGGCTCTCCGGTCTTTGTCCAGATCTACACGGCGGCGCCGGCAGGCCGGCCGGCGGCCGTCGAGGCTTTCCAATTGCGTATCTTTTGTTATTTCTGTCAATTTCCTTTCTTATAATAAATAATATGACTCTGTCTCTCTCTCTCTCTCCAGCGGTCGGCGCCGGCAGCTTTTCCGGGGACCGCCGCGTCTCCCAGGAAAAGTGGGCAGCGATCGCCACATTATTACAGCTGGCGCCGTTTTTCCCGCCGACGTCACGAGGGCCTCGTCGGCGCGGCGGCGCCCCCAAAGTGCGCGCGCGTTCAACAGTTGTCGGCGGATTCCCCAGGCCCGAGGACTCGTCCCGCCGGGAAAGAGGAACACACCTATTGCAACAGTATCTACCGCCGCCACCGCCGCCGTATTCCGCCGCCCGCCTATGTCTTCTTCTTCTCCTTCTCAGGGGCAGTAATGTCATTCTGCTGCCCGCCGGATACTGGCGGCTGTCGGCCATTCGGCCGCCCGGCAGCTTGCCGCCGCTTTATTCACCGCCGGCGAAGAGAACGACAGGTAAGGGAGAAAGAAAAGCTGAAGAGGGGGAGCTTTCCTCATCGTCATTCCTCTGAACTGTACAGGAGAGAGAGAGAGAGAGGCAAAAGAAAGGGAAGGGGAGAGAAAGGGGGAGGTCCTCTAAAAACTAGTGACCAAATGGTGGAGCTAAGCAGAAGGAAAAATGGGGGCGGCCGCCGCCTCAGAGAGGGAGCGGCGGGAGGTTGAGATCGAACGCCAACGCCGGCTTCTTCGTCTCGTCGGCGGCGCCGGCGGCGCTCTGCTGCAGCTGCAGCCGCAGGTGGGCCGGTCCCATTTCCTCAAAGGGTTTCCGCGGCAGAGCCCGCGCCGCCGCCACCATCCTCTCCTGCTCCGCCCTCGCCGCCGCCTCGAACCGCTGGTACGCCGCCGAGGGGTAGAGGTCCCGGCAGTCGAAGCCCCCTGGCAACCAGAGCGGCGGCGGAGGTGGCGGCGGCGGCATCTGCGTGTACGGCGACGGCGGAGACCCTGACGACGACAATGACGGTGAGAGGGACAGAGCGGAGGCCGCCGCCGCCTCGCCGCAGGTCAACGCCGGCGAGGAGTAGCTGAAGTTTGTCTTCGCCTTAGGGCCGCGGAGGTTCCGCGCCGCTTCGTCGTAGGCCCGGGCGGCCTCCTCGGCGGTGTCGAAGGTGCCCAGCCACTTCCTCGTCTTCTTCCACGGATCCCGGATCTCCGCGGCGAACCTGCCCCACGGCCGCTTACGCACTCCCCGGAAGTGCGCCTCCTTCCCCTGCCCCGCCGCCGCCGCTGCTGCCGCCACGCTCACGCTACTCGGCGGCGCCGCCGGGTCCTGCCCGGCGCCGCCGAGGAAGCCGTCTTTCCTCAGCCTGAGCGTCTCCACCGCCATCGACTGACTGATCGACTGACTGACTGAATACCCACCCACGCAGTGGCAGACAGAGTAGGGAGAAGGAGGGAGGGAGAGAGAGAGAGAGAGAGAGAGAGAGAGAGAGAGAGAGAGGGAAGTGGGGGCGGCGATCGGCGGTGAAAGCGGCTACGTTGGCGTTATTATATATAGCCAAATAAACGGTCTTGGTTTACCCCGACAGGAATTTCTCCCGTTCCGCTCAAATGCTTATCAGAATTTTTTATTTATAAAAGAAAAAAGAAGAAAGTAAAATTACAGAAAGGCCCTTCAGCGGTGCCTTCTCACGTGCGGGATCGTATGGTTCGCCCTCCCGGGAGGCGCCGGGGGGACGGGGAGGGAGGAAGTGGGCCCCGTGGGCTTCAGACGGCAGCGCTTGTCCGGAAGCGTCAGACGGCATAAAAACAATTTCGCGGCCCGCCTCCACCGCCGGCCGATAAATACGAGCGGCCACTCCCGCACGTGCAGCGCCGCTGCCGCACGGGCTTCGGCCTGTTTTGAAAAACGCTCTCCCCCGCCGCTCGGTGAAAATTCTCATGGGGTGGACACGTGTCGTGATTCTGGTGGCGGGCCTCCGCGCCGGCGGCGGCGGCGGCGGCGAAGTCACGGATGATCTCCGCACGATCGATGAGGTGGCGTTGCCTGAGTGACGGCCACCGCTGAGGTGGCCTCCTGGGACAGTGACCACGTGATCCGCCGCTGGGGGCTGGTCCGACGTGTTCTCCTATTCAGGTTTACGCTCTCTGCATTTAAGAGAGAGAGAGGTAGCAAGAGAGAGAGAGAGAGAGCTACAGAGCTACAGAGAGCTACGGAGAGGAAGAGATAGAGAGAAAGAGATCTATAGCGAGAGAAAGAGAGAACCACAGGGAGAGAGAGAGCTAGAGAGAGAGAGAGAGAGAGAGAGAGAGAACTGAAGGGAGGGAGAGCCCAAGGCCCAGTTTTCACGGCCCAGGGAGCCCAAGAAAGGGGGAGGGGGGTCGGCGCGGCCTCGTGTTGCTGGGGTCAACGAGTCTTTGACTGCCTGGCTTTCCCGCATCCGGGTGGTCAACAAGTCGTTGACCTTGGCTCCACGAGAACGAGGAAAGCTCTGATGCCACCGCCATGGGACGAGTCCCGATGCCATAATCAGGTCAGAAAATCCCTCGGCGGCGGTGAGCAAGCCCTGACCAGGTTGGAGTATGGGAGATTGGCAGCATATCGATTTTTATCATTTAATCGTGTTTGTATCCCTTATTATATTGTATTTTAATCCTTTTTTCCTACTGTATCTGCATATCGGATCTATTCGGGCACAGGAAAAGCCCGATAAACCAGATCTGATGGCCATTCTCAGCCATCCATACTTGGGCATGAGAGAACAGATTGAGTCATTGTGATAAAAAGAATTTCTGGTTTTTCTTCAGTATGACCTCTCATTCCTCTAAATTTGATCTTATTTCTCTTTCAAGAGATTAGAAGCACAACATTTACTAGCTAAGAAAGAGGTAATTTTCATGTCCAAAGTTATAGATTTAGCTATTTCATCAACACAATCTATTGAACATTCTAAATTGTATCTAGAGTTACCAAATATTCTAAGTGAATTCAAATTGGATTAGAAACATTTATTCTAATGAAGTGAGTTTATTGAAATTGTCTTGACAAGTAGAGGGAAGCTCAATCACTTATTTGATCTGAGGGTAGTAGTATCAACTGATTCTCGATTCAAGGTATGGAAAGAGAATGATATAATTATTAAAACATGGCTTTAGAGTGTTATGATTGTAGAAGTTAATGATGAGTATCTAATAAGTAAAAAATTATGTTTAGAAAAATGAAATTAATTTTAGAAGTTAGTGCTTCTTATAAGAATTAAAAATATTTAGGAAAAATAAAAAAATCTCAAAATATATAATGAATCCTAGATTTATCGAGTTATAGAAGAGACAATGGCTATACCACAAGAGAACTAAAAAGTAAGAGAGTATATCAATGAGCTAAATAAGTATGACAAGAAATTGATAGACATTGACAAATCATAATAAAAGATCATGAGGATAGACTTTTCTTCTGAAAATATATTGAGACAATTAGGATCCCTCAATTTGTTGTTGGTCTCAATTTTGAATATGATCAAGTTTGAACACAAATTTTATGAAGAGAAAATTTCAGGTCTAAAAGAGTGTAATTGCAATACTAAGGAATGAATAAAGTCATGAGTATTCAAATCAAAATGTTGATGATATTTATCTTAACTTATAATTTTTGTGTAGGTAGTAGGAAAATGACCTCATCTAATGAACATTAATTATGATAATTATTATGAGAAATGTAAAAATTAATTTTCTTTGCATAATTAAAAATATCTTGGATGTTTTTAGACTTTCATAGTTTTAACTTCTATTAAGAAATTAATTAATGACCTAAATTATAAAACTATTGATAGTGATATTTGTGATGTTTATGATAAGATCACAAACAAGAAAATTAGATGTGTTGTGGAGCACAAATAACTTTATTATCTTTGGATATTAGGTCTTAGCTAAATAGTAGAATCATGACTTACATTTAAACTTCGAACATTACTATTTCAACGGTGCACAAAGATTTTTTGTTGAATCATTATCATCTTACTCACCTTTCTTTCAGGATGATGAAAACTATGTTTTTAAGTTTATTTTCTAGAGTGAATGTTGAAGATTTTAAAATGTGATATTTGTGAATTAGCAAAGTACAAATGTACATCACTCCTTACAAATAGTAAATGGAGTGGTATTTTGTTTTCACTCAATCACAATGGCATCTAGGATTTGGGAGCCTTCATCTATTCTCAATATCCAAAACACTAGATGGTTTGTGACTTTTATCGATAATGCTCAAGATTCATATGGATCTACTTACTACTTCATAAGTGAAAAGTCTATACAATGCTTCAATAATTCTACTCATTATTCAAAAACTAATTTGAGATAATAATTAAGAAATTTGGATCAAAATTTACTAGTCTACCTTAATAAAATACAAATAAATTATTTTCAAAAAGAAAGGATTATTCATGAATCATTGTATGTGACACTTCACAACAAGACGGGATGCCGCGTCAATATGAATTTGTCTTGTTGTCTGTGCAACGTAAGTCAAAATATAATGCCATTTGGAAAAGATCAAGCATGCTGCAATGTTCCCTTTTTATTTTTTTCACAAGAAACCAATCCAAAACATTATTGAAGTATTCATTTGGCTATCCTGTATGTAATAAGCTGATGTCTTATCCATACAGTGTACTCTATTTATTCCTTTAAATAGAACAGCCATCGATAAAAGCATAATTGATAAAACTAGAACAAAAATAGTTTCTCGTAAGAAGACTCGTGGGGATTGGTTTAGTGCTCAGTAGAGGTTCAACAGTATTCAGGAATTTGTGGGCATAAGAAACAGAGTAAGAGCATAGCAGAATCCCAGCACCGGGGAAATTCACATGTTTAATACGACGTGCTTCTACTTTGTGCAGCAAATCCACTGAAAAAGAGACATTGGGAGTGGGAGCATACCAGGAGCTGAACAGCTGTGCGACGATGGCTGGATGGAGGGAGATGCGACGATCGACGGGTTCGTGTTAAGTCCTGAGCGAGCCTTAGCATAGGCGCGGCAGCAGCCTGCCGCCAATGGCGACCGGGGCCTTGTATGTTTCCCGTTCGAGCAGGATGAAAAAGGGATTGACAGCGGACCCAGCCGGAAGGAACCATACTTGGGTCGGCCCGCAACCCAGATTCAGGCAAATCCGGGTTCAGCTGCAGCGTCACCCACGGGGAAAAGCTTATGAAAAGAACAAATCTATAGATGTAAGTCATTTTATACTTGTGGGAAGCTGTCCGTCCATATCCAATGAGTTCTCACACAACGATTCTGTCTTGAGTGGGCAAGCCTGGCTTATTTTCAGAAAGAACTACTGTGCAATAAATAATACACACATTAGAAATACCAAGAAGAATTCGATTTCAAAATCATGTGTCAACATTTTTTTTTTTTTTTTTTTTGGAGGAGAGCCGATCTTGACAGATGTTCAACTCATAAATCAATTTAATTCCTAGGCTTTACAAGGGTGTGGCCTATGCACATAATCAAGATCAACTAAATAAAAGCTTAGTCTATGAACATCAAGATGTATCCTCATTGGATATTCAGATATGTCGTATAAGTACTATCACCCCCTACCAAAGAAATATTTCATTTCGGTTAAGATAACTTTGACTGAACACATTAGTTTTTAATAACAAAAAAATTCTTGAAGGAGAAAATTTGTTTAAGGAGATTGGTGTAGAATATGAAGTTGGGAATTAGTTTCTACTAATCTCCATTTCAGAGGAATCTACACCTCCAAAAGTGATTGTAAAGGAATCTCAAATTGAGAATTTTCCTTAGAATAATGAGAATATTTAAGAAAATTATTTTCAAGCCCCTCTATTGAAGGGAATTAATAAAGATTTACCTTTAACCCTTACAAAAAAAGGAGAAAGTGTATTAGGAATTTAAGGTATCATATTTCTCATTTTTTATCATTTAAGTGCCCTTTAGTTTTGTAAAGAATATTTTTTACTTCTCTTAATATCATATTGATTTCATCCATCATTTCCAAGACAGTATCTTAAGAATTTCTGAGTTTTGAAGTATATATATATAATAACACAAGATTTTAAGATCAATAAGTCTCTTTCTCGCATGTGTATGACCACTCTTTGCCCCACGCCTAATTGGCCACTGGTGACGTGAAAGGGGAGTGATGTACACTTACCTCTTATCGGTCTATTTTTAATCGCACGAGCCCTTGCTCAATGCTCCACCTGACTGTGCTTCCAACACATTTGCAGGCTCGACTGGCCAACAGAGTTCCCCTCTTTTTCTATTTTTTTATTTTATTTTATTTCTCTTTATTTAACTTTAAATTTAATTATAAAAATTATATAAAACCACATAATTAGTCAAAAAAATCACATTAATTGACTAAAAAAATATTTTCATAATTTAACATACATATAAGCCTTTTTAACATGAGTTAAGACTAAAACTATATTATTAATTAATTAATAACTTATGATAATGAAGACTTATCTTTAACCTATGCTAATATTTACTACCATATCATCATAAATTAAATTAGTATACGATCGATTAACACATAAAAAACCAAACAAGAACTACTCAAATGCAATGTGATATTCGTAGAAGATGGAGACAAATTACTTATATAAGTGGTATTAATAAGACATGGTGATTTCATGTAAAATTTTTTGACATAGAGATCATGTTATTCCCAATATGCTAAGATGTGTATATTTATAGACAATATAAATCAGTGTCCATCATGATTTTCAACCAGATAATGGACAAAAAAATAAAAAATTCAATCCAAAAACTTATATGAAAATTATTTATATTATTTAACAAAGGATGTTTGTGCATGGATCAACATTGTGTCTCATTAACAAAGTGGACTGTTCATCTCCATCCACAAAAAATACTGAGAGTATTGGGTGTATTTAATTTTCACTTTTGCCTTACTAAAAAAGGTTACAAAATTAGCAAACCCACATCAACAAAGATGGCATCAACACACAAAGGTGATGGGTCATCGTGCTCCATTGAAAGGTTTACATTATACTAATGTTGAATACACTCCATTTTGGAGAGTAAAGTAGGAAAATCATAATAAATTTGTATTAAAAAATCCTAAATCTTTAAGGAGTAATGTGAAAGAATAATATTAGATATATTTATATATATAATTACATAAATATGTATAAAATTAAAATTTCATCTACTAATTCAAGGATAATAAACGTACTTTGAACAAGGAAAAATTGGATATAAATTTGCATGTAGTAGAGGGGAGGCAAACCCCTATATATAGTTGGATGACAACTTCTAGATAAGACTTTCCTCATGTTCGATAACTTTTGCATTCTCAACTTATTGATTTTTGACTCATTGGCCAACTAATTTTATGATGTCAGTTAATATTACCAGTACCTTTGACCAATACAACCCATTTATATATTGGTGTTCATAGTGTTAATCATGTGCACCAACTCATACAGCTATGGATACAAAAGTGCACCATACCCTTCCTTGTATGACTATATGTTCTTATTTGGGATAAATTTAGAATAAATGTTGTTGACTAAATTTTAAGATAGTGAATTGATATGAAGAAAGCAAGTAATTTATTCATCAACAGTCACAACATCCATAACAATAATGTCTCTTTTTCTCATGTCCTCTCTCTCTATCTCTCTCTCGGGTCTTCATCTCAACTCTCTACTAGAAGGGGCGGGTATTGATTCGTGAGTTGTTAGATCTTTCTTTTATGTAAAAGACATCATCATAGCTTTTCACTTGGTCAACATTCTGATGACCTAATGGTTGCTGATTAGATTTCTGCACATTCTAAGAAAGTCAACATGTATTAGCATGGTCAAATCTACTGCATGGTGGATCAATTATCAATATTAGTGTGTACAATCTTAGATAAAAAATCTTAGCACAAATAGTTTGCTGATGTAACTCGTTTGGGGCCCAAGAAGCTTGAAGACGTGAGATGGCCCAATTCTAGCTAGAATTGGCCCAATAACAGTAACACATCTTAAAGGCGTTCAGGATTTAGTTTTGTCGATACGGGTCAACCCTCAGAACTTACTGTTCTTATTTCTACTCGTTCTTAGGGTTACATGAGGTTTCTTTTAACCTCTACGACGACTGCAAATATAAATGAATACCTAAAGAATAACATTATGCGTTAATGAATGGGCTTGGGCCGAAGTGCAGACGATGTGGGGGTGCTGGCCCGCTTCTTCGAATTCCCCCTACTCCCGCGGCGGCCCCTACTGGTAGACACCCACCCTACCGGTCGTCGTCGGCAATCCCATTCCTTCCATTCTTCCTCTCCCTGTCGCTGCTTCTCTTCTCGTGCCCAACAGACGCATTCTCCCTGTCCCTGTCCCTGTCCCTGTCGCTCCCGCTCTTCTTCTTCTTCTTCTTCTTCTCGGGCCTTTGTGGACCAAGGTCGCCATCAGCGCGAGCTCATCCGTACAGGTGACGCCCTTCATTTCCTTTTTTTGGGAGGTTTTTCACCCGAGGGGTTGCAGTTCGTTTTCCTCGTTGATTTCTCGAATGGTTGCGCGGGCGACGATCGGCGGACGTCTGCTCACGAGGGACTGGGTGCCTGCTGGTTGTTTCTCACGTACGTCTATAGATCTTCACCAGGCTTCTAAAATTTCAAATCTCATTTTTTTGACTCTCCAATTCCTGTTTCTAAAGCCCCAAGAGCGGAGGGACGATTATTGACTCATCTCGTCGATAAACTCTGTAAATGGTGATGCCAAAAAGGTTCTTCACCTCTTTAGTGGCATGCGATGACTCCTTGAGTCAATATATATCAGGCTATAATTATTTTATTTCACAATGTTCCCTTTAACTTTGAACTTACTATCATTCCATTTGTGATTTTTGTTAAATTCTTGAGCTTGTTGTTATGTTGAACCTCAAAGGCTTTGTGAAAACATCTTCTATTTGATCTTTGTCCTCTTCTTAAACATTGCTGGACTATGCTAGATGATTAATTTTCCTGATGATTAATACTATCTTCTGATGTTGTCTCATTTAGTGGCTTTGAAATGGGATAGTTTTTTGTCTTCCCTATAATATCCATCTGGATTGCTTTCTGTGTATACAGTGGTGAAACTCGTGCACCCTCTTGGGTCCTTCGAAAGAACAGTTGAAATAGGACAAATTGGATAGGGGCATATCCAAAACGTTCATGGTAGGCCTAAATATGCATGGGGTTTCTCATTCTCAGTTAAGAAGTCAACAAAGCGTCAATAATGTCATTTATTTATGAAACTTCCTTCATCATTTTTGTTATCTTGTTAGTCCTTCCTTTAGAGGAGGTTTCCGTCTTCTATTTTGGAAAACTCTACTTAGCTAATCCTATCTAATGTAGAGTGATGATGCGTTTCTCTAGCCTTTTTCCTCCTCTTTCACTTTCATGTAGTAATCTGGGATAGTCTCTGACGCTTTGACATGTACAACTTCAAGTTCACTTCTTAAATTCTGAAGGTGGAGATTTCCCTCCCTTTTACAACCTCTTTGAGGAATTTCTCGCATCAAATCCTTCCTTGAGGCGTCAGCCATCCCCTTGATACATCTGGAAAACAAATCTCTTGCCATTTCCTCAATGTCTCGTGAAATGGGGGTACCATCCATCCAGCGTCATCTGTATCTGATGGCTACAATGACCAGCTTTTTCATCAGTAGTATTTGGGATTTCCGCAGTAATCACCCATCTGATGTTCTTGCTGACCTACGGCCATCATAATGAATTATGAATCTTCTTTTGCATGTCTCTAATCCTGAAATGTCACTAATCGCCTTGTTGTTCTTGTTGATGCTCCATTCTTGGATAGTAGCACAGAGTAGATGCATACCCTATTCAACTTCACACATCTCTTGTATAAATTATTCTGATTGTATGGTACAGATTGTTGACAGCATTAAGCTACAGAATGTTGAAATTTTTCATTGTCAGCAAAAGTTTACCGTAGTTCAGAACTCGACATTCTTAACGATTTGACAAGTTTATCTGAAGTACCGCTTACTTGATTATGGGCATTTCTCCTAATCTCAAAACAATCATGCATTTCTTGTTTTTTTTTCTCATCTGATTTTGTTTCCACTTCTGGCCCTGCCATGTCTTTCAGTTGTCCTTTGACCAACTAATTCTGGCATTGTTTTTCTCTTACTCTATTGACATCTTCCAAACATCAACCTCATGTTGGAGTCATATCTTAGCGACTGCAGGCTGATTTACCGAGTGATGAATCTTAGCTGTTCTTGAAGTGGGAATGGATCTAACAGTAGAGCTCCTTTCACCTTGATTTACTTTACTGTAGGCATTATCTAAGAATGCAAGTTGGTGGTGTAAGATGGTTGATTCTTTCTTCTGTTTTTCTCTTTATTGTCGATTTGATCCACGTTCAGTGGTTACTGGTTCATAGACATCTGCTGGTGTTTCAGTCTACCACCTTTGAGGCAATGGACCCACCCTCCGAGAAGTCTGCCTTAAGTGGTCCTAGCTTCGTTTCCCTCGCAGAGAATGGACGTCCATTAAGCTCATCTGAGATAATCAAATGACAACATGAGCAAACCTAAGTATTATGCATGATCTATAAATAAAATTTGGGGCCTGAATGAAGGCTAATCATAGCCTTCATTAACGTTGGAGTCAACGGAATGCTAGTCAGCTGTGACTCCTCTTAATCTCGTGTCTGACGCATTTGAAATGCATTGCTATGTTTTTTTTTGCCGAAATGTGCTTTTCTGTTTAAAAGCCCAAGGTTCTATAACCCCCTGACAAGGGTTGACCTGGGCTTTTTTAGTCATTAATGGATGTCCTATAGTTAATTACGACAGTAATCTCTCATTTTCTAGGAATTTAATCATCATCCTCGACATGAGGTCTCAAGCAATCAATCAATCAATCAGCCACATTATCAGTGCATGGTTTGTTTGCATGATCAATCATGGACAACGGCTAAAATGAATGATCCTTGCTGTGTACAGAGAAAGAGAGAGAGAGAGAGAGAGAGGGACACACACTCTCTCTCTCTCTTTCTCTATCTCAGCGGCACACCATGGTGTTCCTCGAGGCCCAACTCTCATGGACCGTGTTGATCCCCCCTGAGAGCCTCTTCGCTGAGGGGCTGAAGCTTCAACAGGCGATTGTCCTCCGCCTTCTGGAGGAGGTCTCCTGCAGGAAGGCCTCCAAGGAGCTCGGCTACTTTGTGGCGGTGACCTCGTTGGAGAGCGTCGGGGAAGGCCAGTTGCAGGAGCTCACCGGCAATGTCATCTTCCCCATCACCTTCAGGTGCGTCACTTTCAAGCCCCTGAAGGGCGAGGTTCTGGTAGGCGCCATCCGCAAGGTGCTCCGGCACGGCATCATGCTGGCGGCAGGGCCTCTGGAGGGGGTCTTCCTCTCTGCAAAGGCTATGGGAGATGGCTACGAGTACCTCCCAAGGGATGAGCCGGTCTTCTTGAGCGAGAAGCTCTCCAGGCTGGAGAGTGGCGGCGCAGTGCGGTTCAAGGTGCTGGGCCTCAAGTGGATGGAGGAGGACAGAGAATTCCAGGTGCTGGCGACCATGGCCGCCGACTTCCTTGGGCCTCTCATCTCCGACGATGACTGATTAGCTGATGCCCTCCTCTCTTTTCCCCTTTGCAACCTTGTGGCGAGGAGGATCCATCCAATCCTCCTGCTGCTGCTACTACTGCTGCAATCGAAGGGTCATCTCTCGGTGTATCTCTTGTCATCCCCCCAGCAAGACCCACCAACTCTGCCCTCTGCTTGGGCTGTTTTTTGAGACACAGAAGGGAAGAAAGAGAGAGAGAGAGAGAGAGAGAGAGAACAGCTAGCCATACGGTAAGTGTTTTGGCCTGGTATCTTCCTCGTAGAACTACTGATTTGAAGCGTGCAAAAGGTTCTGGGCTGCATGAGACTTAATTTTCCAAGTCTGGACCAGTCTCAGGTTTTTGCGTCTCTCTTCTCCGACTCTTCAATGCGCCCCGGTAATTCCTCACCAAAAAAGGAAAAAAATCCACTGAATCTCAGATAAACATCTGAAATACAATCTGAGTAAATCCACTGGGTTTTCTTCTGCAGCCAACAAGATTTCTATCTGCCAAGGATGGTATCATATGGGTTGCAGATCTTGCCCATGTTCGCTGGCGGGCAATTGCGATAGCAATGAGTGTGGAACACAAGGAGAATGAATGGTGGAATCAGACAGAGAGCGGGTACCAGTCACTAAAATTTGACCCAGTGGGAAGCTAAAGTTTTTATTTTTCATCACATTAAACTTCTAGTTGAATCGGGGAACTGAACTATTTATTCTATCCAAAAAACATATTCATTAACCAAAAAACTATATAACTCCAAATGACCCTGCATTTTCTTGAGAAAATTATTCTTCTCATATCATGTACGGCCACAATGAATGCATGATTCCACGGATGCCTATGAAGTTGGATCCTATCCAGGTTGACCCTGTCAAAGGCTTACTTACTTGGGTTGGGTTTTTGTCAAACCGAGGTCAGCGCAGAGGTCCCGATGCCTAGAAAGGCATACACAGATGGTCTCCCTCTCCCTCTCCCTCTCCCTCTCCCTCTCCTTCCCCCACCCCATCACCACCTGATTCTGCAGTTGGGAAGAGCGATTTTGTGCAAGGAGAATCATTCAACAGAAATTTTGCCACGAACAGTTTATTTTTTACAAAGAGGGCAGTTCCATCTCAAGACTCGATCTTTGTGGCGTACAGATGATGAACACGATTTCAAAATTTGATGCCGACAAGCTTCCCTTTTATTCTGAATTTGCAAAAAAAAATAAAAAAAAATCACCATTTGAGAGTAATGCAGCATAGTTCATAACTAAACAAGAAGGGAGAAAAAGTTATAATTATGGAACCAGAAGCTAAAATAAAATAAGTACAAAAATAAATAAATCATATTCACTGTACACGAAGAACGCGGCTCTCTGGTTGGAAGATGGAGCTCCCCGATCAAAGATGGCAATCCTCAAGTTCAAAGTGAATCTGCGGAAAAAATAAAAATCTCTCCAGTTTAAGTAATATATACAGCTATTTCACTATCCTCATAGACACCCACGGCAATGGAGCATCCTTCCTTTGAAAGCCTACAGAATATTCACAGTTCAGACCCATGAAAACTAGAAAGAGCCTAGAAATGGTCGGAATATTCACAGCCACAGGTTCCTACCATAAAATTTTAATGAGAAAGGCTAAAAGCAAGACCGGGTATCTCCACAATGGATTGAACAACAAAGAGAGATGTGGGGAATCGAACAGTGAAAGAAGTTCCGATGGGTCTTAAAAATGGCTCCCTGAAAAGAAAGCTCATTTTGGATGGATTCCCACTGAAGCCATTATCTGGGCCAGGGAGGGACCAGACAAGGGCATCTCTACTTCTCAGAACTCATCTTGGGCTCAAGTCCAAAAAAACGTTGGGCAAGGTCAGGATGTAATGTTCTTTACCTTGTTCCAATGCGCTAAACTTTCGCGGCTGATTTCACATCAGAACTAGTCTTGTCCTGCGATAGACATTGGGTGAGAAGGGACTTAAAGTTAAAGGAAGTGAGGATAGAAATATAAGAAAACGATTTAATAGGGCCGAATCAAGTTATACTGTTGGGAGAAACCTCGAGGAATGACAATCAGAAATGCATAGAAATGAAAATAGTCAGTAGATTCTGCAAGGTATAGGAATATCAGACACCTCATCAAGTGGGGAGCTTGGTTTCCTAATCTTGCGAGTTGGACTCCTCATTGTGACAAATTCTTCGGCCGCAGTCGGATGGATGCCAATTGTGGCGTCGAAGTCTGCCTTTGTAAGACCGGCCTTCACAGCGATTGCAACCCCCTGAAAAGGCAGAAATGGGTAAAGTTTATCCTTCAGAGAAGTCACCACAGAACAGAGAAAGCGATGAAAAGGGTAAAGTTTCCAAGAAACCTGCACAATCTCGGGTGCATCGTCTCCACACATGTGTACCCCAAGAACTCTATTCGTATTTGCACATGCAATGATCTTCATGAATACCCGATCGGGCAGACCCGACAGAGTGGCTTTAAGGGGTCGGAAGTTTGCTGTGAACACATCGATGTCCCCATATTCTTCGGTTGCCTGAAATGGAAAGAATCTTCAAAGTAAATATGTGTAGATTTCATAAAGTATCTATCAATATTTAATGAAAAAGTGAGTACCTGCTCTTCAGTGAGGCCTACTTGCCCCATAGGGGGCTGAGAGAATACCGCAGATGGAACTGCTCTGCATGTTAACATCGAAACACAATCAGGGAGTGTTCTTAATTGGAAGGACAAAGAACTGAAGCATAGGAACACTGGGGGCGATTTAAAGGTAGAAAAAAATAAGAAAAATACAAAGCATTAATATAATCACAAAATCTTCGAGGAGAAAGTATTTCAGAAAATAAAGAAAATTAAAATTGGTACGATTCAGTCAGAAGTAGAAACACAACAATCAATTAACAATTTTATTTTATCATCAATATGACGATGATAGTAAGCATAAACTACCGCCTACATAATCTCCAAGATTTCACTTAAAGACACAACAGAGGAAACTTACTTACTTGTTTCAGGAATATCAGAATAAAAGCTAAAATTTTCATTCGCGTTATATTTTTTCCATCTGCCAGCAAGTCAATCTCCCATCTAATTCACCTTCTCGCATCACACACTTTTTATCGACTCCCATCACCATAGGAATTATAAAAGAGGTCAATGTAACTGTCATTGCTCTCTCTGAAAGTGTTGATTATATAGACACTTGCATGGAACCTTCAGTAGCCAAACTGTGGGAGCTTTTAACCAACTTGGCAAGTATCCTTGCGGCTGCACATGATAAAGAATTAATTGAGAACCTAGACGAGAACACTGCTTTTACTAATTGTAGGATGGCACATAATTCAAGCCAAAATTATAGAGACCCGCATGAAAGGATTCTTTTCTCAACATCTACAGAAAATTTAATTCAGCAATTGGGCAAGTCAGAGGACAGGACTGGGGTCATCGAGACAGGAACATACAGGAAAGTGTTCCCTTACAGGAGGCAATATTTATGAGCTTGATATATAGATTTCAAGGAGAAATTGGATGAACGCACCCTTACATCCTAGAGAACCTGGCAGGCATGAATATCAAAGACATGGTTTGCAGTCCCGGAATTTTTCAACAGGCCACAATCAGATATCAAACAAGAAGCATGGATGCGTATGATCGAGAGCCTAGGGGAGGCCTTTCAAAAGGTCATGCATCCTCCTAGATCCGTAGTTTTATGTACAAATTCTCTAAAGAAGCACAACTAATAAATGAAAAGAGGTCGCAACATCTTGCTGGCAACAGGATGCTTCAAAAGTTGAGTGTTTTCATTATCATTTTAAGCGTCATTTCAAGTCTAGACGACCTCACAGAGCCTTACAAGCATTACAGAGGGTAATGACATCGACAAGGAAGATGATCAACTAGATGCAGCAGATTATGATTTATCTGACTCAGAGTGACTTCTATGAACATATTGATGATGATGACAACCACATCCATGTCATAACCTACATCCTAAGCATGATTAGTGATTGCCATGATTGATCAAATTACGAATTGTTTTATTGGAGCAATAGATTAATTGAGAGTGCTGTATACAGAGATGGGCAGAAGATTCCTCTTCTATTCAGGGAGGGAAGACATCTCTCCCAAGTTCATTGAAGAATAGAATCATAACCTTTGTACTCAATCAGAAGACCTTTCAGTGTGGAAATTACCACGATGATGGAAACTTCACAACAGATTGACATGCTGAAAAGTTAAATATCATCGTCACTATAGTTGAGAACATCTGCCAAATTCTATAATAATCATTCCCATTATCCTTATAATTATGAAGTAGATCCCAACAACAGGGGTCAATGGACAGATCTTACAGTTTCCTTACACTAAAATCATGATCGAGGTATCCAATTTCATCAATCCTTATTTATCTCTATTCCTCCATCCAGGCCTTCTCTTGTTGTCTAATCAGTACACAAATAACGACCAAGCCAAACAAGGGGTGCCCTTGTGGCTCTTTACAGGATGTCTTGATGTAGGACATCACTTCCAAGAAAGAGAAGGACAAAAAGTTTTCGGCCCAGGTGGAGCAAAATTGGTGGGCTAGGCATTCTGAAAGCTTGAAGGATGATCGAAAAGGATGAGATGGGCCATAATCAGATTAGGCCTACAATAAAATCCATGAGAAATGCATCAGAGACTAGTGCTGTCAACTTTTTCGGCCTCTTATGCATTTTTGAATTTGCTTCACAGCACTTTGAATCTGTTTTAAAGTGCTATTATAAGCGATCCACCTTTTAGGGGCGTCCAAACAGAATTTTGGCATATTTAATGGCCCCCAACATTGTAACCCTCACTCTTTGTTAATAAAAGTTTTCCTTCTTTGAAGTTCCTCTCTCTCTGATTCAAGTGCCTCCCTTGTGGATTCATGGGTCGCCCCAACAAGTCCTTGAAGATTCAAGGATTGAAGTTTCCAAATTTAGTGGATTCAGAAACTGATTTCTTCAATTCAAATTTGTCCTTGTAGATTCAGGGCCGGATTTTCTATTTCCTGTAACTTCTGCTGCATCAGCTTTACATCATCTCAAGCAGTGAATTGTCTCTCAGATTGCCTGATAGAAAAATTATCATCTCTCTCTACTGGAGTCAACTGAATAAGAGAAGTTTTCATATGGCATAACAATTCTCATTACATTTACACCTATCTTGACGACATCATTTTCTTTCTTAGCTATTGGTCATTTTCTAGAATTTATCCCAATATCAATGTCTCATGCTGTGTTCCATTTAAGCAAATGCTGAGAACTTAGACGGTGAAGACAACAGTACCACCACTAGTTTGACTGAAATCTATTTCAGAGGATAGTAGTGCCATCATACCTTGTGATGGCTCGCTGATCCAAGGTATCAAATCCCCTTTTGTTGCCCATTGTTTTTGGGTAATTACAAGAACTGGAACCCATAGGGTTGATGACCCCATTAACAACAGTTGACTCACAGTTCCAAATTTTCATCTCTCAAATGATGAAACCTATGTGCTTACAAGTACTTTTTTTCACATAAAAAAATCGGCAGCTGTTTCATCATTTCAATAAAGAAAAAAAATAACTTTCATACCAGATAAAGATGACAAAGGCCAAGTGAAACAACGCAGGATAATTCGAACATCAATCTGAAACCAGAGACGGCTGGGTGGCTTAGGGTTTCAGTCAGTTCTAAATGGGATCACGTAGGTTAAGCCCAACTCAATTCCCAACGTCTAAATTAACATAATGAGGAAAGTTATTTCAGTCTCTGGCAAAAGAGCACTTTTAAATTGTCTTTTCGCCTGCTCTTCTCTTCTCTACAACATAACCACTGTTTCCACTGGATTTCTCCTTCCTCTTTTCCCTCTGATTCGTCAACTATTTTCCCTCTTTAATTCTTCCTCCAACTACAAAAGACCCAGAGGGGTATTGTCCAGGCCAAAACCACCCAATGAATGTGAAATCAGTAGGTATGATTATTCTTGTCTTCAAATTTCACTTTCATGGGGCAATCGAGTTTCTTCCCTCAGTAAAAAATCAGGCTTCTGCAGCTCTGCGCCCCAATCAGCCAAGTCAACCATAGCGGACTAAATACTCATCTCTCTCAGCACAAACTAAAAGCTCAACGTCCGTTAACGTGTGATTCAACACCAGAATTGACTAGACAGATTCCCCTCCATGCGTTTCATGATTGCATGAATACTAAGCCCATGAGTAGAAGAAGAGAGAGGGAGCAAGAGATGGAATAGCGTCATCTATACCATTCAACAGTAAAAGAACCTACAAAACTTCAGATTAAGTGTCATTGCACACATTGAAATACTCCAAGTTTGTTCACTTCCAACCGCATTTTCGATTTAAGCAAAAACATTATTCTATGTAAGAGAAAAAAAATATTATTTTTGCTCCAGAAGCTTCCCTTCAATGTAGAGAGAAATGATAGCCATCAAGTGTATGGCTACAAAACTAGTTTTGGACTCAGACTGGCAAGAGAAAAGAGAATTTCAGATTAAACATCATTATGCTTAGGAGTCAACTTGCAGAAAAGGTAAATACCACAATTAATGATCTTATAAAGGTTGTAAGGCAATTGCATTTCCTACAAGGGTAACTCGGAAATCGGAATCATTGGAGGTTATATGCAAAAACTAGACATCCAGGGAGTGAAATTACGAAAGTAACGCTGCAAAATCAACACTAAATGGACAAAACGCAACAGAAACAAGAAATTTTTGGATATTATGTAGCACAATCCACATGGTTGTAGCAAATAATATTAAAACCCGCGAAAAGTTTCTGAAAATAGTAACTATTTTCAAGTATGAGCCGAATTCAGGAAGCTTTCCCCAAATCCGTTGAATTTATCACTGAATCAGTCAAAGATATTTGACCCATAAAAAGGTTTAATTTTCTGAGAAATGTTTCTCCATTTCAATGGGTAATCGTCCCTTAAACGATCTCCAAAAAAACTATCCATGTGTACCTGTAATCTGGTTTTGTTGGTTCACTGTTAAAAACAGTTTTTGCAAATGCACCTCCTTCCATGAGGGCAACTGGCGTCAGGTTCACTCTATCAGTAACATCTCCAATAGCCCAGATGGAATCAACAGATGTTTGAGAATATTCATCAACCTGAAATGGAATAATGTTTAATATGTATGCGAGTTTAGATACATCTATGTAAACTCTAAGCCAGAAAATCTTTCATGTACCACAATAGCACCATTCTTTGACAACTTCACGCCAACCTCTTCTAGTCCCAAATTCTGCAGTAAAGTCAAAGTTGGGAAGTTTCATTCCTTCAAATCGCCCTTTAAAAAAATGAACTGTATATTTAAGTAGATAATTCCTGAACCATCAAGTGAATCCAAACCTTTGTGTTCGGTCTTCGCCCTGTGGCAAACATGACATGGGAGAAACCATCAAAAGTGCCCTTGTTTGTTTTCAGAGACAGTGTACCATCAACAGATTTTAAGATCGCTTGAGGAGTTTCTTCACTGTGAAATTCGATTCCCCTTAAAGACATCTGCTCAGTAACAAAATCTCTAACCTGAAATTTGAGAAAAATAGATCTAAGAAACTGTCGCTGGCTCCAAAGCCGACCAAAACTATCAGGAGTGACTCACCTCCTCATCAAAGCCCCTGAGTACTTTCTGTTGGCGAATGAACATGTGAACATCACTTTTTAGTCCATTAAAAATCCCAGCAAATTCCACAGCAATGTACCCACCTCCTACTATGGCAATCTTCTCAGGTTTAGATGGCAAATCTAGAGCAATATCTGAGTCTATGGCATACTCCTTCCCAGGTATGTCAAGAATAAAGGGCCGCCCACCAACAGCAATGAGAATATGTCTAGCAGAGTAAATCTTCCCATCTACATCAATAGTATGTGGGTCCACAATCTGAAAGAACAAAAATTCAAAACAAATGACAAAATAAAATATGGATTAAAAATAGACAAATGTTGAAAATTTCACATCACCTTCCCACGGCCTTCAATCAATTTTACATTAGCATTTTTTAGGATGTTCTTGTAAATCCCTGTTAGACGCTGTAACTCGGCATTTTTGTTTGCCATGAGAGTGCTCCAGTCATGCTTGGGCTCAGCTTCATGGTTCCATCCAAAGCCACGACTCTCATCGAAATCATGTGAATACTTCGAAGAATACACAAGTAATTTCTTAGGAACACAGCCACGAAGTACACAACTACATAACAAAAGAAAATATGAATAATTAGAACATTCAATCATCAATAGCCTGGAATCGCCTACATAATAGAATGAAAAAAATGATCATTGTAAGATAGAAATCAACACAGCAAGTGTGCGTATTGCAAGCTTGTTCTTAGGGAAACTGGAGGAAAGTGATTATTGCAAGTTTGTACTATCCTAAAATCGGGGAAGTTAAAACAGCAAAACGAACAAGTATGCAAACATCATATACAATGGTAAGTGAGGCTAACTGTGTTTGCTGAACATAACCAAGGACTATAGCAGGCACAATGCACTAATTCCAAGGAGCAGCCAAATAACATATAACACATAACCTTCAATAGTGAAAAAACTGAGCAGTAAATTAATTCCCCTTAAACCGATATCTCTAGAAAATTTTCAAAACACAAACAAAAGCTTCATCATCTACCATCCAATGAAATTTCATGTAAAACCCCCAGAGCTTTCCCTGCACACTGTTACAATCGTAATATAAATGAGGATGTGAGGTTCAGAAATTATTGTCACTAATCAGACATTTTTTCAGGCCATGTATCATGAGTTTCCTCAGAGCATGCTACTTTTGTATGTAAAAAAAAAAGTCATGATAACAGTCAGCAAAATATCACAACTTCCCACATCTAAAAAAGCTTAAGTTGATGCTCCTCAAAGAAAGATTGCAAGATAAAAACTGCAAAAGGCCTGTTATGTCTCTCTCTCCCCCCAGCTAACCGTCTATGATATTTACCTAACGGATGAATCATGCAAATTCAACACCTCAAGCATCCGATCTGCAAAAATTAGACATCAAAGATTAACCATTATTTCAAAACTTGTATTTCTCTAATTGTCCTTGAATTGTTTGGATATTCATTCTTTGAATAAAGTATTGGTTTAATTTCAAGCATCCCCTTGCTTCATCCTTCCTTGAGAGTCTTTATTTTTCGGATTCTATCAGCCTGTTACCAAGGGTACATGGAAATGGAGTTCAAGATGCATTTGATATACAATATACATCTGCATACTATTCTCTTTAGATGGACACCAATTGCAGAAATAAGGGGAGCCTTTTAGTAAGTTTATTTATTTATTTATCACTAGCTAGATAGGGTCCTTTTAATGATGTTGGATTGTCTCTTCCAGTAATTCATACTAGTCATAAATGAGGACAAGGTAGATTTGCAGTCGATCAATATATTTCGTTATATTTATTAGTGACATATTAGGAGAATCAGGAACTCGAATTCTTGATCTATTTAAGTACAAAAGGTTGATGAGAAGTTCTGACTACGGGGCATGACGATTGATTTCCCGAAATAACTGATCCATATCACTGATAGATATAGCAGGAGAACTATTACCATATTAGAAGTGACAACAAAGGACAAACTCTAAAAGGCAGAAAAAGGCCATTTACACATTTTATGTTATGTACTTCCTCCTTTATTGGAAGTAGATCGAGACACCCATCTGCACGAGACCTTAATGAAGATGATGAGAAAATATTTACCAAGTTAAAAAACCTAATAGTCATCGGGATTATGACACATCCAGAAATCAATTACTCCAAATCAGAGGTCATGGAACTGATATTCAGGATGACTAAATGACTGACTGGGATACGAATGGTGACAATATCCCACAAAATACCTGCATGAGTTTGACCAGAGCTTAGAATAGAGAATCTAGGTTCTTGTGGTCAAAGGGAAGGAGGGCATAAGTATTTTTTAAGTTTTGGAAAAGTTTCCGGACTAAACTTCGTTCGTTCGCTCCTTACCATATGTCGTCAAGTAGAGCAAAATAATGTGCACTTCTTATTACAAAGGATATATCAACTGGAAACATGGAGCACAAAGTAACCGACCGTCATGCAGGTCAGAAAATTACTAACAAAGAAGATTATGATAATCTACATCACCAAAGCACTATTCACTAAACCTGCAGTCAACTAGGTCGAACATTACGTTTCATGCCATTACTCTGCAACTTGTCTTTTAATTATAGTAAATAAGAAACCGAACTGCCTAAAAAATCGGGAGGCCTGGGTTCTCGTAAAAAATTTAGAGAATACATACATGGCCAATTCAAAGAAAAATGAGATGAGAGTATAATGGCATACGTTCCTCCTACGCCTCCGGCAGTCTCAGAAGAGATTGTAGAGAAAGGAAGTTCGCAGACGGCAACTGAGGCGCCATAATTCGCAGCAAAACGCGATGCCCGGACCCCTCCGCTTCCGGCACCAATTGTGAAGAGGTCGAAGTCGTAAGTCTGGGAAGCGGTCTCCTCTGGCCCACTCTGGAGACCAGACCGGACGAAGAAGCTCCTACGCAGTCCAGGATCTCCAGACAAACGACTATTGGGGAGTCTGATCGCCCTCGAAACCGAGGAGGCTGGCGAGGAAAAGGGTCGCTGGAGGAGGACAACAGGGAAGGGAATCTTGTGAGAGAGGGTGTGGAGAACACTGGAAGAGGAGAAGGAGAGCCTCGTGGGGGAGCCTCCGAGTGTGGTGGCCATGCCTGGCGATGAGGGACGGCCCCTGCTCACTCTGTCCCCGGCAGCGGCAACCCGATCCTCGCCTTCTCCCTCTCTGCCCTGTGTTTTATCCGCAAGGGACAAAACGGCGCGTGATGATGGGCTGGCCGGCCGCCTCCTTTCATTAAACTGGGCTGCACAAGCAAATTGAGCCGATAGTCACCGCACAACCAAATTGTAACAAAAAAAATTCACTCTTTCACTTCCTTTCACGTAGGAAGCGTTGACTTTTGTAACATTTCCAGTTTTGATGTTGAGAAAAGTACTAGAAAGGTAAAATATGGCAATCTTGTAATGAAATAAATGTAGGTTTTGAAATTTAGTGTGAGGCCTCGTGTGATTATAAGATTTTTTTATAAGATCCATTGTGTTTCTTTCTATTTCTCATCAAGATAGTTGACTTATGAGTTTATACTCCTCTTGCCAAAAAATAAATTTAGTAAAGGCATTACAGATATAATTTTGACTTCATTTATCACTTAAAAAATCATACTCTAACTCATGAAAGAGTCAATTATTAGGATTTTATTACTCAAAAATTATTAAACTTTCACTTACGTAGTGAGTTGACCCACTTGGTTTGAAAGAAAAGAAAAGGTAACTAATAATGATTTACCATTATAAAGTAAATAGATTTAGTGAGGCATAGATCTTTAGCAATTAGTCACTGAAGCCGCAAGCTCTAGCACACATGGTCATTGAGGCTTGTTAAAGCCATTGATTCAATGTGTTTTAATTATAACTAAGTTGAATCTAAGGACTTTGCCCTTAGAAGATGGAGTGGTTCAAATAAATTGAACCTCTATAAATTGTGGTGTATGAATTTTTATTGTTCTTATCAATTCTTGGAATATGAAGAAGAAAAAGTCAAATTTACCCACTCTCCAATTAGGGCATTACCTAAGTAAGATATGCCATTAAATGCAACATTATAGGATAAAATATAGAAAAGATAAACAACTAAATTACTTGCAACAAATCGTTGGAAGCATGCAACTAGCTACATTGTAAGCTTTACTAATTGGTTTTTATATCTTTGAAGAATGTCATGCTTAAAAACTAGAGCACGTTTGGTGTGATATATCTTTAGTCCTTACTTGCATTGGCATAGTGGTCAAGTTAGATGATTGATGGTGGCTGAATAAGAAACTAGAAGTTGCATAGAATTTCAGAAAGACCCTAGATTGAAGAGTACCTCTATTAGTTCTGAAAACCTAAAATTGGTATGAAAGATGACGTTTTTCTTCAAGAAATAGATACCCTAGAATAGTATACCTTAGGGTAGATTCCCATTATTTCATGGCACTCATCGCTCATTATGATGATCCAAAGTACTTCTATATACATATGATAGATGGTCTGACATTATATGTGAGTTAAAACAACAAAAGTTGATAGCTGTGAAGAAATAATTAGTAAATCACTTTGGTGCTAACAATTGAAGAGTACTTTTTGAAAAAAATATGGAAAGAAAGAGATAGTTGGAAAGTCAACACTTAGCGAGTAAGTGTTAGGTGTGTAGAAACAAATATGTGAATCACAAGGAGCCATCAAATGAGGAATGTCTTAACTTGTGCAAATGGGAAGTCAACACTTATTGATATGCTTGTTAATGCTTATCACTAAGATTTACTAAGGAAAGTCTCAACACTTTCAATAGAAGTATAATTGAATACAAGATGTAGGATTTTGACTCTCACAAAACCATTTGAGTAGGTTTCAATGCATGACTTTTAAGTGCAATGGTCATGTTAACAATTAAACCAAAGGAAAAATGATGCAAAATTAACAACCTACTTGTTATTGGGACTAGCTTATTAATTATTCTTTTCATTTAGCATTCTTATTGTTATATAAATAAACATTTTATTTTGTTTTTTTTATTCATCGTGATTAACAATAAAAAGATTTTCCCATTGTTTCAAAACCCAACATCTAAAAATTTGGCGACGAGATTCCAATTATCTATCTAACTTGCATTATGCATAAATAACAAGAATAAAACGTTTTAAAAACCTATAGTGGGTAAAAATCCTCTTTAATGAATAATGGATATATATATATATATATATTTCTATATGCTCAAAAGAAATTTTCCTTAAATAGTTCCCACAATATTTGGTGGTCTTGCCTAGGGCTCAACTTATTAGCACCTATAAGTTGAAATAATTCGTGTTATCATATCATCGTAATCTTTGATAAATTTATCATGCGGAATTGATTATCTTGTCTTGTATGACTTGGACATTCACCATTGAAGCTTACTTTGATCAAACCAAACTGGTGGTTTTTTAACTTCAGGCATAGAAGAAAGAACCGATTTTGTCAATGAGTAGTGTCTTTGCTCACTTATGTCACGTTATGGGTCTTCACAAACTGCCTCAGAATCAGCTTTTTAGCCCCCAAGTGAACCCCACAAGCTTTCTCGGAGTACCCTGTACTCTGTTACACGTATAAAAATGGCGGACGACTATAGGATCGAATCCCCGCATGATTATGGATTCCTCGCTTCGCTCGAATTTCGGTCGCCGTCTCCCCTCCCTTGGTTTGAGGGTGGAGGGAACAGCAGGAAAGAACAGCAAGAAGAAGGAGAAGAAGAAGAAGAAGAAGCTGATCACTCGTTCAAGTACAGAGAGGATCGTTACCGGCAAGATCGGACATCTCTGAGTCGGAAGCGCAATTCAGCAGACCCTCTGAAGCGCTGTTTCAGGGGGGCTAACTTGGGTGGAGTTTCTTTGATACAGAGGAGGGAGGGGGACGGCTTCTCAGAGAGAGAGGCCCGACTCTTCGTCTTCCTCCAGGGTGGAGGTGTAGATGAAGTAGAGGGCCCAGATGAGGCCGAAAACTCCTGCCAGGATCCATCCGAGAAGGTTGTTGCTGATGCCGAGGCTCAGCCCCGTCCCTTCCGTGCTCAGCCTCTCGTCCACCAGCGCCAGCGCCGGGTTAGACGCCGCCATCACGCTCGCCGCCGCCAACAGCGACGCGGCGGCGCCGGCCACCGGCGCCGCCTTCGCCTCCTCCGCCGCCGAGCATCTCGCCCCCCCGCCTCTGACGCTTCCTCTCTTCGGCAAACCTTCAAACACCGCGCGAGCGTCACGCCATTTTCATCTCGAAAAGAAACCCACTCCCATCTCTAGAGGATGAGCCGGCCCACTGCGGCGGCGGAGGAGACTGGAAGAAGGAAGAAAGAAACCCATTCCGATCTCCGGGAGAGGAGTCGACCCACTGCGGCGGAGAAGAGGAGAGGAGACGATCGTACCTAGAAGAGGAAGGGAAGAAGCTCCGGTGGCCGCCACCGACTTGGGGAGGAGGGCGGCGCGCGCGACTGTCGCGGGGGAGGCGGCTAGAGAGGCCATCTCTCTCTCTTCGCGGGAGGGCAGAGAAGGACGACGGAGCTCGGAAGAGGAGGGGGACTGCCAATGAAGGATATCCGAGCCCGGGAAGAAGGGAGGAAGGTTTATCCCGGAGAGAGGGAGGACGGAGATCTTCTGTAAAATCTGTGGCCAGAAACCAGGGGAGGAACGAAATATGAGCCGGATGCTGCGAGTGGCTTGCACGAGATCCTCATCCTTCTGCATCCAACCAGCTTCTTCCACGTGTAAAATAGCATCCGGGAGCTGGAACATGACCCCACTCCGCTTGCGGAGCGCTACAACTCTTATCCTCTTTAATTCCCGTCTTCTTTTTTCTCTGTGGGCTAAGAAGCCTTTCAGAATGATTTGGCAACAAACTGGAACTGGAGACGATTAAGAAAGTCTTATGTCCACACACATCGGCAATCAATTTCTTTCTTCCCCATATTTTTAATTACTATCTAACAAGTTCATCCTATGAACATAATTGGCGCATGTCTTTTGATTTGATGGGAATTTTGTGTGATCAAACAACTACTAGGACCATAGATTTATGATATTTGACAAAGTCCATGACAAGTTTATGTGGAGCTCTTAAAGTTTTAAAATATTTTCGACCAATGTGTTATGCCATTTGATAAAGCTTACAAAGAACATACACGTGAATTTTTCAAGATAAGCAAGCTTTTAAAAGGTTGTTGTAGTTGTCATATTTTCTACAAAGTTAATGCATGATCATTGACTTTTCATATAGTTTCAATAGTTCAACTAACTTATAATGAACTTTTGATGTATAAAACAATTTCGAGAAATGAGGGAGGCTCAAAATTTAAGCCCTAGATTGCTTGAAAGATGTGAAAGTTGTAGAACATGGATTTGAAGGTGTAGAATTCGTTCAAGAGCCATATCCAACGTTGCTTACATGGTAGATTGATTTATTTTTTTCTAGTTTTGATTGTCATCCAAGCATGAGACTGTTTCTGGATTTGCCTCCCAGATGTTGGTTTATCACAATTGTGACTATCAGATAGCCATAAAAAAGATCTCTATTGTTTGATATGCAAAATTCAATACGTAGCTTGTAGTGGGTTGACCTTAGTTGTGTGCACTCTATGGACTATTTGAAATATTGTATGCATTGAACTATTTTTTAATATTTACTAATTAAATATTTTTAATTAAATTCAACAGTGATTTTAATGATTCAAAATATTTATCTCTTTTTTTAAGGATTCATCTTTCTCATTAGTGTTCTAGGAGCATTAGACAAACCAAACACCATCATAAAAATTTATACATTCAATTTATTTTAAAAGTGGTATTCATTTCAGCATTTGGGTGTATTCTAATTTGATCTTAACCACTCTTTAGATCAAATTGTAAAAGAAAGCTTGATTAAGGAGCATATCATAAAGTCACTGTTAGAGTAGGAAATCTATATTTTACAATAATCTTATTGATGCCGTGATTGTATGCAGACTTGCAATCTATTATCTTTCTCTGGCACTAATAATAGTAACTACATTGGGAATAAGAAATATATATTTCACAATAATATTATTGATGACATGGATATCCAAACATATTTGAATGTAGAATCCTCCTCTAGCACCCATAAACTTATGGTCTCTTTGATTAGTCATTTTACCAATAGTTCCTTGACATGTTATTTCAAAGTTTTGTTCTTTTGATGATTCATTATATAATGTCGGTAGGAATAAAGTCGGTAGAATGCCAAATATCCCTTATAGGCAAAAGATTAGTAACTAAATTTCACAACATGGATATTTTGTAACAATTCAAGTATGGCATCCAAAAAACATGAATTCTTGCAATTCAAGTATGACAATAAAAAAATCATCTTCCACACAATACCTAATATTTTAGGTTTCCCCTGATGATAAAACACTTAATTTGCAATCAGTAAAAGTATTTAAAATTTGATAGTAGAATCAATATTTGATTTAGTGAGAAGTGAACAAGTAGTGTAGCCAATGTGATGTTTGGTGATCTAAACTCCTAACATATACATCAAATTATCTCTAAAGTGTAGCTGCTACATCAATGAATGTTTAATCCAAGTTGATTGAACTTTGAAGTCATATCGGCAGCAAAACATAGATTCCAAACATTCTCTCAATTGAGCTATTTTTTATTATTTATTTAAATATTATATTATTTTATGATAGTATAGAAGATGAACATCTATTTCACTCAATAGAGGTGCTACAAAGTTTATAGTAACATTACCTACATAAATTTTCTTTTTAAAAATGTAACTTTATGTCTAAAAGCTTGGTTTCCTTGGGACTTTAATCCACAAAAGAGATAAAGATTTATCAAGAGAAAGTTAAAGTCGATGCTATCAAAAAATAATTGACATCTAGTAAATATGGCCTTGGTGCATAATTTCTATGGATCAGCCTCTTCTTACTTTTGGTTTACTAGAATTTTCAATTCTATTATGGTATCTATCATTGGATATGTAAAGAAAGGAAAGAATACTCCAGAAGAAGAAGAAGAAGAAGAAGAAGAAGCTAGTATGAGATTTATGCTTATTAAAGAAGTATGATTTGTTCTCAAATTTTAAGAAATTTGAAGTTATGCTCATTGAAGAAGATTCATGCTTATTATGGTGATCATGTTTTTTGTGATTAGGTTGACAAGAATTATGTTAGAGCGTGCAGAAATCCCTCCCAATCGTTCATCGATTGACCCCACACTTGCCCCGTCACAAAAAACCTCTGAGCAGGGGCTGCCTGAGCTCTGGGCTTACATCGACTCCGGACGTATAAGCAGAGCGGTCTGATAGTGGAGAGCTCATTTGGGTTTGGCGGGCTGGTCCTGGATCTTGTCAAGGACGGAGGGAACATATGGAAAATCTTTTAATATAGACTTTCCTGTTCTCTCCTCCTTCGGCCATCCGGCTCTCCTCGGTCCGCCGCCGGAGCAATGAGCCATTTCCTCAACCTCTGCGTTCTGCGTTTTTATCGCCTTCAGAAGGTTTCCGTTCCGTCACCCTGTCGCCCATCATTCACTTCCAGTCGCTCCTCTCGCGGCCACGAGCCCTACTGGCTTCGAGATCGACCACTCTTTACTGGGTCATGCCCCACTCCCACAGCTGCTCGCTGAAACTCATCAGATGCTGAGAGCGTTCAATGCTTCTTCAAATGGTAGAAATTTCCCATAAACAGTTGGGTTTTTCGGACTCTTCTTACTGTTATCTCGTTTCATGTTATTCTCTCTAGACTGGTTTTATGTTTTCTCTTTAGAAGCGACCTGTGTGTAGTCTTTATCACGCAGAATTATCGAAATTCTCATCAGCTGGGAAGGTTAATTCAGTGTTAGCAGGGCGTCCCTTGTTCGCGTTTTCGTATCCTCTTGATTCCCATTCACAAGACATGGACTCGGTCAAAAGACGAGTGGTTTGGTGGTCTTCCTGGACCTCATATCCTCACTGCAAGACTGGATTTCCTCTTCTGTCCTCTTGTAGGTTGCAGGTCATCTTCGCCCTCTAGTTGTTAAATTATGGCTCCCCAAGTTGTTTGGATGATGATCAGCTGCTCTCGAACAATTTGAACCTTCTCTTGTGCCAGACATGAAGTTCCCCAGGTGGCTTGGATACTGATCAGTTGCTCTCGAACATTTCGAATCTTCTCTTGTGCCAAACATGAAGCCACCCAGTCTGTTCCAGGCTCGTCAAATCTCCGCCCAGCACATCCGTTTTCCTCTTGGTTATGGAGTAGAAGGAGTGGTGGGTAGAATCTATCGCTGTATTTGTAGCATTTCAGAGTCGCCCGAGATCCCTGCGTGGGTTAAGCTCTCTCAAGGAGAGAACTCTCTTCCTGAGGACTTGGAAGACGATTTTGTCGTCCCTTCAAAAATGGATATTTTGAAAGACAAACCAGGTTCATGGAGAGGACGTGACAGTGAATCTGCCCAGTCCAACGTTGTTCCGGTTGACGAATCCAGAGTCAATGATAACTTTGATCTGCTGAATACTATTCTGACTTCTTCCAAGCTCACCTCCGTTGAGGAAGTTTTCCGAGCTCTAGATGGTTGCTCAATCAGTGTCTCTGCACATTTAGTTAATAAGATTCTCAGGAGATTTGCTAACGATTGGGTTTCTGCCTACGGATTCTTCAAGTGGGTTGCGACCACTCAGTCTTGCTATGAGCATTGTTCGGATTCCTTTGACTTGATGGTTGACATTTTAGGAAAGTCAAAGCAATTTGATGCAATGTGGGGCCTGGTTGAGGAAATGGGCCATGAGAAATTGGTATCTTTGGCAACGATGAGTAAGGTCATGAGAAGGCTGTCTGGTGCTGGTAGATGGAAGGATGCTATAGAGACATTCCATAAGATAGAGAAAATTGGTTTAGAAAAGGACACCATGGCTATGAATGTCTTGCTAGATACGCTGTGCAAGGAGAGGAGTGCCATGCGTGCCAGAGACTTCTTTTTTGAGGTGAGGGAATCCATTCCTCCTGATGCTACCACTTTCAATATCCTAATTCATGGATGGTGCAAAGCTAGGAAGCTCGAAGAAGCACGGTGGACCATGGAGGACATGAGAGAGTCCAGGTTCATCCCCTGTGTGATCACATACACTTCACTGATTGAGGCGTACTGTATGGACAAGAATTTCAGGGCAGTCAATGCCACTCTGGAAGAAATGAAATCAAATGGGTGCTCTCCTAATGTGATCACTTACACAATTGTGATGCACTCATTGGGGAAGGCGAAGGAAACCCAAGAGGCTCTGCGGGTTTATGAAATGATGAAGAGAGATGGTTGTGTGCCCGACACATCATTTTATAATTCCCTGATTTATATTCTTGGTAGTGGTGGGCAGCTACGGGATGCCTTGTCCATATACGAGGAGATGCATAGAAATGGAAGCCCACCAAATGTGATCACATATAATACTTTAATTTCTTCTGCTTGTGTTCATTCTCAAGAAGAGAAGGCTCTGAGTCTACTTCTGAAGATGGAAGAGAGTTCCTGTAAGCCTGACATCAGGACTTACTCTCCCTTACTAAAATACTGCTGTAGAAGGAAGAGGACGCAGTTGCTGTACTTTCTCTTGGGTGACATGCTCAAAAAAGACATCAGCATTGACCTTGGAACCTATACTCTTTTGGTGCAGGGACTGTGCAGAAATGGAAAGCTACATCAATCGTGCTCATTTTTTGAGAAAATGGTGCTCAAGGGATTCATTCCTTGGGAACATACATACGAGATGCTGTTGAAAGAGCTTGAAAGAAAGAAACTCAACGAAGAAAAGGAAATTATTATAAAATTGATGGCACGAGCAGTGGAGCAGAACTCATCTGGTTATCATTATGCTCGGAAAAAGAATCAAACTGGCTAAAGTCTGGGTTCAGGCATCAGACAATGGAAATCTGATCCATTACCTTGCAAGTACTTTGTTTTCCTATAGTCACATCCATTTGACGAAGTATGAGTGATTGCAACGAGTGTGTTTTGTCGACCAGATATGAAGATTCCAAGTGCTCAGATTCGATTTACTCAGGTTGGAGGCTTTTTTACTACTTCAGCTTGAAATGATTGGAAACCTGAAGTGATGCTAGAATGTTCTAATCACGAGTAATTTACTTGATGAAAAACTGATAGTGACTACCTATAATTTAGTTTTCTTGCAGAAACATGGCTCTTTATAAAACGTTAAAAGGTTTCCTCAGAATCCTGTATGATTCTTTTGTTTCGTGGGTAGGAAAAAATCTAGGCGGCTTCCATATCAAAGGAATAGTTAGTAGATTCTTCTTAGCCTACCGTATTATTTTGGATGAAGAAATCTTTAAATTGGCTGTTTTTGGTCTGTTTTTTTTCTTTCCACGAGTGTGGATATTGGGGTGGTTGCACTCTCATACATATTTATCTTAGATCATATGTTAAACTATTAAATATGGTGCCAGCCGTGATAAGAAAATAAAGAAAACAAGAAAGCAAAGTTTAATTACCGATCACAGATGATTGTTTATCATTTAAAGGATTCTATCTCCATAAATCCATATTTCGGTCACTTCAAGAAAGATAGGTATTTAAGTGAACTGGATATTGTATAATGTGTATTTTAGCCTGTTTTTGAGACTGCCTCCCATCTATTTATCAATATCTGGTTCTATGGTTCCTTAGAACTTTACTCATTGGTAGAACTATCCTAATCGCCAGGATTATTCGCTTCGGGATTGTTCACCTTCGTATCTATTTTTTTCACTGGTCATGCATCTTCTTTGGAGGAATCTCTGTTGCTTCTTTTTCTCGTAGAGATTAACTGAGTCATGAGACTGTTGGTTTCAATTCTTTCACTGAAGTGTCTCCATCAAGTTTTGGCCTTGTTTTCTTTATGCTTGTTTTTTAGGATAAAGCTGGTGACGTTGCAATGAGTTAGTCCAAAGGAAGCCTTCGATAAGGTTGTTCTCGCTTCGTGTGATACCTCTAAATTCGACAATTTTCGCTTGTGTTTATTCCAGTGCTATGGTTCTAAACAATTCTTTTTAGTAAGCTATGGATTACTGCAGAAAATGGATTGCTTTCTGTTAATATTTCCAAATAGGCTTGAAAAATGTCAAAAATTTAGCATATGTTTGCATTGTCTAAGGTGGCACACCCAACTTTTTATCTAGGAGCCAAAATTAAGACGAATTGACTCATCATTATTTGCTATTTATTATCTACAAGCTTCTGTATCCTAGCTTATTAGTATTTCTCTCCTGAGTCAACCACATGATTCCCCTGTTTAAACCTTATTTGTTACTCAGGTCGGTCGGCTTTGGATCAATGAGCTCACTTTGACAGCAATACTACTGGAAAACCTGCTTTCTGAAACCCACACTGCCCTTTATTCGGAAATGTAATGCCCTGAGGTTTAGGAAGAGTCCCAAAAGTATCTATAGATTCTCACAGCTTGGAATTGCTGATGCAGCTGACTTGCAATGCTTTAATTATCAAATCAAGGCTACAGATCAAAGCTCAGGAAGAGAAGTTATCAGTGTATGATATGATTCCTTGCCCTATTCTTCTAGCTTCTGATGTATCGGCAAAGTATATGAAGCCTATGGGCCATCACTTTTGATTCCCATTCAATTTTAAATGTATATAAATATACGGATATTAGACGAACTGAAGTTGAATTTCTTTGCAGGGGGATGCCATTGAACTTTTATGAAATGATTTTCACAAGATTAAACCAAGCACCATATTCCTTTTTTGAACACACTTCTTGCAATAGCCAAAGAAACCCTTTCCATGCTAAGCCTTCTGGATTTGATTTCTGAGTGCTAGCTTCATCTTGCGAAGTGGAAAAAATAATAAGGTGATTTCTCATCCAGAAAGGGAATGGGTTGGCATTATCATCTTAGAGTCATAGATTCACCTTGATAAGTAGATCGGTATATACTTATATGGACATTGTGTACCATACTATTATTATGTAAGATTTCATTATCAGGACAAGTCACTCAATATCATGTCTATGTTGGTTCTTTGCACCCCTGATATTCTATTCGAGGCAAGAAACCCTTACCTACTTTTTTATATATCTGTGTTTATATGATAATATATTTCCTTATTTTCTGTTATATTGAATCTAGCTTTGTTGAATTGGGAAATACAATTCATTTTACGTAATTTAAGTACATTAATTAATAATACTAAGATACCCAGATATGCATTAAACTAATAGTTTTGATTTATTTAATTTTTAATATTTGTACATGTTAAAAATAATGTAAAATGTGGTTAATACCATATTTATGTTTTTGTATGCATTTTTCCGATGAGTACATTTTATATGCTAAAGCAATGTTAATACATTTTGAGTTTGAATGGAAACTAGAGCAACATCAACCAAGGTTTAAAGAAGTTAAGAGGGATTCATGATTGGTTTCTTTCTCTCCTAAGTTTTCTCAATGCACAATTTAAGACCCATGGCTTCCCATAAACTACGATAGCGACAGAGAAACCATCAAAGCTATGGAGCTATGATGTTTAGTTGATGATGTATAATTGTGACTATCAAGCATGAGATAAGCTGATCAGTTGTGACTAAATCAAGAAATAAATTATTTTGTGATTTACATCCCAATTAATTCAATCAAGTAGTGATTTATGAAGTACATCAAGATTGTGAAAAAGCGAGAAGTCCCATATAAATAACCAGCTAGAGATACATTAATTATTAAAAGTCAAAGCCAGAAAATCTATTAGAGATACGTGATAAGGGTTAGTGGTATAACTCCTCTTACAACCTACTTAAACAAAAAAAATTATTGTAATCTTGAGCTTGGTCGAAAGATTGAGACATTTTTCTATGGCAAGAATATTATTTCCTTTGTGAGGAAAGTCAACTATATCCTTGGCACTTCTTATTTTTAGTTTCCAACATTTGTTAAATTGACTTAGCCCAAGTGTTTATCAATAGTGACCGATGAACCAATAATTACAGTGATTTGTAGTTGATTTTCATTTGATATTTGATAGTTTTTGTCACCTAATTGACCTACCTCACAGTGGTTCCCACAAAATCATCACCATGCCCAAATTTTCTACAGCAAGTTGCATGCCAAATAATATATTTTTTAATCTTTTTGTGCTTATCTACTAGTGCACTAGTTGACTATCTCATCATGTTGGAGAACACCCATATGCTGCCATTGACATCTATGCTGAAGCTTGCATTGCTCTTAGAGCCATGGTAATATTTGTAATCTCAATCCCTCAAAATCTTCACATGGTGGTGTAATTATGAGCAGAAGCCCTCCACTTTATCACCCAACAATAGCTGAGGTGAAGCCTTCAATTTTTGGTCATTCTAGCCTTCCCATGTAGTCATTAGCACATGCTAACTATTACTTTGGTCTATTTTAACTCTAACTCTAGATGAGAATATTTATCAATATAAATTCATCCTTTTTTTTTTTTTCAACTAATTACTGTCCACACTAAAGAAAATTGTCAACCTTTGAACCAATTAGTCACTCGGCCATGATAATTGATACTTTGGTCTATTTTAATTATAGAAGAAAATATTTATCAATAGAAATTTATCCGATTTTATTTAATTTTTCCAACTAATGACTGCCCACACTGAAAGAAAATTGCCAACCTTTGTGCCAATTAGTTAGTAGACCATGCTAACTAATACTTTGATCTATTTTAACTTTAACTTTAGATGAAAATATTTATCAATATAAATTCATCCGATTTGTTTTTATTTCTTCAACTAATGACTGCCCACACTGAAGAAATTTACAAACATGTGTGCCAATTAGTTAGTAGGCCGTGCTAACTAATACTTTGATCTATTTTAACACTTAACTCTAGATGAAAATATTTATCAATATAATTTCATTCGATTTATTTATATTTTCAGCTAATGACCACCTGAAGAAAATTGTCAATCTTTTTGCCAATTAGTCACTAGACCATGCTGATTAATACTTTGATCTATTTTAACTCTAGATGAAAATATTTATCAATATAAATATATCGGATTTATTTATTTTTTCAACTAATGATTGGCCACACTGAAGAAAATTGCCAACCTTTTTGCCAATAGTTTAATTCTATTAATCAATCCGAATTTTCACCAAAAATTAAGAGGAGGTGAAGAAGACCTGGCCTAGCAGCGTGTGTATGTAGCCTGAGTGGACCAACTAGAGTGATCGAACTTGGACCGCCCGGTTCAGCGCCTCTTCGTGCTTCTTTTGCTTATGCCCCAAGCAGCCGTGTGGCCCTTTGGAGCTTCTTCCCCTCGCTGCCTCGTCCCGCACGGCGCACACTGCACCAGAGAGATCCGAGCCTAGAGAGAGAGAAACGGAGGAGAAAGGGGGGGCACAAGGAAGCGGAGAGAGATGGAAAGCGTGTTCGGGTTGGTGGGGGATGGCTTCGCGGTGGTGGCGGCGGACACATCGGCCACGAGCAGTATCCTCGTCCACAAGACCAACGAGGACAAGATCATGAAGCTCGACTCCCACAAACTCCTCGGCGCCTCCGGCGAGCCCGGCGACAGGTCGTTCCTGAAACCCTAGCACACTCTGGCCCTCTTTCCGAATCGCCCTTCGATCACGGCCTCGGTGGGTTATGGTCTATGACCGTAGGTTGTGGTTTCTTCTGTTTCCAGAGTCCAGTTCACGGAGTACATTCAAAAGAACGTTCATCTGTACCAGTTCCGCAATGGCATTCCCCTCACCACCGCCGCTGCCGCCAACTTTACCCGCGGCGAGCTCGCCACTGCGCTCCGCAAGGTGCCCGGATTTTCAGCTTTTCATTCTTTCTTTTTTCTAATTGATATTATCTTGTCCTTCGTTTTCTTTTATAGATGCCGCATGTGTTAATTGTATCTGTGTTTTTTCCACCTATTTATGCAACCGTATGTGCATTTGGATACTGGGTTTTCATATTCGCTGTTCTTTCGCTTGTGGCCTTTTTGAAAAAAGGGAGAAAAAAGCGCGACTTGTGGCGCTTTTCTTTGAGTTTCGCTTGCGGGTTTTTAGGGCAAGTGATGGTAATTTCATGGAAAGGAGAGGGTCACGTTCCATCTCTCGCCATTCAGAAGTGTTTAATTTCATCTCATCTGGATTACTTTTGTAAAAGCCCCCAAACAGACGCTCACTTGTCTGGCTAACTTTGGTTTGATGATCTTTTTGTCCCATGTTCAGTTAGTGATTTAAGGTGTCACTCCTAGCTCACATTAGTGATCATGGACTTGGGAACCTTGTAGTCTTTGTTATCCACTTCTTTTTACCTGCGGGAAATTAGTCCTCACATCATGTATTTTCCTTCATAGAACATAACCACTGATAAATGACTTGATTCTTTTGATCTTATTAAGCTATATACGCTAAAATCCGCACTTATGCTCGTGGCTGTTGTTTTATATCAAGCGAAGGAACTTTTATAACTGAAGCATGGCTGCTTGACATTAATATCTTGCACTAATGACTTTTATCCTTCGTGGAAAAGAGCATCTTGTAAAAGAATTCTCCAATCGAGATAAAAGAGGTCTAATTCATGCATCCCTTGACTGACACTAAGAGCACTTCAATGACCATTTTTATAGCGAAAAAATGGACTTCCCATCATGCCGGGTTAAAGTCATGATGACTGTTCCCGATCATGCCGGATACTTATTTGGATTCAGCAAAAAGATCCCAAGTCGATGGTAATAAGCTTACATTTGTGGATTTTACAGTGTGAGGAACTGCCATCTAGGGTCTGGCAGGGGGGAAACTGAAGAGCCCTTTGTCAGAATGTAATGTTGGAAATGGAGAAGGGAACCTTTTTTGCTATTGTAGGACCAGTAATTGTGGTTTTCCTCGATTTAGTTTTGTTTTGTGTGGAAGATGCTGAAAATTTAAACTACCTATGTAATCCTGTCTCTCGTTCAGCATGTGCCAAATTACTTAGACACAATTTTAGGGTTTTGAAGTCCACGTACGTGTCAACAGAAATCTAATGCCAGGCTTGATATCATGTTGGAGACTTGCGAAGGCAAAATCTAACTATTTTGGAAAATCAACGATCACCTTATTCATCTGTCATGTACATTATTTAGTTGACTTATCCTGATCCATATGTAAATGGATGCATGTGCGTGCACAAATAGGCGTTCGTATAAGTAAAATATGTCTTATTTTAATGTTTTTCTCATAAGCAAGCATGTGTTTAAGCACATTTGGCTGGCATATCGATTTTCAAAATATTGGTGGTGGTGTTAATCTCATAAATGTATGTAGGCTTACTGAATTCTAAATTTATGTGCACATTAAATTATCCCACACACAACATTCAAAAATTTTCTGCTACACCTGTTGCCTTCAAATGCTAATCGTTATTAAGTCCTCCTTCTGTGAGTACTTTACATTTAAGTTCTAGTTATCAGGAACGAGAGAAAAAAATTCTCATGGGTTCTGACTGACGGTTCAACATATTTTCTACGATTTGGTCATATGTGACATAAGTATTGTTACCTCACCATATCCGATTGCTAGGTGGCTACTTTGGGTCACAAGGTGGTGATTACAAAGATGAATTTTAAAGCCATTGGGGCTGTACAATCTCCGTTGATGTGCAGATCTGAAAATATGGTTGACTTTTCGGACTGTTGCTAATATATGCCATCAATTTGTGAAGTCAATTAACAAGATTTCGACAATATATGAAAAAATAATGTGCTCTTTGTTAAGGCTTTTTACCTTAATTTAAGAGGCTTGCAAAGTGAAGCTGCCTAGTTCTCAATTGCCTTTTGTGATCTAGATAGCGAAACTGAGGTACCCAACTTCTCTGTTAGGAAATGTGGTTGCGTTGGATACCAGGTAGCCCAGAAATTTATTTTTCTTGAGGGCTGATGTTGAAAACCTTGAAGCATTGAAATGATCCACATATATTGTACATTTCTTACCCTCTGACTCTACAAAATAAGAGAAAGATAGACAAGTCACCCTCCTTTTCTCATTGGCTTTAAGCCATTTTTGGTGAAATTCGACATTGCAATCAACTTTTGCTTCGAGAATGCTGGCAACCCTGAAGCATCTTCGAATGATTGACATATGTCGTAGATTTCTCACCATCTGATTAAACAAAAGAAGAGAGTGATGAACTAGTCACTCTCCTTTTGGGGAAATTCCAAATTGTAGTCAACTTTTGCTAGTGTGTAATTGATAAATTGTCCTCTCTCTCTCTCTCTCTCGCTTTCCCTCTCTCTTCTTTCCCCATTTAGATACTGCTTGTCTTCCTCCGATCTCTATACCAACAGCGAGAATTTGAGCCCAGCGGTTGCTCCTTTCTCTTCCATGGCTTTCTTCTTTACCATACTCTTGTCAGCTTATTGGGGGTGGGTTATCATTAGTGTTCCGAAGATCCACATTGGACGAAGCCATTGTAATCAATCTGTTATCATTCAACTGTAAGAAACATTATATTTCATTCGAACTCTAAAGGTTTTAACCAAGAATTGTGCGATTCTCCTAACCAAATGATAAAAAGTAGCACATCAAAGGAGTGGAAAAAAAAGGAAATAATTACGAAGGAAAAATAACCCAAAAAGTTGAAAAAAAATGAATAAATCATTGACATAGATAGGCTGGAAGAATTTGAATCATCTAAACAAATAACTTTAGGCTTGCCTCAAGCAATGAAATCCTGGTTCGTCAGCATAGAGGAGCTTGGACGTAGAGATATTCCACGTGAAGGTGCTCTTTATAATTAGATAAATGACTTTGGAATGTTTCAGGTTTAACCATTGGATCTATTCTCAACATCCCGGAAAGGGCCACTTTTTTGTGGATACTAGTACCTCCATTGTGCTTCTTAGTTTGGATGCAAGGAGAAGTTATGGAGTGATTCTCATCTCCCTCTCCACAATGGACATTGCATTGTAGTAAGTGGGGAGTGGGCATATGCTGATACATTGAGAGTTGATTGTCTTGATAAAGAAAAGTCTTATAGTTTATGTCAGCAAAGTAGTCAAGGAGGGAAATGGGAACAGGTATCTGAGCAATCCATTCTGATCTTAATTTGGACTGCAGCAAGCATGGCATGTTCGATGATGAATAGTGACTAATTTTTTTTCTTAAAGATTGAAAAAATGAAAAAACTTACTGTTTGTTGAATTTTAAAACTATATAAAAATTGTAATGTACATTGGCTATTTACATTGGAGAGTGGTTGGATGGTATTGTTGTTGTTGGTTCCGGGCTCTGCTTTTTTACCTTGAATTTTGTTGAAAAGCATGAGTAAATCATCCCTGCCCTGCTTTGATGAAGAAAAGGATAAAGCAAGAAAGGGGTTCTTCCCAATCGTGGGATTGATCTTGACAGACTTTCTGGCTTTAAGTGATTGACCCATTTCTCCGGTTTTTTTGTCATCTACCCTTGTGTATGTCTACTTCCTCAATACGTTTCATGACATTTAATGTTTAAAAGAAGAAATAATCATTTTATTTTATCTTTGACTCAAAAGCGAAGTTTGTAGTGTTGGGAAAATGTCAAATCCTACTAGACGTGGATTCGTTTTCTCTGGCACATGCAATAGAGATATGTCTTGACATCAGACCGTCAAGAGTGCATGCTTTTTTCTATTTCGTTGGAATATTCCTCTCTGCGGAGCGTTCTCTACAAACTGCATTTTCAGATAGTGATTTCCCTCCCCCTGCTCGGGGAACCATGGTCAAGTTAGATTCTATTACAGTAATTTCCATTGAACTCATTTCCTGCCTTTTGGCCAACACAGTAAATGGTTTTTAGACCTTCCTTGCAGATTTTTCCATAACTTTATTTTTTGTTTTTGCCTTCACGTACGGGAACATGTACATATGTACACTAATTTATCATTTTTTCTGCTTTATCTGAATAAGATCATATTCTGCAACTCGTAGATATCCTCTGCAGATTCAAAGAAAACGAAGGCGTAAAGAAGGTTTTTCCAAATGTAGTTGTTGTGCCATTATTTCAAGGGGTTATATATAGAGTCAGCATTACCTGAGCAATCCTCCTTTTCATCATCCTCATCATTGCTAATACTGAACATCCTCAGGCCATTTCTTTGAGACCACTGTAGTTCCACAATTATTGTGGAACTATCCAATAATTGTGTTCCACTATTACGGACTAATAGCAAGAGCAATAATCAAATCCTTTTAAGCTTTTTTAGATTATCATTTTTCTCATGAACGTATAATGTCTTCAAGATCGTTCTCTACCAAGACAAGTCTGGTTAATAAGTTAATATCGCTTGTTTCCATCTTTATTTCATTATAGTGATATTCGACGGTGATAATATATCTATACTTGGTGCTTGGGAGGATGTAGGTGTTCAAATAGGCGTTTTCAGTCTCTGAAGACGCTGCTATTTCTCTAATTTGTGTAGCATGTTAAAAGCTATTGCGTTGAATCAAAATATTTTTGACAGATAATTATCCGACCTGTTTTAGTTATTTGGCTGTGGCTTAACCACTTCATTTCAGCTCTGTTATTCGTTGACTTTGCCAATCATTTATTAACCAGTGAGAAACTACTTAACTCTGGCTTCATGGTCTCCAGAACCCGTACAATGTGAACCTTCTAATGGCTGGTTACGACAAGGGCATTGGGCCGTCCCTGTATTTCATCGACTACCTGGCTACTCTGCACAAGGTGGAGAAGGGCGCCTTCGGGTACGGATCTTTCTTCTGCCTCTCTCTCATGGACAGGTACTACCACAGCGGCATGTCCCTGCCAGAGGCCATCAAACTGGTGGACGAGTGCATAATGGAAATCCGGTCGAGGCTGATCGTTGCGCCGCCCAATTTCCTGATTAAGATCGTCGACAAGGACGGCGCCAGAGAGTATGCATGGAGGGAGTCCATCAAAGAGGCCTAGCAACCTGCTGCAGCCTGAGCTCCTCCTCTTACTTAGGCTGGTTATATCTTCTTGACAATCGCAGGCGTTTCGGTCTGGTTCGTACTCTTTTTCAAATCTTTCTGTGCTGTTTGTTCGTTGTTGCTGGGGTTTCATATGCCCCGGCGAGGTTCTGTATCGTTTCTCCGCCGTCATAAATGTAGACGATTCACATCATGTGTGCCCTTTTGATTGTGCTGCGTTTACCTCTAGACAATACCTGCGGCTGGGTCAGCCGCTGCCCGGTGGAGACTTTGACTTTCGCAGGCCCCAGCTTCCGGGCTTTCTTCGGCCGACCCCGATCTATAGACTGGTCTGTCCACATCGTCACACCTGGGCAGTTTATCAGATGTTTCTATTTTTTATGCCGTTGACTTGTGTCTCAGAATTTCACGCAATGGCGCCTTAGTGATAGGCCACCCCTCCCGTTGGAGACGAAGTCAAAGTTTTGACAATGGTCGTCGAGATGCGTCAGGGCGATTGCCAAGTTCTTCTGACAAAACATTAAAGTCGACGACTTTACTTCATTTCTGATCGAGTGTGGGATCCCTGGCGTTGGCGCTCGGCCGACTAACGCTCCTTACTAATAGAGACCATCTACTCCACCACCGTATGTTGATCAAATTATTGTCACCCAAAACCAATATCCTTGGATTTTTTATTTATATTCACGCAAGAACAATAAACCGATAATGCGAACATGAAAGCCTGTGGGCTTTGCCTCATACGGAATAGAAGAGCAAAGAATGCAGGAAGAGGAGCGACTGTCGAAGGAACAAGGAGGGCGAAGTCCGCCCCTGGGAGAGGGAGCAGACAGACGTCGTCTCAGACGGCGACGAGGCCGGCCACTGCGCCGACGAGGAGGAAGAGGAAGCCCACAGAGAATGTCGCTTTTCCGAAGCTCCCATTTTCGAGTACGTTGGTTGGAGGGCTCTGGCTTCCCGCGCCGCCTGGAGAGGCCGACCCACCTGCAGACGAGACACAGATTCATATTTCCTCCTGGCGGCAATTCGTGCAGCGAAAAATCACGGCTTTTTTACCTTGAGGCGGCGAAGGAGATGTGGTGTTAGTTGAGGGGGCTGTCGTAGTAGTCGGTGCTGAGGCAGCTGCAACAACGGAGGCGATCGTTAGAAAGCACTGTTAAGAGATGGGTAGGCACTAAGGAGGGTCCGGCTGGGTTTTCTGGGCAGGTCTGGGGGCTTGTTAATCTGAACTTGAGACGTGGGTTTAGTGGAGTCTCACCGTTGCAGTTGCTCGCCGGAGGGGTCTCGACGTTGCAGGCGCCGGGAAGCTGGAGGGCCTGCGTCTGGTTGACTGTGACGCCGAATTGGGAGGCCCCGCCATTGAGGACCTGGCAAAGGCACAGCGGCGATGTCTTGACGACGGAGGCGAGCCCCCCGCAGCAGCTGCTCGAGGGCGTGGGGTCGACGCCGGTGATGTATCCCAGGCAGGAAGCGAGGCTGAGGATGGACGCCGTGCAGCCGCTTGTTTGCGCGCTCGCTTCTCTGAAGAAAACGGCCGCCACAATGGCTAGGGAGGCAGTCACCGCGAACAGTGTCCTGGGGGCCATGGTTTCTCGGAGAAAGGGGGAATAAGAGAAAGAAGAGTATGCTGTGGGCTGTAAGAGGAGTTGCGTTGCACCTCTGGGGGGGGGTCTCTCTCCTCTGTAGGTTGCGTCTGGGTTGAGTTGGCTCTGATATCAAAGATGTTCAGAGTGCCTGATTTTATAGCAGACTGAGAGAGATAGGGTCGGGGGGAGTGGAGGGAGAAAGAGAGAGAAAATAATGGAGACTTTGGAGAGAGTAATGTTGGTGGATGGGCAGATTCAGGTCGATGAGTTAGAGAAGAAGAGATATGGGCAGATATGGCCATGCATCGTAGGTGACCAACTTCGTCCTACTTAACAGTTTTTGAAATAAATAAGAGAGAGAGGGAGAGAGGGGGGGGGGGTTTCGAAGTTTTCAATGAAGACCCCACAAAACAGAGAATGGAAAAATTCCGGTTTGTTACGGCTGTCTGTTCTCACGTCCGAATTCCATACTTCCGCTTTGAAATGTTCTCACAGCTTTCAACATCTCCCTAAGGAGCCCAAACCCATGATAACTATCGATCTTCCCTTCCATTCTGGTCTGAGGGGCCGGTTGGAGGGTGAAGCCATCGACCTCACCTAACGACAGCGATTTAACAACGACACAGAATATTATTTCTCCCCCTTTCTGGTCACACACAGTGCCAAAAGACTCAGAAAACACGCTAACGAACATTTAACCTACTATCCAACTTGCACCCTCTCTCTCTCTCTCTCTCTCTCTCTCTCTCTCCACGCTCATATACGGATTAAAAGACAGTAAGAGGATCCTGATAGGTAACTTGCGTCATCTTTACCCACCCGCCCAACCGACGACCGGCTGCTGGCCTCGTGCTCACCGGAGGTTGACGAGAGGTTTAATAAATTCAAACAGCAGGACCGAGGGCTCTTAACTGCACATCCCCTCCACGCAGCCTGACTTCGGTATTTCTTATTTATTCACGAACTTGAAACTGGCCATCGGCGAATAATATTTCATCAATCCACAAAAGGAACATCTGACGATCATAAAATCTCGTTATTCTAATTCACCTCAGTTAAGGGAACCTCTGACTTGTTAGAACCTGTGTTTTCTTGTCATAGAGATGTCCAGCTGCCACTTAAAGAGGCAAGCAATCTCTCCCCTCCTGCACCATCTCCTCCTGTCCTCTTTCGAACATGTTGACAGGGGAGCTGGCCCCCACCTCGTTAGCAACCTCATCGTAAATGACACACAAAAGTGATGTGGAAGTCGGACAACCCTAACGAGGTGTGCGCCTAGGCAAAAGTGTCCCAACCCTAATTGGCCCTGCTATATATATCACTGGAATGATATCAGGAAGCCCATGATAGGCTGGAGGTATCACCAGCCACGCTGTTTGGAAGCCCAACATGGGCCACCCTAGGAGATTCCTTTAGCCTTCTATGTGTTATGATAACTCAAGGAAGACAGATTGTTTCGGCTATGGCCTGGTCCATCAGACTTAATAAATCTCTGGTCCTGATAACCATATCTAGAGTCACCAACCCAATTGGGCTTCTGGAATGTCAAATATGTGCTTTATATTTACTTGCACAAAATAATTTTCTCATATTATGATTTACACAACCATATTTCATACAATTAACTAGACCCAGTGGACAACTCATCTACACCCTAAAGGAAGTGGCTTGCAACCATACTTTACTTGGTTGCAGACTACAATTAAAAATAAAAAATAAATACACAATATTAAATTTAGGCCACACTTAGATAAAAAAGAAAAGGTTGAATTGTTTTGATTCTAGTTTTTGCCTTTGATGAACTGTAATAATTTCTTTGATCCCCTTTGTTTGATCCTAAATCTTATGACTTTCTTAAGATTTGAAGCACAATATGATTTTTATATTTGTTCACCCCCCTACCAAGATCTAACTATTAAGAACAACTTGTTCTTCATTTCCATTTAACCAACTATTTAGCAAAAGTCTTGTTGATTACAGGGATCAGTTACCTTAAGTGATTAAATAAATATTTAATCACAATTTTTTTCCAATAAGATTAGGAAGAATTTTACCATGGGTTATGTTCAAAGGTAATTTGTGACTTGAGGTTCATTCTAAAATTCAATGAAAAGGATGATGAATTATAACTTGATTTTCTTTATCACCATCTTGATGGGAAACTAGCTCATTTAAGAAGGGATTGACACTTCAATCAGGCTGAGGAAGATCATGTATGAATTGAGCATTGTTCTTCAACTCACTGCCTTTTTGTCATTTGATCAGCTACGAAGACCGCTCAATCTTCTATAAAGTTATTTGCATAAAATGTTAGCATTGATCTTGAGATGGTAGAGGGGTCACATGTGATTATTTAAAACTCATTAACCATTTGAGAGGTAACTAATTTATAAAGAATTTTGATTGCAAAACGTATTATTTATTTTTTTGGCATCTCTCACTGTTAACATTGTAAACTTCTATTAAAAATTCTTCTATTTAACATTCTTTACTTTTAAAAAATAGAAAACATTATTTTTTATTGTGATAATGGTTTTTGAAATTTTAATGATCAAAAACCAACATGATATGACTTTTAAGGGTTTGGATATTGTCTAAAATAAGTCAACGTGTTATTTTTAATCATAAATCTATAATTCCGAACCTAATCAGTTCAAATAAATCTTGTAAGGATCCTTATCATTGAAAAATAGTTGAAATGCATCTTGAAATAGAGTAATTATTTCTCATTTAAAATTTATCTAAATCACCTCAAATAATTCACGAATGTCAAATAGATACATTGAAACATGATCTCAATATGTAAAATCATAACTTCAATTATATAATATAATTTAAAATCTTTTTTCAAGAAATATTTTTTAATTCTTAGAAAATTCTGAAGGGCATTTTAAATGGTTTATATTGCATTGATTAATTTGATATCAATACAAAATGAAAGCAATGATTTCATGCTCATATTTAGCTTAAGGAATTTTCATTGATTTTGAGCTGATAACATCACTTTTCAACAGTGGCTGTTTTTGTAAATATTAGCAATTCTCACATCAGAAATCAAAGGAACAATTTTAAGTAGTGAAATCAATTAAATTGGAGAACTCAATATTATCAGATTCAAATGGATTCGTTGAATTATTATTTATAAACTTAATACAATTTTTTATTCATTATTAATTTAAACTCAATTAATTTCATGCTCATGTCTAGAAGAATATTTAACCAAAGTTCATGAAAAGTGAGAAGTTAGCATAACTAGATCCATTCATTGGTTTTCTGTCTGTTTGTCATGATTAAAATATTATTTACTTAATAGTTCAATAGTCTCCTCCCTTTTGGGGATGAGAAAATCGTAAGACCATGTCACGAAGATAAATCGATTATACTTTTTAAAAATCAGTTTCGGATTTATATCATTTCATAACAACATCACTTGCTGGAATCAATTTCTATCAAAATGTGAGTACATGTAACCTCAATAACCACATCCATCAAATAGTAAACTAAAGAAAATAATCTTCTGGTTCAAGACATTCTTATCAAACGTTTATTATCTGTTCTTATTAAATTTCAGATAATTGTCAGATTTTTCTGGTGGATGAGATTTGTCTAGGTAATTTTTTCTCCACTAAGATCAACTAGAAAGTATAATAGCAGACAGGTGATGACCATGCTTTGAGGAATTGTGATTAACTAAATTTATAGGTTGATCATGTGTGACATGAAACACAAGAAAATAATTAGTGTTCAAAGGAGGGAGAAGAATTTTTGAAGATATTTGATAAATATCCTTCCATAAACATGCTAGGTAAGGTGATAAAGATTTCAAGGTACATAATTCAAGATTTATAAGACGTCAACTATGATCCCACTGGTAATTGGGTAGATGTTGCCTCTAACATGTGTTAAAAAATTGCTGTTGGAGAAGCATAGGTGGTCAAAAAATTTGTTTGCTAGTTTTGGATGAACTCGGCACCGAGTTGTAATATGGTGTAACTACCCTATTTTCTGACTATAATATAGGATGATTTGTGAGATCTCAAGGGTGATATGGCAGATAAAAGGCTGTGGGGTATGTCCCCACTGCTATTCACACACTGAATTGGTCTCCCAAGAGACAGATTTTTCTGCCAACCACTACTGATGAGAAACAAAATCAGATCCTAGCAACCATCATTCGACAAGACAGGCATATCTTAAAGATGAACACATGACTGGTCTGAGAGAATGTTAAATATTCATATGAATAAATCCTCCGTATATCAGGCATTGAGGGACTCACTGTGAGAACATGAAAGGCAATCAAGTATGAAGATAGCATCTCAAATCAGTCTTCTTCCAGGTTGATGGAATCCTTGAACTTGCCATAGAGGATCTTCTTCAGACCTGCCATCTGTGCGACCACGGATTCCTTCTCCACCTCCAGTCTCTCCAGTTGCTTGGTGGCATCTTCTTTCATGTTCTCTAGTCTGTCCTCAACATCTTCCTTGGGCATGTGGGCGAACACCTCGCCTATCTGAAACCTTACAATATCCTCATCAGTGAGGATCAACTCGTTGCTGGCATCCTCCAGATTTTCATTCTTCTCCTGCGTGAAGTAGAGAGAAAGACGATGAGTTCAGGACCTTTTTAAAAAAAAAAAAGATTTTAAGTTGGCCGAAAATCAACCATTGCTGAGCTTTTTCATCTTTTCTATTCATTAAATTAGGTTATTTCGCATGCTGCTTACATGCGTGGGTAGTTTGCTGCTGGTTAGCCCTCTAATGGAAGATCAGCCAGGAAGTTCTCTTGAAAAATATTCATCTACTCAAATACAATGAAGGGGTCTGTATTCAGTAGACCAGTTAATCTCAAAGTGGGTCTGGCTATGAGGCCTAGAGCCTCTGCCCGGCGGCCCCACAGCAGCCCAGCAGCCACTCACCCATGAGAGCAGCCTCCTAGGCATCATGTCGCCAATTAAACAGCTAGGCATGATTGTGTATCGGCTGGAACACAAGGCAAATGGGGGAAGAAGAAGAAAGATGGCATAAGAGGAACTCTTGCAAAAGGAAATAAAACGGATTGTCATCTTCGTGACCTTTATAGGGAAGAATTGTAAGCTCCCTATTTAAGATCTAGATCGCATAAAAATCATTCTCTGGGGCTTACACTTCATTCAAAAATCCTAACTCTTAACTACTGAACCCCCATTCTCTCAATTAATAAGTGAATATCAAGAACACTGCCTAGAACAGCCCAGGAGGATAAAGTGCCCTTTCATCCTCCCCCCCAATCCAGATTTTTGAAGGATCTCAGCGTATTAAGAACAGCCGAGTTTTCCTACCAACAACCCATTAAGGAAAACCACCTTTGGGATCTATCGATTGGTATCAAGGTAAATAACTTGTGAAGCCAGTCCTGCAATCCATAACAGTCCAGCCAGGAGTCCACTCCCAGGGCTTATGTTTGGGTCAAGCTCCATCGACACTCCACTTTGGAAAGTAAGAGTAGGAAATAGCTTTAAATTTATTTCCAAAAAGATATCATGAATTTATGTAAAACTCGACTTAGAAACAGACAATAGATTTACGTTCAAATGAAAGCTCAATGATAGAGATTCTGAATCAAAATGCTACTAATCCTCAGAGTTACAAAGAGGCATTTGGGGTAAAGCATTTTCTCAAAGCCGAGTGGCAACCTGTACCCTAGAAGAAGGCCCTAGTTTGACACGAATGATACAGTCCCAAAAGGAAAAACCTAATATTAGTGGAAACAGGATTTTTATTTCTTCTAAATACACCATTCGCTGAAGTTGGTACAGAATTTCACCAATAACTTGATCCCTGTGGAATGTGGATATAGAGCTGTAACAAAACCCCTAAATAGGGGCTGAACACTGCCCTATGCACATGGCCTTGAAAATAGTTCACTCCCTGAAACCATAAACCTTATAACCAGCAAACAGGCCTGATCAACATGAAATAAACAAAGTAGGGTTTTTTTAGGGTGTAGTCACAAAGGAGCATAGTATTATAATAGCCATAGTCAGCTTGACCTAAGGCAAGCAGACGGAATTAAAAAGCCCCAAATAAAGATCGCTTCTATTCAATTCACAATTACTAGTCCAGCATTAATAGTCCTCCCTAATGCTGAAGTAAAGGATTGAGGCTTCACCCAAACAATGAAGTCCACTAAATGTATTTTCAGCTTTCTGCAAACACAAGTTATCAATCCTATGAATCCTCATCAAAGTTTTAATTGCCCAACCTTTCCTACTATTGCTTAATCCCTAGACAGTGAAAAGTAGATACTTTTTTTTGTTATTGTTCCTAGATCCACACCTTCAATTCTAAATAAAGCCTGATTAATTAAATAACTAGATAAATCCATATGTGTCATCTAATGAAATATCATCTGGTATCAAAGACAATTGATTGATAATGCCTTGATCAAAGTTTATTCATAAAGAAAACAAAGTTCGAAGAAAGAAAATTGAGAGAAGAAGCCTCCTCAATGACACAAGATATTTAACATTACACATGTTGCTAATGCCAATAGGAGATGAGTGCCTTGATTGGTTTAGGTTATCACAACATTGTCCAGCAATCATGTTAGGAAAAATAAAATAACTACAAGACTCGCACATCCAAGTTATCATTCGCCAAGAGTGATATTCTTTGGCTCATGCAGTTCCTTGAACATGTGCATCTGTCTAAGATTTTGAAGGTTTTCACATAATATCATTAACGCACATGAATGGTCTAGGTTCTTCGTGCCTGATGCAAGAATTTTTTATTGAACTAGAAACGATTGACATGAACCAGAATAGAATAACATCATTTACTTGCAACATTAGGGGCACATAATTAACCAATAATCTACAAGATTGCCTTGCTAATTCTGAATGTTGATAGTTTTCTTTAGTTGAGGTAACACACAAAATCTAGCCCAATTATTTTAATTTATTTTGGCTCAGCACTCAAGCTCAAACTTTGCAGGAAGGCTTACACAAAGAGAGGCATATGGGCAGAGTTCATGAATACCAAGTTCAATGGAACACTTCTTCTGTTGCTCAGTGGACGGAACCTTAGTAACAATTTTAGTTATGAGTCTGCACCAGGTCTTTCAGTGATATTTTAACATAACAAAGAAGTAAAAAGGCTCATAGGATAATTTGAATATGCACCCATGTGATGACCAATGATATGATCTAAATGGAATATGGATGATGACATTCATAAGATGAAAACAATTGCAGGAACAGACCACCAACACGAATATTCATGTAAATCATATTATGCACACACTGAAATGTAATGGGGGCATCAAAACAGTGAAGTTTGTAAACTGTTACGAGAAGAGGGGAAAGCATCTTGGAAGATCGGGAAATGAAACCAGAAGAATTAAAGTGGACCTCATCTTCTAGAAGTGGAAACTCGCCAAAAAAACCATTTCAATTGCATTACATTCACTTCCAGGTCTGCAGTAGTTGACTATAGGGACGTTCTTCGTTTTCGTACAAGCTGATTAAGGCTGCAAGCTGTTACTATCCTCTTGTGATATGCATGTTAACTTTCTTTTGATCACCCAGCATATTTTTGGTTCCCTTTCTGAGCCAATATTGTAAAAAGAGGAAACAAAAGGTACAATGTTTAGCCAAAACTAAATATGGAAAAAAATCCTCACAGCCGACTGTAAGAAGGGGATTTGCTTCTTATTTTTAATCCAAGCTAATCCCTCAATGTCATTATTGTGAATTATTCTGAATGACGCTAGATTGCATCGGAGTATTCAACATCCTTGGTACTCCACTGGAAGGGAGCATTAAAATGGATAAGTCCGAAGGTAGCAGTTGTATAAAACAGGATGCTAGATATCATGAGCTCATCAATGCTGAAGATTAGATATACTGCTCTCGTAATTTATTGACAGAAGTTCAGGAGAGTAGGATGTCTTCATGTACATGTTATGATATCATTCACATGACGAAACAGAATGCCCTATTGGAAGAGATCTAAATAGACGAAATTAAAACATAATCAGAGGTTGACCAGGAAGAAATGATTCAAAATTGAGCGGTTAGATAATAGAAAGAAGTCATGAAGAAGTGATCCAATGATTCTATTGCTAAGTCAAATTCATGTTATATCTAAACCAGATTATTGAAGGATCAAGTTATTATCTTTCCTCCAAGAAAAACTAAGGGATAATAACAAAATACCACGGAAAAAAGATTGCTAACGGATCTTCAATAGGCCGTCAAATGTTTCAAGATTTTTTTGTTATGTATTCATTTTCCAGTAGAAAAGTGTGTACTCATACACAACCCTTTTCCACTGTACTAAAACATTAGTGGTCAAAAGAATCCCATAGTTTCTTGGGAGGGACTTCCCTATTTAGCAACCATAACTGAATTATTGAGAAAAATACAGTCCACAGAGCCTCCTTGAACAAGGTTAAACTTCTGAGATGTCTCCCCTATGAACGGCAAAGGCTGTCCTCACTCCAGGCTCTATTCCGGAGAAAGACATCGGCGAGGATTTTTCTCGGCTTAAGCGCACCACGCTCTTGATCGGGGAATGAATCTACCACAGCTCAAATAACCATCGCTAATCACGAACTTAATACCGACGGAGCTTAAATAATAAAACACCAAATAGCCGTGTTCGAAGGTATGCCTAAATTTAGCATTCCCGATGATAGAGTACAGTACCTTCGCAATCTTTATCTCTTCTTGGAGCTCATGAAAGCGGTTATTCAGCCTGCTGAACTTGTTGATGTTCAGCTGGTCCTCCCACGTTACCTCCATCTCCGAACCCGAACCCTAGAAACCGCCACGTTGCCACCGCAAGCCATCCCCCGTACCAAATCCAAGCACGCATCATAGAAAAAAAACACAGAATCAAATGCACGACACATAGCCCGTTCTTCCCTTGGATCATCCACTCAATATATTGAAACAAGAACGGCGAGAGGACTAGGGCAGCGCACAGTGCCTATTCATCGTCTTTACTACCTGCTGCATTTCCGAACAATCTCCCCGCCGCTTCCGCAAAGCTGTGGGGGGGGGGATCGCGGGTGGTTCTCCCTCCGTCGAATTCGAAATTGCATGTCATCTACAGTCTACTGATATATATTTGTGAATATTTCGATAAAATTAAGGCTTAACGAAGATAACTGAGATCGAATTACTTATATTTTAAAAATTAAACTCAAAATAGTATATCTTGCAGATCTAGCATACCATAAGGATTTAGATCGAGCCAATTAGGTACTCTCAACTATTTTACTTCATGAGATTAGTTGTGAAGTACATGCAAAACCTAAATTACTGCTAGAATTTCTTACCACCTAGAGAAAAACCCTAAAAGGATCCTTTCGAATCAAAGTGGATCGATCAAACGTGTGGTACCTTAGTGTCTAGCATTATGATATATAACAACAAAAATCTGTAGTATAAGTTAATTTGTGGGCCTCATGAATTTCAGTTGTATTTCTTCCAGAGAAAATAATAGAAATCAAAGGTAAGCGGACATGTGTCATGGAAGTCAGAATTATTATGTAATTTATTTCTCTTTCATATTGTGTGCCAACTCAATATGTTGACCCAATCTAATCAGCTCAGTCAAAGAGGAACTCCTAATGTCAACGACTCAGAATTTGTCAACTTACTATTTTACCCTTTGATGTATTTTTGTCAACTTCAAAACTATAAAGGATTCAAAAGCCAACAATCATCTCCACCAAATTTAATAAATAAATCAAAAAATAAAAAAGAAGAGTCAACCCACCCACTTTGACTTGAAATGATCCTTTAGGGTTTTTTTCTAGGTGGTAAGAAATTATTTTACACCAAATACCCTTTTGATGAGTTAATTTTTGCAAGGTGGGTATTATATTGACGGGTTGGGGCGATTGCTTGCCTTTAGAATGGCGGCCATCTTGTTTTAGTTTCTCGTGAAGAATGCCTCATAAATAGAGCTCATCACCTCTTTTTTTCGTGTTTATTATCTCCGATTTTCTCGTTGACTAAGCGAATGTTTGTGCTCCGAAATGAGAAAATGAGGATAATTTTTTTTGGAAAAATAATTCAAATACTTGGGAAAAATGTCGCAAATTCGCGGAAAACGAGCACAAACGCAACAAGAAGTGGAGCCCTGCAAGAACCGGGCGAGCGACCAAGTTTGCTGAGATGTGTCTTCCGGGATTCTTGGAGATCATTCCTTCGTTGACAATGCCCACCGTCACACAACGGTGCTGGGTTGACGAAGGGGAAATGGGGAGCCGGGTTTGAGATGGGATTCTGAAAAAGAGCAACCTTGCTTCGTCGCGCGCAAAAGTCATCGGCTACGGGGGGAAAATGACAGCGGCAGCGTCGAAATTAGTGGACAAATTTGTGTATGCTGAGTTTGACTTCGGTGAACGGGGAAGGGTTAGGAGGGGTAGAAGAGGGGGATGCGATACCACCATTCCTCGGGCGAAGGTCTCCATCGGTCAACTCGGACGCCTGATCTGAGTCGCGTGGGTGCTGAAAAGGGGAAAGAGAAGAGAGGATTGGAGGGGGGTGGGGGGTGGGACGAAGATGAGAAGAGGGGAACGAGGGAACGAGGGAACGAGCGCGAGAGAGATGTCTGATCCAGCGCGGGAGCTCGCTCATCGTCACCATGTGCACCAGGTATGAATCCACACCTCCATTTATAAATTTGTATTGTGTTCATTTATCAGCAGTAGGCTGGGCGGGGTTTCCTTCATCTTCCTCGTCTTACGGCCTCGTCTAGTTTATTCACTACCGCATCCTGTTCCTCTTCTGTATGGCATAGTCGTCTGCGTCATGTATTTGTCATACCTCGGTTAAACTGTGGGAGTTCTCCTGGGAACCTGCAAAATCTCATGTATTTTCTTAGTGAGTTAATGTGTATTGCTTGATTGATCGTATAAGTCATTCGAATTTTGCGTGTCGTCTTCTTGTGGCATTGTCTTCCCCGGCGTTAGGTTTCCTTAAGAGGAGCAAGCACGAAGGAAATCACAAGGGACGCCCTGCTCCATAGAGTTTCATTTGAGAGGGAGCTCCGGAGTTATCAGCGGCGTGTCTCCGCAGCTGCGCTTTTAATCCAGGTTACAAAATGTTTGACCTGTTGACACATTTTTTTTTTCAAACTTTATTTCGTTTTATAAGAATTAAAAATGGCTTGTACTTAATCATCTCGGCTTGAATTGGAGCCACAGTGTTCATGGTTGCTCATTAATTGAAGGAAAAGGGTAGCTGTTGTACAATCTGCAAGGGATGAAAATCGCTTTGTGGGAATTGATGTCTTTATACCAGTTATTATTGTTAGTGGTGGTTGCTGATAACAATCAATATTGTGATATCTGTATGTTTCACAGTATCTAGCTAAGAACTGGTTACTGGACTGTGTTGAAAGATCATTTTAGCAGGTTAATTGGTTGGAGAGGGGATTACTTCGTATTTGTGGACTATTTTGTTGAAAGATATTTTCCCTCTGTTCTATCCAGCAACATCATGACTGGATGTACAAAACAGGAAAATTCTCTCATGCCTTTGTTTGTTATAAAGAAAGATTGATTTGAGCCAAACTGTGGTGCCCTTTCTGTTACAGAGGTGAGCAGGTGAGAAATTACCTTAACAAAAGATGAAATATTGATATATGCGAGTAATTGTTTTCTGATGAACTGTAGGTAGATAAATCAACTCACCTCTGAAGGCTTTAAATCGAAGTTTAAGTTGTTTATTAATTTTTGTATCACCAAATGGGTAGCAAGTTAGATGGACCCCTCGTTAATGATGCCAGTTGACCATAAGTTGCCATGTGTAATTCACATCCTCTTCTTAATGTATTTGACTTGATTAAGCTAGGGTGAGTCTAACACAGATAAACCATTTTACACCATCTTCACAGTTTATGTAAGTTGGGTTATATGAGTTACTAATGATTGCTATTCCATTTACGTCTGTAATTGAGGATCTGTGGATGAAAAGTATAGTCATTTCAATTAGGTGTTGGATAAGGAGTTTGGAAGGTGGAAAAACAAAGTACTGAGTCTTACAGAATTGCAAATAGTTGGCTTGACCTCTCAAAAGATGCATTATGCCTGAGCTTTTAATGCTAGACTATTTCTTGTTAGCTTCCTGTGATACTAGTCAGGGAAAGTGAAACCTCCCATTCAGTTCATACTGATCTTGCCACCACTTGGAATGATTAAATGGGTATTCTCATGTGTACATGTGAAAGACAATAATTCCATTTGAAACTAATCCATTCCGTTTCTAGTTTTTCAACTGTATCACTTAGTCAATCTTCATGCTGATCACAGAGTATAATCATAATATCTAGTCCAGATCACACGATCTGGAGTGGCTAGTAAATGAATATGGATATACCAATTAGACGGTTGGTTGAAAGTAATAATATCGCTAATGTTGATATATACAGATGCATATGTGTGTAGGCTAGAAGATCTTGACGCTACAATAGTTTCAGTGTGATGATTTTTAATGTGTCACAACCCAAGAAGCATTTTGACTCGCTGTATTTTTATAGATACCATAGCTAGCATGATATGTATGATGTATACAGATGCATTTGTGTGTAGACTGTGCTGTTTTATCACGGTTATTTTTCGACTATTACTTTTGAATAAATATTTTAGGCTGCAAGATCTTGACGCTACATTAGTTTCGGTGTGATACGTTTTTAATGTGCCAAAGCACAGGTAACATTTTGTTTCGCTGAATTTTTATAGATACCATGGCTGGCATATGTATGGTCCGTGATACATTCATGCAATATGCACCCACTTCTAATGGAACTACAACAGGAAATATGTTTCGAACTATACAATTTCTTTACTAATATATTCTCTCATTTCGGATTATTTCAAATTCTCGTTGGAAGGTTAAAGGCAGACTCTTTGTTTTGATATGACTGTCATATCACCCGACTTGGATCTTAGTGTTATTGAGTTGGCCATAAATATTTCCTGTAATGAGCACAAAATAACACATTCCATATATTAAGTGTTCCAAATTTGTGCTCTATGTAATGGCCATCTCAAATTTGTTGCTTGTTGCAGAGCTTGTTCGATATGAACGGCTATTTTTTGTAATTTGAGTGTGTGTAAATATCTACAAGCTGTAAATTACTTGGACATGAAATGTTTCCGTATTGGTTTTTCTTTTTGCTTTTGATGAAATTCTTTATATTCAGTTGAATTAAAGTGAAGAAGCTTTTGTAGATGAGAAGCTAGTGTAATAGTTTTGATTCTGTCTTATGTCATAGTCACAATGTTATGGGGAAAAGAATGCGCTACTTTAATTTTTCTTGTACCCTCTCAAGACAAATTCTTAGATCTTTAGTCACAATTTTCTTCTCCAAAATGTAGCGGCAAAGAAATTCATGGCCAGTTTGACAGTTTTATTTTATTTTATTTTTTAAGTGATTTTTGTTTAGAGTTTTTACATTTGTTTTGTACTTCAGAGAATCTGGAGGGGATATCATGTAATGAGAAAATTGGCTGATGAACTTCAAGAAGAATGGGAACTGTTTATGAATCATCATGATGCTTTGGTGACCTGTACATGGATTTCCGCTAATCTATTGAGACCATTCCTCCTGTTTTCCACTCATTCTTCGGGGTTACGACATATGCTGTATGCAAGGAACACAAAACAAATATCATTTTGTTTTACAATCCTTTTGAAAAGCATCGATTCTGCTGGTAAGTCTTTCATACAATCTTGGAATTCTAGTGTTTCTGTTAGAAAGCTATGTTTCCTTTTTAAGTTGGAGTATTCATCACTACATTTTACCTTGTCTGAGAATGGTCATATAACGAACATGGACATGGCAATAATGACGAGAGAACAGAACTTCTGGGATATCTACTGATTTGCATCTCAAGATAAATGCTATCACCTATCGAAAACACACCTACTAGATTGAACAAACATTATTATTTTCCAAGTTTTAAGATGATGAATCACTGACTTGGTTGCTGTAGAAGCCTGAACAAAAAAAATGTATACAACATTTGCAATTTTCCCCAAAAAAACTTGGTTAGTTTTAGGCCCTATTTTGACAAACGAATTGATTATATCCAAATTTTAGAAAGATGAATAGGGAGATCCATAAAAAGTGGATGCTGCAAATAACACGAAAGAAGCTATACTTACTAGAAAGTTTGCATTTGTCAAAATTTTATACTAGTCTATAGAATCTGAATTTGGACGTAAAAGATTGTTTTTTGGGCTATGACTATAATAAACATCTTTCATTTGGATAATCATGTGCCATATGACGATGATTACCTATGCAACATGTGAAATGAAATGCAATGTTTATTTATTGACCTATGCCGCAGTTTTATTCCTTTTGGACAAGGTTTGTAAGTTGTAGGTATCGTATTCTGAATTTTGGTTTGCAGTATCCATTGTTTTGTAAAAAGTTCATAGTTGTCTTTTTTTAACATTTGAGATATTGGCACTTGTATGCCAATGGGGATATGGCTTCTGCCGGTTCACTGATATATCTGTTTACAATAGTTGTATGTTACTTACCATTCTTTAATTTTCTCTGAAGTATCTACCTTGGAAACTTTGATCGCATTCATAGTTATATTTGATGTCTGACAGCTGATATGTCCTTGCTTATTTGACTTCTAGAACCAGAGAAAAACTTCTGTTCTTTAGCAGTTAGAAAATCGGAGGAGAAAGCTACATGGCTTTATCAAGCAAAAAAATTGGTTTCTCTGTGCTCATTTATTCTAGCTGAATGTGATCCGACTGAAAAGGATGAAGAGAAGGCTCAACTCACTGCCTTAGGAATGCGGTTGGTTATTTCTTTGACAGATCCTGTGGAGTGGAAGATCATCAATAGTGTAAATAATCATGACGCAGACGTTGCAGTGAATAACTTGATAAGATTTATGATTACTACGAAGTGTGGTCTGTACAAGTCTGTGAGGAGATACATAACTAAGCTTGATGCAAACGATTTGGCCAGGAATGTCAATGGACCAGCTGGTGGATACTTCCTAGTTACTGCCAGTGCAATCACATTAGCTCTCCGTCCTTTTTGTCTCAGATATTTAGAACCAGGCGGTGTTTGCCCTCTGGACGTGAAACATGCTGCTGAGCAGTACTGCACTTTTATATTGACAATCCCTTATCTTACTCAACGTTTACCACCTCTTCTCTTACCTGCTCTTAGGCATCAATCATCACTGTTACCATGCCTCAAGGTTCCGCTGGTAAGGTTCATCTGACCTTGCTACCTTTTATTCAATTAATACAGAAAAATAGTTATATTTAGGAATTTGTATGCTTTGAAATGTTAGCGAAACTTTGTGGAAAATGAAAGGTTATGATGCATTTTGTAGACATTCTAATACTATTGATTTTAGAATTCTGGAAATTGTTGATTCTGTGGTTACATACTGATTCCGAATAAAGACAACCATAATTCCTTTAATAAATGTCCATGAAATATTTATGAACTACTAGTTTGGCATCTGAATGATATTTTCCGTACTCTTCCTCATTTAGCAAAACGATCCAATTCATTTGGAAATGAGTTCTTAAGTGAGCGTCCATGTCCATAGTAGTTTCCTATGGGGGTTGAATGAGAAAGTTTGAGGAAGAATTCTGCCAATCGTTTTTAGTCTGAGGAAGATTTCCAAAGAGTCTTGTCACTTTCTTCTTTCCTTTCCTTTTGGTCAGACGCTTTCAAAGTCGCATGATTGTCTTGTTTATATGTTGTTTGAGTGGTTAGCGGATAACTTCGAGCAATGTTTCAGTCAAAACAGTATAATCTGAGGAAGATTTCCAAGAAGTCTTGTCATTGCCGTCCTTCTCTTTTAGTCTGACACTTTGAAAGTGAATTTAATTTCCAACCATGAAAATTTTATGATCTATTTTATTGTATGACCTTGGAACATGAATGATGATACCCAGTGTTGGTATGGACATGAATACTGGGAATGACAAACATTGGATACACGAGATCTGATGGCATATGTATTGCATTTTTTATGGAATAGATCCATTAAATAATGCCAGAGATTGTTGGAGAAAGTTGCTAATTTCTCGGAAGTTTTCTGACATGCTTCCAGGGTTCCAACATAGTGAGTTTCCATAAAATGCTGGTTCTGTTTAATCCATAAAACTAGTTGCTTGCAGATATAGCCTGCATATCCAACCTAAATATCTGTTAGGTGTCAGCAGACTGGAAATCTCTGATGTGTTTGCTGAATCATAGATACTTTTTCAGTTTTTTTTTTTTCTTTTTCCATGGTTCCTTTCTTCCATTATTTATAGTCCAGTGCAAAAATATCTGATTTTTCTGGTCTGAACTTTCATGTTAACGACTTTGACGATTTGTAGTCATGCAAGCCTGTAAATATGTACATTCTTTGAGCGGGCAATTACTTTTACATTATTTTTCATTCATATCCTTGGAACTAACCATGATTTGGCAGGTGTTGGTAGATTATTTCTGAGAAGTTAAAAGTCGAAGAGGCATCTAGTGATCTCAAAATTCCCGCCGTCGGCTGGTTTCTTGCAAATGTTATAAGCTTGACTACGGAATATGCTGATGATTCTGGCACGTTTATCAATGGCCTAGACATAAAAATATATACTCACACCATAAACCACTTATCAGAAATATTTTTGGAGTGGATTGAGAGCAACGGATTGGCCTCAGAAAATGATGAGGATGAAGACCTCACAAAAGGTGGCAACTCCATTGTGAAAATGATTCCTGCACGGGGTTCATTAAAGGCGTCTTACATAGAGCTGGTTAAACCCGTGCATCAGCAGTGGCATCTGAGAGGTCTTCTTTCTGTTGCAGAAACCAGCATATCGAATCAAGAATGCACCTTTGTTGTAAATCAAGAGTTCAAATCACATGGGAACTCGCACTTGTTAGATGTTGTAATATTTTATTATTGCATGGTTAGGATATATGCTTTCCTTAATCCTTTAGTTGGTCCATTGCCTATTCTGAACATGCTTTCCTTCACTCCTGGGTTTACGGTAAAGTTGTGGGAGCTACTTGAGGGTCTTATCTTCAGTCATAATGCCTTCTCCCTAGATGCCAATGAAGTGACCAGAGATAGAGGCGGTAGTTGCAACAATGAGGAACAGACAATGATATCTAAGGCTTCTGGAAATAAGTGGGTGAATGTGTTGGCCAAAATCGCTGGAAAGTCATGTGATGCAGATGTTTCACGATTAAGTAATGGGGATGTTACCTCCAGTCAGATTTTTGAGGATGCATATGAGTTCTGGGATATTGAATCTTTGAAGCAGGGTTGTCAGGGTATATCGAAGGAACTGCAATGCATTCTCTACCTATTTTGCTCTGTATATGCACATCTGCTGTTGGTCCTTGATGACATTGAATTCTACGAAAAGCAGGTATTTATATGCCCAGATAGTTTCCATTCTGGTACTGGTATTGCTTCTGTTGTTGAATCTGTTTTTTATGCAGGTACCTTTTACTCTTTCTAGGCAGCAAAGAATATCTTCAGTGCTGAACACCTTTGTCTACGGATCATTTACCCATAACTGTAGTCAGAACAATCAGCTACTAATTGATGCCGCAGTCAGATGCCTGACCTTGCTATATGAAAGAGACAGCAGACATAAGTTTTGTCCCCCATCATTGTGGGTTGCACCTGCCTCGAGAAGTAGGCTTCCAATTCCAGCAGCAGCTAGATCTCATGAAGCTCTTTCCTCTAATCCTCATTGTCGTGATGCTTCTGGCTGTCACCGTATGAGTTCTGTTATTTCAACAATACCACATGTCTTCCCTTTTGAAGAAAGGTAATATAGTAGATTTGGATTCGAAAAATCAATTGCATGATTAATTTCTGCCTTTATGCCGATTTCATTTCTGTAAATAACTTGATAAAGCTGTCTAAGTTTCTGAATGACTGTACGGTTCCAGACTTTTTTTGGGTCACGTGATTAGAAAATTTATCAAATAAAGATCTGAACAGGCTGTATGAGCGAATATTAGATTTCCTTTTTCTTCTTACACTGGTTATTAAGGTGGAGGTTGGGAGATGGGGACTACGCAAAGATGAGCTAGATGTCAAGGAAGCACCTCTATTAGCTCTTCCATGAGGCCTATGTTTTTGAAAAAAATAGCTTTTGAGAGATAGTATAAGATCTACTTTTAGCTATTTGAAAGGGCACCTATGGAGTACTTGTCAATTTAGATGGTTAATCATTTCTTTTTTTTATTGACTTAGAATTTTATTGAATTTTCAGTTTGTGGTCTCATTCCATCTTGGATTAACTAGGTTTTCTTAATTTCTCACATGAATACTTTTGTCTTGTGGGGTCTCATTTGTTTTGAATTAATTTGGATTTTTTGTTAAAACTTGATTTTGTTGATGATTATTTTTTTGGTTTCGTAAAACTTAGGATAATATGCTTTATGATGCCTATCGGTAGCCTTCCTAGTTTTCTTTTAATTTAAATCCTCTGCCGGACTAGAGTTGATGTTAATGAAACCCTTCTGATGAAAAATGTCCTTGACTAATTGCCATAAAAGGAACAAGAAGTAAATGATATTTTAGTTTATTAGTGATTATATGAATCAAAATGTGGGTTGAAGACCATGGGAATCCATCGGATGAAACTTTTTACTGAAGCATTGAGAAGTTCATGGGATGAAAGTCCATTTGGGAGTCATGAATTTCAGTTCATGAGTTTATAGGAAGAAGTGTATTCTTCATTTTATGGTGTTTGAGAGTCTATTAATGGATAAAATAGGCATATATTTTTGTGTTAGTGAGTCTTTTAGAAAATGACTAATTAGGCTGGTTCATGTTAGAGCTTATGAGGTGATATAAACTGTCCTGTCTATATACAAATACGCATATAAATAGGTGAGGAGGGAGGCTGTGAATAATAATTCGAATATTATCCTTTTGTTCTAACTTGGTACCATAGTCTAGGGTTTGATTCCTTCGGATTTCTCAAACTGTCATTGTCAGCTTCAACCACTGAATCTTTGAGGGGCAGTGAGGTGGTGGTCTCTCACCCATGTTCTGCCAAGTCTTATGGGCCTCTGTCACTGCTCTCCTTCCTCCGTCTGTTTGTCTCTGTCTATTTATGTATATATCTTCTTCTCTAGAGATTTGATGCTGTAGTAGAGGTCTGTGCCCTACGCACTAAAGCCTCCTACCCATGGGGAGGTGAAACTTGGGGAGGAGCAAATTGGTGCTAGCCCAATCTAGCAGGGGGTGGCACTGATCTTGATCACGCCACTCCATTATTGTGATGGTGGACTAGGTGTTCATCCCCTAGCCCAAAGATCAGCTGGGCTGGTTTTCCAGCTTTGGCTGCCACTTTGAACCCCTTCAATTCTATCTACTTCGAGAGGAGGCAGCTACTGGCCTTCATTTCTAGTGTAGGTATTCGTAGACTACTTTCCTCACTTATCAACTCACAATCCTTTTCTCTCATCTCTTTTTCGTCATCCTCTGACCACTGTTGTTCCTTGTCATCGTCCCTGTTCTCTATGGCTCTTTTTCCAGTCTAGTCACATTCTCTTTCTGTTCGCGCATTGGATCATCAGGGTTCTTGTTGTTAAGCTCTTCCTATTGCCAGTATCCTTCACATCCACCTCACGCACCCATCCACCGCTGGTGCATTTTCAACTATCTCTGTATCTTTTTTTTCTGCTTGTCAACCTCATGATTCTGATTTCGAACTCTAAAAATGTCAATTCATTTCAAACTTTTGTCTCGAGTCAACTTTGCAACATCATTGCTTCCTCTACCTTCGCTATAGAGCATTCCTTGCACTGAAGCTGCGAAGCATGCCTTAGAATGAGCGTTTTCCACAGCAGCTACTTCTGCCTGTTTGGATGCCTCTTGTACTCTCTACAAACTCCATATTCTTTTTTCCTTACATTGGTTTTTAAATTACAGAAGCATCCAGTCGATTATCAGCATCTTTTGCCCCAATTAAAGTTTGGACTTTAGCTCCAGCATCTGCATCGTGTTTTGTTAGTTGTTTACAAAGGAATAATCTTCTATATCTTATGTAACGACTTAAATATTAAATTATGTATCTGCTCTCGCTTGAGGGGAAGTGTTAGAGAGGTTTTGCTGTAGTATAGATATAATAACCCTAGTATAATTCTGTTGACGAGTGACTTAGCCCATTAAGCTAGTTCACATTTTGGTCATGAGGGCTCCAATCATCGGGGTTGGATCTCTTGCCACAAGCTACAGATCAGTTCTTGCAGTTACTCCCTCAAGCTGGAGACAGATGGGATGTTAGCTTCATCTGGGCTTGGGATTTCACACAATTGTCTTTTCTTAGGCCCATTGAAAGGCCTTGCAGGAATGCAACTCGGAGGAGGGAGACAGTAGGGGAAAAGTAGGAGGGCTTGGGGTTGAAAATGGAAAAGATTGGGCAGAGTCTTTCTTCTTTTTTAATCATGCAGATCAAGGGTAGATGTGTCTTTCATCGCCTTTGGCAAGTATGGAATAAGCACTGATGTATTGCACGCACAGCTAGTGGAGTTGTTGGCATATTTGTTACATTGCTTGCTTTCTGGACATCATATTTTGTTCTTGTCCGAGAGTAATGCTCAAAACACGTTGGATACAGGTGGAATGTCTTAAAGGGGAGAATCGCCATGTGTTGATTGATACATGCCAAATCAAAGGAAGTTTATGTAGAGCTACAGAGGATCCATTTGGCTGCAACTATTGTCAGATGAATGGCAACCGTAGGGCGAAGGGAAATGCTGGGTTGGTCATCTGCATGGTTGGCTGCCCTGTTTGGGCCAAGCGCCTGGCTAAGCTCCCTAGTTGTCTTCTTTCTCCAATACCTGCATAACCATCGAATACGTTTCTTGTTGCCTGCAATGGCTAGGAGAAAGGGGTACCTCTTGGAATTTGCTTCCTCAACCATCGTTGGCAGTGGAGTTGGCATAGCCCGTCATGCCATCTTCTTGGATAATTACCATCGTTGGCTGTGCTTCGTGGGCCGCTAAAAGACATGCTGGGGAGCATACCCTGTAGCCCCTCGAACTGTAGGGATTGCTTGCCATCCAAATTGCACTTTTAGGCTGGACAGTTATTTTCTTGTATCCCACTGATAATAAAATGTTGTGAACTTCGTAATTTTCGTTCATTTTAGTATTGCCTTTGTTTCTTTAAAGAAAGTATTGCACCAAATTTTCTTTGAAAACAAAAACAGTTTTACGTATTGTTGCTGCAGGGTACAGATGTTTAGAGAATTCATTAAGCTTGACAAAGATGCCAGAAGAGCAGCGGGTGAATTAACTGGACCTGGTCCAGGATCAATTGAGATAGTTGTTCGTCGTGACCACATTGTTGAAGATGGATTTAAGCAATTGAACTTTCTTGGATCAAGATTGAAGTCATGCTTTAATATTTCATTTGTTAGTGAGTCTGGCCTCCCTGAAGCTGGCCTGGATTATGGTGGCTTATCAAAGGAGTTTTTGACAGATATTGCAAAGGCTGCTTTTGAACCCAAGTAAGAGCTAATGTTTTCTCTTGTACAAACATTTATTGATTGTAGAAAAACAACTATTGCTTGTCACTCGCGGAAAATAACAATTAGTAATTGTGGGTTCTCCAGAAAATTGTCATTTACTGTGTACTCATATGTTGACTCGTATTATTATTATATAAATAACTGATCTTATAAATTCAGTACGTTTTCCAATTATACAGATGAATATCACCTATCAATAGCTACTGAAAGCATAATAGCCTGAACTATTATATTCTTGTCTACTAAGTTTGTCAATGCTTGCTTAATTCTTCCCTGAAATGAATCTTTTGTTTTAGGTACGGATTTTTCTGCCAGACCTCAACATCCGAGGGCTTTTTAGTTCCTAATACCTCTGCAAGATTTCTAGAGAATGGCATTGAAATGATTGAGTTCCTGGGAAGAATGGTTGGCAAAGCTCTTTATGAAGGGATTTTGTTGGAATATTGCTTTTCATTACCTTTTGTACAGAAACTTGTGGGACGATATAGCTTCCTTGACGAATTGTCAACACTTGATCCTGAACTCTACAAGAATCTTATATATATCAAGGTAAATGTATGGTTATGGTGTCTTTGGCCAGATGTCCAATGTTCGTTGTATTTTTGACAGCGCCCTTATATGGATTTAAAGTAGTCACAGTTATTGTTTAATGGCTTTTTACCGCTTGAATTATTGTCATTCGTCTGCTGTGTGAGAATTTAAAGTCCCCATGGAGGGCATCATTTCCTTTCTAAGAAAGCATTGTTGCAAATCAAGTTGGTTTTACTTTTACTTTGTGAGAAATGCATTTGTGAAACGTTATTGTTCTTAAGTAAATGGAGACAAGGGGGGGCTTGACGAGGGTAACTATACTGTTAGGCTTCCTTATTACATAAGTCTTGTAAATCTTTATATAACTGGTGCTATGTAACTAGCTTGTTTGTTCACATCTTAACTTGTACAGGTCAAAATCTTGGTTTCTCTTGGGACTCCTAAAATTGAAAAAAAATCTAACAAGATCTAGAAGAAACATTTTAATTAGAAGAAAAAAATTAAGTGGAATTGGATGAAAATTGTGTGCTGTTAAATTAGATTGGACAGCATCAAATGAAGCAAAATATTACATTGCAGCTAAGACTAATATTAATCCGTATGCCATTTAAATATTACTTGATAATTGGACAACTTCAAAAAGGCAGGAATCTTGTTCCTCCGTTTTCATTCTTAGATCCATCATTCTATAATTTATTACATCAAATTTTGTAAAGCTTTTTAAACTTTTCATTGGACTCGGCGATGAGAAATTTTGGGTGGTCAGTGCATTACAATTTTGCTTAATTTGCCTTTCTATAACGATTAATGAATCTACCAGTTGTGGTTATATTTCTTATGGTATATTTATTTTTCTCCCCCACAGAATTACGATGGTGATGTGAAGGAGCTGGCTTTAGATTTTACAATTGCAGAGGACCTATGTGGTAAAAGGATTGTAACTGAACTTAGACCTGGTGGCAAATGCATCCCTGTTACAAATGAAAATAAGTTACAGTACGTCTATGCAGTTGCTGATTATAAACTTAATCGACAGGTAAGTACACTTTTGTGTGTAAGGGCAGGATCTTTTTGTTCTTCCTATGTTGCTGATATGTGATTTTTATGTTGATTCTCCCAGTTGTTTAATGACAATAGTAGATTGTTGATGCGTTATCCTATTATTTTCTCCCGTGCGCCAAATGGGTAAAATATTACACTACTAGTCTCCCCTTGGTTTATAAACCATACGGTTGTAGGCTCAGTATCTAATACGTTTGTGGTTGTCCCTGAATCGCTAGAACAACTGTATCATCCTTGAATCGTTAATATTTTTGACTTTCCTCAAAGTCACATTTTGTTTCTGAAACTTTTGTGTCAATGGTATTATCCATCAGAACTTCTTGCGTCTCATTCCACCCTTTTCTTTTTTTTGACTTGCAGGTACTTCCATTTGCAAATGCATTTTATAGAGGCCTAATTGACCTTATATCACCTTCCTGGCTGAACATATTTACTGCCAAGGAGTTCAATCAGGTGGCTATCTCTGCGTTTCTCATTAATATGGAAATGTAATTACAGTATGCTAACACCGATATTTCTCCCAAACATTTCTTTAAAATATTTTTATGCGTTTTTAAAATACTCATATAAACGTGGATCTTTATTCTCAGTTCAGTGTCATCAATGCTGCTTTGTGAGACATTTTCAAATACATACATTCGTGAGCGCTGCATATTTGTTTGTGCATTGCTGCGAATTTCCATGTTAGTGGAATAAAATACCTGCAAGTTGAAAAATGATTATGTTTTTTGGTTTCAATCCAGTCGTTTCTGCAGTGCCAAGTGAAATTCTAATCGATTTTTGTTTTCTCTTAAGATGCTATGCATGGCAATAGATGTATATTTTGCTTTAGGATATACTCTTATCATTTGTGCACATTATTGCAATCATACCCACTCAACTGTGATACACCTGTTTTAATTTCGTCTCTTTTCATAAATGATATGTGACACCAACATCTTTTAAACGAATGTACACTGTGTGTGTATATCAAATGGCTTGTTGCTTGTTGCTAAGCTTTTTAGAAACCAATGTCTCAGTGTGAAGGCCACATTCAGCACCCGGTCCACTGCCTCATCTGAGAATTAATTGAAATTTAACATCGACTATCCACCCTGCAGTTCGATTCTCGCTGGAAAGTGCCAGTTGGTTTCATTTTCATATTGCTGAAGATATGTATAATTCTCCATTCATATAAAAGCTTAGATAATTGGCCACACGTTGTTACCTCCTGGTTTTTACTGTATTCTAGTCTTGCTATAGCTATTAAACAGAATTCTATTAAAGAAAAAAGAGAGCTTTCATTTCAAAATATTTCTCTGTATGCTTTCCCTTAGAAATGCTCATATATATCTTTTGCCTCTCGTGAATTGAGGGCCCAGTTTTTGTTTTTATCATGTATCCACTTGCAGAAAGGGATGTGAAGAAAGGAGTGAAAAGAAAACTCTTCCCTTCTGGTTGCCCCTTGTCGCCTGTGACAGGCGTTTGCAACATCTGTCTATGCTTCCTACATTTGAACCTTACTCGTAGTTAAAATATTTTAAAATATTAATAGTTTTTATTTCATCGAATTCAAATCATCATGGATCTCACGTGTTTATCACTTATTTTCTCTTTCCTTATATTGCCTAGTTACTATTTGCAGTTCATTAGGGCTGAGGTCATTAATAAGGAAGGTTGCGAAGTCATTCTAGATTTAATTAGCTTTGCTCTTCCTCATCAAGCTTAAACTGGAATGATGCTTGATGAAAGACGAACTGCCAACATAAACAGTATCTGACTAGTATTGTGGAAAATTCTGTAATAGGGTCCAATTTCTCTATGACATTCAAGGCTGGCTAAGTGACAAATTGGTGGCAGACTGATGGGTAGTCAGCCTAGATGCCCAAAGCATCCAGGCCTATTAGTTGAATACTTAAGTTGGTGCTTGCATTTGCCACTTGGCTGTTACATAGGCAATCGAAGTGTGGGTTTTTCCATTAGTCTTAATTGCAATTTTGGTTGACACAAAGAAAGTTCCGACGTATTCATTTATGTGTTGTGCCAAATATGTAATGTTCAGGCCAATGAATGTATACCTCTACGAGTATTATGTGATATGTTTGGACAGATTCATGAGAGAATTAGTGACCGTCGTGTTAGTTTCTATATATTTTACATTAATTATTTATTAAATTATTTTATTACATTTTTTGTAACATTATCTAATATATTAGGTAAAATTTTCCTCAGATTTTTTTTCTGCTCAAACCACAATATAGGTGGCGATTTGCATTACTTATTTTATTACATTATTATCTGTGTTAACTTTTTGTTACAAGTAATCTATTTTTAATGGAAATAAGCATTACTTATAAAATTCTTGAGAATTACTTTAGTAACTTTTTGGGATTCTGTATTGTATTGTATACAAAGTTGTATTTTTATTTCGTTATTATTTTCCTGTTTGACTGAATTTAATTTAAAAAAAAATGAAGTTCTGAGAAATTGACTGTACTCTATGTTCGAATTTGGTATATACACTAAAATATACTAATTTTTATTCTTTGATTCTTTACTTTTGAAGTTGGGACTGTTATTTTTTTTGGGAGATACCTTTTGTCCGATTATCGTCATCTGCTTTTTTCTGTAATTTATAGTGGCACAGTATATATGTTGTGATAACTGTCTACAGAAGGTAGAAATTTTTTTGATTGTAACATTTCAAATTTTAGCTCCTTTGATGGTCAACAATAACAGTTTGAATATCTTCTCTTACTGCGATTTAAAATATCCCACTGGGGATTTGGATGCATTACGTGACAGAAATCTTTTAATTATTCTACATGAATTTTAACAAGTTAACATGCCAACATTGATGTTGATTTTCTGTTTATCAGAAATTTGCATTTATGGTATCTTCATTATCACTTGTCTTGTATGCTGCTGAAGATCCAATTCGGATGCTTTTGACCTACTTTGCTGGGGCCTGTTGCTAACTGTGAACACTATCAAATATGATGTCCATGTACCTGGGCTTTTAGTTTAAACTTTAATTGCTAGCTGAAACCTGGATTAAATTTTCCTTGGTTAGATAGCCTAATGATGACCGTAGATTATTGGGGATAGCTCGGGATCATTTGAGCACTCAGAAGAGGCTTAAGCAGCGATGAGTGTATCGGCCTTATATATGATCATCCGCTTTTTTTCTTCCCTACCTGTACTTTTTTGGCTCTAACGTTGATATCTGTGTTGTAGTTGCTTTCTGGTGGAAAACATGACTTTGATGTGGAGGATTTAAAAAGCAACACAAAATATACTGGTGGATATTCTGAGGGAAGTCGGACCGTTAAATTTTTTTGGGAGGTACTTTTGTCCTCAAATTTTCTTCCTCCAACGCTATCGTTTGCTTTTATCTTCAACTTTTGGTGAGAGATATTTGTTGTCATATCTGCCTAAAAAGGGAGAAATGGTGACGTTTCAATGGCTAACAGTGCTAGTTTGAATTTCTTTAAGTACATTGATTCTCATATATTCGGATACCTATGTTAGAGAAGTGATTAAGTTCATGAATGCTTTACATTTTTTCTAGCGATTTTATTTGTCGAAATTATTTTTCAAATTGCTCTGAAGTCTGGTTAACGGGGACGAATAATGAAAATAAGAAGGATGGGAAACATACAAAATGAGATTCTCTGGTCCCTTTCCTAATGGCAATGGGAAGATCCAGGTTATTATTGCTCATATTAGATTCAGTTTCAGTTCGCATTTAGGACTAGAAATTGTTGCCTTAACCTCAGGATCCAGATTGGATTGTCAGGCCTTGTCAGATTTAAGAACAGCCATCTTCTCCCATGAGAACACCTTCCCTTTACCAAGTCTTACATTCTCAAGGGGTGAGCTACGGTTTTCTTGAGGGTTTTCTAGAGTTTCAAAATTCAGGACTTGGCATGGACTCATTCAGATTTTGACAGAGGAACAGTGGAAGATATAGGAAGTTGTGGCAGTTAATTTTTTTTCCATCCTTATCTTCATTGATTGAATTCTCTCCCTGAAGATAAGCTGTGCTGAAGTAAGAATCTTCATCATTGAAAGTGACATCTGCTTAGGTGTAGAATTTCGTGGATTGAGGGTTATAGCACTTATACCTTTTGTGAGGTGGAGAATAGCTCGCAAAGAGTTGTTTTAATGTCTTGGGATCTTGTTTCCCCATATGCTGACCATGAACATGAATGAATGACTTACACCCACATATCTTAGGGAGAAGAATATACGTAATTTGTACGTTTAGATAGGATAATGACAATGTTTTCATTGTACTCTTGAATCCTAAGACTTTAGAAGGCAAACAAATTATGAGATGAGTGGCTGTCAGAACTGCTTCACCCCTAAAAGATTTAGGAGTGTTATGTTGGGAAAAAAAGGCCCAGGTTACCTTGAGAAAATGACCATTTTTCCTCTCTACTATTCTATTTTGCTGTTGTGTATTGGCGCATAATGACTCATGTATCATCCCTTCTGTTTGAAAGTATAAAGTTAGGATTTGTTTGAAATACTTGCTTGCATTTTCTAACCTGAACTTCTTAACATTGACTCCAAACTAATTTTTAATCATGGAAGAATTTTTTTCGAGAATAGCACTGACATCAGATTTATGTTTAAGAAGAAAAATCCTGGTAACATGAGTATAATCATCAATGAATGACACAAACCATCTAGCCCCAGAAACTACTTTCAACGTTAGAAATGGTAGATGGACCCCAGATATCACCATGAATAAGATAGAAAATAATATAACATCATTTATTATTTACTGGAAAAGATAAACAGTTGTTTAGCAGGTTTACACATGTCGCAATGAAAATTTTGAACGCTTAGACCTTAAAATAAAGAAGGAAACATAATTCTAATAACCCTAAATGGGGTATCCAAATCGGCAATGGTGAAGCTAAACTCTCTCTTTTTTGGATCGATTCAGCTCAAGAGAATGAGCTAATTTTTCCTTTACAACGTTTGACTGGCTCAATGCTTCAAGCTCAAATACACGACTGTGACGAAAAACTACTTTCAATGTAAGTATTGATTAAGTTTCTTGATAGAAACAAGGTTTGTGATCAATCTAAGGACACGATGAGCATTTTTTAAAGTTAGTCAAGGGTTTATTTTAATATTTCCTACACCTGCTGCAGTAGTCAGAACTATCAGCTGGCAGGCTATTTTCCTATTTGGATAAGGAGAGCATATGGAAAAGACATTTGGTGAGTGGGTTATAATCAGTAGTCAGCAAAAAGTTATACCTGTGACATTTAATCCGATAGAGGAGGAAACTTGAATACGCCAATGAACAAGAATCTGTGAGTTTTTCAAGATTGTGAATGAAAGATTTTACCCTCTCGACCTTTTCTTTGTTGAGACTACCTGATTCCTTTGGTGCTGATTCATTGTGCTGTATTGTTGTGACATGAGCTTGACCATTCTTCCCTGGGTGTTGTCTGTTCTGTACCTTTCTTTCTTGTCTTAGAGGTTTTGCATGGAGCTTCCAGCACCGTTAACGAGTCTGACGTGGCTTCTTACAGTAAATGCACCACAGGGTATCCTTATTGTTATTCTCAGCAACTTGTCCTCTATGCATTTGTGACTGAATTATTGCCACCATTAGCCACCATAGCCGAGCTGTACATTCTTTGTGATTCGAGCATCATGCCTCTTCCGCTTTACTCTCCTCGAATCAGTGGCTCTACCTCATTAAAGCATGGAACCTCCTGCTTGCCGTGAGTCTGAATTATCCCTTGATCAAATTCTCGATGAAACCTAACAAGAAATCATAAACTCTGTCTTCTTCAATGAAATATTTCAGAATAGCTGCGTCGTCAGGAGATTTGGTTTTAATCACCCTATAATTGTGAAGTTCAAACCACAAAGCTTTCAAATCATTAGCATATTCCGTAACTGTTTTACTTACCTGTTTTGCAGCGATAGTCTTCAACTTAACTTCATATACTTGGGCTTGGTCTCTAGCTATGGAATAAGTCTGTTGGATTGCATCCCAGATATTCTTGTCTGTAGCCAAGAAAGTACATTTCTTTCTAATCTCAGGTGTCATAGAATTCCGTTACCATGCCATAATCATGGAATCTTTCTCATCACATGCCTCAAACTGAGGATCCCCAGGTTTCGGTCTTGTATCTGTGAGATGGGTGATCTTCACTTTCCCTTTTGACATAGTAAGAAAAAGTTGGAACTACTTGAGGTACGTTTTTTCCATCCAGCTTATATGCATCCTGAGTACTCTGCAACTATCTGGATTGTTGAAAACATACACATTCCTTTGATTATGTTGTACCGATCATCTCTACAGCCTCTGACATCTGTGCGACGTGGTAGGGTATGGATGACGGTTTAAGATTGCAAAGAAGCTGACACTCGGCGGCCAAATGATTATTGGCGTTTAAGGCTGAGAGAATTGAACAATGAAGGTTGATAATGAAGACAGATTGTCGGTGATTGAGGTTGCACTGGAAAACCATGATGAAGACCATGGGAAAAATTCCCAAATTTACAAGCTAGGGCTCTGGTACCATGTCACAAATCATATAAGGATAAAAAGTTCGGAACGCTTATCGTATCATTGAATCATAGACCAATTGCTAGTATACTACCTATATTTAGGAAACTACCTAAATATAGGAAAGGAAACTTCCTATGCAATTACCTGGCCACAAAAGAAAGGAAACTACCTATATTTAGGAAACTGACCAACTCGGAAACTAACAGACTAGGAAACTGCCCAAATAGGAAACTGACCAACGGAAATTGATACCTAATTACATGTTTTTCCCACATTCTCTTTTATTGTTCACATCATCTAAACTTATGAAAAGATAGGCACATCGTGATGTTCAGCATTTAAGTAGACTAGAAACTCGGGAATCTTGGTGAGAGTAATTTTCTTACTGGCTGTGGCCGTAATGTGAATGACAACATGCTGTGTCAGGAATTGTGGAAGAAAGTAGGCCGCTGTCTTCGCTTGTTTTGATCTTGTACTAACTGATATTTTTCTCATCTAATTAGATTACCTGTTATAAAAGTTTCCCGTTTGGTGGATAACTTTAACAATAATGAGCTTCCAGATCAATGTATCTACAAGTTTTTCTTTCAAAAACTTACTAAACAAGTTCCTTTTATTGCTCATATTTCATTGAGTATTCTCAGTTAGTTTGTGAATAGAAGTTTTACTGAAAGTGTTATTTTTAAGAGAATGATAATAGGAACTTAAAAGTGTCTTCCCATTATCAATTGGAAAATAGTAGTCTTTGGAGAATTGGAGCCTTAAACTCTGAAGATTTTGCATTCGATACCTACTTTTGGACATGAAACTTTCTGCTGTGCTCTGAGTCAATGTAATGATCCTGGGCCGACTGTCATGAGTGGTCAGAATGCAAGGGGTGTCACACCGATCGTCACTGGAATTAATGAAATCCGGATAGATCAACTTATGTGGGCCAAAGTGAACCTCTAGGTTCCTATGTTCACCCAAGTTGCTTTGAATTTACTGTTAACAATTTGGAAAAATCGCAAGAAAAGTGGTGAGGAGTGAATTCCGTCGTTCAATATGAAACGGGTTGGCAATTTTCTCCTGGAGAAGCATACTAGGTGGCGATCAAGCTTCACACTCCAGAGCAGATCCTAATCATGAAAAAGGTAGGATACAGTTAAGAGGAGTGCAAGGGGATAGCTCAGGAGGGAGATTTCCTCTTTCCAAGAATCGGTGAAAACCAACTTCTGGCAGAAGTTAGGAGGCTCGAGCAGTGTCCTGATGCCAGTTCAGGATTATAGATTTCTTTATCGGTTGTTTTTGTCGGCAAAGGTGCCAGCTCGGGAGTACCATGGAAAGAAGATGAAGGAAAGGTGCTGAAGCATTTTATTAGAGTCATTTTCCCGGATATTTTGGGTGGAATGGTGGGTGTTTTACATCTACCTTCATTGGGTTTAGTAGACAGATTGGAAACTCAACTTCAAGTACAGCTGAGTTTCAAACATGATTTTCATATTCACTTTTACCGATGAATGAATAATGGTTGTTGTCTCTCCTGGGTGATCTATGATACAATGCTAGTCCTTTTTTTTCCCCTCTAAATTGGGAGTAAAATCGAAAAAATCACTGTCCTGTGTGAACTATTCTGAATTGGATCCCTAACTTCTTTTCTTGATCTCAATGCAGGTCATTAAGGGATTTAGACCGCATGAAAGGTGCCTGCTACTGAAGTTTGTGACAAGTTGCTCTCGAGGACCATTGCTTGGTTTTAAACATTTGCAGCCGGCTTTCACTATTCATAAGGTGCAGCATTTGCATTATTTTTTCTCTCATAAATAAAAAAATAAATGATTTCTGGATAAGTTATGGCGAGACTAATCTTCTTTCCTATATGTGTGTTTCTCGTAATTTCTATTAAATAAATATTGTGCATTTCACACATCATTTCATTGTTCTACTCAAAAGGTCAGAAACATTCTTTGTTCTTGCTATTATTTATTTATTTATTTATCTAGAAACCAATCCTGTTTTGACTGTTTATACTTAATTTTTAATACGGTTGTTTTTTAAAGTAGAGAAACGGTTTTATCTGCAAACTCACAACTGAATTCAAACGAATGATGTAATGAAGAGATAGAAACTCATGCTCTTTTGATCAATGGAAGTTCAACTCAGAAGTTGTCACAACCAAGTTCAGGTTAATAATCCTTTCTAGCCTCGTAGATGCATCAAATTAAAGCTGGATTTTCTGAACATCTGTAGAAACAGACTTTTTATATGCCTGAAGAAATCATTTTACTTGCTAGTCATTAGATGTATAATATGAATGCTGATTCTGAGAATCGTGGAGCTGCTGACTGTCTTGTGACTTTTTACAACCGAGTAGAATGGGGAAATAACCTATTGACGATATCTTCTTTTCTCACTGGAGAACGATGTTCAGCAGGTTTAATCTGACCCAACTTCAATCCCACGCTAGTGTTTTATGAAAAATAATCAGATTTATTAAAGGATCTAAGGTTATTAAAAAAGCAGAAACTTGCAATATGGAAAACAATGTACTGTAGCTACTCCTTCGCTGAACTCTCTCAGGCAACACAGGATAAGCTGGTAGCTGCAGCAGCGTCCGAAACTCACAAAATATTAGTGTAACTCTTCATCTGGTACCTAGTCGTCTCAACGTTTCGTTTCGTTTCTTTCTTTTTTTTTTCCTCTCTCGGTCTTTCTGCCGCCTTGTTTCGCTTATGAATCTGCTGATTAGTAAATTTCAGCTAACGCTTGAGTGGGGAAAATCTAGGTTCCATGTGAAATGCCCCTTTGGGCCATGATTGGTGGTCAGGATGTGGATCGCCTTCCATCAGCCTCCACCTGCTGCAACACTCTCAAGGTGAATCCCCAGTCTTCCTCGGTGCTTTTCCAGGCACATTTTCTCCCATGGCCATCTTGATAGTTTCCTATTGGTTCACAGCTTCCCACATACAAACGCGCCAGCACTTTGAGGAGCAAGCTTCTTTATGCTGTCAACTCCAGCTCTGGGTTTGAACTCTCCTAGGGTTTTGTCTCATCTTTGCTGAAGTTCAAAGGGCCCTGATTGGGGGTTTGTAAATTTTAGGAGTATTATACTAATTTTTCCTGGATTGTTCAACGAAGAACGTGACGAGGTTATGTTTTCTTGCCTTGGTTTTAAGGACAGAAGAAATTTAATATGAGGTAAAGGGTCCTTTCGATGCAAATATTCACGTAAAAAATCCTCAGCAGAGAAATATTTCTATAATTTTTGTCACCAGGAAAGCAGAGATTGTTCCCCCATCCATGTAAGTGGATAATTTCCTTTTACTTATGTTGGTGAAGAGTGGAATAGTGTCGATTCAGACGTGGAAATCCATACCTCTCTTGACCAGCAGTATCCCATATCTCTGAAGGCTAATGCTTGTGATAAGAATGAAGCACTGGCAGTCACCTGAAACCCATCATAAACCAATACTTACCCGTAATCCTATTTTATGATAAGATAATAGCAACTGATATCTATGATGAAGCGAAGGACACAGTACAGCTTCTCCCAACACCAAAACCCCCCAAACAGTACCAACTGGAAGCAATATTAGCTAGAAATTAAGTCAACTACTTATTCTAAATGTAAAAAATAATATTGTATGGAAAAAGAACACTTTGGTCGATACTAAACCTTGAGAGAAGATTTGGCATCGTGTGTGTGCTAATATTCTATCATTTCCGGAAGAATGACGAGTGGAATATCTAAACCCGGAGAAATGAGACATGATTATGATGTTCTTCTGGTTTCCTTTCGATACCCCTAACCCATGGTTGATATATGAAGAGTGAATGGAATCATCTACATGTTTTATTCACTAGTTATTCTCTTTGCCACCATTTTTGAAAAAGGTATGCTGCATTTGCACCACTTAACTATCGAGGAGCAGCTGCAGCAGTTGTGGTATATGACATAACAAGCTCAGAGTCATTCCAGAAGGCACAATACTGGGTCAAGGTATTTTACTGGGTAACAAGGCTGATTTGCACGAAAATAGAAGTGTGCCTCTTCAGGTGACGATGAAGATTCTCATTAGAAATATTTTCTTATATTCGTCGCCATTATAAGATAGTAATTGGCTGATTTATTTTAGCTACCCAGTTGATGCTTCTTGTGTGTTCGTGTTGTGAAGGATGCCAATGAGTATGCGGAGAGGAATGGGATGTTCTCAATCAACTGTTTGAGGTACGGAATTTGGCATCTCGATAGAAATAAATACAAGTCAAAGCTGATCGGGCCCAACTCCACGTGGAGGGAGGAGGGCATCCTGTTGGAGTGGGCCCCCAGGTCCACTCCGGTTGGGCCTTTTTAAATTTCCGGGCTTCATTTTTAGGCCCAGGCCCGGAGAAAGTTGTGCATGACAGATCACTGATAGTCGTTGAAGCGATGTCTACCCTCCCTCTTTTAAGTTGTGCATGATTATCACTGACAGAAAGTTGGCCATCTTGGTTCATCACCGGTTGGAAGTCTTGACTAGCTGCTGCTCCCCTGTTGCAGGAGATTTGCCAAGAGGTTGTTGCTCAGGACGACCTCCTCTTCTCCCTCTTCCTGCCTGTCGTCGCTGAGAATTTCCCCCATTCATCAGTCCTATACATGGCGTAGAATCATCATATCTCGCTGGTTTGTACCACAAAAACTGGTGTGATGTAACTTGATTGCTTCTGATAAAGTGTTGATCCATGTTTCTGTGAAGCTTTCCCGGGTCGCTGATGTATATTTTTGTCAAATCCACATCATTAATTCGTATTTTCCTAAAACTCGAGAACCTGGGCAAGCCGGATCTCTCTGTCTCTGTCTCTCTCTCTCTCTCTCTCTCTCTCTACACAACGTTTTATGGGCCGGGGACTTAATGGGCCCCTTTTTTGTGTAGAGAGACAACATAAAAGATGCGCAGGGGCATGTGAGCGCACTTCCTCAGCTGCACCAAAACTTAGCGGTTGTGATGGCAACGTCAAGAATATATGTGGATTCTTGATGATCGACCCTCTACAGGGGGGGGAAAAACTGAAGTACATTTCCAATTCCGAATAATGAGTTGGTATGGTATTACAATGAGAGATTATTGGGCCAACGTTGACATTCATCTGAACCTACGGGGGACCGCCTGGCCTCGCCAGCAGCCTCTGGACTGATCCACTCGGGGCCCACCGCCCAAATAATTCGACCATCTCCACAAGGTAAGTCATTGGAAACATCGAAGGCTTGCCAAGGTTTGGATTATATTATTCCGAGGTGGATTATATTACCAAGGTTTGACTATCGGAGGAACGTTTTATTTAAAAAAAAGAAGAAGAGAGAATGAATAATCGAAGACGGATCGTGATTATTTGGTAAACATTTAACGGTTTTTAACACCCTTTGGGAGTCTTAGTGTTTTTTTCATGCTTTGATTCATAGGAAACCTCGAAGCAACTAGTGATCTTGTACAGTAATATATCCTTCTTATTACTCTGTAGGGCAAGAAACCTGATAAGACCTCTACATTCACATTCTACGTCCTTCCATTTCCGACATTCTTATCACCTTCTACACCCATAAATGCTTCCATCATTATTTAAATTAAAAAAACTTAGGAAAAGATCTAAATGATCTCTTTCCTAAGATTTTTTAATTTATTTCTAGATTATAGACTTCTTCCATTTTATAAATTTATATTTTATTTATATTTTATTATAGAAGTTTCCTTGGTGAAAATGTGATTAAAATTATTTCCAAAGATTCCCCGACAGTTATGGAAGGGATCATCAAGATGAAGCTTCTTTCTGAACACAATGGCCGCATGACTCTCAGTATCAGCTCGAAATTGGAAAATAAAAAAGGAAACAAAGTTAATAAACATGCTAAATTCAACCTCAAACTGAGCTGGCATCCGGCCCTGTTTGAAAATCAGATAATCTTCAGGGGGATTAGATGGGATGTGTGAGTAATGACCTGGGAAGTCGGAGGAGCAACTCATTGCCGAGAAGGTGATGTCTCAGGATCTCCGATCCAGAGGTCAGAATAACCGCAGCTCACATGTCAACACTTGAAAGCCTGACCAGATCAAATCATTAATGCATAAGTCAACGGTCAGACGTTAAAATTCTACAACCCCATTGGGTTGACGAATGGGCGTCTAAATTAATTCTGTACATTTAATCAAAGGAACGAGCCATCAATGCAAAAGTTTAGTTTTGTTAGTAACGTCGACTAGAATTCAATTTATAATAATCCTCGTCAAGAAAAAACGACGATGGAATGGACTCCTTTTACCCGTTCCTCGTCTACTGCTCGTCCTGTGGCCATGACAGCAAGGCCGCCCTCACCCGTTCGCCTTTGGTTTCGTCCAGTCGCTCTCCTCTCCGGCAACTCTACAAAAACCTTCTACCGCCGGGACTTCGCCAGGACTCGTCCTTTCACAACTTCCGAATAGTGTTCTTGTCGCCTTCTCTCTCTCTCTCTCTCTCTCTCGCTCTCGCTCTCTGTCCGTGTCTCTCGCTCATTCGCTCATTTCTTTTGGTCGCTCCTATCTTTGGCACGATGGAAACACATACTACTGTGGATCTCCTAACAGAAGAAGAGACCTCCGAGTTCCACGAGGCCTTTTGTCTCGTCGACAGGGATGGAGAAGGTCTGTACATCCTCTTCCTCTTCTGGGTTCTTCCGCGGTTCTTTCGTGTTCTCTTGTCAGCGAAGAGCGCTCCTCTTGAGGCATCCATGCGTAGCTATCTCTTCCTCCACGAGGTCTCAATGGAAAAGGAGAGCTTCCATGTTGACTAGATTCCTTTTGCTAACTACAGTACATTGTGCGTCCCAAAATATGGCAACCTCTAATTAGATGACACAACAAAGCCTAGTTTTTCCGTGATGCTTGCTACCTAACAACTGGGATTACTAAGCCAGGGATCTAGAGTAACTGTTCTTGAAGAGTCAAGCCCAAAGTTCCCCACTTTCTCGGAAAACTTCTTCATTTAAATATACCCACCTCTTCCAAGGTCACCAAAAGAGAACGTTCAGAAGTCAATGGAGTGGAAATTCAAAGCAGGCAGTTTCTTGAAAAGCTCAAAGCGATCGTTGTCCTCTGATTTGAGTTCCCATCTTTCATTTTCACAGGCTGTATCACCCTCGAGGAACTCGCCGCCGTCATCCGCTCGCTGACTCCAAACGCGACCAGCCAGGGGCTCCGGCAAATCTCCAGGGAGGTCGACGCCGATGGGAGTGTAACTATCGAATTCAGACAATTCCTAAACATCATATGGGAAACAAAGGTACAGAACTAGGTTTTCATCGTGAGAGAGTCTCAGTTTATCTCGCCAGGCTACTTCTCACCAATCTTGACTTATGGTGGTGCGCTAGCTGGAGGTGGATGCAGAGGAGGAACTGAAGGAATCTTTCAAGGTTTTCGACAAAGACCAGGATGGCTTCATCTCCGCCTTCGAGGTAAATTCCAGCGGACGGATCAAATATATAAATAGAAACACACATATATATATATGTAGATATATATATATATATATATATATATCTACGTTACACTCTGAAGATGGCTCCCGGATGAAATTGGTCTCGCAGCTGAGGACCGTGATGGCAAGTCTAGGGGAGAAACTGACCGATGAGGAGGTGGAACAGATGATCAGGGAGGCTGACGTGGACGGAGATGGGAAGGTCAACTACGAGGAGTTCGTGCGGATGATGACCTTCATATGATGACCTGGATAAGAGGAGGAACATCTCGATTGCCGCTCCTAAGATTTCTAGTTCACCCGCAAATTCGTGGGATTATTTTGGAATCTCATTCTTTTTTCAGTAGTTGCATGGGAGGTGGACGATATTCCCTCAAAACATCCCATTGTTTGTAACATGAGCCTCTGATTAAGGCAAATAGTTCAGAGTTGACTTTTCAGCACATCACAACCCCCCACTGCTCTTCACTTGTTGGTGATTAGTTCGGGCTGACCTTTCTAAGAGCCTGAAAAATAAATCCCCGTCAAATAGAACCTTAGTAAGCGAAATAAGATCCATCAAACAGCTTTTCAATCCTCGGGGATATGAATTTATTATCGGCTGTCGCCACAGACAAGATACCGAGAGGAAGTCTCATATGTGAAAGTTTCCAACTCTCGAATTAAATGCGATACGACCCACTCCTGGTCAACTGTGCCCACCTGGTTGGAACCTAAATAAAGAGCTTCAAAGGGCTTGACTAGAGGCATAATTGCACCTTCAGACAACTTAGGTTGACCTTGACCTAGTCCACCACTGCCAACTAAGAGAATGGATAAGAAATTTGAGGGTCCAACTGATCGATTTTCTTGCGGGGAAATTGAATGGCAACGACTTATCGTGATTTGAAAGGCGGATATGGACGGTCAGATGACAATTGCTACGTGAGCAATGACGCCGGATGCAACCCGATTTCTTCTTTATTCTAGCGTTCGTTCTGGATGCTGCTAATATCGAGTTTGAAAAGTAAGCATGGATAGAAAGTTAAAATAAATCCTATGACGAACTTATCTAGAGTGTTGACTTACTAGATGGTCGGCAAAAATCGTGGTGGGTCAACTTAAGCCACTTTTTTTTCAATATAGCATACTAACAAATCACCTTATCCATCCACCAATTGGTTTGTAGATTTCTCACCAACTGCGAGCATTTTTTTTCTGGAAATAGTCTTAAAGCTTCTTTAGTGAGGGTTACACTCGAATAAATAACCTTCTGCATGACTGAGATATATACAGATATATCTATATATATATATATATGTATATCACTGCCATAACCAAACAGGTGCGTATCATGTGAGGAAATATCGGAAAAAGGTTCATGTTGAGAATTCAATTTTTTTAAAAAAGGGTTAGTTGGTTAATTTTTTCCTTGCGCTGATGCTCCACAATATTCACTTTGAGTACATTTTAATGTTTTCACACTATATATGGTTGTTTTACAGATTTGATCCTGACGTAAAACATGACAGTTTCTTACAAAGAAGCAACTCGAAATTAACGGCAGAAGAAATTGACACTAATTTAATGGACAGTTTCCCATGAAAAATGACTAACTATAATTGTTCTCTTAATTCGCTGGATCATTTATGAGTCTCACGTTCATCTCTCTATAAAGTCAAATGGAGGATGTATCACTAAATGCAGGCAATAAAGTTTAAAATGCGTATAAATTAAAATTTAAAAGTCAAGATGAGTATCTAATGCTGATGATGAGTATGTATGCCATATTAGAATCTTCCTTTAGTTCAATAAACGTCTTATATTTCGTCCACAATCCAGCAACTATGTAACTGTTCTCCAACATCAGGTACCTATCTTTGGGCCTTAAGGTCCAGTGATTGAATCACAAGAATAAATATATCGTACACTTGGAGATCGTAATCATGGGTATGGTTAAACGAATGTACATCAGTTCACATATTCTGAATTTCAAAATTATCAAGTTAAGTCTGTATATCACAAAAAAAGGTTAAGAGCATGTCCCACATATTTATGTGAGACCAACAGATTCAAATGGAGAAACACATGAATAGATGTCTTACACGTAACCAACAAAGAAGTTGACATAAAATCAGAAAAATTCATGTTAAAATTATGTCTGTGCTAAGTATAACATCGATTTGAATTGCAAGAGATCATACCAAAGATAAATCATAAGAGATCAACAATGAGAACATTTGTATACAAGTCTGTGAATAAAAAATGAATTGAAATCACATTCCTTGAATGAAAAATCAGCATAAATGAAATCAGAAAACTTATGGGTGACTTGGTTCCCGTGTTGACTCTTTGAATTAGCCTGTGATGGTAGAACCGATCTCTGAATTTGTATTTCATTTAAGGCGTTCATCACACAGTAGCATATGATGGTTGAAGTAACACATCTCACGGTGCCCACACTAGAGCCTGTTTCAAGACAGTGTAAGTTTTAAACTTGTTGCATCCCACTAATGGTCTAGTTATCTTAGAAAAATCTTTGATTAATATTCTGTAAAAACTAGGATGTCCAATGAAAGATATAAGTTGTTTTATAGAAGAGGATGTGGAAGGATCTTTTATAATCTTGACTTTCCTAATACTATGCCTTCCTTGACTATGAAATGACTTTTTTTTTCCAATTGTGAACTAAATTAGTTTTCACACATCTAGCAAGGACTTGTTTAAATTAATCTAAATAATCATCAAATGAGGAGCCAAAAAGAAAAACATCATCTATGAATACTCCAACAAACTATCAACCATTTTAAAAAATAAATAATATGCATCTTTGAACCATTTCAAGTACATGGCATAAACCAAAGGGCATTTGAATAAAAGCAAAGGCACCAAGTGGACATGTAAAGGTCTTTTTCTCTCAATGATTTTGATTAATTGTTATCTAATTATAACCAAATACCCATAATAAAATACATTTATGAAATTTTAATGTTTATAAATTCTTTCATATCCAGTCATATAGTAGCAAGTGGAGTGCGTAATTCTTTCAAAAATTTAGCATAAATAAGAACATGTCTTATAGTGTCTACTACTATAATCTTCGTATGAACATACTTGAAAAATATCATTAATTTTTTATTTTTTATTAGTTTCTTTCTAATTTGGGGATCTCATATTGTAGGAAAAGTAATTTTAGTTGTATAGTTTCTAGGGCCTACTAGATGTTTTTTTTTACCTAGACTGTCTACTTCTCTACTACCATTTTTTCTCATTATTTAAATATTCTTCCACTAATTTTTTGTTCTTTGATTTTATTTATTCCTGCTATTTTACTTTCATTAATCTCATGACCTTATCTCTTAGCTTAGAATTTTTTTCATGTTACTAGTTCTTTAAGAATCATCAAGAACTCTATCACTACTTAGGTTGGATATGGCTTTTGCATCTTCAAATTGAGGTGCTTAATAAGGTACTTGGGAGTTAACTCTAACTGCTTTAGATGCTTGGAGAAGAAATTCAAGTAAATAATTCATTATATTAAATGTTAATTGACTTAGGAGTTCACTTCATTCTTCTCTCTTTATATTCTATTATATTGACTTTCCCCCTTATATGACTTATCGATGTAATAACTATAATATCATCTGATGTTTTTGATGTTGATGCCCTTAGTTTTGATACTTCTAAGTTAAAATTTATTTATAAAATATTTAAAAAATATTTATCAACTATTTATTAAATAGTAAATTAATTCAATACAAATTTATTTGATAAGTTTAATATTTAAGAAATATTCAAAATATACATTGATGATGCTTGAATAATCCTATGGCTAACAATGAGTTAAAAGAGTTAAATCATTGAAATATTTTCATGGTGAATTTAATATGGTGTCATATAGTTTTTAGAAAATTAGGTATCAACACACGATGATAGGAAGTTATTGGCCTCAGCATGAAAAATACTTATAAGATCAAAGTAGATGATGTTAGGCATAAGATTCGAACGTACACCTTAGACACATAAAAGTAAAACTCTCATCAGCCGAACTACTAAAAAAATATAGAAAAATAAAATCAATGGCATGATTTGAAACCCAAACTGGAGTAATAACATGCTAAAAAGTTGAGTGAAGAAATACAAAGAAATATAAGAGGATCAATGTCTCAAGCAAGATTCAAACTCTAGTGCTATACAATGACAAGAATAAAGTGTGTGTTGAGCCATTGGAAGCTATCAAAGAAGTTTTTGCCATATACCTTAGATGGTAACATATCAACAAAACATATGGAGAAGATGACAAATAAAATATACTTATTTGGACTTTATCTTAGAATTAAATATAAGTATTGATAAACCACATACCCCTAGACAAAGATTTAAATGAAACTAATATAAAAAATAGGCCTTGAATCAAGGAATGAGTGAAGAGTAGTACCATACATTTTAGATATGCCACTAGTATGCCCACAAAAAAACATGACGAAACTTGAATTTGTGTGACCATTTTTCAAATGATGTAAAGACAAAAAGATGTGACATAACATAAGGAATGAGTTTACAAAGAATAAGACTTAACTCTGAATGAAGAAATCTATTTATCATATTCATTCACACTTAAAGAAAGAAACTATTATATCTACGAAAGTCAACCTGCCACACACTTAAAAGAAAAGAGCTGAAAGATTCATCATACATCTCACTCTACTACGGGGATTTGAGTTGACTCTTACTTTAAAATTTGACTCTCTCTATCAGGCCTTAAGGTTCTTGAGTGATGCATGAAAAGGGTTTGAGCTAAGGCATAGTGCGTTGACAACTTATCAGTGTCCATGAAGGGTGTGAGTTCTAAAGAGACTAATATATTTGACTAAGACATGTGGTGTTAAGAATCAAACTATATTTAGGAGGGGTGTGATCTTTATAGAGGTTAGACATGAGTGATTAGAACACTAATCATATGAAATTAGTTGTACTTCTAAAGGAAAATAATGAACTTTGATATGACTAATCATTGAGATTAGATGTTACATAGTGAGAGGTGAAATAATATAAAAATTCTCTGTCCTTAGTGGTGCTGAGTATGAGAAAGATTATAGTGAACCTATGTAGAGGGAAAGACTAAGTTAAGTAAATTCGTATGTAGAACAAAACAATTGTGCAAGAACTTGTGTTGACACATACACTCATAGAACATAACATAAAAATATAATAAAAATTGTAGAAAATCAATTCACCTCCTCTCTCTTGATATTCCACTTAGCTATATGGAACCGAATGGTTGAAATTTTTGTTGTTGAAAAGTTTATTATTGCTACAATATCATTCTCCAGACGTTATTAGCTATATCTTCTATTTGATTTAGACTTGATAGGTTCCCTTGAATCGCTTGCAAGTTTGCAACTAAATTTTGCCAAAGAATATGTGTTTTGTATATTGATGTTGTTACAATTGATAGAAGTTTTAGGTAGTTGAGATTTGGGGTTACTAATATTTGAACAAAAAGCAAGTTTGCTAATGTTTCCAAGAAAAGTTAGGATTATAAGAATTTGAGTAATAATTGTGATTTAGTTTTGAATATCCTTGAGCTACTTATACTTGTTAATGTGGAGGCATCAAAGATTGACTTAAATTAGGACATTCATCTTTAGCATGTGTATGACCTATGAAATATATTATTTTAAATTACAAGGAGAACTAGGCAATATTTGATTGGATTTATTATGTAAAGATAAAATTAGATTGAACTTATCATCTATTTTTTCCAATTGTTTTAATTTCTTATTACTCCAGTCACTTTAGATTGCAATTCCTTATCTTGTTATCTAACTAGTTCATACATCCAACCCTTCTTAAAATACTACTATTCCTATCATAGGCTAAGGATGAACCATAATTTAGAAAATTTTCACTAGGTTCCACTTGTAAATGATATCCCACATCTTCACTCATGCATATAAGTTTCTGCACATGACACATCCACCATAAATTTGGGCTGCTCTATTAGTCAATCATAAAGAAATTGATCAATCTATCACTTAGGAACTCCATGATGAGGACATTTTCTCATAATTCCCTTAAATTTTTCTATACCTCTTGCAACAACTCAACATGAGTTTACATAAATTCTATAAAAGTTTTCTCACTATATTAGTCTTACCCTTATGATAAAAATTTATTAAAAAAATTTATAATCATATTTGACTAATTCTTTAATCTCTTTTTCTAGGGTGGATATCTAGTACTTTGCATCACTCTTAAGTGAGAAAAGAAGTAAAGTCAAACAAAGTGCACCATCAGCATCTTTGACAATCCCACATATTCTTAAATATTCTTAGAGATATTCATGAGGATGTTCATGAGAATGATCATAAAATGCTGAAATCATCTGAAATATATCTAACTTAATATCATGCATACAAAAAGGGCATAGAAAAAATCCATTCTAGTAAGTTGGTTAAAATAATACCAAGTTATCTAAAAGGGTCCACATCTCAATTACCTTTCATTTCTAACTACTGATTGTTTGATTTAATTCGAATAATTCTCTTATTTTCAAGAATAGGTTCTACCATAATGGGGTTTAAGCATCTCTAACAATGCCGCATGCATAAGTCTTTTTTAGTATATATATATATATAAATAATTTTAAATGAGAAGAAAATACTAAGTACTAAAATCTAAAGAAAGAGAAGCAAATGGGCAAAAACAATATTCATAAGGTAGGCAAATGAAACTATTCTTAGCACCAATGAATTAAATAAAAGAGTTGAGAACATGTAACCAAAATTATTGACCCACTCTTGAAATTTATTATTTTAGTACCTAAAATAACAGAAATATACACTATTTTAAGTAACTGCTAATAAGAGGGCAAAATAATGATTCTTTTGATATTTCATCCTTGACAATGATACCAAAATTTCAATGTCTTAAGTGTTGTGTTATAAGAAAAAAAAGTTAATAAATTTATAAATTGAATTCTAAAGATGTTTCAACAATAAGCTTTGTAAAATCATGTCATCACCATAGGAATAAAAGACAAAATTCTGTCTATAATTTTTTCCCAGTACTTATTGTAAATTAAATAACTAAGTGACAGTAAGAGAAGAGAGAAGGTCCCACTAACTGCCAAGTCACTATAGCTGAACTTTCTGTCTTTAGATCCTTGTTCAGCTATAGCTTCAATCTACATTGCCTCTAGACCACCTTGGACTTGTGCTAACCTTTGGAATCATGTTAGACAATGTGGAAAGAGAGAGACAAACCAGAGGAAGAGAAATATTCACAAGCATGTTACCCTACTGATGATGAAACCATATAATAGATGGTTGGCAACTCAATGAGATCTAAAAAAAGAAAATAAATAATTCTAAAACAATCTATGTTGTCACACATAAAGAGCTTCTGAATAGAAATGAAATCAGTTAAAGAAAATATTAAAGAAATAAATCAAGGGACAAAGTAGTATGAAACTCAGGAAATTGAAAGTATGAAGTTTTACATGGAAAAGTGACTACTTGTTCTCCTTCGTGTAATTAGCGAAGAACAAGAAATCCTCTCTCCTCAAAAGAAGGGAGAAACCCCAACTAGAAGAGAGAGATTCTTTTTTCCTTCTTCCCCACTTTTAATGTAGAAGAGGCACGAATCTGTTGCTTGGATTGCTCTATTAGGGTGAAATGGTGGAATGGTTTACCTCTGACTGCGACCCCGGCTGGAAGATGGGGCCTATCACAGGCAAAGGCATCGTCGGGAAAATTTTGAAGGGGGCTTGGAGGGCAGGGCAGATCTCCGGGAAGAAGCCACCAGCTGAGAGCTTGGAAATGGGGTCCACCGTAGGAAGAAACTGGTCGTCAAAAGATTCTATTCACCAAATTTGTACGTCAGAAGGGCCAGAGGAGTCTGGCCAAGGACTCGTTTTCTATAGTTCGCAACAATAAGCAAGCAGTAGTGTAGAAAATTATTTAAAAATTAAATTATCCAATTGCAGGATCAATTGTACATCATGAAATGAGCATGACTACCTACCTGTTTGGCTCCACGTTTCCTTCTTTTCCAAGACATTGAAGTCAGCTGAGTTTTAGAAAGCATGTAGATGGTCGAACTAGCCATAAAGGTCATGTTAAGGGAAATTAGGATATTGACTCTATTCCTAACCAAGGTTTTCAGAAAAATCGACATATGTGATGATTATCCTCCTATCTTTAATATGAAAACTTTTGGGTTCGCTTCTCCCAGAACACGTAATGCTTTATATTTAATCGGTTTCTAACTTCATTCGTCATACTGTTCTTGTTAATCTTCAGAACAATATTATGGTCGTGAAGCCTTCCAATCGCTAAGAGACGATCATGAAGAGACGAAGCTAGTAAGTAGTTCGTATGGGCCTTCCATTTGACCATACGATAAGTCTCACATACTTTCCGTCGTTGCACACCATTAACAGCGACTACGAGCGCTTCAATTATTTTAGAGCGATGAACGAGCCCGAATCTGGTCCTTGACCAGCAGTTCTAAGCGGGAACAGCTTCATAGAGCTTCCCACCCTCCGAGGAAACCAAGCTGTCGTAGTACTCCACCAGCACCTTCCAACCACCAGGGCACATGAAGCCTTCCGGAGGGCTCTCCCTCATCCTCGCCAGATTTCTCATCTGCACAGGAGGCGATCACTCACCCTCTCAGCCACAGTAGAGATACATACACATGAAAGGCAGCGCATTGAGCTTGCTCACCTTGCTGCCCGATACGAAGAGGAAGTCCTGAAGCCTCGACGGATCGAAGAAGGACATCCTTTTCTGGGTCTTGTCATAAGCTGCCATCTGTTCTCCGCCATGGACGAGGACGCCTCCGTGCGTTAGAAACGTGATCACTAGGCACTCCCCGTTGTCGAGGTAAAGAAATGCAGAGAGGAAGGGGCGGGGCGGCATACTCTGAACGGAAGGATGCGGAGCTTCTCCAGGCCGGGGGCCATGCTTAGGACTTTCTTGCCGTGCTCCGCATCGTACAGGTCCCTTTCCTCAGTGGGATGGCTCATGCCCGCGGGGTCTCTGCCGACAATATAGAAGTTGGCGCCTGCATTGATCCTCGCCTTGGCATGCCACTGCACCTCCGTCGGGCCGGCGTAGAGCATGGGAGAGGGGAAGATGGAGACGATCGTCGTTTCCGGGTCCAGAACGCCCTCCTCGAGAACCTGAGAGATTTTTTAGGACAAGTTAACCCTCTTCTCGTTCTGAACGAGGAGTAAAAAGAGCCAGGAGAAAGAAAGAAAGAAAGAAAGAAAGAAAGAAAGAAAGAAAGGATGGTGTACCTTCTCGTGCTGCTTCATCCTCCAGAACAGTGGGACATCGTCGGACTTGGTGTATCCCCCCAAGGGGTGCAACAGGAGAATGGGGTTCTTGAAACCCATCTCCAGCAGACGCCGGCGGGTGTCGTTCATGAGGAAGGCGTGCCCGTTGTGGACGGGGTTACGCAGCTGGAAGGCGAACACGGCGTCGGCACCCCTGCGGATGAATTCTTCGCGGAGTTGAGCCGGAGAAAGACGATAATGGTCGAGGCCGTCGTTGTACTTGATGGGTTCTATGACCTCGAGGTCTCCTCCTATGAGCCAGTCTCCGGCATCGGTTATGGCTTCCTGCACGTAGGGTAGGCCAGGGGCGGTCGTCCCCCATGTTCTCGCTATGCGTTCTTCTTTGTGGTGGCGGTAAATCTCGATCCTGAGGCCGAGCAGAAGACAAATCACGAGTCCCTCAGTAAAGCAGACGAGTCCAGGCCAAACGAAAGGAAAACAGAAGTGGATGGCTACTGGAGAAGGCGGCAGCCAAATAAGAGTATAAATAAATAATCAGGCTACTGTTTGTGGACCTCCGTGAGGGTTCAAAGCCCATGAATCGAATCGTCGTTCATGATATGATTATTGCTAGCTGACTACAGAAAAGAGAGAGAGCTTTGGAGATGCGTTGACGGGGACTCGGCCCAAAAGGGCGGCAGTCAACCGACCAAATATACTCACCCAAGGGTGCGACAGCAGCAGCAGAAAAACGGCCCATAACAAGAAAGCCGGAAACGGTCCTCGTGACTTCGAGTTTTTGAGATTACTAGCTTCCGCGTCCCGCGTTGACTTTCCAGTAAACCGAACTAAAATCTTTTTTCGGTGGGTCAAGAATCTACGGCATAATAATATCCACACACCGTTGACCTTGGTAAAAATTCAGAGTAACTATTACTTTAGCCACCCGATTCGATGTGGTGAGTAATAAGATAGCAGTTACCTTATCTGATGATAAATAAAGCTAATGGATTTTTCGACGAGGAAAGTTACGACCAGTGAAGCCCTAGAAGGCCGAGTGATCGGACTTCCACCAGCCAGCTTGTAAATAAATAAACAATCCGGATTAGAAGAGAGAGAGAGAGAGAGAGAGGATGGGCGGTCCCGAGACACTCACTTGCTCAAGACGGCGACTGGGTTGTCGGCGGCGTCCACCAGGACGACGCTGGTGTGCTCCCCGATGGCCCGCTTCTGGGAGTCGTCAACGGCTAGCACGATGGGCACGGACATGTTGACCACGCCGCCACAGCCGAGGCGGAGACAGTTGAAATGAAGAGTTTGGAGGAACTCGGCTTCTCTCATGAAGCCCCTGAGCGGGCTGGCCCACCCCTCGCTCAACACGTGGACCCACTGGAGGTCAGTCCGCGAGAGCCGGACACGTGGCTGACCCGCCATCTCCCGCCGCCTCGCCTCCCTCGTGGGCCCCGCCGGCGCCACCAGGTCAACCAGCGCGCCGCCGTCCGGCTCGATGAGGGTCAACGAAACTCTCTCGCCCCTTCTCATCCTTCTCCCCCCCCTTCCTCTTCGACCCAGAGGGCTGAGAGATCCGGAAAAGGGCGGAGAATGGCGATGGATGATCGGGGAAAGGGCTGAGAATAGGGCAGCCATGGAGGCCATTGCCGGGGAAGCAGCAGCTAGAGAGAGCGAGGGGGGGGGGGGAGAGAGAGAGAGAGAGAGAGAGAGAGAGAGAGGCAGGAGCCGTCGTATCCATGAACTGTGTAGTTCGGGGAGTGACTTATAGCGAAGGTTGCCGGCGAAATGGTAGCGAAGCCGGCGAGGGGGGATGAATCTGGACGGTGTCGGGGGAGGAAAAGATGCCCTGTTTTTAGAATTCATACGGCATAGAATACCTGGCTTTCAGAAAAGAAATGGGCAAAATGAGGTGTGCCCCCTGACAGCCCGGAAGTAGTAGAAAGGAACCTCTCAATTGACGTCACTCCCCACACTCCCACGACTCAGCTCCGAACAGCGCCGTAACACAAGATAAAGAAGTTCACCCAGTCCAAGCTCTTAAGAAGTGCCGGACTGTCTTAAAGATAGAGGAGCTCCTCGTTGTCTTCTCCCTTCTTCTTCTTCTTCTTCTTCTTCTTCTTCTTCTTCTTCTTCTTCTTCTTCTTCTTCTTCTTCTTCTTCTTCTTCTTCTTCTTCTTCTTCTTCTTCTTCTTCTTCTTCTTCTTCTTCTTCTTCTTCTTCTTCTTACTTGTATTGGAAACTGTACTGATGACTCCCGGTATCGCTCCGAACTTCTGATTGTGCGCATCATATCATCTTGGTAAAGGAAGCGACGGGCTGGATAAAAAGCAGTCGCACGTTCAGCTGTCTTGCCGACGAGAATGTAGTGTGAAGTTTATGACCGCCCTCTCTACTCTCTCTGCATGCATCTCCGCGTCAGAACGAGAAAAGATGCAACGCTGACGTCAGAAGAAAAGAACCTACTTCTGTTATACCATTTTTAAAATTCTTCTCGTGCACAAGATGTTGATTAAAATGGCCTACAAAGGGTACTTACCACCAATGCAAACAGGGTCGATTATCAATCAGCAAATCTCTCCTTTCGTCATTCGCGATTCTATCGCTGATACCTGAGACACCCAACAAATAGTCTTCCATCCTTCGGATGATGTTAACCTGATAATCGTAGATTTCTTACGTATGTGAGACGGAGTGCGGGGTATCCGTCTCGGTAAGATAAATACAGGGAACGGAGACTTTCAGGAGTAGTGGTGGCGTGGTCCATCCAGAGTGATCGCCCCACCAAGCATGCTCACTCACCGCGCCGGCGGCTCGTGGGCCGCCGCCCATTACCTTCCAAAGGGAAAGAAAAATAATAAAAAAGTATATATAACTATATAAGAAGAACAGAAGGAGATTCGGCGCGTGGAGGAAGACGTTCGGTGCCCCCCCCGACCCCCCAACCCACACCGGGGTTATCCCCTTCGCCCTTCGGCTCAAGCACGATTTGCCCCCCCCCCCCCCCCCCCAACAAGCAAAAGAAAAAGAAAGAAAAAGGAAAGCTAGTGGAGACTGATGACCACCACCCTCCTCCTCCTCCATCTTTTTCTCACACGGCCACGGCCGGCAAGTCACTAAAGCATGATGCATGGGTCGGCGCCTACAAAGTTGCCCGTTAGTTTTCCCTGGGCACTCACTGAACAGCTTGCCTCTCCTCCTCTAAGCCGCTGAAACTGTTTTGAACTTCTTGGCCTCTAGGCTTCCCCCTCCTGGGGCCTTCCAACCTTGGAAAACCTTCAATCCGTTCCTTCTTCTTCTTCTTCTTCTATTGTAAAATCTTGACCTAAATGAAATCTCCGGCGTCATCATCTCCTCCCACCAATCACCCAATCTGCTACAGAAGTCTCCGGTTTATTATTTCACATGATGAGGAAGGTAGGCGGGGTGGGGGTCCAAGCTATCGTCTTGGCAACAACAAGAGCCCAGCATGACAGCAAGAAAGAAAGCAGAGCTCAACAAAACAAACAAATCCCCGCCACAGACCACCGTGTCTGTCCTGTCTGCCCCCCGGGATTGGGGATTGGGATCATGAGCTAGAAAAAGCTAAGCTCATAGCTAGCGAGTGACGGAGCGATCAATCATAGCTGGGTTAGTAATGGCCGGACCAGTTGGCGGCACTGTCAACCTTGCGCATGCCGCTGGTGGACTCCTTCTTCGAGCTCTCGTCCACCTTGAAAGTCGACCCACAGACCTGGCCCTGGCTGTCGACCCTCGGCATCGGCTTCAATGCGTTTAATGGGTGCTCGTAGCTCTGCAGCCCCCCGGACGTTGTGAAGAAGCACCCTGTCAGTCGGAGACAACAACAACAACAACAACAACCAACAACAAAATGGTGTGGTGGTGTTAGGCGGGGATTCATGAGGCTGCTGTATACTACTACAACACATGCTGTTGAGTTGTTGATAGGCCCGCCGCACCTTTGGGGAACGGGGCAAATGACTTCCCACAGCCCTTCTTAATGGTGTCAGAGTCATCAGAGAGCACGAGACGCCCATCAGAATCGGTCCCCCAGAAGAACGGGACACTCTCGTCCGCATCCTGAATCAGAAGAGAAAAGGATCGAAAAATTCAGATTAAACAGACCGGCCGCAAGTTCCACAGTGCAGGAAGAATGTCGTCACATCATTTTCGATTCACTAGTATCATTTCTGAGGACTTCTCATATATTACATCTACTATCAAGTATAGAAGCACTTTTCCTCGCATGAATTCTGCCTAAAATTTATGAGAAGCATTTCCACAAATAATTAATTGTATACTTGAACAGATAATAGTTTCCCTTGTGTTTCTTCACAAACGATGAAGACTATTTTCTCACGATGAAAAAAGTCTAATCTACCGTAAAAAAATCGCAGGGATATAAATGTCAAATCAAGATGAAGAAGAAACACACAAAAAACAGAAATAATCTAACAACCAAACAAATAACATAGAAACGACAAGCTTTCAAGATTTTCTCCCAATATGGGGTTAATGGATTTACTTACAGCAGCAATGAATGTAGCTTTGGATAAGCTGTCATAGAGAATGAATGCAAATTTTCCACGGAGATCTCTGACGACTTGGTCCGCAGGATAAGGCCCTCTGTCCCTCAGGGTTTTGTAAGCTTCTATGACAATGGTGACTTCATTTGCAGTCTTGTTCAACCCGTACTGTTGCTTCAGAGGGAAAATGTTCTCGATGCTCCCCTCAAACAGGCAAAATATGTCGTCCACAACAGCAAACAATCTGCATAAATGAGGATCGACGGGCTCCCGGATTAAGCAAATACCTCCAAAGCGAAAAAAAGATTAAAACTGAGAGATAGCACAGTCAAATCAATAAAGAAAAAAAGTTATCTTGGTCTTCATTCATTGAGAAGGCATGCAGAAAATAAAACGAGCCCTTCTATAGATATACTTAGAAAGGTATTATCGGCCGTGGAATCAGATCAGAAAATAAAGTAAAGAGGACAATAAAGGCAAGTAAGTACATTAACAGCCAATTTAATAGAAAACAGAAAAAAAATGTTCAGCTCATGATTCTCCCAATGATAAGAAGATATGATATCCATACCATCAGATGAATGAACAAAAGCTAGAAAACGTACTCTTATTATGTTGATAACGTATCTCCAGAAGTACTACAATGTGTGTTCGGATCAGAAAAGGCACGAGAAAAAAAAAGAAATCATCACCATTCTTGTTACCAAGAAATAAGGGTTAACAATAATGACATAGGGCAAAGGAACCTAAAATTATATTTTCTCAGTTACCAGTGCAAAATCGTGAACCTCGAAGATGGCCAAAGCAGGAAATGTTGAGAAACGGTGAAATAAACATCAAACTTTTAGAAGCATGAAGTTGCATTTAAGATTTAATGACCAATAAGAGGAAAAACAGAGGCCAATGGTTGAGGTCACAACTGAGACGGAGTGGAGAAGAAATGACCTGCGCGACCCACGAACAATCGTTTTACTTGTGAACTGCTTGAATGTATAAGGTTTTCTGCTGTTTCAAGATTCAGAATCATCGAAAAATTTAACGGTTCTTTCGATACTTCAGGAAATCAATGGAAATTATTCTTCCCTCTCTTTATTTATCTGGAGCCGCTATGCAAACCCAATGGAGGTAGAGAGGAGGTCCAAGAAGACGGACATGAAAGGAAGTAGTAAAGTGACAAGATGAGCAAATGTAAAAATTTCAAATTCTTTCAAGAGCAGAAATAGAAAAGAAAAACCTCACAAAGATACTAAGTATAGAATCAAACGGAAGCGCCATCTAACGCTCTCCACCGAAGAAAAAAGAAAAAAACAATCAGAACGTTTCCAGGTCAAACGATTCACAAACAGAATCCAAGCAGATTATGGAAAAAAAACTAAAAAAAAAAAAAAGTCTCCCAGACAGGTCTCACAACACCGTGCAAAGCGATATCAGCCAGGGAACAGTAGGATCGGCGCTATGTTTAGGGATCAGAAAATCTCTGTCGAGAACGGTGGTGGTTACCTCGGTAAGAGGGGGTTCTGCTTCTCTGAAGAGTAAGCGATCGCGCCAGAGGCACCGAGGTTCACGGCCACCGCCCCTTTCCTGGCGGAGCAGAAGTCATCCACCAAGGAGCCGGCCACGTGGGGCTCCCCCGCGTCCTCAGTCCTCAGCCCCTCGGGGCTCTTCGCCACCGTCTTGTCGAAAACCGCCAGCATCTTCACGCACCGCCGATCGGCAACCGATCAAGAAACCAGAAAACCCCCACTTCCGAGAGAGAGAGAATGGTCGCAGAATGCGCAGTTAGAATAGCCTCAAGGCCACTATAAATAGTACCGCCGGAGGCAGAGAACCATCAGACCAAAAAAGGGTCGGCGTTACCGATCAGTCAACGCCGCCCGAGGACGAGCATCCACCGTCCGACTCGGATCCGACGGTGCTCGGCCGCTTCCGGCATCAGCGACCCTTGGAGTGGGCCCCACGGACGAGATCCTCAACCCCCACGATCGCCGAGAATCCATCTGCCAACGCCGAGCGCCTCACTGAAGAATTCGCTTGTCAACGATAAATCAATGCCAGGGGGCCCTCTTTCTCTCCATGCGGCTGAACTCGTGGACTCCAAAGCCCCGATATACATGCGACGGCATCACAAGCCATGAGGAGAAACGAAGGCCAACCAACTATACATGGCAAGGAAATCAAGTCAAAGTTACCCACTCCGTAATCCGTCCGGGTGTCAGAGAGAGAGAGAGAGAGAGAGAGAGAGAGAGAGAGAGAGAGAGAGAGCCCTTTATGCACATACAGGTCAATCCCCCCGCCTTCTTTCTCTTTATTCAGATCACAGTGGATACGAGAAAGAAAGAAGGCAGAGTAGAGTACACAGAAGAATATTGCCCACTGCTTCAGCGTCTACCATCTCCCTGATGATCGTAAGCATCAAGACTCACCCTCATTCAGCTCCCACACAGTGTCAGAGAGGGCACGTTGACCTTCTAAGCAACCGGATGCTTCGATCCTCCTTTCCGTGGGCGTGTACCTGCACTCCAACTGGCAGCTCCAGAGAGGCAGAAGTTCAGGTTAAGTTCAGGAGAGAGAGACATGCAGCCCAGATAAGGAAAAGAAAGTGGTTCAGAAGCAGGGATATATATATATATATATATATATATGTATATATATACACAGGGGATTTGTTCATCTGTTTCTGTGTCTGTTGAATGTGTTTAGATGATTCCAGCACGTCCTGCCACAAGATGAAAGCTCAGATGAGATCCCGCCCCCCAACCCACAGATTAACCTAGAGTAATATCCTAACAAGGGACAAGGGAGAACAAAAATAAAATAAAATCTTGACCAAGGTACTCGTCATGGAAAAGTCATATTAATTAAATGAGCACGTGATGGGAGCCAAAGTTCAATTAAAATTTGCAAATTGACGATCCCATAGCAACTGCAGGCAGAGAGAGAGAGAGAGAGAGAACCAGGTGGTGGAAAAAAGAAACGATTATCACAGACTCTCCATACATAGAAACAGCAAATGGGGACTGTTAATAATGTGAGAAAAACCAAAGTTCAGAATAAGCGAATGCCTTTTGCTCTACTTTGGACTAGTAGAAGACAACCAGCGGAGTTTCTCAACCAAGACATTCACTTCCTCGGCATCTGTTTCTCCCGCATTTGGTCCACCTGATTTATCTACGATGCTTTCACTCAGTAATTCTTCCCAAAATTCATCATTCAGTTCCTTTTCTCCACTTTCTTCTCGTCGCTCCCCCTGCTCTTCATCTCCCCCGTCGTGGTTCCCTGCATTCATCTCGTATGCAAGATACTCGGCCTCCGAAATTTCAGGCCCATAATCATCATATTTGGATGCTTCTATTTTAATCGTTGACTCTACATGTGGGTTTTCTGAGGACGGCACGCTGCCTCCATCAGGTCCCTGGTCGATTGACCTCCTCCTCTTCTTGCCAATAGCCTCTTCAATCTCCTTTCTTCTTTCTTTCTCCTGCACTAATTGATGGATGAATGCTGGATTCTGCATTGCCCGCGCCAAGAATGTCATCATCTGCTGCTGTTTCTGTTCAGTTCCTTGAATTCTTTCTTCCATGGCATGGACATAGGCTCTCGTATTCTGATGCTCCTGTCTCAGCTTCACCAACTCTGACATGAGAATATTCTTGTCTCGCTTTAATCTGTTGATTTCTCCATCCAGCCCAAATTGTCCAACCTCAAGACAAGGACCGACGTGGTGCTGGTGATGAGAGTGAGTGGGTGGTTTTCTCCTCTTTATGGTCTTAAGAAGATGCTTCTCCCCTTTGATAAATCCCTCGTTCGCAAATTCCCATCTGTCTGGATCCACCTTTCTAAAGCCCTGCGAAATCAAATTCCATCTCAACACTGAATCCTGTGGTACCCACTAACGACAGAGCTATACCGCAGAGAGATTCTATCCGACAAGAGAAACAAAAGGAGCCAGGCAAACAGAAGGTAGCTATACCACAGAGAGATTAAACCTGACCCCTTTTTTTGATAAGATATGCAGGGTAGCTACATTAAGCGGAAGAACCCAGGAGAAATATATTGTATCAAAGACTAGATGAGTTCAGAAAGAACATGATAGCCAAAATAATACGAGCTTAAGCTCTGAACTCCTCCCCCCTGAGATGAATACACAAAGCGAGGGAATTTGATAACATCAGTTTATCATGAGCACCTAAACAGACGATGCTCACAGCATAACCTACAGAATCATCCGCGCGGGGTTAGCTCGACTGGCTAGAAACTTACATATGTGTTTAGCTGCCTGACGAAGCTGGAGAAGTTGCTGTGCTTAAAGTACTTGGGCAGCAAGGTCATGGAGAAAGCGTGGGGATCCCAGACCACGAAGCTACTGCTCGTGGAGCTCCATGATACCACCTGATCAGTGTCGGGATCTTCAACCATGTCGTAGATCTTGGTGAGAAAAGGAGGCGGCCCTACTTCATGCAGGCCCTCAATCGGCCGTGGAGGCTGCTGGGGCGGCCCCCATAGCGGTGGATCCCCGGAGCCAGAGGAGCCAGCCCCAGGGTACTCTTCTTTCACCGGATAGGGTAAATTCATAAGCGTCGCCCAATGGGGCAAGCTCGGACACAAGATGGCCCCGAATCTTTCTGAGGTGATTCGAGCCTTCGAACCCAAAATACAGGAAAGCTGCAGAACGAATTCGGATAATTGAAGCCTCCAGGGATGAGAAACTGCAGCAGGATGAATACAAGACAGAGACACTCCTGAGCAACTGTACAATCAACGCCGATGAAAAATAACTGATCCACCAGAAACTGCTGCTGCTCCAGCGGAGACTAACAAGGCAGAACAACTAAAATTCCCAAATCTTCAGGTTAAGAGAGTGTCAGAAGTCACCACATCTCCGTAAGTAGAGAAACAGTTGTCTGCGGTCCAGGTTTAACAAGACAGCCGAGAACAAGCAGGAACCGCGGAAACGATCTTCCGCCGGGGAAGGACGCTCCGTCACGGGCTCAAAGCTATTGTGAGCATCAGAGGAGTAGAAAGGCAAAGAAGGACCGAGCGGAGGAACGATCAGAAGAAATCAGCGCCACCGAGGCGGAATCCCCCCACCAGCTGCTCCTCCGATGCGAGTGAAGAAGCGCGCCGCAACAAGGGAGGAGCGAGTAAGGACGCAGCGAAGAGCTCACCAGGGATTACCGTTAGTTAGCGCGGCCGGAAAAAACAAAAAGGCTTGAGCTGCAAGCAAAGGGATCTTTCGAACAGAGCAATCCGGGGTCGATTGAAGCTTCTAGAGGCGGTGGGTGGTCGGTGATGCTCGTCACGCGGAAACTTCTGGAACCCCGAGGGGGGACGATGGAAAATCAGGGAACTCTTAGTCAACTCTGGTGATCGGGTTTTTTATTTTATTTATTTATTTAGGAGAGAGAATGACGATTTGTATTTTTCTCAAGCCTCGACCAACGAGTTTCCATCCGAGTTTAGAAAGAAATAAGTCAAAAGGGAATGCAGATTTTTTCCCCCCCGCAGGCCTAGTGTCGCCACGTGTCCCAGAGAGGTCTCGTCGGCCGAGACAGTAGCGTGTGCTGGCCATCCGGGGGCAGATCCCCGATGGACGGACAAGATGCAGTTTCGGAATGCATGGCAGTCGTCTCGCCAAAGCGAGCACCGTTATTCAAAAGAAACAAACAAACAAACAAACAAACAAACAAACGGAGCGCCGTTAGTCAAACAAACAGAGGTCAAGTACTGCGACGCACGTCAACGACGACCCCTTCCACAGAGTTGGTCGGTGTAAGGGCGACGGACTACAACGCTCTATGTATATAATGAGAGAGAGTGCGGAGTCAGTTGTAGACCATGTACTTGGGGGTGGCGCTGAAGCGCTGGTAGCCCTTGATGACCTTGTCCACAGCCTGCAGGAAGTCCTTCTCGGTCACCGTCTTCCTCCTCGCCCGGATGGCGAACATCCCCGCCTCCGTGCACACGCTTCGTATGTCCGCCCCTGCAACACCAACAGCCCCAACCTCAACAACACCAACACCAACACCAACCAGCAGAAGGAGAAGGAAGGAAGGCGCACCAGTAGAGTTGGGACAGAGGCGAGCGAGGAGCTCGAAGCGAATGTCTCTGTCGCAGTTCATCGTCCGGGTGTGGATCTTGAAGATCTGCGTCCGCCCTTCCAGGTCCGGCAGGCCGAACTCCACCTTGCGGTCCAGACGACCCGGGCGCAGAAGGGCGGGGTCCAAGGTGTCCGGCCTGTCCGTTGCAAGGGCGGGGGCAGAGATAATCAGGTGGGCATGGAGGAGAAATGCATGCAGGAGGGAAGAGGAAGCAAACCTATTGGTGGCCATCAAGACCTTGATGTTGCCGCGGGCGTCGAACCCGTCGAGCTGGTTCACAATCTCGAGCATCGTGCGCTGGACTTCGTTGTCCCCGCCCGCGCCGTCTTCGTAGCGCGCGCCGCCGATGGCGTCCACCTCGTCGAAGAAGACGATGCAGGCCTTCTTCGAACGGGCCATCTAACATGTAACAACATCCACGCACAGCAGGAACAAGCAGCTCAGAGCTGGCTCAATTGATTCTGATTCACTCGGAGCAACTCGGGGCGCACCTGGAAGAGCTCGCGGACCATGCGGGCTCCTTCTCCGACGTACTTCTGAACGAGCTCGCTGCCTATGACACGGATGAAGCATGCGTCCGTCCTGTTGGCCACGGCCCTGGCCAGGAGAGTCTTCCCAGTCCCTGGAGGACCGTAGCAGAGGACGCCCTTAGGGGGGTCGATTCCAAGCTTTACAAACTTCTCCGGATGGAGCAGGGGAAGTTCCACAACCTGGTGAAGATGACGATATAAACCAAAATTAATACAGAGGAAAGAGGGATGGATGATGTGATACGATCAATACAAAACCCACCCACCTCTCGCATCTTTTCGATCTGCTCCTTGCAGCCGCCGACATCATTGTACGTGATGTCGGGCTTCTCCTCGACGGTCATCATCGTGACACTGGGATCGATCTTTGGGGGTAGAGGAATCTGGATCTGATATTTGTTCCGATCGACCCTGAAACCCAAAACACAGATAGGATAATAAATTAGAACCCAAGAAGCCAGCTATCCATTGTTGCGAACAGAAGCAAGATAAATGCAGTGAAGAAGCAACAGCTACACTTAGAGAGAGAGAGAGAGAGAGAGAGAGTAACAGCTTTACCCAACGCGCATGCCTTCTTCAATATCAGTGGGAGAGACTTTGTCACCTAGACCGACAACAAACTAGAATTGACCAAAGAAAGGAATCAGTAAGTTGAACTAGTATGTTAAGACAAGAATACCACATACGTAAAGCATGTTCTTACCTTGGCAATTTGCTTGACATTGATCATGTATTTGGCATCTTCTGTGTTGGGATTTATTATTTTAGTGCACCTTGCAACCTTGTATGCCAGTAAGTGTCACTCAAAGTCAAGTCCAGCCGATGTGTCTTTTAGAGATCTAGATTGACTTCTCAAGTCGTATCACATCTCACCTGAAGAGGTTGCTCTTCTTGCATCATCTGCTTATCAGAAACCAAATCCCACTGGCTAGGAGGAGCTAATCCGGTGTCAGATTCCTTTATTCCTGTAGGTTAATGAGCTCAGCAAGACACAAAAGCATCTAGAATTCCGTGCAAAAATATTTAAAGAAAAAAAATCTTCCAAGAAGATTTAATGGTTATAACAATGGACCACAATCTCCACAGAAAATTCACCCGAGCAAGCTTAGGAGAAATGTCATGTGAGAAAGACGATAGAGGAATTCACAAGAGACATTACCATATCCAGTTTAGTACGTTTCTTAGTGACTAACAAGTTCCTTATCCAGTTTAGCGCATATAGCTTACATTTTGCCGAGGGAAGGAAGATGCCGATCCACCAGCCTACTACTCAGGAGTAACAAGGAAACGAAACTTGGTTTCTAAAATAATTTATTAAAGTATCAAGCATCTATTTTTAATACTACGTCAATTCCCACACTATTTGGACAGAACAAGATATATGAATATCAAAAAATATAAAATGTTTTATCTTATGCACTACAAGAATATCACATATCAGAGTAATTTCAGCTATGTGAGGACATAAAATATCACGCATACCAATTTTTCTGGCATCCTACTAATCCCATTTAACGGATCCTTAACAGATGATCTCTCTGGTTCGGCTAAAGGTGATTTTGAAGTATATTACACTTCGTTAGGCTCACAGCAAGTTATCAAGTAGGGTTATTAGGTTTTGGGCCCATGCATAACCCCCCAACGTCAAAAAGCCTCCCTATTAGGCAACTATCTACAAATCGTTTTCTAATTTTCAACTACATTGCCATAGCCGGCAAATATTTGAGTAAATAATCCATCACAGGCAAGCCCCCCCCCTTCCTCTTCTTTAGTAAGAAAAAAAGGTCATTCTCCTACTCCCACAAGCAAACCACTTTCATCAGCTGCCCACCTGATGATTAGATCCTTCACTATCCCTGCTTCATTTTCTCAACACATGGAATCATAAAAGAGAAAATAATCCAATATGTTCTTGTAATCTTAAACCTATAAATATATGAATAGTTCTCAAAGATTGACAATAAGGAGGGATTTTCCCCTCTTTCTATTTATCATATCCCATTTATCAATTAATTTACCTGTTCCTCTACTGTCCACAAATTTTCAGCAACAGGCCACCTGAGCCTAATAACGCAAGGAAATCGCCTCCAACTCTGCAGCACAAGTGAAGCTAAACTAGAATGTTCCATACTATTCTGTGGTTCGCTGAAGACTCATATTTATCCTCCAAGGGGTTAAGTTCCACTCAAGTTTACCCAGAAAATCAAATCGTGTGTATTGCTCAAGAAATTCGCTCAATTTGCATTCATTTTAAAAATTATCATTGACCATTCGACCCACCCTATCTCCATTTAGTACACAACCAGGGAAGTTTCGACACTTACGGATCGTCTGGCTGATGTGAATGGTATAACCATCTTAAGAATAAGTTGTATGAAAAACTCGGAAGAGGTTTTGAACCAAATCCAAATTGACCCAGCATATACTTCACTGTAACATCACAAAAAGTCACCGTAAGACGCATTAAAATCGCTGAACAAGGCATCACCCAAGGATATACTGGTTGGATGATTATTCCTCAGCAATTCGAAACCATATCCGTAAAACTTTGAGAACCAATAGTCACAAACCTAAGCTTAGATACTGAAGAAGGCATGCTTCCATCAATCTTCTTACTGTGATGAGCAGGCAACATATCATCTATAATTGAATTACATTGCTAAATCGGCTACGCTGGGTCCAGGATTGGGTCAGCAAATGTAGCTGATTCAAGGGAATATCTGATGTGTCTTACAAAATGCAAGAGACTTTATCCATTTTAGTCAAACTATGCCTGAAACAACCAGCTGTGGCCGACAGAGACAGTGATCAGCAGTGCTCTTTAAGTCTCTTTTTTCGCCCTATTCTTCTTTCTTCATGAGACCTCCACCAGATCCGGCAGGATTGCATATGCATATAATTTATGGAGATTAAAAATCTATCAAGAAGTTACGCAAATAACACATGCAATTTGTGACGATTTCTTGATTCATAAAAAGGACATGTTTTCCAAATAACGCCCATTTTTCAGACAATGAACATCGCTATTTTCTTAATTCAATATCACTCAGATTATCTTCTACGATTTTAATCTTTATATATGATAAGCTACATAAAATTGAAGGATAAAATAGTTTGGAATCAAACCACAGAGATCGTTGACTTTCTTAGCAATTTCCTTGATCTCCTTCTCCGCCTTTTTAATCCTTTTTGAAAAAGGTCCTAAGCCCTGACATTTGAATTCAATGAACGAAGAAAGATGGTGCTTCTCCTCAAAAAGGTAAAAGCTGGAAAATAAAAAAGAATCGACAAGTAAAAGCATAATAAAAGGAATCCACGTGTGCGGATGATAAGAATGAGGGTACAGAATCCTTTTAGTGATGAGAACAACACTACATGGCATGCTAACCGACTGAAGCGAGAGACCACCAGAAGCTAGGATCAAGATATATCACAACGAGCGATCAATCAACTAAACAGATCGAAAGGGAGAAACGGGACGGCGAGATCCCAAATCATACAAGAAAATTCCACGGTAAATCGAAAAAGCGCAGATGTTTCGGTATGAAAACCACAGTCAGATACCATCACAGAAGGGGTTTGGATGAAGTCATTAGAGGACAGCGGAAGAAACAAAATCCCAACAAAGCCAATTGAATTCAGTGACAATCAGCCGGATAGATGCTCAGAAATATATCTCTCAGTCCAGGCTCAGCTAAGAAACTAAAATCTCTAGTGACAAACGCATAAGAGAGTCTCCCCGATGAGATGGCAATCGAAATACAAACATAGGTCTGGAGTAAGGCGATGTCGTCCTCGTCGAGTGGGGGAGGGTTCTTCTCGTTCATGGTCGTGTCTTCGGTATCCGCCGTTGGCGCCATCACCACCTCCAAGGCGCGCCTCTGGAGCTTTCAAATCCACTGGGAAAAGCTCAGACACCAGGCACTTCCCTGAAATAGCCGGGGAGGGAGGTGACCAGATCCGTTCTCAACCGCCGACTATAAGGGCGGCGGGAATATCCAACCTTATTGGGCCCAACGTTTTTCATCTGACCGACCCAAACCCGGACACGGCCCAATAAATGGCCATGGGCGTACAACTACGTGCTGCTTCCCGCGAGGTAGCAGACCGTGGACGATGCTTGAGGACGATTCAGAGGCCCCACCGGGGGCGATCGTCGGAATATTTCGTTTCGGTCGGCTATCGGTATGACGTCATTGATGACGTGATGTTACTTTATGCGCACCCTTCGGATAATTCATGGCATTATCGTTAATTTGTGGAAGAACAAGGGCACCGTGAATGACGACACAATGTAAAAGGCTCCGATAAAATGGGGATGGGTGGGACAGAAATCGTCATTTATTCTTTTCCAGACGAGAGAGAGAGATCAGGGGAGGCGACCATGGCAGAGGAAGGCACGGTGATCAGTGTCCGCACCGTCGACCAGTGGAACGAACTGTTTGAGCAGGCCAAGGCCTCCAAGAAACTGGTATCTTCTTCTGCTTTTCCTGTCTGTCTGTCGTTTCGTTCGGTCTTCCCTTGCCGCTTTGCTAGGTTGTCTAGGTTATTGATGTCGAAATTTCTTCGTTCGTACCGAACCGCTCGCAGAATTAAATCCTGATCCACAATATCCTATATCAGCTATACATCCTCCTCGCATTTATGCCGGAGACGTAGCCAGTGCTATAGCTTTGGTCCTGGTCCTATTTCGTCGTTTCTTCCTTTTGTCTATGCAAAGGAGTTTGATCGGCGAAGGCCGTCGGCATCCTGTTGTTCCGTTTTCAGTACGATTTTTGCTTCCACTTGTGATTATTGAATGGTCTATCCGACGCAAAGTATGTGTGATCCGTTGGCGCGTGAACCTGTTGGCAGAAGATTGCGCGTAGTCAGAATCCGTTGTCTCTTGGATGGATCATTTTCTGTGCAGCATGTTCACGATTTACGCATCTGTTCAGGGTTTTTTTTTTCTGTTCTTCGCTTCTTTTATTGACGTATTCTCGTTCTTAGATAGAAGCGGGAAGTGTATGTTGATTGATTTTAGATTTTTATCCAAGTATCAGTGTAAGTTCCTTGCAGAGACAGAGGTTTGAAGGGAAGTGTGAGAATAGAAATCACATGACTTTTTTGTTGGCTTAGGAACGACATCGGCCCAAACTCTTTTTTAGGGTACCTTAGAGGCGAGGAACTATCTACCCTATTTTTTCATCATGTCCAATGAACTCTGCTGCTTCCACTTCATACGTCACTGGGTCAATTAGTATCTTCTGGTAGTCCTTTGCTGCATCTCTTTCATTATGTGCTATGGTTGCCTGGTTCAAGGCACTATCGACGTGGCCCACTTAAACCCTCCAACACAACGTGGTTTGTTACAACTGTTATGCCGTGGATCACTGGACATCCTGGCATGTGTCTAACACGCACTAACTCAACTCTCTTCTGTATACCCAGAGACTTGAGGCATGAGGCAGCGAGTTCGTGGAACATGAATGAGAAGAGGCTAAATACATGCCTTCATAATAATGGATGCATGTTCTCAATCTTTTACTTGCAAACTGATTCCTCCTTTTAAATCCAACCTTCTCCTTCAATGGTCGAAAGAGAGGGATATCTTGGTTCTGTAGCCCCAACTCGACCAAGTCAGGTTCAAAATGTTCGTATTTATTTAGCCCGTTTTAGTGAACTTCGTAGGATTAAATTGGACCCTTTAATCCCTCCACCACCAGTGTAAGAATGAAAGGTGTGACTGCTTCTTGTCTTAACCATTGCCTTCTGAACTTTCACGTTCATTCTTCTACACTAGCAATTGCAATCCAGGTCACGTTGTGTTACACGGCAGGGATGAATGACACACTGCTAAATATCAAGAAACTCTCACAACACAAGCACTTTGTGTACCAACAGTAGTTATGATTTTCAAGCTTTTTAGTAGCTTGAAAAATAAATTATGATCCATCTTGGTTCGGCCTCTTTTTTGTAGAAATTAAATTGCCAACATCTAATCCGAATCAGACCAGACTCAGAAAGCAAATATTGGACGCCGTCCAGATTATGTATTTTACCTCGTGCTTTGTTCTCTTATTTGGAAAGGCATCAAAATTCCAAAACCTAAAATGGCATTGGCATTCGGGAAAATCTCGTTTGACATATGGTTTGGAAATCTTACTAACTTGATTCCGATATTCAGATAAAATCAGTGATACTATTTTCAGATATCGTTGAATCGTTCAAATATTCCATGGCCTCTATTTTTTAGATTCAGATCGTCCCAGTAGCATTTCACTGATTTTCTTGCAATCCCTCTCCTCCTAATGAATGGGACAAAGGTGGTGGTCGACTTCACGGCCTCCTGGTGCGGACCCTGCCGCATCATCACTCCCATCCTTATGGAACTGGCCAGGAGAACCCCCCTTGTCACCTTCCTCAAGGTCGACGTGGATGATCTCAAGGTAGAGTGACCTCCCCCTTCCTTCCCCCGTTCTTTTGCTTCTCTCTGTCTTCTAACAGCGTAGAGTGATGAACCCACAGACGGTGGCGGAGGAGTGGGGGATTGAGGCGATGCCGACCTTCCTCTTCCTGAGGGAGGGGCAACTGGTGGACAAGATGATCGGTGCAAAGAAGGAGGAACTGCAGCAGAAGATCTCGCAGCACCAGTCGGTCGTGTGAAGTGTCAAGTGTGCAGAGGAGGGTGCGCCTTTCCTTCTCTGGTGCTGTGTTATTAACTCGCTATTGCAAATAAATCGTTTGGAGGATTATACAGCGCCTTGTGCCTGCCCTGCTGCTCCGGCCGCTGAATCTTTTCTTCTTATGGGATGATTATCGAATTCCTTGCACTGTATGGTTCCTCTCTCTCTCTCTCTCTCTCTCTCTCTCTCGCTGTGTCCAACGGAAATCAAAAGCTTGTAAGTGTGTTTCCCATACAAGTGTCTGTCGGAGTGTGTGCCAAGGCAGCTGTAACAGAGCAGACTAAATAAAGTCAACGTGTCAGGATGGTCCGACAACGATTGAGGAGAAGGAGAGCCCACGGCAAGAACACATCTTTGGCAGCAGCAGCATCCATAATTCATAGTTACCCTGATATATATATATATATATATAGCACAGCAAGAACGAGGATCTCTTACACGGTGATTCTGGGCGGTAAGACTGTTCACTTGCACAAGCATTGAGGCCCCTTGTGGAGATTGGTATGAAAACTTGTGCAACGCCAAAACCTGCAACGTTCAAGGTGCTGGAGTCTATGCAGCGGCAGCATCGTCGTCGTCGTTCAGAGATTGGCACTTGTTCAGGGCTGATCTGATCTCTTTCAGCATCTCCTCGATGCCGATGCGCTTCCTGCCAGTCACAACAGCGAGCAACATTCCTCCAGTGAGGAGACAAGAATATTGAGTCCACCACCAACAAAAATAAATAAAAAATAAGACTCAGAGTGGCTTAACAGCCTCAGGTGTGGATTACTTCTCCCCACGAATGATGAGCTATTGCTTAAGATGTTCATACAATGCAGAAGCTGTTGAACGGGGAGATAATGATTCAGGCAGGAGACAAATAGTGTTCAGAATAACTTTAATGCTCAAGAGTGTTCTCATCTGTAACGATGAGAGGCACAGGCACAAAGCCTGGTAGGGTTGGGTTTTGTCACACAACATAAACAGCAAGCAGAGTTGTGTGCCCATACTGAGCCCTCATCAGCATAAGCATGGTTTTCAAGAATTTTGCAGCATTTTAACAGTATTTCCCATAGTTGACCTTCCGAGTGAAAAAAAATAGGCGGGTCGTAACTATATCTTACTAAGATCATGCCATAGAGTAGCTGTATCCCATTCCTCATTCTATCGAGGAGCCTTGATCTATAAGTAACTTTGTGTTACAGAAAAAAAAAAAAAAAAAAATCGCATTAAAAAATAATGAAGGATCAGGTTTAGAAAACATACAGAAAGCTAGCACCCACAACAGCAAGAGGTCGTGGATAATCCTCTAGTTGTTTTTCCTTGTCCACATTTGTAGAATCCACAGAAGATGGCACAGCATCCTCTTCCAGAGCTTGAGATAGTTGCTCAGCTTTAGTCCGAGTATCAGAATGTCCAGCCTTTTTTCCAATGATGGATATCTCTTGAGCTAATGATGGCCACCTAACACTAGCCTATCATAAGAATTAAGTTAAAAAAAGGATATAACATTGCATCAAATTAAAACATTCGGCAAATACAAGGTAAGTTTAGTATAGAATATTGACATTTCGATAGTTGGGTCAACAGACAATTTTGGCTGCATTTAAAAATATACAAACAACAGCTCAATTTTGAGCTGAATCAACATCTTCCACGGATAGATCTTCCAGAAATCCACTGCCTTACTCTAGGCAACAAGACCGAGGTTTACTCGAAATTTAGTTTAAAACACTAAAAGTTCAAAAATAACTGATAAATATCTGTATAAACTTTTCATGAGGTGAAATTCGAATTTATTAAAAATAATTATTAGTATATTGATATGAATATGCACTTGGTCAGATGAGTGAACATGAAACCCAAATACCAGACATGGATGCCAATAAAGTTCAAGCTTGGCCATTCATGCAGATGCAAACCACGACTTACTTAAGGGCACCATTAGCAAAATAGACAAAACTATTGGCATAAACATGTCTCATAACTTCAACAAATAGTCCTTCAGACACACCTTTGGGAGGTCGATCTTATTTAACACAACAATATAAGGTCGCTCAAGATAGCTGGGATTGTACATTCGTAACTCCTGCAAAATTTCAATAAAACATAATTCTACCACAAGTTTTGTCGATTTGTTGAAGCATTCATAAAAATAAAATAAATCATTTGATTGGATATACACCATAAGTGGATAATTTAAATACGACATTCATAGTATTCATTCCAACCCAACAAAAAGATAAACATGAACACCTTCCACCATGATTCATTTAGCCTTAATACTGAAAAGTACTTCAGAGGCAGTAGCATTGATTCTCCCAATTCATCACAGCTCACTACCTTGAACTTCTTTCCTATTTCACGCATTAGACATCAATAGAATCTGGTGATACGATGTAGCTCAATCATTTTTGTGATGATTTATGTTCGCATATGGGACTCATGGAAGACAGGAATGAAAGGGCAATATGAATCCTTGTGATTAGAATTACCCACTTCAGGGAAGAGCTACATCTAATGAAACTTCCGCAACTGGTCAAGGTTCAATGTGGACAAGGATTACCCCATCATTTCCTTACACGGATGAGAAGAAACTTTCTGTAGTTAGAGAATCAGAAATTTATCTGATGTACAGAACAGATTCGATGACCTGCAAACCATTTGTTGATATCTGATGGTTGCCAGAACAAGTTACATGGGTTACCAAAGACAGATTCACACTCTCAGGTGTAACATCTAGAAGGTGCGAAGTATTATAATAAAGGAAAGCTTGAATTTCAACCTATCCAGTTACGTATAAACTTGAATAACTGGGATTGAATAATTAGACAATTGTTTTCCATCACAGAATACTGGAAGTCACCAAAAAAAAATCTCACTATTGAACTTTTAACTGACTGGTTGAACTGTGGTCCAAACAGAAAGTGCTAGCTTTACTTTCTGCCTTGGACATCGATTCTCCCCTTTATACAAATATACTTCAGTACTCTTGCCTTACATTACTTGATTCAATGTGTCACAAAAATCTATAACAATAGCAACTTTTGTTATAATATAATCATCTAGTTAAAATGGTTAATATTTCTATATAACCACAATAAAACCATGGTATTCGGTTGAACTTATCTTTAAGCTGAAAGAAAAATCAACGAACAAGTTTCCATCCAATAAATAAGATACGAGAGTATTCAATAGAAGAGGCATTCATTTATCTAAAATAAACGGATTTCAAGTATCCTATCTTTCTTAGTCCATGATATATCCTCAAAGTGCATGCATCAAAAACTCAGTTAACTTTTATCCAGATAAGCTAATGTTGAAAACGCTTGGCCAAACATCACCTAGTCTAGAAAAAATCAGGGTCAATTTTCAAGTTTGAAAACGGACAAATCAGCCGAAAATAAAACAAATTGGAATAAGAACAGCAGATCCGACACTGATTGACCCGATAAATTAATGACAGTAATTTAGGGACTGCCTGATATTTTTGGAATTAGAGCTTATAACCCCAACCTTGCCAAGTTGCGAGCTTGGCAATTGTGCGGTCGTGTCTCCTCACAGCAATAATTGAATTTCCTGACGGAATATATCTACTTGAGATGCCACCTGTGACAGCGGAGCTACGGTGTAAAACCAAAAACGGTATACATATGCTGTATTTCATAAATGCAGCCCAAAAGCTCTATATTTTTCTCATAACTATCTCCTTATCTTAAATACCCAGGGTCTTCTTTTATTCCAAGGCATCTTCCATCTCAATTATCTTAAATACCCAGGAGCCAATTATGATTGAAATCTCACTGTGCCATGAGGTATAACATAGTAAAGTCCATTCCAAGCACTGGTGTAACTTTACCAAGGAATTCCAATCTTAAATAAGGTTGGAATACTCAGAAGCCTAAAATAGAATAGAAAACATTTATTTTCTTTCGTATACATCTTTGAATATATTTCTTTTCGTTCTTTTGACCATAAGATATGGATTTCATTCAAAAGGTTACGAGTCACGGGACTGGTTAATGATATAGTGTGCTGAATGCGGCCTATACAGTGTGCATTCTCTGGATATTTTTTCGAAAGTGATGGCCATTAAACTAAAGCGGTACAGTAGCGAATAGGTGTGCTGAATGAGGATCTCCATGGTATCCTATCAGATAAAGGGTTATGATGACATTGACACATGTGAGGAGTAGCCCAAAAAGGCAAATGGTTTTGTACTGAATTTTAACGAAGAAATGTCACCTCTTTTACTGTTTTGTAATCATTGAGAGGATCCTCGGCAGCTGCATCAACAACATGAACCAACAATCGCGTTCTTCTCAAATGTCTCAAGAAATTTCGACCAAGACCCTGAAAAGAGTGAATGAAATCAGACCATAATTACAGATGGAATGTTTTAGGAGATCATTCATTATTACCTTTCCCAGATGAGCACCTTCTATAAGACCAGGCAAGTCTGCTAGTGTCGCATCAGATGAATATTTCATTGCCCCTAAACTAGGATCACCATCAAGCCGCCCCAGATTTGGCATCAAGGTCGTGAAAGGATAGTCAGCAATATCAGGTTTTGCATGTGTGACAGCAGCCAGAAGTGTAGATTTTCCTGCATTTGGCAAACCCTTGAAAAATAAAGATTGCCACATGTAAGTAATGTCAGGGGTCAAGGCATTCGCATGCTACCAAAGACTCTGGAGAATTCTTAAGGATAAACAGACATATTTCAGTAGAAGGCAGTTATCACATGATAATCAATACTATGGAATGAAAAAAACAATCCAAATGTCTACATAAGTACATGAGGGGAGATTAATGTTTAACGGTTTTTTCATATGCCTTATTTCCTAGACCTTTCAACTAACTTTATAAATATATATTTTCTAAATTACCTCCTCATACTCGCCTGCTCTTGGACCATATGCTAGAATTTTTCATAGCCAGTCCTCAACGTTAAAAAATATGTCTCCGCTCGTCCTTTACAAAGTAATAGGGATGTACCACTAAAACTTCACAATTAACACTGCAAATTTGTACGTTTTGAATCTGCAAACTTCAGTACATTAATGATAAATGTCAAAAAGCCATGGTCTTCATTATGTTGTTCCAGTTACTTTTTCAAAAGAAAACGCAATGGAATGTAATTTCGCACGCATATGACTGAAATGGTGAATAGAAAAACTTTGCAAAGTCGAAGACGAAGAAAACTAGCTTCAACCAAGAGTTGAACGTGCAGACTGAGAATCAAATGGTAGTACAATAATCAAGTTCGTACAGTCATTTAACAAGGTTATTATAACTAAAGGATTGAAAATTTACTGTGTTTACATATTTCAAGGAACACCATGAACAGAAAACCATTTTTTTAATATATCAGGAGAGATCTGAAGCATCCATAAGGCTTTTCATTATATCCATCATCTGTTTTCAGGTTCGAGACCATCTCTAAAAGGAAACTAGTCTTAATCTCAGGTATATCATAAAAACATTTATCAAATTTACCATGCAGCTAAAATAACAAGAAATGGTACCCTGTATGAATAATGTTGAAAGTTTTACAGACAGCATACCACATACCACTAGGCCAACATCAGCAACAACTCTAAGTATCAATTCCAAGCTAACTTCTTCTCCAGGCTGACCAAGAACTAGTACCTGTGATACATTAGAAGGTAATAAAATAACCAGACAATAAGACACATAATCCTTTCAGTAGATACTGCATTTAAGAGTTGCAAGGAATGTAATTCCTAATTTCAAATACACCCGTTACTGAAATGGCATGCTGGTATTACCGGGATTTTTTTCCTCTTCTCTCCACCAAGACAATAAAATGCCCGGCTGATACTACCAGACTTCCCCTTTCTTATATCTCTCCAAATATTAACCATATTAGGGGAGGAGAAGAAAAATGACAGCCTCTAAGCTGAAAGCTGGCAAGACCAGTCTAGCCAGCTGAACTTGACAATCAAACCTTGTCGCAAGATTAGCTGCCTTGTAGATAATAAAAGATGAGTACATATTAAATGGTCAAGTTTCCCGCAAAATATTCAGCACAGGAAGAGAATATTACGGATCTTCCTTTCATTACATGCTTCATTGGTTAAATTCTTGTAAATATGAATGACACAGGTCACTTTAATTTTTCCATACATCACAACCATGAAAGTTAGTTCCCATCCTAACACTTGCAAAGGAGGGATGAAGACAGAAAGATAGAGAAATAGAGAAAATAGGCTATCCAGTCTCGCTGAACTTTTTCCATCATTACAGCTTTACTGCCGAAAAGGAACAGTAAGAGAAGAAGTATCAAACGCATAGATAACAAAAATATTTTCAGTTTCTATCTAATGTACTGGCTAGATACAAAGATAACAGAAATGGCTTGAGTTCCAAAGCAATCAGCTGTCTACCTTGTCACTTTCATCTCTCATCACGTTAGTAGTTAAGTTTATCACCCGTTTCCTCCTATGTGCGGGCATCTCAATCAAGCTAATCTGCAGCAGCAAAGTAAAAAAAAAAACAGATAAAGTTCAGACGATGCAGAAGTTCACAGATATAGTAGTTTCATGGTAGCATATGCACCATACATAAAAAATAATGTAAGAGTTGATCAGGAATCTTCAAAATAAAAGAGAAATAAGAATACATATCTAGGGACGTATAATCAATAAATAAATTGAAAGGGTGTTTTCCAGGTGAATTAAAATAACCACAAATTCAAAGGAGACTCACTTAGAACATAGTTTCAAGGCATCACTTAGGCAACATGGCACCACAGAAAGGCAAGTTTTTCTGTTGCGAAGGCAAAGGCCAGAAAAATTCTCGCCTTCATCACTTCAGTTTCGAGTTCAGAGTCCTACCAACCCGGTTGGGAAGCCTGTGTAGGCATCCTTTAAGTGTGTTCTTGGACAACTAAAAGCTATACCCGAAAAAAGAATCCCAATGCAAATAACCTTAAACTCAATAAATGTGATCAACTAAGACTACGAAATCAGGGTTTTTCAACAATGTCGTGATACTCTCACGAAGAAAATAAATGTTTCTCTTAGTCAAAGGATTGCTTGATACACAGTCTAAGGCATGCTAGCGATTCTTAGATTATGAAGCCTATTACATGAATGACATTTCTTACGTCTTTGACAGTACTCTACGAATGAATATTAATTATCCATTTATGTACGGGTGACATTTCCATAAATACTGTTAAATAATTTGGTTTAATATTAATTTAAGCTTATAAACTAGTATAAAATACCTAAGTACGAGACAAAAGATCACAGAACGAACTGTCGTCAGGGGCACTAAACATTCACATATTTAGAAATTTGGGGCAGTACCACAGACTTTCCACTACTGATAGTGGGTTAAATTTTATCTGATGGTCAGTTTTAAACATCGTTATCATTGTAGTCATCAAGAAACCTGCAACTATGTAGAGAACGCATACCATATGAAGTTGGTTGAAATAAACGCTATGAACTGTGAAAACGGGGAGTGTACAACTGATAAAGCAGTTTATTAAACCGGTAAGACACCAGAAAACTTTCACAATGGTTCTACAATTTCCTGAATTTGTATTGCCACCCACGAATTCCTATTCACTATTCTTTCCTAGATTCACATTCCAACCTGATTCTCCTTTCTCTACAAAATCACAATATTTCAATGTAACATTTTACAACATTGCCTAAGGTAACCTTTGACAACACAAATGAAAACTAAGAGAATTATGTGTCGAAAAACATATTTCCAATGGTACAAAGAGTACTCCGTTACAGGAGAATGTGTTTTTCTTATCAAGGAAATCAAGGATTCCAATGAAAAGAATTCATCATTAATAAACCTTAAGGACAACTGCTTCATAGAGTTTGATCGTTATCCTAAATAAAAGCATTCCAGACAGCCCTGGCTGTTGCAGGCATCAGCTGTTGGTGTGCCATATTGTTTACCTCCCAACCTTATCTAGGAAAGAAAGACAGGAATCTTATAAAGGGCTAAACAACTGTGGACAACTACCTTTTGAGTTGACCAACATGATGAGGCTTAAATGTATTAAATCTTCAAATTAAGTATAATAGATAGGAACAAGCGAAATGAACAACGTTCATCCACGTTTGAACGTACTCCTGGTATTCTCAAGCAACAATCTTGTAGAAAAAAAATCATGTACCTGCCTGTGATGTTCAATTAACATTTAAAGGATCGGTATATAGCCATTCTGTAGCAAAGGGAAGTTATACAAACGAATAAGCATGACTCACCCCTCCATGTCCACCTCTTGCAACCAAAATTTCATCACCAGGCTGTGCAAGATCTGCTATAAACTTTCCCCTCTTGCGCTTTACAACAGTTCCTGTAGGAACTACAGGCCATTAGAGAGATGGCTCTCATCACAACTCTACAAAATTTATCAAGATATAGGTGCTTAAAAATGAGAATAGTTGACAGATCTGCGAAATATAGTCAACCTAAATATACAATGAAAATGCATATCAGAAAAGACTTTCTGAAATTAAAAATTGTATTACATCCAGAATTGGTAAATGGTAGACGTGGCCATTTCTTCAATCAAATAAAATTGAATTACCATGTTTCTACATCATTGTACCTCACTGAGTTTCTGAAAATAAATAATGCCGCAGTATGGGCTGGGAAACTAAGAAAGAATTTTCACCAGGCAAACATGTTTCAACTTTTAGTTCTAAAACTATATCCCGAATATCCGACTAGGGAAGTGAATTCGAAAACATATTAATCCTTCACACATGTCTACCATTCTTATCATTAAAATGTTCCTGAGATGTGTACGATGGCAGACTCATGATAATTTGGTTCTTGAAATTATCTAATTGTGTTCTAATTAAGGAAAATAGAGACCAAACTTGATTACCTAGTTACATGTTCTCAATACAATGGGGTGAAGCCCAAAAAATGTACGAGTAAACGACTATAAAATACAAAACATCTATTCAGACAGGTCACTCCTTTCATATAATCTCATGGTGAAGAGAAACAATTAAGCAACTTACAAACCTACAGGCACTGGAATACGCAATGTTGATGCAGCAGATCCGTCACGCAGCTGAGAAGTCAGAACACCCATAGCATCAACATTTCCCCCACGCTTAGCATTATGCCGACTTTTTCTGTGTAATTCCAGAAGAGAATCTTTACTCTCATCTGCAAAGATAATCACATCTCCACCATGTCCACCCATAGGCAGTATAAGTGATCCATCAGAATCCCTTTTATATGAACTCCTTTGCCTTGCTTGATTTTGATCATCTCTTCCTTGCGATTTTGAAGGACTTCTTTGACCAGGCATTGTAAGGACTGCACCATGCCCTCCATCACCAGAACGTACTGTTATAACAACCTGATCGAAATACTTGTGTGGTTCTCTAATTAAGGAAGCAGGAGGGGTAGAGGTCGAATCTTTTACTGTTGCAACCTTGCTCTTGATGACATGGCATGGGGTTCTTTCGCAGTTGTTTCTCAACTTAATGTCCCTGAAAATAAAATCATTCATATAGGAAATCAAAATTAAGCCAAAATCCGATTTTATGGGGACCATAAAGGTTTAGGCAGGCACGATAACTACTGAAGGGTGAAAATGTTAAGAGTTTGGAAATGTGCACAGAATGAATGACCAAGCGTGAATGCAAGGGATCCGGCCAAGAAGATCAATCAGTGATTTCTACAGGCATGAGGACGCAAAGTTCGGAAGCATCAGATTTCATCAGTTCTTTGTAGTTACATCAAGCTTCCTGCAGCATAGCTGCTACCATTCCTTAGTTCCGTGTCTTAAATAAAAATCTGCACAGTTGTAAAGACTAATTGCTTTTGTCAAATAAAAAATGTAAAAATCGCTCAAAGTATTGTTAAACGTCATCACACAGAATAATGCATCAGTTTCCCAGGGTAAGATTTAGACTGGGTGTAATATCGGATTAATCAGTGGTGGCTGTAAGCTCACTTAATCCGCATGCTATTTTGGTCCATATGTGGGAAAGTCAAGATTCTGAAGGAAGCTTAGCCCAATGAAACGTTTATAATTCAAATGTTCAACGCCTGAAACCTACAAAAAAAAAATCGGTTATTATTTCTAAAATTGAATTTTCTCCTCTTAAATGGTAAAGGTGGGTTTACCGTCAAAGTGAATTAAAATGCGCAGATAGGAAAACCCCATGGAAAAATAAAGAAACTGAAAATGTGAAAAAAAAGATGCGCATCCATTCAGCTTCGCCGGACAGAAGAAAACGAGCAACAGCCATGGAAATACTATCGTCATAAACTCTTAAAAGGTCTACGTTTTCATGAGTTCGTAAATTCAACCTCTCAAACGGAATAGACGACCGCAAAAATAGTGAATAAGCAGAAACAAAGGGAAGAAGGACAGAAGGCGGTCCTAACCCGGGGGAGCGTAAGCGCCACACAGAATGGTTCTCCAAGAAAGGCGTCCGCAAGGACCGCGTCGACAGAGGCCCCGTTCTCGAAGGCGACGACGGCTGCCATGCTGGCAGAGCAGCTGTAGCGGCTGCCATAGCTGCGTAGGTAAAACAGAGAGGATAGGGGGCAAGACAAAGTTGCTGCTGTCGGGAGGATATTTGCTAGATAGATAATACGCAAAAATACCCTATACTAAAATAAATTTAACAAAACACCTTTCTAAGTAAAGAAATGTACCATCTTAATGTTCTAAAACGAGCAAGCTTACCCCTTGCATGACTAATTTTCTTTTCTTCTGTGCCATCACATTCAGCTATGAAGTTATTAGGGACCTACTATAATTCTTCATACCACCATAGCATGAATCGCTCCCCTCCCAACATGAGACCTAGTATCACACCCTTGGCAAAGAGGAAGGAGGATATGGGCGTAGAACCTTGCTACACATTCCCAGTAGAAGTAGAGCATGTAGGAGTGGTGCACCTAGCATGATATGTCCACAATATGGAAGCTTGGATAGGAACTCATGTGGCTTTAGCATCAATATTCAACTCAAGGCACAAAAATATTTCAGAATTAAGAGTGGCATCCACACTTTCAAGCAAGCATTCACACAACTGAAAGTTATATGATGAAACAGGTAAAAGTGGTAACTTGTTCTTTTTTTTTTTTTTACTAGAGTGATTTAAGTACTCTATTTGACCTAGAGTCATAAATCAAAAAATGATTTGTTGAATAATAATCAAAATACTCAACCTAGAGTTGTAAATTTATAAGGGATTTGATGCATGTTATTTGATTGGTCATCTAGAGTGATGAATCTAGAATAGACAAGTCAAGTTATCCTCTATTAGGTGGCCTATAGTTGTGAGGTCGGAAAGTGTTTCGAAATGAAATTTACAAGTATGCTAAAGCTATTAGATCTAATGAAGAACTAAAAATTTTCTATTCATAGTAATCCACTAAGAGAGTAGTAGAACCTAAGATTTTAGGGAGCATAACAGGTCAAATAGACCAAGCCATCATAAAACCAATGTGTCCATAAAGGACCAAGCAATAGATTATGAATAAGTCAATTCTCCTTCTTAGTTCCTTGTACTGCCCAAGTATAGTCAACAATGTAGCAGTGCATATTACATACAATAGACTTGCATCATGCCCAATATTACATACATAATAGATAAAACTAGCACACAACTAATGTTTTATGCTTGCCTTGGAAACCATGAGCATCTAGACCTAGGCATATTAGTTAGATTATAGATGTAGTACATCATAACAATAGTTTGACAAAGTCAATAATACAATTATAGTAATAAGAAAGTAATATAAATACCACACATAACAAAAAGGGACTTCTATAGATTGCTCAAGTATATCACAAAGGGAGGTAGAGTCACCATGAGAAGTGATCAATCATATTGTGAAAGAATATAATAGCCACTAGCCACATAGTACTTTCACATGAGTGTGCAGGTTGCTCAACATCATGAGAAAGAATATGGGTATGATGGGTAAAGGTAGGTTTGTTTTACATCCAAAATCTTGATTATTGAGGCCAACCTATCCTCAATTCTTGATGCTAATATAGCTGATGTTCAAATCAATAACACACAATTTTCCCATATGTAATAAATTATTTTTAAGCTAAGCAAATGAACAAAATTTGCACTCAATATGGGTTCTGAGAACAACCTTTTTCTCTAATTAGCCCAGCAACTTTTTCTAGCTTTATTCCTAAGCCAACTTCATTGAGTCAACTATTCAAGATTATCACTTTAATATACCCACATCATCTTAAACATTTTAATGGGCATAAAATATTTTAGTTATTATTGGTAATCATACTTAATTGGTCTGTTTATTAATGTTAATCCTTCATAACCCAACTATCTGAATCTGATAACCTCATATGGAGGGGTGAGCTAATGTGGCCTAGTTAGGAATAAACTTAGATAAAGAACCACACCTATTCTACTCCTTGAGACCAAAACAATAGAAGAGGCACACCTATCAATGCCTACAATGTATTATGCACACCAGTATAGACATGCATAATGGATGAATCTAGTACACACCTAATCTTTTTATACCACCCTTAGAAACTAGAAGCATCTAGACATAGGCATATTTATCATAGATATTCCCTTGGGCCACTGACCATCTGCCAGGGGTTTTCAGTTTAATAGTTATATTTGAGACAATTATCCAATAAATATTAGTGTGGTACTTGGTATATTGATTTATTTTGGAAAGAGAGCGTGTGCAAGTTGTGTTTTTCAAAAATAAGTTGGATCTGAATTACTACACTTTATTTTATGTTATTAAAAAATTGAATAAGAAATTTACATTATCTCAACATATTACTTCTATACAAATTACGAAATCACATGTAAAAACCATAGCATTTCATCAATAATTGGTAAATTTATGTTGGTTGTCTGTTACCCTATAATCTGATCCTATCTTGGAGATCATATAATGCTTACTCTGAAACCTTTCATGTACATAGTGATGATATTGTTTGTTCTCTCTTCATCTTTGGATTTTTACCTAATGATTCAACGCATAATCATAGACATGAGGGATTAAAAAATAAGAGCTTTTTTATCATTTATCCTTATTTTTTTAATATTATTGAAGAATTCCGTACACTCATACTCCTTGAAAAAGAAGGAGAGGGTACGGATGGTGCTGATCCACACATACTCCTCGAAGAGCAGGTTGGAGATGGATTACCATGGGAGGTTGCAGCCAATCATGAACTTCACAATGATGTCATACCCAATTGCTATTCAGAAGAGAAGGCCTTAGGATGCAGGTTGGATGGATCTGGTGTTTGGCCAATGTTTTGATCTTGACTTTGATTAAAGCATATGCATTTCATCTCTAGTGAATTTTTCAAGCAATAATGATGATGAATACAATAAGTTATTGCAGACATCTTGATGTAGATGTCAAATAAAGCAGAGATAGAGTTTTGATGTTATTTTGCATTTAGACAAAAGTATGCTATCACTGTCCAAAGGAAAGTAAAACAAAGTCACGAATTTCAAAGGTCATTAAATTTTCTTAGGTGTTTAATGTTTTCTATGATAATAATTATAATAATGATTTGAATATTATTTTAGTTTTTTTCTTGCCTCCATTTATAATAGGAACTCCAAAGATATTTTCCAATTCCTCTTTCTTAGACTGGAGCAAGAGCAATGTCCTCATTGGCATGTCATAAGCTTGGTCGTTATGACTACCATCAAGTTTTGAGTCTTCTTTGTCAAGCTTAGCACCAGCATTACAAAAAGAAAACGAAATCAACAGGTTACCGATTAGTAACATATATTTATAACATGTTGAGATAGAGATAAATAGAATTGAAAATAGAGATAGGGTACTCATAAGATACCATGTGTCTTTGTCTATACAAAAAGTGAAAGAGAGAAGGAGAGGAAGAAATGGAGGTCCCAACAGACAAACTAATTTTGTTAATGCTTCTTCTTGTAAATCCCTCACTACAAAAATGATCTAGGTCACAACAAAAAATGAAATTCACCCATAACTTGTTCTCATAGATCACTAGCTTTGGCATGACCTTCGTAGTAGTAAATGTTGAGTACATGGCGAGTGTGTTCCTCATACTGATTTTGTATGAATAATAACATGAAAGAGAATAAAAATGATGCAAAAATTGTTGTGTGAGAGTTGGAGAAGAGGAGGAAGAGGAGGGTAACCGATGATTCGTGGCCCCTAAAAGAGGAGAGATAATAATGTTCCAATGATAGAAAGAGTTTATATAGGGAACAGAGAGAGAGAGAGAGAGAGAGAGAGAGAGAGAGAGAGAAAATGTATAATAAAAAGATAAAAAATAGGCTTAAAGTGGGTCAGTCCACCAGCTCAAAAAGGTACTTTTCAGCTGTTGTCATCTTCAACAGTGCTGCATCAACTTTCAACACCTAAACTTGGATTGATGGAATTGCTAAAGATTTTTTCATAATACTATGTTTTAGAGAGGACTTCATTTAATGATTGATACTCATCATGGATGAGTGTCAGACCATCTTCAAAAATAAAAATTTCTATAGTTCAGCACAAACTAATTCATCATCCATTGGCCTTCAACTAGGACAAATTATGACGAATAAACAAATCATTTAATATTTAGATCAATATATAAATATAAATTTTAAAGGAATTACATCTTCCATCTCAATACAAAAGAGAAACTAGCACATCACATATCACATTAGATAGTATTTTATCCATGGGAACATGCCCAAAATCATAACTAACAACTCATAAACGATTTAAAACAAAAGAAGTGTCTTTCATTTTTTAACTAGAAACTATTTAATTTGAGACAATGAGTGGTAACTTTGACCTTCTTCAAGAGAGCACTTGTTTTATGACTTGTAATTCTGTGTGTGACTATCTTAGAAATATGGTAACCCTAAAAAATATTAAAAATTCAAAACCTTGATCATGCTATTTAAGTTTATGTAACCATACCTATTCTAACGTACAACCTTAAGTATGAGAAAAACTTAGTGATAACTAAACATAATGCAGGAATATAAGGTCAGATGGCTACAGTACCCTATTTTAGGAAGATAAATAAATACATCAATTGACAGAATATCAATTAAATTATGGTATATTGAACTCTATTCAGTTATACACCAGTGGGTTCCATTCATTAATTTAATCAAAAAATCTAAATAGTGAAAAAATATTTCCACCATCTAATTCACATTAATCACCATGGTGAATAGTTAAGACACAGATAAAGATATTAGTGTTTATTTTATTCTACCTTGGCCTATGCACAAACAAAGTATTTTTTTTCACATCAATCTTGAATTAACTGAATATAACTTTCACATGAACAATAGGGAGGAAGTGAGAGCTGGTGGATCTAATACCATAATGTAAGAATGTGCTAACATCATGATGACAAAAATCAAATAAATCAATGAATTCTCAAGTGGGGGATGTTAATTTAACTTCACAATTTTTGAGGTATGAATTTCATGATTTAATTGAAATATATTAATGTTTCATACTTGGTCATCATCACTCAGAAAGATATATGACCAAGAGTTGAACCTTTGAATTGTTAAATGGAAAACCTAATCCACAGTAAGGAAAGTGACTTTTAGTTAACTTGTTTCCACTCCTTGATAGGCTATTGAAATCTTCTCTATTGAATTAGATAGAGGAAAATGGTAGTGGTTTCTAGTAAATAGACATAAAAATCTAGTATTGTTAAATATAATTAACACAATCAAATTAAAAAGCAATTAGTCACGATAAAGATGTGATTAGTAACCTAACTACTTTTCATTATAAGACATTAGTGACAATAGTGAACCCTAAAGTGTGATTGAGAGTCAAATAATTGAAGAAAGATGATGTCCATGAATTTAATGAATATATCTAGTGATGATGTATTTATCGACAACCTCTATTATGTATAAAAATAAGTGAACATATTTTTGTACACTAGCCCTAGACTAATAAGGATGGCTTAACATGACTTATGATAAATAACTAGGCGGGCTAACTGAAATATAATTGGCTACGTCTATAAAATTGTGTAAATATTCAAATATAACATCTCAAATGTAGCATGTGAAATGTTATGGCAGTGGTGCACCAAACTCAGATTATGATTTCATAGTTAAGAAGATATTCTTACTCCCTAGTAATTATCCTCTTATAATGTCAACCACTAGTTGCACATTTAAGCATGAAATGAATCAAATGAGATCTTAATTAATCTTATACAACAAGCATTGGTACTGAAACTAAACCCTAAAGTGACTAATTGTCCTAATTTTAAGGTTTCTCTAGAGAATCACTTGAGAGAATACCCACTATGTACATTTACTTGACAATCTGGTCCATTATGTGATGAATGATGACTATACCCTGGTGAACACCACTGAAGAATCTAGGGAGGAAATGCTTCATACTAGTGAATTTTGGAATCACAACGGAAGCAATAGAACTCTTGGATTTTCCAACATTTGTTCAAATAAGACATCAACAAAAGGGATAAGTTCTTTGAATGCTTAACTAAGATAGATGACTGGAAGGTAGAAAGAGAAAGAGAAATTCAACAACATGTTTAAATAAGGTAGAAAACAATCAAAAAAACAAAATGCATGCAACCAAGAAAATTAGTTGGGGGGAGGGGAGAGAGAGAGAGAGAGAGAGAGAGAGAGAGTTTTAGTTCACTCGCTAGGTCAAGAAGAGAAAACTATAAGCAAATGAAGGAAATTCTCGAACATTTGGGCCTAATAAACCATTTAGAGATAGAGAGCAGAAACCTTGTTAGAGAGATTGAGAAAAATATAGCAAAATTGAATAGCTTGCTTATAAAAGAAATGGAAAGCATAAGAAACCAGAAAAAATTGTCAGATGTGTTGGACACGAGTGAACTTGTTGAGGGGAAATAGAGAGATACCAACCATAGGTGATAGGGTTCAAAAAGAATGCAAAACTTTGAGCAATCCAAGGTGAACCAATTAACACTATAACAAGTGAAACAAATAAGAAGGTCATATAGAATAGAAAGAGAGTGACTGAGTAAGAGAGAGAGAGAGAGAGAGAGAGATGTGTAATAATATGTTTGAACCAGAATCGCAACTATAAACCAAATAAAATTCTCTAAACACCAGACTTGAGTATATCAATCGAAAGAGAGAAAAGCATCCTCGATACCAAAATTAAGTGGAAGTGGAAAATTGTAGGCGAGCTAGAGAAAACCCTTGAAACCTTACCTCCGACAAATCTTAGGAGGGAAAAAAGGAAAGAGATCGATCATCAAATAACATACTTAAACAACAACAAAAAACTATAAGTGAAAAAAAGAAAACCCTTGAATGATGGACATAAGAAAATCAGCTGCTAAGGACGAATATAGAGAGATTGATCTGCGTGAACATGGTTAAACAAGAATTGAAAACCATAATTAAACCAAAGAACATTGGATCCTATACTAAAGCCAATCAGCAAGGAGGGAGTAGTATGGAAATGGATCTTGGACAACACTAGTAGAAAATCGCAAATCAAATCACAAAAAAATCTTGAACTCTCAACTCCAATCAATTAGTTGTTAGGGGGAAGTAGAGAGAAATATCTTTTTAATACTACATTTAAATAGAAAACTCTAGACCATCCACATAAAACCCTTGAAAACAAAACCTTAATTTAAAATAATGAACTCTATGAGGAAACCAAGAGAAACACTTGAATGACATACGGGAGTAACCAGTTTTTGTTAGAGTTAATCTCACTACTGTCATCATTGAAACCCATGAAGGAGGAAGGTGTTCAACGGGAGTTCCACTTTATCTTACATTTTTCTTTGTATCCCTTTCTTTTGAACGTTTCAATCTCAGCCATTATAACTCCATAACAGATGGCTGAGATTGTGCTAGGATAATAACACTTGTAGTAACTACCATAATGGCATTACTACATGAGGTGTTCGACTTTGTCCTTTAAGAGGATCAGTTTAGGGTTTAATTGTAAAAGTCAATTGATTTCTCCAATTTTCAATTTAATAGATTTGAGCATTTTGTTTTTTCTCCATTCTTCTGAGCTCTTTTGTTATTATGAAGAGTCATAAGGTTAGATTCTTCAGTTGGTATCAGAGTACTTATGATCCAACATCATCACAACGGCAATGGTATTGCAGAAGGGAGACTCGTGGTAGGATCTCATGGTGATGGGAAGATTGAAAGGGGCAGAGCAACCTACACAGATAGGTACCTTTCCAATTCTCACGAGGCTCAACTATTAGGATGTGTCTACACCTCGAAGGTCTTGAGCTCTAGAATGTTGTTGAGGTAGAGACTCCAGTCAAAAAGAAAGATAAACAGGTGATGTCCATCCTCTTCAACACTCTCTCAGATGAAATCTCGTAGGAGTTGGATGTGGAAAAAACTACTAAGTAGGCATGGAATCTGCTGAAGGCAAAGAATGGAGGTGTTCCACACCTAGAGACAGCCCATATTCGTATTCTTACTATGGAAAGATTACAAGAATCTTTCTATGGAAGACAACGAGTCAATTCTTGATTATTTCGGGAAACTTTCTCGAATTTGAATTGAAGAGTCTTGGAGAGAAGATTTCTAATGCCAATCTCTTTGCTAAACTCCTAAGGTCAGTCTCAAGTAATCTTGACTCGATTACAATCTTGATTGAACAATTTTAGGACCTTGACGTAATCTCAGTGAAGATTCTTGGAACTCTCAAGATTCATTAAGACAACTTTGAGATCACTCAGTCAAGAGGGAAGAGAAAGCCTTATTGGCCCACACTCTCGGCAAAAATAAGAAGAAAGATTCTTCTAATAGTTCTCAAGCAAGAGGCAAAGGAAAAGGCCACAGCAAGGGCAGAGGCTGTGGCAGAAGAAGAGCAAGAAAAATGATGATAGAAGACTTTGATGACAATGAAAGACCAAGGGAGAAGTCACTTGTCACTTGTTACAATTGCCAAAAGAAGGGCCATTATGCAAATGAATGTTGATTTCCAAAGAAGGAAAGACTAAAGGTAGGTAAAGAGGAGGCAATTATAGCTGAAGAAAATTCAAGTGATAATTCATTACTTATGGCATTTGAAGATTCAAATATGCTTCTTCAAGGTATCTCTCAATTTGAGCTAATGAATGACATGTGGTCTTTGGACGTGGGAGCAACATCTCACATGATTGGTGAGAGTACCCTTTTCTTTGAGTTAGATGAGTTATATAAAGAAGGTTTTCATTTTGGTGATGACTCATGTATTCCCATTGAAGGTCGAGGTAAGATACTCCTAAACACTAAAAGTGAGAGCAAAGTTATCTTGATCAATGTTCTCTATACTCCTCGTATGAGAGCTAATATTTTGAATCTCAAGAGACTTGATGAACAAAGGTGTAAAATAAATTTATAAAATGAAATTCTTATAATTCATGATCAGAGAGGCATACTTGTAACAAAGGTAAAGAGAAATGCAGGAAGACTTCACCATATGGACGTAAAATCTACTTTTCTCAATAGAGAAATCAGTGAGAACATATATGTGAATCAGCTGCCTAGATTTGAGGTCAACAAGAAGGAAAAGATAGTTTATAAGCTGAAAAAGGTTCTTTATGACTTGAAACAAGCACTAAGAGCTTGATACTTTAAATTAGACAAGAGTCTAATATCATTAGGTATAATTAAGAGCAACTTTGAGCCTGCAATCTACTTCAAGAAGAAGGTGAATTATCACCTATATGTGGGAGTATATGTTGATGATTTACTCATCACCGAGAATATTGAAAAGGAAATTGAAGATTTCAATTCGAAATGGCTAACATGTTCGAGATGTCTGATATGGGCCTGCTCTCAATGTATTTGGGCATTGAAGTATGTCAAATTGATGAGTTTATCTCACTTTCACATAAGTTGTTTGCTCTAAAGATTCTTAAAACATTTGACATGATGAATTGTAATTCGTCAATTACTCCTCTTGAAGTAAGACGTATTTTTAATCAAAAGGAAGGAAGAAACTTGGTAAATGCTACCACTTACAAAAGCTTAATGGGATCATTAAGGTATTTGACCCACACTAGACCGGACTTGTCATTCAATGTTGGATTTATGGAAAATTCATCAACTGAACATCTCAAGTGTCCTAAACATATACTAAGGTACATTGAAGGCACCTTGAATTTCGGTCTTAAGTACAAAAAGGAGAAATTTTGTACTTGTTGACTTCTATGATAGTGATTATGGAGGAGATACAGAAGAGAGAAAGAGCACGTCAGGCTTTTGTTTCTTTATTGGCAATAGCCCTGTGACATGGGTGTCACAAAAGCAAATAATTGTCACCCTATTGTCTTGTGAAGCTAAGTATATCTCACTCACTTTGGTAGCATGTCAAGGTGTTTGGCTAGTTGAATTTCTCGAAGAGCTAACTAAATCTACTTCAAATCAGTTAAGATACAAGTTAATAATGTCTCTACCATTGAGCTCGTGAAGAATCCAGCATTTCACAGTCGATCGAAGCACATAAAAATTCGATTCCATTATGTGCGCAATTGTGTTGAAGATGGTGAAGTTGAAGTCGCCTATGTGTCGATGGAAAGGCAAAGGGCAGACATTCTCACAAAGTCTCTTGTAGAAGTTAAATTTGTAGGACTTCATAAGCTAATTAGAGTAGGAAATCTAATGGAATAGCAACGAGCTTAAGGAGGTGAATGCTATAGTTAATCTCACTGCCAACATCATCGAAACCCATGAAGGAGGAAGGCGTTCAACAAGAGTTCCACTTTATCTTACGTTTTTCCTTGCATCTCTTCCTTTTGAACATTTCAATCTCAGCCATTATAACTCCATAACAAATAGTTGAGATTGTGTTAGAATAATAGCGCTTGTAGTAACTGTCATAACGTCATTACTGCATGAGGTGTTCAACTTGGTCCTATAAGAGGATCAGTTCGGTGTCTGATTGTAAAAGCCAATTGATTTCTTCAATTTCCAATTTAATAAATTTGAACGTTTTATTCTTTCTCCATTCTTCTTGAGCTCTTGTGTCGAAGAGTTGTAAGATTAGATTCTTCAATTTTGAGATGGAGAGAGAGAGAGAGAGAGAGAGAGAGAGAGAGAGACATAAAGAGAGAGGGAACAACAACAACATTCAGAAAATCTGACATAATCTGTCACAGATCGATGGAGAAAACCTAAAAGCCCAAAATACAACATGAAGAAATTATCTAAAACTCCATGGGTTCACAGATTGAAGCATTTAAATTAGATATTCATCCTGCCGGTATTTCTGTGAACACTGGGATTCTGTTTCTTCCTCGGATGTCCCCTTGCATAGACGATGTCTCTAAGAACATGGCAACGGTTGCAGTCGGCCCCGGAGAATAGCAGCCAGTTTATAGCGATAAACACTGCAGAGCCACCATTGCCGCTGCCGGCAACGATGTCCCCTTGGAGCGTGGACTCTGGCGGCGTTGGCCGTCCTTCATTAGGAGAGAGCAAGGAGGAGAGAAGTTCTCAAATCTCTCTTCCTTGGGGGGAGTCCAAGAGACGAAAGACGTAGCTAATCTTCTCCATCCTCGACGAGTCACAGGTGCGTACGTAGGGTTCTTCCGTTTGCATGGAGGATGGGATGCAGGGTGGAGGAGGGAGGTCGGTGAGGAGTTTCTGTGGGTCCCCTTGCACTCCTTCCCCTTCAGACGGCGCCTAGATTTTATTGACGCGCCAATGGAACTTCTTTTGCCAGGGTGTATCCTCTTAGGACAGTAAATTAGAGAGAAAAGAATTGAGGGATAGATAGGTAGATACAGACATAAGTACATACATAGATACAGAGAGAGAGAGAGAGAGAGAGAGAGAGAGAGAGAGAGAGAGAGAGAGAGTTGAGAGGAGACGAGTTGTCCGCCGTTGAATAGCAGAGAACTGTAGTAGATCGGGTTCCTAACATCCGGTCGGGCCCTTTGTAGATGTTGAGGCCTATCTGGGCAAGGATGTGCTTGCAAGATTAGAGTTTTGGATTAAGAGCAAGTTGAGAAATTTAAATCTTGGAGAGTGAAGTGACTCATCACTAAGCTCTTACTTGCTCCTATGCCTTCGCCTACCTCCCCTTTCCTGATAATGCGAGCGCCGCATTTCTCTCTCTTCTTGCTCCCCGCAGCAAAAAGGCGCAGGAAGGAGAACCCGCCTCCGCCCCCTCGCTCCACGGCTTCGGAAGTCGGGCGGCCTCTGCATCGTCTCTCCGTTCCCCGGCGACCAGAACCCTAAACCAGAGGGCATCCCTCTACTCTGACGCCGGGGGCCGTCGGGCAGGCTGCCAGAGGGAAGTGGTCGAGCTCAGTCCCTCACCACCGAAGGCTCCAGCCCTCATTCTTCAGGGCGAAGAAGGGCAAGCCTCCCATGAACGCTGTGCCGGCGTCCAGCGCGGCGGAGACGACGTAGTTGCACCGCGGCCACCCTCCCCCCCCTTCCGATAGCAGAAGACGAACAAGCTGAAGAAGTCGACGGCGACGAGCCAGTTGATGACGTTGGTGGGGGTATCCAGTGGCATGCCGGCGAAGCCGTGTGAGATGACGGGGACGCTGACGAGAGGAATCCACTTCTTCTCCGGGAAGATCCAGCTCGTCGCCCACACCGGCACCGGCAAAAGGACGCCGGCGAGGAACAGCTAGACGAGTTTCCGTTAGAGCTCATCGCCGCCGAAGAGGCGGGCAGGAACGATGAGCCCCCAGATAACGGAGGCGTCGAAGGTGACCCGGTACTTGGGGCAGAACCACGGACTGTCGCGATGGAGCGCCTCAGCGTCGCAGATTTTTATCGGCGATCCCAGCATCCACTAGGCCACCACCAGGCTGCCGGCGCCGCGAGCTGCACCGCCGAGAGAGGTGGTTTAAAGAGGAAGGATAGGCGGAGGCCAGAGAGAGCCTTCTGGTTCGCACCTGGGCCGTGAACATGCACCGGGAAAGGATATCCTTTCGCGTAGTGACCGAGCCTGAGGTCGGAAAGGAAGGAGAGGGCGTGGACGTTGCGGATCCGCCCGTACATCCTGAACACTTTTGGCCCGAAAATGAACTGGGCAATGATGTCATTCCCCGGCTGCAGTTCAGGGGAGGAGAGGTCAGGATACAGGTTGGATGGATCTCATCCTCGGCACAAGTTTTGATCTTGACTATGATAGATTATGTGGGTTTCTTCTCCAATCAATCTTTCCACCATATTCCCACCAAAACTGCGATGATCGTGATGATGATGATGATAGTTTATATCTGTTTCCTTGTCAGTAACTTCACACCCAACAAGATTATGGTCGTAGGGAGGATGATGAAAATGCTGGTTGATTCTTCCCTGTTTCAATTTTATTAACAGGACCGATTTACTCCCTATAATATTATGATAATGATAATGATATCGTAGTGATAAAGAGGCTCTAATTGAATCTAATCAAATTAAAATTTTGCCTGACCTAATTTATGTTTGCTTGATAACTCCTATGGCGAGACTGACCAACTACCGAAGCCCGAACGTGAAACGCATGCCCCACAGGGTAGCTGCTCCTGCTCTTCGCAGACGAACGATATCATTATCAGAAAGATTAAAACATATATACTCGTCGTAAGTAAATGCACTGTTGACCGAAAAAACAAGATAGTTTCTTTAGTATTCGGATGTATCATCATAATATTCATAACATGATCTGATGATTTTCAAAAACATGCATTCATATTGCGTGAAACAAAGATTTTAAACTGCAAGACAAATGGATGTCATTCCACGAAGATCAAACCAGACATCACAATGTAGATTTCAGATAAGGGATAAAGTCGTGACTTTATCTTGCATTCAGAAGAAACTCTGTCACCATTGTTGATGGGAGGGTAAAACACAGTTCAAATTTGAAGTGCCATAAAAAAGTACTAGCTGATATGGTTTGATACGATAACCATATGATTATTATCATTTATTATTTATTTCAGTATTCTTCCCTGGCTCGATCTCAAACAAGAACTTCATAGATGTTTTCAAATTCCTTGTGCCCGATCTGAATGTGGATGATTGTCCTCATTGACATTTTGTAACCTCGGTCTCTAAGACAGGCCCCCAAGTCTTGAGTCCTTTTATCTGCTACAAGTATTACGAAAGGAAAATGATATGTCACTGGTCAGCTTGCTACATAGATATACTAAATGGATGTGCACATAGTTGGCGCATTTGGTGACGTTTTGGGATAGTGAAGAGAAAAGGGAGGGGGAGGATTGGGAGAGAGGATATATAGATAGATGGAGACCAATCAGATACATTGGCGGAAAGAGATAAATACAGAGGTTAATATATCGCTAATGGATGCATGGTTAGCTATCTGGATAGATATAAGATAGATAGATAGCTAGATACACAGATAGATAGATAGATAGACGGATAGACAGATAGATAGATAGACAAACAAATAGATAGATAGATAGATACATAGATAGATTGATAGATAGATAGATAGATAGATAGATAGATAGATAGATAGATAGATAGATAGATAGATAGATGGATAGATAGATAGATAGATAGATAGATAGATAGGAAGATAGATACATACATATATAGATAAACAGATGGATAGATAGATAGATAGACTGATAGATAGATAGGTAGATAGATAGGTAGATTGATGGATCGATAAATTCATAGATATATAGATATAAAGATATATAGATTGATTGAAATATCGAGGATGGATACCTTGCGGTGTGGCCAACGGTTTAAGTTAAACTTCCTGGAAACTTTTTTTAGAGCTGTTGAGCAGATTCGGAGCTTTTGAGCCGCTTCAGTTGCAGGCAAATGGAAGTACTGAGAAATATCCGTATATGTTAGCTGCTTGATTCTCTCCCTCTGGTTCATCATGAACAAGAAATAATTTTGTTCGTCAGGTTTCTGATTCTCAATGAAGTCTCCTGCTCTCAATGTTGAATAACTTTAAAAAACTTCCACCACAAGCAGAGACGAGTATTAGAGATTGAATATTGATACAGTTCTCAATTATATGATTAGTAACCTAATAACAAGCTCCAATGCCTAAAATTTAATCACAGACCAATGAATTGATGCGATTATAGTAAATGTCACTCATTCATGTTTATTTTTATGCTCTCAAAGGAACTTTTTACAGAAAAATGAACGATAAGATTTTGTGGCATAAAAATAATAGTAACTTTGAACAAAATATTACAGTAGCATTTGCCTTAATTCAATGTGATGAAATGTACACAATGAGTTGTATAGTGAGTGATCTAAAACTGTTCACAAGCTCAACATTCTTTTATCACAACAAATAAAAATCTGAGACATCATAAATAGGAAAGGTTAATGTAGAAAATGTAAGTGAACCCTCATCTATATATCGTAGAGAAATTAATGGAAATGTCTACCATCATTAAATAAAAAGGATGAATGTGCGAAAATGTAAAACTGCAAAAAAATGAAAAATAAACACATTTGCATGTAATAATGTGCAGTCATCGATGCATTGGAAGCCATAGCATGGAGCTCCACACCATTATGGACCTAAGAAGAATATTTTTAGAGAATTTGAAACATCAAAAAATTATAAAAGCAAAGAAATATATCTATATATATATATGATAATCCATATTGAGAAGACAAAATCGAATAAGTAGATAATCACATATTAACAAAAGAGACTATGATCTTAACCAGACTATAACACCCACAACTCATGGAAAGTCTAGATGATTTTAATTGGTGTATTTTCATAATAATGACTACACAGCATGAGAAATCGTTTAGGATAAGGGAGCCAAATATGAACCAAAAAACCTTAAGAGCTAAAGGACATGCTTATAATAAGTTTTCAGTAGTACCATGATAAAGTTATGTTATTGAAAAAATAGTTTGGATCGCATATCACAATGACCAGATTGACAGTCCAATAGATTTTTCTTTGGACTATTTTTTGTATTTGCTTAAAAGGATGTGGCCCATTGTCAATTTCTTCATGGAGAATTTCTATATGTGTAGTGAAATGTAATTTGATGTCTTATTTATTCCTTCCTCGCAATAGTTATGCCTTGTAACAAATGTATTCATTAAGTTTCAAGGGCTTCCTAGATTTTATTAATTTTTTGACTCCTAACTTTATCTTCTCATGTATGAAGAGAAAGGTTAGGTTTAGTTCATAGATGCATATAACTATAACTTATTCTTCTCAGCATGCCCTACATGTGTTGATTTGTAAGGTTTAGTAATATTATGGTTGCTGTTCTATATATCACCAACTTGATGACTTTACTATTTTATATATTCAATCATATAATTCACATGCACTAAATCTGAATCAAAGTACATGATTAGACTAATAAAAAATTGGTCCCTTTCAATTAACATGTTTCATCTTTTCTCAATACTACTTCATATTGATTTTTAGACTTCTAGCACTACTTTCCAACAACAAACAAAATATGTAAATATTTTTTGTATGTTAAAGGTTTGAAAATGTGGATATGATTAACATGCAATACAAACAAGTGCTAACCTGACCAGCGACCCCAGTCTTCTGGATTTGAGGCCCTCTCCTCTTCCTTGGTGTTGGTTTGATACGACCTAGCATCAATATCAGCAATACCAAACATGCCAAAAAGACATTAAATCAAGAATTCTAGAAGAATGTGAGTCAAATAAATAGTAGTTTGTGGATTGACTTTGAAAACCTCCAGCACTGTAGGCTAGGGTAAGTTCATTGTCCCATGGGATGGATCTGATAAACTGAGGCCATTCATTCATCAAGGTTTGAAGGACTATAGATGAGTTCTTAGGGCATACCTCCTGATGTCTTAGAGGCTTTTACTTGATGGCCACCTTGGATGGGGATTGATGGGCTCGCCTGAAGGTTCATGCTACTAGTGGGAATCCTATAATCCTCTGGGTAGTCCATCTTTATAGAAAGTACTTCATAGAATGTTTGATACTTGTCCTGGACAAGTGTTAGACCATCTTCAAAACAGCGATAGGTGTGGTTCACAAGAAATTCCTTCAATGATTTAGCATCAAGTAGCCTTAAACTGTGAAGGATAATAGAAATAAGTCACTCATTTTGAATGTTCATCATTATAAAAATAGAAATTTGAGAAGAGTTATATCATCCAACTCAATTTAGAAGCATAACCAGCATAGTTGCTCACATAAAATAATATTTTTTTCATGAAGTAGTGTCCAAAACAATAGTCAACAACTTAAAATGATTCAGAACTGGTGAAGTGTCATACATTTTCTAACAAGAAATTATGTAATACGTGAGCTAGATAGGTCATAAATTTATATTCTAAATTTAACCTTGTTCAAAAAAGTATGTGTTTTGTGACTAGTAAGCTTTTAGTGCAAGACTTACTAAGAAATATCTCAACCTTGGAACAATACTTAAAACCCAAATCCTTAATCTAGTTATTCCAATTTACTATTCTTACATGCATGATTACAAGGTCACACACTAGCATTAGCCTAGTTTAAGCATAAAAATATTGACATCATATTACCCCAAAATGTATCCGTAAAATAAAGTATTTGCTATGTATATGTGCACACTAGTGGCTTTCATTCATTAAGTTAATAAATGAATCTATATTGTGAATAAAAATTCCATGAGGAAATTGATTTTAGTCGCCATGGTCAATTCTCAAGAACTAAACTAAGCATCATGGTATCCATGACTCATTATGACCAAGACAGAATGTAATAACTATTTTATCCCTTATAAAATCGATATTTATCTGAATATAGGATCTCACACAAACAAGGAGCAACCAAAATCTGGTGGCTTCTAGTACTTTAATTTAAGAACCTAAAGAAATCATGCTTGAAAAAATCAGACAACTCAATGAATGATATGAGAGAGGGATGATGATTTGATAGGAAAATTTTCAAGTAGGAATATCATGACTTGGTGACATATATAATGATTTAGCATCTAGTGATCAATAGTAAAAAAGACACATGTATATACATACATGTACAAGGAATTGGAGCTAATCTAGACTACAAAAATTAAGTTTCGGTCAACTTGTTCTAGTAACAATGTTGGGCTATGAGAATGTTCTCTCTCGTATGAGATAAAGTTAACATAGTGTTAACATGTATGAGAACGTTGATATAGTGTTAAAATAATTATGAAAAACTAATAAGCAAGTCGCCATCATTTGAATCTGATTAACAAGCTACTTTTCATTGTAATGCAACATGATAATAACTAACCCTAAACTATTATTTAGACTCACTAAATAGACATTTTTAATATTTTTCATGATTTCACTAATTGTGTATTTACGCCTATGATGAATCTCACTAGATTTTTAATTAATCTCATACAATTAAGTTTTAGTACTGAAACTTAGTCCCAACCCTAGAAAGAATGACAATCCTATTTTTAGAGTTTCCCCACAATCATTGAGAGAATACTCACTCAGCAATATACTTATGCTCGACAACATGGTCTGCTATATGTTGAATGATAAGTATAGCATGATGAACACCACCCAAGAATCCATGGAGGGAAAGCTTCATGCTGGTGCGCCCTGCAATCAAAAAGGAAGTAATAGAATCATTGGATCTTCAAACACTTGTTGAAGTAAGACACCATCTGGATTGTTAAATCAGAAAAGTTCCTTAAAATCCTCAAGCTGAGATAATAGGGAAGGGGGAGAGGGAAGAGAGATAGAGGGAGTGAGGGAGGGAGAAAAAGAGATCAATTACATGATGAGTACAAGGGAGAAAAAACTGGGAAGAAAATAGAGAAATTTAGTTGGGGGGAAAGAGAGAGAAAGAGATCTTTAGCTACTCTTTTGACACCAAGAGTAAACAAAAAGAAAATGAAGGAGAATCTTTGAATCTATGGGCCTCGTAAACCATGTAGATATTGACATAAAGAAAAAGAGATAGAACTACTCACAAGGAGTGAGAGGGAGAGAGAAAGAGAGAGATATGATAGCTTGTTGAAAACTGAAACAAAAATCCTAAGTAGACAATATCATCAGATGTGTCAGATACGAGTGAATGTGTTGACGGAAATGGAGACATACCAATCGTCAGTGATAGATTAACCAAGAATGCAAAACTATTCGCAGCATAACAAAAAATGACGAACACCAAACCCAGCATATAAAAATAAAGAGAGATGGTGATGGACCAAAAAAAATACAATTAAACGAGAATTGAAAATATCAACAATCCAATATTCTCTGATCGCCAAATGTGAGTAAATCAGTCAAGAGAGAGAAGAGGATCTTCAATGCCAACATTAAGTGGAAGTGAAGAACTCTTGAAACCCTAGCTCCGACGAATCACTTGAGAGGGACAAAAAGGAGATGGATTGATCTTCGATAACATGTTTAAACAACAACAAAAAACTGAATATAGAGTGAACCGAAATAAAACCTTGAATGGTGGATGTGAGAAAACCACCTGCTAAGGACAAATATAGAGAGATCGGTCTATGTGAACGTGAATAAACGGAATAAAAGTGAAGAACCTTGCATGCTACACTGAAGCCAGCCAGCCGAGAGGGAGAATACGGAAACGGATCTCCAACAACACTGGCAGAAAACCATAAACAAACCACAGGAAACCTTCAAACTCTTGACCCCAGGTTAAGTAGACGACAGGGATAAGTAGAGAGAAATCTATCGTTCGTAGTATGTTTAGACGAAAACAAAAAACCCTAGACTATCCAGATAAAACTCATCCAAGCAAGACCTGAGTCAACTAGATGAGAGAGAGAGAGAGAAGGATCTTGATAACTAGTTGAAAATAAGCAACATTACGAGGAAATCATTAGAAACACGAACTGCAGACCGGTGTAAACCATTTTCGAGATGGCGAGAGAGATAGATAGATAGATAGAGAGAGAGAGAGAGAGAGAGAGAGAGAGAGAGAGAACAGCGTTAGAAAACCCCACATAGGAAAGATGGGTCACAGATCAGTGGAGAAACCCTAAAAGCCCGATCTATAGCATGAAGAAATCATCTAAAACTCCATGGATCAGTTTGTCGAAGCGTTTAAATTAGATCTAACAGCAAACTCAGTCACATTTGCATAGATATTCGCCCTACTGATATTTCTGGGAACAGTGGAACGCTGTTTCTTTCTAGGATGACTCCCTGCATGAACGACGTCTCTAAGAATATGGCAACGACTGCAGTCGGCCCCGGAGAATGGCATCCATGCTACAGTGATAGGCACTCTGGAGACAACATTGCCGCTACCAGCAACGTTGTCTCCTTGGAGCGTGGACTCCGGCGGTGGAGGCAGTTCTTCATCAGACGAGAGCAAGGAGGAGAGAACTTCACAAAGCTCTTTTCCCTCGGGGGAGTCCAAGAAACGAAAGACGTCGTCTATATCCTCCATTCTCGCCGAGTCAGAGGTACCAAAGGAGGGTTCTTCCGTTTGCATGGAGGAAGGGATGCAGGGTGGAGGAGAGAGGTCGGTGAGGAGTTTCTGTGGGTCCCCTTGCACTCCTTCCCCTTCAGACGGCGCCAAGATTTTATTGACGCGCCAATGGAACTTCTTTTGCCAGGGTGTATCCTCTTAGGACAGTAAATTAGAGAGAGAGTATGGGAGGCGAGTTGTCCGCCGTTGGATATCAGATAATAGTAGATCTTAAAAGGATGGTTTTGGTAACCGTTCGCATCCAAGTCATTTGATTTTGTCTTCCCGAGGGCCTCGGATACTTTTTCAGAATTTTACGATTTACTGATGCAATTACCATGTTTTTCCCATTTCAGAAGATATCAAAATTTAGGGAAGCGCTATCTTGGGTTGATCTGCATTTGGCTCTAAAATCCGACTTATTTGCCACGTTCAAGTGAGATTTGATTTTGACTTATTTCTACCTTCAGATCTGGAGATCTGAAAAAAAATGTACTCAGTAGTGACATAAGAAATTGTTTTCTGGTGAGCTAGGAATACCAGATTCAGTAACATGACCAGATGCTTCAGGTTTGTATGATTTTTATTAAAATTCCGTCGAAATGGTTCTAATAACAAATATCACACATAATTGTCCGGGTCAAAAACGTGCGGGGCGCTAGAACGATTGCTGAAGAGCACCGTGTTACGTGTCCCGCTTGGCCTGGCCGGCCAGCAATGTGTCCTCCGCATGCGTTACTGATCGCTCTACCTGCCACAGTTGGACATCTTCTACAAAACCCAGACAAAACCACCCAAGGACGGAGAGAGAGAGAGAGAAACAGACAGACAGACAGAGACAGAGAGACAGACCCAGGCGGAATCTCACTAGTGGGTTGATACCAAATAATTAGGAACATTTTTTAATCTGCTTTTGTTAATCATTTGAAACTATGAAATCTTCTTCGAATGGTCACTGGAAAATTATAATTTATTTCCACAAGAGAATGTGTCCATCTTGATCCTAAGGGGTTCTACATTAGACTCACCTGAGGGTATATCTAGGTATGTCCTGCCACATGACTCATCTCTCTCTCGCTCTGGCTCTCTCTCTCTCCCTCCCTCTCCCCCTCCCTCTCTCTCTGCGCTCTCCCTCCCTCTGTCTCTCTCTCTCTCTCTCTCTCTCTCTCGCTCTCCCTCTCTCTCTCTCTCTCTCTCTCTCTCTCTCCATCCCTCTCTCCCTCTCTCTCTCTCTCGCTCTCTCTCGCTCTCTCTCGCTCTCTCTCGCTCTCCCTCCTCTCTCTCTCTCTCTCTCGCTCTCCTCTCTCTCTCTCTCGCTCTCCCTCCCTCTCTCTCTCTCTCTCTCTCTCTCTCTCTCTCTCTCTCTCTCTCTCTCTCTCTCTCTCTCTCTCTCTCTCTCTCTCTCTCTCTCTCTCTCTCTCGTGCTAACAGGGAACCTTGGGCTTTCCGTTCCAGACCACGTTAAGGCTCAACCTCGACGCTGTCGTCAGCTCCGACGCTGGTTTGGGGAGACTTAGACCACAATTTCCTACTTACCGTGGGATCTCAAGACTCTTGCTGGCTCTTACGATTTCACCTGCCTCCCTTTTCCGATGATTTGGGTGCCTTATTTCTTTCTCTACGCACTCCCCACAATAATCGGTGCAGGAAGGAGAGTCCTGCTCTGCCCTGTAAGAAAACAAGTATCATGTAGGCAAGCAAAATATGCAAAAAGGAAGAGGAGAGACGCCCGAGGGAGCTGCCCGAGGTGGAGAGGGGATCGCTCATTCTTGAACGGATCAGAGAATAAGCTTTTCGCTCCAAATTTCAATGTCCAGTACAAGGAACATGTAAAAAAGTTAAAGATGCTGAAGTGGGCCTCCCCACTTCAGCCCACTACAAAAGGGAGAGAAACTGAGAGCCACGGTCGGGGGTAATGCTGGAGTATATCCTAAAGAGATCACTTCCTCAAGGATTTGTATTGAATCCGGGTCTTCTGCCTCAGATTTATCCTTGTGCCCCAAGGGAGCAACCCCGTTTTTCACCATGAATTGGTCGAAATACTTAGATTTTACTCGTTGATGTCAATTGGGTGGTATGTGATCCTTTGTTGCTCTTCGTGGCCTTTTAGGCCAATAGGTTTCATGCTACGTCAATTTGAACTTGCTCGATCTGTTCAATTGCGACCTTATTATGCAAAATCCTAACATACCCAGGCAAAGAGATAACTCAACATGCCATGAATTTTTAGGATTTTATAGATACCTCTATCGTTTTGACCGGTAAATGGATCTTTATGTGCTTCTAAAACGTCCTTCAAGCCATGGCCAATACCTCAGTTGTTCCTATACATATTATCTGCTATCAGGAAAAGAATAGCACTAGCTAAATGATGGTGTGCAATGTCGCTCAATCCTTTCTTTAATAAAATACTGGGCCGATTTTAATTGCAATTAGGAGAACAAACAGGAACGACGGAATTATTCAAGGTTAACTCTTAACATCTAGCTTATGTACCGGTTCGAACTCAAATTTGATCTCTTACCAAACTTCACAAGCAAGATAATTTCATTGCCTTCACGAGCAAGATCACGTACCCCACCCCCATTAGGAGCTAGTACACACGCTTCTAAAGCTACACGGTCAGCTACTGCACCAAGTGCATCTCCCCAAGGATGTCCTACAGTTCCGCCGCCAAACTGTAGTACGGGATCATCTCCAAAGATTACGGTCAGGGCAGGCGTATGCCAAACATGAATACCCCCTGAAGCCAACTGGCATAACACCTGGCATAGAGACCCAATCTTGAGTGAAGAAAATACCAGTCCATTTTCAACAAAATCATCACGTAACAAATCAACAAAACCTAAAGACATCTCACGTTCACCTTCCAGTTTAGCACCTACTGTATCAGAGTGATTATATGTAATGCTTTAGCAAGTACACGGGAATGCATACCACGACTTTTCTCTGTATTAATATACCTTCAGGCATGAGGCGGTGGATCTGAAGTAGGTTGTCGTCTCCGCAATAAATTGCTAAACTAGTATGTGCAGTGAATCCCCTTGATAAGTAGTCATACATTGCAATAGGATCTACATACATGGGAAAAAATCCTTATCGAAAAAGAAAATACATATGTGGCCTAGTTAAGAATAAATTTAGATTAAGAGCCACGCCTATTCAGCTTGGGGCTCCGTCAGACGTCCTTCATCATCTTAATTCCCGTCAGACGGCCAGCAGAGCCTTGTTCCAATGCCAGTCCCGAGAAAGAGCGGAACCCCCCCGCCCCCACCTCGGGCGGAGGGCAGCGTTCTAGAGATGAGTCAGGCGGTCATCATGATGCGCACGAACTCGTCAAAATTGACCTGGCCGTCCCCGTCCACGTCAGCCTCCCGGATCATCTGCTCCACCTCCTCGTCAGTCAACTTCTCCCCGAGGCTGACCATCACGTTCCTCAGCTGTGCACAGAAACGACAGGCTCAGCACAGCGCTTAAACGGTATGAAATGGCTCCTTAAATAATTAATCACTTAAGTCGCCACGTAATGCTAAAAATGAATCCATTATTGAGGAATGATAATCTACACCTCTAGGAAGAGGGTTTTATTTTTTATTTTTTATTTTTCATAAATGCGAATTTACCTCGTCGGCCGATATGTAGCCGTCCTGGTCCTTGTCGAACACTTTGAAGGCTTCGTCCAGCTCCTCCTCGGCGTTAACCTCCTGCCGAGCCAGAAGAGACGGTGGTTAATGGGCGGGTCTATTTGGGCTAGAACTTTTTCGGGCCCATTAGATGATGGGGTCGAGTACTACCTTGGTCTTGATGGCCATGATGCTGAGAAATTCTCTGAAATCGACGGTCCCGCTGCTGTCCACGTCGGCCTCCTCGACCATGTCCAGTAGCTCCTCCTCCGTCGGTGTGGGGCCCAGCGAGCGGATGACGGTGGCGAGCTCCTCCAGGGTTATGGCGCCTGCGGGAATTGAAGAGTTGGGATGGGCCGCCAGGACAAAAAGCCCGAAATAAACGGGAAAACTGCCGACTTTGAAATCGGGAACCGGGAGTCTCAAAGATCGGATTTTTAAGACAATCGCTCTCGAGAGCTGAAATTATATTTTAAAAAAATATTCCGTTGAGAGAGAAAACTGCAGTCGTAGAAATCACCGACAATAATTTTGAATTTATTTGAGGATCACGAGAAGAACTTTATCCCATTCCTGAAGGGTGTTGTGCGAGAACTACCACACAACAACACTGCTTCGGGTTCTTGCTTATACGCCAGAAACCCCTAGCCTTTGCTAAATGGCCCAAGGTTTTCCAACTATCTCGGGCATCATCTTCAAGAACGCAGCTGCTGGAACTTACAAGGGCCATCCCTGGAGGAGGAGATAACCATTGGAAGGCGGGTCCGCAACGAGAAGACGTCTTTTTTCTTCAGTGAGGGGAGAGCATGCATGGGAGAAGAACAAACGAACGAACGAACAAACACAGGAGCAGAGACTCATTCAGGTGTTCAATTCAACGATCAGATCAAAGCCCGGGAGATGGAACGCTGTAAACAAGGGAGGGGGGGAAGAAGAGAGGGAAGATGAGAACAGACCGTCTCCGTCCTTATCGAAGAGACAGAAGGCCTCCTGGAATTCTGATATCTGTTCTTCCGTCAAGAGATCCATCCACTGCTTCTCTCTCGCTCTCGCTCTCCCCCTTTGCGTTATCTCTCCCTCTCTCTCTCTCTCTGTCCGTCTTTCTGTCTCTCTGCTGGAAGGGGATGGCGGGGGTGGGAGAGACTTATAGGATCGGGGGAAGGAGGCGTGTAGAAGAAACGAAAGGAGGAGTGATGGTTGAATTTTGACCTTTTGGAGGGACGCCGTCAAAGTCATTGGGAGAGAGAGAGAGAGAGAGAGAGAGAGAGAGAGAGAGAGAGAGAGAGAGAGAGAGAGGGTTAAGAACCTCCATTTCCATCGTTGGTTTTCCTCGTTTTCTTTATCGCGGGTTCGTTGAAAGCGAGTCTGCACACCACCACCCGGCCCTCGCCGTTTTCTTCTATTTCTCACTTCTTAGAGCTTTCTCATTGAATGCCCGCATTGAATTATTCCAGTGTTCAATTTTCCAACTTTTTTCCTCATGGGCCTTTAGCAATGGCCCTCCTGCCCTCATTTTTCCTCCGTCTTTTCTGACGCGTCTCCGTTCGGCCTTCGCCGTTGTCTCTCTCTCTCTCTCTCTCGCTCTCTCGCTCGCAAAGAGTCAAAGTTACTCGTTGTCAGAGACGCCTGATTTGAAGACACGACACCGCGTGGTCCTTGGTGAAGACGTGACCAGGAAAGATTCCACCGTGAACGATCACCGACCAATTAGAATCCATCGATGATATCTCACCATCGATCGGTCCTCTCCTGCTGCGAAATCATCCGGGCATTGACCCTCCTCACCAATTATCTAAAACAATCAAAAACAGTGTAACTCTTGTCGATCATCTTCAGGAAGCCCCCCCTTCCGTTGACCGTGAAGCCATCTCCATGGCGGACGCTTGTCACAGAAAGATCACCCTCTAAGAGAACTGGTACGATCCTGGCGGAAAGTCACCTCGTAACAAATAAGTACGGGGCTCGCGAGGATTGACTTTCGCGAAGTATTACTACTACAGCACTCTCCGCCCGAGGGGAAGGTGAGTCAACGCGGGACTGACGACAAGACCCGGCGGGGGAGGGGGCGGCGATTCTGGATATCTGGACTTATTCAACGTTGACAAACCCCCCTCGCTTGGCGAATACGCGGCCTCGGCGAGTAGACGGGGACCGGCAGTGGAAGAATAGAAGGCCGGCTCGTCAAATAAAAATAAAAAGGAGATGCTTTGCTTTGCCCTCAGTGCATCAGGAGCTGGTAGGCCTTGTTGGACATCTCGAAGGCGTACTCGTAGCCGAGCTCGTTGGCTTGGGATCGGAACTCGCCCATCTCCTCGCCGGTCACCTGGATGCCCACCAGCACATTGGCCCCGGCCTCGCCCTGCAAAGGAAGAAGAAAGAGATGAATGAGCATTTTGGGGAAGGGGAAGAAACTACCGGAGGGTTGACCTGTGATCTGTAGTGGAAGAGGGTGATGTTCCAGGGGTGAGGAGGAGGAAACAACAGGACAAGTGTTGACCTGTGATCTGTAGTGGAAGAGGGTGATGTTCCAGGGGTGAAGGGGAGGAAACAACAGGACAAGGGTTGACCTGTGATCTGTAGTGGAACAGGGTGATGTTCCAGGAGTGAAGGGGAGGAAACAACAGGACAAGGGTTGACCTGTGATCTGTAGCGGAAGAGGGTGATGTTCCAGGGGTGAAGGGGAGGAAACAACAGGACAAGGGTTGACCTGTGATCTGTAGTGGAACAGGGTGATGTTCCAGGAGTGAAGGGGAGGAATCAACAGGACAAGGGTTGACCTAAGATCTGTAGTGGAAGAGGGTGATGTTCCAGGGGTGAAGGGGAGGAAACAACAGGACAAGGGTTGACCTGTGATCTGTAGTGCAAGAGGGTGGTGTTCCAGTGGGGAAGGGGAAGAAACTACAGAAGGAGAGGGGCCGACTTACCTGAGATCTGTAGTGAAAGAGGGTGATGTTCCAGCGGGGGCTGAAGGCGTCTAAGAACTTCATCAGAGTGCCGGGTCTCTCCGGGAGGATGAAGCGGCACAGCAGTTCGTTCTCGACGTTCGTGCGGCCGCCCACCTGAATCCCCCGCGAGGGAAGAACGGAGGTCAGTGACTGAAAGATGAGGATCGGCGGAAGAGATGCCGCACCCCAACCCCATTCTCTGTTCATCTGTGGATTGAAGTGAAATCCATCGTATGCAGTTCATGGCTCTCTCTCTTTTTTTCTCTCTCTTCTTTTCTTTAACTGGCAAGCATATCAGAGAGCAACCAATGTCAATCTGGGACGACTACACTCCCATTTCCACAGACGAGATATACTTCAGACCCAAACATAATATTGTGCAGTGTATTAGAAAAGTAATCTGAAGAAAATCCTGAGTCAATCAGGGGTGCCCGGCAACGTTAGGAATTACTACTGCAAGCATGCAAACTGGAATAATCAAGTATATGGACAAAGATTATGTCGGTGTCCCGATCTTTAGAGCCAACCATGACGGAAATTTCCCCCTTGGAATTATTCAGCAAAGCATTCACCTGCACTTCGGTGAGAACACAATAAAAAATGAATAGGGCAATCTGACAAATCACCCAAAGCATTATTTCTCCAATACTGAGACTCAGATCATAACACTTTTCTAATCCGCGAGTTACCCCAGTACCTAGCAGGTTGCTGCATACCGCACTTCAGCGGAAAGATTTCTTCCAAAGCAAATAAGAAGCTAAACATTTGTAGTCCATCTTCAACAGGTTTAGCATATTGGATTTAGATCACGGAACATGGTACATCGGTAATGACTCTCGAGAAAGAGAAGCATCCTGAATGCATGAAGGCATGCACGATGGGAATTTGGTATAAGGGTGTATACTGATGAACCCTAATTTTTAGACTAATTTGTCGACTTTCATTGTGGAATCCTTGCCTCTATCTAATAAGCTACGAAGTTAAAAATAAACGAGCATCAAGATTCTGAAAACATTAAAAACTAATTTCGCACAATTAAACCCGTTACTGCAGTCGTTGCAAGAAAACAGGTTTTAGGCATGCTCCATCCCCATGAAAACGGCTGCTACCATGCAATGCAATGCTCAGGAAGCAAGAATCAAGAAGAAGCGAAATTTACCAGGTGACGAAGATGATCTTTTGCCAAGTCATTATCCGTAAGATTAACAGTCTGGAATTCTTCAGATTCCATGCGGCTCACCATTGATGTAAGCTCAGTAGCAGTATGGACTCCAACACTGAGACAAGGAAATAGTCGAATATGAAGAAAAAGACAGTAATGTATGACCAAATAAAAGCAAAAATAACTTCAGGAAAGTTGAAGATTTATCTTTGTTTGGGTACGATATTCAATCATTTGCATTCATGTGCGGCAACTACAACTATTTACTTGGCACTGACCTGTAAAGAACAAGAGCTTTCTCCTTGGAAGCATCATACCGGTATTTAAACTCTGTTATATTCACCAGACCCACCTTCCACAACCAAAAAATCTCGTTAGAAAACAGGTTGAAGAAGAAACGCAATTTTAGGAGAAAAGGAATCGTAACATACGAGTTGACAAAATCTTTTAAAGCTTCCAGGCGTTTCTGGCAAAGAAGTTGCAAGGACAGCCTCTTGTTTGCGACCAACATCAGCAAGTTCAGTGACTAACCGCAGCCGATCGAAATTCATGTTTGCACCAGAAGTGATGGCTACAACAGCTTCCCCACTCAAACCATAATATTTGCAGTAAGCTTCTGCACCAGCCAAGGAAAGAGCACCAGCTGGCTCCAGAATGCTCCTTTTCTCCTCAAACATGTCCTACAAAGGAAAGAAGGCTCTTGTTTGTTTATCTATAAAGCTGTTTCAGCGCTGACTTCTTTGTCTCTCTAAGTTTATAAAGCCTCTCTGTGTTTTATTTATAAAACTGTTTTAAAAGGAAAGAATTAGAATGATTTGGTCTATTGTACAGAGCTAGGAGAAATGCAATGAACAACGGTGATCAAATTTAGGAGCAAATCATTGCCTTCTAACTATGCTACACATATGAAGGATGTACAAAATTATAAATACCTATATATTTGAACCCAGTGTCACAAGATATAGTTTCTCAACGAAAGAAGAAGTATCCCAAAGCTACTAAGGACTAGTTCGCATAGAGAGGGCATCCAGAACAGATGAGGCCAGAGACATGCCATCGGCATTTGGTACAATTACAAGCTACTGGCAAGGAGATGCGTCCCGCACTCACTCTGAGATGTTCAGAATAATCCATTCCTCATGTTAAAATACAAGACCAAAAGATAACCTACGTGAGAACCTTTCAGGAGAGGTAATGGCATTATCTCGTCCAATAAATATTGGATAACTGTAAACGCGTGACAAATATTTCCAGTTGTAATATCAGAACATGTCAATTCCTAAGGCACACTGAAAACCCAAAATAGAAGGCAGTTGATAAAGTCATGACGAATGAATTGTACAATATATTTACAGAAAATAAACATATACTACATAGGCATTCGGAATTCTGCATATTATATTGAGCATGCTTTTATGCTTACCAATTACCGGTGATTTTATAATTTGTATAGATTCTGATGAAGCCAGAGTTGCTAAAAGATAATTTCGCCTTTGAATCCACAAGACATATCTTAGGCAAAACACTATTATTTCTGATGAGAAATTTTAAGAAAAAGCAAAAATCCATACAAACATAATTTTTATAAATTACGTAATAGCCAAAAGCCACTAGGCAATCAAGGGTAACCAATAATTATAAACATACAATTCATAACGAAATTGTGAAATCTGCATATTTTTGTCAGAAAAGAAAGAATATGTCAAATTAATATCGTCAAAGTTCATTTACCTTTATTGATGCACAGATTGCATCACGGCTGACGAGAACCACACCATCTATCAATTCTCTGCATAGGCGGAAGGTTTCTTCACCAACTACCTTAACAGCTACACCATCTGCAAAACCGCCAACCTGCTCTAGCATGACCCTCTGCCCATGATGTAATGATAACGCCATAGCATTAGCATCAGAGGGTTCCACACCAATTATTTTCACCTGAACAGAAAAATAAACATGCATTGTGGTGTCAAATCTACCTTTCTATCAAAGTAATGAATCTCAGGGCCGAGAAAGAAAACAAGAGAGATTTCCAAAATATAATTAATTGAACATGTTTCTAATATTTGATGATATTAAAAACTGAGGAAATGTCCGCACTCCACATAATTGATCTATTATAAACCCAAGTTCATAAACAGCCACATTTATCATGCAAGTATCCAAGTCAAAACATGCACTGGTTGAATCATTTCTAAAATTGCTATCACTCACTTCAGATCATAAAAATTGGCACCACAGCATGGTCAGGGGTTCCTAGAGCATTTAAAAATACTAATATTTTGCTGTTAATGGCGACAGCTGCCTGACTAATTTCTTTGAAGAGCACAGGCATCAATCTTATGACATCTAACTCTTGCTTCTCTAGCATAATGGAAGAAGCGGTATCATCAGCATATTAAAGGTGACTCATTAGGACATCTGAAGCACTTGGATGAAATTCTTCTATCCACCTAATCTCTTAGGCGCCAGAAACATTTCACTCAAAACTGTGACTAGGGATCATCCTGTCTTAGTCCTCTTCCACTGAGAATGAATTTATTTAGTTGGCAGCCCATTGACCAGACGCACAAATTCGGCCGCAGTTATTCATGCTGGAATCCATCTGGCTTATTTTACATTAAAGCCCAAAAGTTTCATTAATGATATAAATACAATCAACCCGAACATGCCACTCAGAAGTCCCACCACATGACAGGAATAGAGAGTATACGCCCAAAGAAAGACGATTTAGAGTACAACCGGGCAGCGAAAGGCCCCAAGTTTGCCAACTCAGCCTGACATGAAGCATTTCTCTACAGTAAGAGCTGCGCTTGCAAAACATGCCATTTTTCGGATCTTCTAACCATCTGGTGACTATCCATGTGGTTTGAAAACGACAAATCATCAACAGCTACAGGAGTGAAAGTATGGAAAGCATCTTCTTATTTGTATTTACAGCTATTAAAGGTCTTCTTCGTTCGGAAGCATATCTACACAGAAACAGAAACCCTGTAACAAAGTGCATAACGAGTTAAAGCCACAAACCTCAGGGCGGACTTGTTTCACATAGGCTGCAATACCAGCAATCAGTCCGCCACCACCAACGGGTACAAAAATGGCATGAAGTGGTCCTCTCAGTTGCCTAACGATTTCCATTCCAACTGTTCCCTGCCCCATGATAACTTTGGGGTTATCAAAAGGAGGAATGAATGTGCGACCCTCTTGTTCAGCTCTTTGTTTGGCATGTGACTGCGCTTCATCATAAGAATCACCCACAAGAACAACTGTTGCACCCAGTTTTTCAACAGACTTCCACTGAAAAACGTATACAAACTGGATCAGCATAAGAAGATGGAACAAGAAAATCATGCTCCACGCATCGGAGAAATACTGATGAAACCCATTCACGGTGATGACTATAAAGTTAACCTTGATTTCCGGTGTGGTAACAGGCATAACTATCACTGCATTGCAGCCCAGTTTCTGGGCAGCCAGGGCAACTCCTTGAGCGTGATTCCCAGCTGAAGAACAGATGACTCCTCTTTCCAACGTTTCACTGGGAAGGTTCGCCATCATATTATATGCTCCTCGCAACTTAAATGAAAAAACCTACACGTGACAAAGAAAAAAGTCAGAAAGAAATATGAACTTGTTCTACTGGACGAAAACACGGGCTTGTACTTGCAAGAGATGGAGGTGGGGGCTGCGAAAGCTTACTGGTTGCAAGTCTTCACGCTTGAGCCAGAACTGGACACCGAGTCTCTCTGAAAGCTTCGAAGCTATTTGCAAGGGGGATTCTATGGCCACATCGTAAACTCTGGAGGTGAGAGTGTGAGCCAGGTAATCCATGGCGCTTGGCTTGTCGTAACTCGGAGGAGTACTCGTCCAACTCATCCCCCATGACGGGCGAGTCTTGGCCGAAATACCCCCAAGGTACCCACTCTCATACTGAAGTGAGTCAGTGGTGACCTTCTTCAACTTTACATCGTCCGCTGGCGGCGCGGCCCCAGATGAGACCGACGGGCCCGTCTGGGGAGGCGCCGCGGTATCCCCAAGGGCGTGGGCGTCGGCAGTGGTGGAAGCAGAGAGGAAAGATGCGGCAGCAGCAGCGGACGAGGCGAATTTACCTCCGATTCCACCCCCATTGCTGACGCCTTGAGAGCATCGAGGGGGATGTCGATGGCAACAGCGCCGCTTTGCGGATTCGGAGGGGGACCTCGCCGCTAAGCAGCAGGAGGTAGCGGAGGAAGCCGGAGCAGGCGCCGCCGCCGCCTGAGCAGAAGAACCAGGTCCATAAGTAGGAAGAACTACCCAACCCTTTACGAGCTGCAGCGCCGCCATGCGGATCGAAGCAGACGATGGAGGATTGACAAGGGGGCGGCGGCGCCGAAAGGGACGACGACGATGCGGTGAAAAAGAGGAATGGAATGGACGCGGGTCATCTGCGACGGGCACGTGGGGAGTTTAACAGCGTAGGACTTTGTCTCTTCGTTCCAATATGAACGAACGTATTGGAACGAACGGCCGGCAAGCACCGCCCACGATAAAAATGAGGGCGTCGGTGACCGTGACTAGTCAGGTACCACGAGATACCAGACACCCCTGAATTCTATTCTAGTCATCGATAAAAGAGGATAACGTGGACGAGTGCGCGTGCATGTCGCCGTTCCCCACCACGTTTGATAGAGGGATTTATCTGCTCTTCTTAGGCATTGATCGCTACTAATGAGCATCAAAGCTTTTCACGTTCATGGTGATGCTCTTAAGTACTCATTCCATATGGTGACGCCATGCAGGGGTGTACTGAACCCAGATTTAGTAAATGAGAGGTTGAGGCTGGATAATAATCTTACAGGGCTATGTATGGAAAAAGTAAAGGTACATATATATACATTATTCTCTAGACTAAAGTCTATTGTTACCGTTGCTAAATTTTATCTATGATAAAGGAAACCCATTGTTTGTGAATTGGTTCTCATGGCCTGAATTGATCAGAAAAAGAAGTATAAGCTTAAGAAGCTATGATACACCTGATCAAGAAGAAGGCCTAAGAAAAGAATTGTCCCACACCAAGCTTAGAGCAATAGCCATCAGCAAGATTCCACTGATATAAGTCCGAGTTGGAGCCCATTCTGCTGAAGTTGTTGCTAATTAGATCCTCTCTCCTTTCAGAGTTTTCACCACCATGGTAGAGAGGGAAGGATGACTTATTGTTGACTAGGCTGCAGTTGACACTTATAACCCCAATGTTAGAGTATTAACCAGTTTTGATTAATGGCAACTCTACCAAGTTGAAAACTACATCCATGGCCTCTTTTCTAAACTTGTCATGTAGGGGTTGACCAGTCTACAAAGGTCCCACAAGTGTGACTCCTCTGCAAAAAGTTCATAGAGCCTCATCTGCCAGAAGAATGTCCCAAAAATGCACATATTGAGAAGAGTCAAAGAGGTGGAGCAGTGGATACTGATGGCATAGATGAGAAGATCCAAGTGAAGAATATCCACTAAGTTTGCCTATATGGTGATGGTGAAGAGCCGACAAAAGAGATCTTGAGAAAAATCTGTGAATTTGATGTTGTCACCCATTGGTTGTGATCAGTTTTTTAAATTCTCTATAAGACAAACAAACTAATAATGTGACATTTTTCTTCAATGATATCCCTAATGAATAATCCCTCTGAGGTGGAGTCAATGCGATTTCTTTGTTAGTTACCAAAACAACCTAACAAATGTAAGAGCTACTAAAATTGAGGTAGATGCTAGAGAGACCAAAATCTAATAATTGATGAGCTTCTAGTTTCCCTTTGTGAATATAAGTTTTCACAAAAGTTGATTTTTCAAACCATTTTGAGGGAAGAGCAGAAATGTAGGATTCATCTATCACAAATTGTTTTTTTTTTTTTTTCTTGTAGGCAATACACATTGTCATTTCAAGCTATTTGGGGTCAGCTTTTCAATTGCAAAACTTAATTCCATGGTGGAGAGTTGGATGAATTTTTCATGAAAAATTATTATATTAGCATTGTTGGCAGAGTAAAATGGGATAAATCATAGAACAAAAAACAGAAATAGGAAGTATTACTCACAGATACATTGTAATTCTCTTATGTCTTCAAAAGAAGATCAATCACCTCAATTAGAGGCTCACAACGAAAAAATAAAATTGATTTTCCAAGTCCTCAAGAAGAGGTTCACAAAGAAAAAATGAAACTGATTTTCCAAGTCCTCAAGAAGAGGTTCACAAAAGCAACATTAGTCTCCTACATAGAGAGAGAATAGAAAAGGAGCAATCACACATGGATTGGCTCTTATACCATGCTGAGTTTCTTTCAGTTCCTTTGTGTCTTGAAGAACAAGAAACCTTCTTGTGAAAGGGAGAAAAAAAATAGAACATCTATTGAACATATGAGAAGGAAATCATTTTTCTAAATGTTCTAACGCATGATAGGATATATGTTATTTATAACAGATCCACAAGAAGGTTTCTAGACACAAAACATTACACTCCAAGAGATAATAAGATAAGCATCTGATAAACACATGTTTTCCTAATGAAGCACATGATATACTCCCCCTCAGCCACATGCATAGTATTTCAATAGTAGTATGGGTTCTTATTCACTTTAATTTTGTGCTCTCCTTCAGTTGGGCTTAGGCTATTAATAAGGTAGTGTACCTACTATTTTCATAGTGATTTGGTCACAAGACCTACTCTAGTTTCTCAAGTAATTGCATTTTACATTCCTTCCTTTAGTCCCACTAATACTTTAGTTAAATACATATTAAATTATGAGAGTTAATAACCTTACACACTAGATTTAACAACCTAGATGACTCAAGAATCTACCTAGAAAGCCTAGTCTAAATTCAAGTGATCCATGGGGATTGACATGAGAGACCCACTCTCAACATCTAGATTTAAGACTCTATGGGGTATAACAAGAGTGACACACTCTCATCGTTGAGATTTCAAGCTCTAGTTGACCTAACATAGATTAGGCAATACTAATCTATTCATAGTTTATGGCTTTAGATGGGCTCTAAGAGAAAACACATTTTGAACACAAGGTAGAATATGTTATCTTTCTTATTTATTCAACACAAGACTTGTTTGAGGCTTCCTCCTCTTGATTATTCAACACAACTGAGTGGAAACATTTAGAAGAAGGTGGAAGTTAAAATTCATTCTTGATTGAGGTATAATGGTTAATGTGACTTAATCATTATATTTTAACTCACATAAATTGAAATTTATAAAATTAAAAAACACTTATTATTAGATGTAAAATTTATTTCAGTAGACATATATCAATTTTAAGTCAAGAATGAGCTCTAAAAATAGAGAGACACATCATCCTTTATAGCTACCCTCAGCTGGGTCCTCCATAGGTGGCTGCAATCTAGTATCTCTAGAATTTTTTGCCCTTCAGTCAAGACATTTGAGGTTGCAATAGTTGCAACATTTGGGCCATTATTGAAGCCTTCATTATATTCTCTATGGCCATCATTATTCTAGGATGCAATGACTCTAATATCCATTGATAGGGTATTGAATGGAAGAAGAAAATCCCACTAAAATTACTTCAATTAGAATAGAGAGTTAATTTAAAACTTGAGAAGACAACTTTTTGAGAGGGCCGCAACTCTTCTAGTCCTTGCATAATGGTCAGTCCCTTTCTCGACCTAAAGAACCATATACCCTCATGATTCGTGGGCCTTTACAATACTAAACTTTTTCTTTTGGTATTGAGCCTTTACTCTATGGGCATTAGCAACCCAATTACTCAGCTTTTAATGGGCCCCTTATCAACCCTAACACAATCCTCTCAAGTACTAGTTGTCCTTATCAACCTTTTTTCCCATTATTTTGAAATTCTATTTTGTAAACCCATTACATACATTTTCAATAATAACTATGATGGACAAGAATAAATCTATAATCCATGCTCTTTGCAACCATGTATCATCAAGATTGATGATAGAACTTCCTATCATGCCTACATAATTTAAATTAATTAACTATAACCTCATCCAATAGTCAAAATATACTAGGAAAGTTCTAACTTACTAAGAGATGCTACATCATTTGTAAGATACAACAATATATCTTATGTCAAGACAATTTAAGAAATGGTGAGAGGAGGATGCTTTCATAAAGACATAAATCTAAGGAACCATGATTTCTCAAATTAGTAGTGACTTTTTCTTCATGCAAATTACAAAGAATTTGTGAGAACAGTATATATGAAATACTCAATGAAAAAATAAGTCACATAAAGATGAAATGGAAAACAAATCTCAATTTATTATTCAAGGATCAAATCAATGATAGAGTATGTAGGAGAATTAAAGAACTTATGACAAGAGCTTAAATATTACCTTGATCTTGGAAGTAAAGAACCCAAATAAATTAATATCTTATGTAATTTTATGTAATGAAGGTGTCTTTAAATTTATGATTGGATTAAGTCATTTTGTTATTATATCTGATAATAAATTCTAGGATATGAAAAGAGACTAGATCTCAATTGTCTTAAATTAAGAGTGTCATCAAAAATTGATGTTATATGCTCAAGATTTGAGTAATACTGCATTCATGGTTAAAACTAGACAAGAAAAAACTAGAAAATTGATACCAAAGACAATCTTTGGTGAACTTATTTTTCTAGTAATTGATTCTAGATAAGATTGTTGTTATAAACTCTATAATAAACTATGGAATTTAGAGAATCATATGAGCCAAGTGCACATAATAATTGATTCATTTTCTAATTAAAAGTTTGATAAGGTTGACTTTATAAATTTAATTCTACTTCATCAAGAGAAATAGAGAAACTTTACCTTGAATTAGAAAAATTGAAGGTAATGTTAACACAATAGTCACAACCCTCAACAAGTCATCAAAATTGTCAATTTTATTATCCCATTGGTGTCCAAGCTCCATCCCAAGACATTATTGGATGTTGGATAGTAAATTCAAGAGCAACAAACCATATGAAAAATTCTTCGTATCATTTCCTAACCTACACCCCATTCTCTAGTGACCAAAAAGTGTCCACTATTGATTCTACACTTCTCATAGTCACTAAAATTAGAGACTTTACTTTTGAACTTTTATGAATTATCACCAAAGTCCTCCATGTTCTCAAGTTTTTCACCAATCTTATCTTTGTCAAAAGACCCATTAGTAACACACTTTATCATATCTTTTTTTATAAAGATATTTGTGTTATCCTTGATAAGGTCTAGAGATGGAGGATTAGAGTTGCTAGAGAATGTAAAGGGCTCTACATCCTAGAAGGATTTAGTCCAACCTATCTAGTAGAAGTGGATCCATCTTTAAAGCATCACAAATTATTTTTTTACATTCAGCTTCTTTATCAAAAATTAGGTCATCCTTCCTTCACCACTATGAAGAGTTATCACCCTTCTTTATTTCAAAAAGTGTTGGCGAAAACACTTTTAAGTTTGATGTATGTGAACTCTCTAAGCATACTCATGTCTTTCTAATAAAAAATGAAAGGAGTGAAATCCCTTTCTTCTGTATCCATAATAGTATTTGGAGACCATGTCCCAATGTTGATCTCTTAGGTAATAAATGATTTATCATCTTTCCAAGATGTTGTGGTTCAAAGAATATAGATATATATATATATATATTACATATTGTGTGGTCATCTTTCTTCCAATATTTTATAGAAGTTCATTCTCCATTGTAGAGTATGCTTCAAAACCAACTCCAACCCTAGACTAATATCAATGGAGCCTTGCAAAAGACTATTACTAATGATTGGTGTGGGATACGGTTTCTTCATTAGGCTTATTATAGCTAAGTATATGGTCTTTTCTTTGATCAATTCTACTCATGAAAATTAATTTAGACATATTAGATTTCTTTATCATAGCTAATAATTCAGTAATCGTAACAAGATATTGTATTCTAGATAATAATGTATATATCTAAGTCTTAATATTGTGTGGCCATCTTTCTCTTAGGGTTTCATAGAAAATTATTTATATTTATAGGGTTTACTTCAAAATTAGTTGATAATGCGATAGTTGTACAAAATCTGATTTAAAAGTGTTGCTCTAGAAAGAAACCAGATGAAAGAATAATGCATATATATGTATTATCATGATTTAGTCATTTGGTGAAATCAACGTAAGAAATATATAATTTTATATTCAACTATAGGTATTGACATCAATATTAAAAGAATTGATATTTTTATGAATGGACTACTTGTTGATCTCATTTCAACATTTGATAATGATTCATCTACTAAACATGATTCCTAAATACAAAAGATACTAGTTTATTAGGAGAGCAAACAGTCTTTATCTCTCTATTCTTTGGTGAAACACACATTGCTTGACAACTTGAAGTTTCTATGATTTTTTGCAAGTATGATTCAACATCTAACAAGTTAATTATGCTAGGATTCAACCACATTAACCTCACACAAGTTAATTACCTCACTAATACATTCATCTTCTTCAGTTCTCGCAAAGAGTAAAAACTTCTACATCTAAGCCTAGAAAAAGACTGAAAGTGATGTATGAATGTAGAGATAGAGAAAGAAGATGTCTAATCAATAACATGTGCTATAACAGTAAAAATAAGAACCAAATTATGTGCAATAGAGAGAGAGAGTCAATGTCTAACTAATAACAATGGCTATCATAAGAAGTTGTCATTAAAAGGAGAGAAACTATCACCACATGATGAACTGCAGCTTTTGCTAAAATTTGGAGAGTTTCGAGGCTTGATATCTTTTGAAGACTGCACATTCATCAAAAATTATAGGGCCTCACTCTGAGGAGTGAAGTTGAAGAGAGCTAGGATAAGTTTCATACATCCTTCACCACCAGCACATTACGTATTCGTGATGTCAGTCATCAATAGTCCTCTTTTATACCATGGGCACTCTCTATTTCTAATGAGCCCTAACTAGTATATCTTGTCAATAATAATTCATCAGATTCTTAAACAATTCTTGTAGTAGCTCAAGAGAATAGTGCTAACCAAGAGAGTCAACTCTGTTTGCTGAAATATTTTGTTACATTTTTCACTTCGAAGTTGTCCAACCTATTTAGGTAAGTAATTTTGTAACCTCATCCTCAAGTCTTTTTGAGTAGTAATCACCCAATATATTGAAAATTTTGAACTATCATCAACTATTTGATATAGTTGTGACTAGCATGAGGATCAAGTTTGACCAAACACAATGATTATAGATCTAAAAGGTTCCTTAGCTCCCACGAAGATATTTTAAGACATTCATTTCATATTAAAGAAATTGGGCTTTTATTAGGAGTTTTGTTTGTCAATCGATGTAGACTAAGCTTTAAGTCAAAAAATTCATTTATATGTCTTGAAAGTTGGTGATGAGATCTAAAAATTAATCTATTCTTCAATGAAATATTACAATATAGCCCAAAAAAAATAAATGAAAGAGCTGAAATATGGTCTTGAAATAAATGGAATCTTGAGAAAACTAAACTTCATAAAGAACAAAAAAAAAGCATAAAGTGATCACCATGAACAAGTGATCTTCAAGAGAGTGTCATGTCCCATTTATAACCCATCATATAAAAATTCTCAAATTACTATATGGGACGTCATTGAGTGCAACCCAACTTTATATGGATGTAAGGATTTATGTTAGAAATTATTTGCCAAGATTTAGAGTGATAAATTATTTCATATTAGTGTTGTTTTAGGGCCTAAAATCTATCACATTGAGATGGTGATAAAACTAAAGTAGCAATTACAGACTCCACCGAGAGTAAATAAGAAAAATTATCTTGTCTCTTTGGAGAATTACATAACAAAAGAATTTTCTCAGATAATCATGCAATAAAGAGAGGGAAAGCTGAACTTGACATAAGAGCTCCTTTACGAGACATTTCTTCTGGAAAATGTAATTTTCACTAGTAATATTGCGCTATTCATCAATTCGACCTTTAGATGTTGATGGATGACTACTAACATGAATTAATTATGATGCTCAAAAGCTTGAATGATGGATCCTCCCCAAGAAGACCATACCACTATTAGCATGCTCAAAGAAATTTAACATAGCGAATAATAGATTATAGGACCCAACTTTTGGATCGGTTGAACCCAAAAGATGAAGCACAATGCGAAGGGGACTATGCATAACCTAGATGCATATCACCCATAAAGCCTCCCCCATCTATGTTAGTCTAGGAGGAAGCTAGAAGTTGAGCCTACTAAGTCTCATCATTTTGAGGGTACAAAGAAAAGTCACCTACAAAGGTGCTTGTACTAGAGCATACCCCACATAAACTATCACTTTTGTCATCACTACAAAGGTGCTTATACCAGAGCTTACCCCACATAAACTATTTCCAGAAACTAAAACATGAGGGAGGTCTTGCTAAGTAAAATATTGTTCTCAAGATATTCATTTCATGCAAATTTTAATAAAAAAACTCAAATTTCGCTCATTCATATATTTGTATGTGACAGCATTCGTCCCTTCAGAGTATAAACAATTGATCAATCTTTTCAAAATGGATATTTAACCAATTACACATCCCTCTACTCTATTGTTGGCCGATCAACCTGAACTCAACCAGGGTCCTAGTATCATGCAATGGAAAGCAGAAAAAATCTACTATTATCTACCCTTGAGAAATAAAAGTAGCTAGCCTTGCTTTTAGTTCAAGTAATGCAGCATACCTATATTAGTTGGCGTACATATTACATATTTATACACTTACACATTATTTAAAAGCTTATGTAATTATTCGCTGAAAATGAAATCATCATTTCTTTATTTAAACAGTTACAGAGCCAACGTAGGTTTATCATGATCTTCTTGAACTGCCGTAAATGGTTCAAGAATCTAGCTTAGCACTAGTCAGAGACCAGTGCAAATTTAGACAGCGCCCATGCTTTGAAAGAGAGGGTCATTGATGACTGACTGTCGATAGAGTACTGGAGTAGTAGTGGTGGTGATGAACGTATGAAACCAGTCTGAGCCCTGTTCAACTTTACTACAGGGGCGGGCGCCTCTGCTGTTGTAGCATACATGTAGCTGGTCTGAAAAGCTTTCAGACTTCGAAACCATCAAACTTTCAGCAAAAGCTGCAGTCTATCACGTGGTGAAAGCTCTCTCTTCTTTAAAGCACTTGTGTTCGTCTTGTAGCCTCTGCATGCTTGCTCTCTCTCGGTTATTTAATGCTTTCCCTATTTATCCCAACCTCCCTCCTGTTTCTCGACTTGTATACGTATATGTCACACAAACACAGGCTCCCTCTCTCTCTCTATCTTTATCTCCGTCTATCTCAATCTCTATATATCTATATACAGGAATCGTATTTCTTCCAATATTGTTCCTATTTTGCAGTAGAGGCGTCAGCTTATGCGCCCTCATGATCTAGCCTTGTTGACGGCACATAGAGAAGATAACACCGAATGCAGGCAGGAGTTTGGTTCACGAAACGTCAATTTTATCCCGAATTGCATCACACGATAAGAACCTAGAAGGGCGAGAGATAGAGAGAGAGAGAGAGAGAGAGAGAGGGATTATTTCGAATATTGACGGAGAACTATAGAAAAAGATTTATATATATATATATATATCGAGAGAGAGGGAGAGAGAGAGTCGGAGATCAATTCAATACGAAAACAGAAGCTGAGAAAAGATTCTAGCAAGAAAAGATTGATATGGAAGTAGACAGAGCGAAGTAAAGAGCTACAGAAGCTGAGAAAGGGAGAGGCAGATGGGTAACAGGGAGTCCGTGCCATATCTGAAGACGGCACGCAGCCACACCATGATCGTCCTTCATTTAGAAGCTAACGTCGCAACCTTGGGCACCACCACGGGAAAACCGCCGATCTCGTCCATCCATGGGTTGTGGTTAGACTTAGCAGGCGGCGGCACGGCCCTCAGCGCCCGCCAAACGGCGCTATTGCACTTGAATCCCGATCCGAACGCTATCTGCCACACCCGGTCCCCTCTGCAGATCCTTCCTTTCGCCTCGGCATACGCCAGCTCGTACCAAAGCGAGCTGCTGGACGTGTTTCCAAACCTGTACAAGGTCATCCTCGACGGCTCCATGTGCCACTCCGACAGCCCCAGGCTCCTCTCCAACTGGTCAAGCACAGCTCGCCCACCAGCGTGGATACAGAAGTGCTCAAAGGCCCGCGTGAAATTTGGGATGTAGGGCTTCACCCCGCTCATCAGGAAGACCTTCTTCTTCAAAATGGTGATCAAGAAGAGGAACTGCTCGGATAAGGGGAGCACGAGTGGGCCCAGTGTGGTGATATTGTCCTTGAGGGCCTCCCCGGCAACGGCCATGAGGTCCTTGGAGAGGGCGACTCCCACCGTGCCGTCGGCGTCCTCCTCCTGGGAGACGCAGCCGTAGCTGCGGCTGTCGGCACCCTTGTGGGTGCGCACCGTGTGGACCAGCTCGTACTTGGACCTCCGCCGGTCCGCAGGGATGTTCGACAGGAGCACGGCGGCGCCGCCCATCCGGAAGATACTGTTGGTCACCAGCATGGACCGGTTATTGCCCATATAACCGTTGAGAGTCATGTTCTCTGTGCTCACCACCATGGCGTACGTCGATTTGTGAACCTGTGGATGTGTACACCGTTAGATGATAATTGTACGCGAAGAATAGCCCTGTAGGGTCCATTTACATTTCTCGGGAACTCTATCCATTCCTTCCACGATGCAAACCTTAACAAAACACATCCATGTCATATTCTATAAGTATTTTGAAAAAAATAGGATTCGTATCTAAGTTGGAAAAAGAAGAGGCCCCAGCACGGACTAAACACACACTGAAGGAGATATCCACATGGCCATATGCTTTAGATGAACGCGAGTAATCCTTCATGACTTGCTACATTATTCAAATCAACGCCTCAACTTATCAAAACCTCCAGGTTGGGAATTTGTGGCATAGTCAACGTTAATCCATGACGTCGATTCAAACAATAGGGACCAGGCGCAGATACCAGATCCTAAAAGTAGAGTCTCGACCGGCCCCGGGACTAAATGTTCTAAAGCCCTTAGAGAAGTCTCCCTCCTTCCTCTCAAAATCTGCAGTAGATAGTCTCTGTCTTCCCTCAGACCAGCTCCACCGTCCTACCTAACGTCAGAGTTGCAGATCTTCACATCTTCACAAGCCTAACTACCAGGTCAGACAGCTCCATAGAAGTCAGAGAACTGAGAAGAAATAAGACGTGATCTCCGAGGTTACTATGATGCTGGACGGCTGAGACTCCAGTGCATGATATGGAGGTGACAGTTAACTCGTCCTGTGAAGGTGCAGCACCACTGGGAGAATAAATGAGCCAAGTGGCACAGTCACCGACGTCTGGGAAGCTCAGGTGACAGCTCGAGTTCAGTAAATGCCTCGGCCGCGCGAAAAGTCCCCGTTCCGAGGCCGTCTTCCAGAAGGGCAGCATGTTACGTGAAGGATGACTCGCTTTTCCCATGCTAAAAGGACGACGAAACAAAATAATATCCAGAAAATTTCTTATCAATGAGCAGCGCATTCACATAATAACACCCATATACTTCCAACACTCAGACACCGCGAGAAGTTCACCGTCGAAATATTTACGCTTTCTTGCGCTCTGCTTTCCCTTGCTTCGACTACCGACTTTACTATCAGCTACGACGTTAAGGGAACCCTATCTATCTGAATGATTATCACGAACCATACTCCGTTGGTGCAAGCGTTATATCTTATCTATCATATATGCCAAAGGAAGGAAACAATAGAACGAGGATACCACCACAAGAACAGATGAGGATTAGGTAGACCCAGACCTGAAGTAGCTGCTTGGCGAGGTCAATGGCGATGAGCCCGGCACTGCAGCCCATACCGCCTAGGCTGTAGCTCATTACTCCCTCCCTCATCCCAAACCTGTTGATCACCATGGCGGAGAGCGATGGCGTGGGGTTGAACAGGCTGCAGTTGACAATTACAATACCAATGTCAGACGCATTGACCCCAGTCTTGATCAATAGCAGCTCTACGGAGCTGAAAACAGCATCCATAGCCTCCTTCCTGGCCTCGGCCATGCAGGAGTTCATGGGCACGGAGAGGAGGCTTGAGGGAGCATAGGTCGATTCCCCCAGCCCTGACCGCTCCAGCATCTTCACTTGGAAAGCGAGAGACTCCTCTGTGAAGGTTCCGGGGAGCCTCATCTGTCTGAAGAATGTCTCGCGGGTGCACTTATGGGAGTCCCCTGGCTTGAAGCAGGCAAAGTCGAAGAGGTAGACGGGACGGCGGCGGGTGGCGTGGTGGATGATGATGATGGAGATGAGAATAGCCAGGCAGAGAAGCCCAGTGAGCTGAGAGAAGAGAGGTTCGAGGAAATTTGTGAATTTGGTGGTGTTCCCGACCATTGTGGGTAGTGTGCTTCTCAGATGCTCTATGAATGAAGGAAACAGACGAAATACTGTCATTGTTTACAACTCTGGTCTCTAAGGAAGGACCTGGGCTGGTGTGGAGACGATAGAGTTTTCTTGCTTCAGCGGAAGCTGCGCAGTGCAGAGAGAGAGAGAGAGAGAGAGAGAGACGGTGAATGTGTTAGAAAGAGAGATGATTCGGGGTAACGGGGAGACGGGGAATTTATAGAGCTTGCTGGAGAAAACTGGGGGGATAGGTGAGGCTCATGGCGAGTGGATCCAGGTGAGCATTCATTGATGGGTAGGAGGGAGCCTTCAATAGGATCAGTACTCAATGTGATACCTTTCCTTCGATATTCTTCATTAAAATACGCGCCGAACGAGATGTACTCTCAGGAAAGCCTGTGCCGGCCATGTGGCCAAGCGGTCAACGGTTCCAACGCCGAAAGAAAAGGCTCATTGATAGTAGAAGCCCATGGTGCAGCAAGAGCTTCCCAAAAAACTTAGAACTGCAAATACTGGCGTGAAACCTAGATGAACTACGCCGAGTCACACAGAAATGTGTGAGACATTACATGCAACCGCAGACAGAAGAGGAAGAGGTGTGAAGGAAAGGCCAGGAGGATGGTGTTCCCCTGATGATGATTCTTCTGACCCTCAAGTTAGCCATGAGCTCCAACGTCGAAGATGGGACATAAAGGTTCGGAACGAAGAGAGCCCTATTATTGACATAGAAACAATGGAAAGAGTTTCAGTGGCCAAGGAGCCTGCCGTCCATTTGAGCGTGCGGCTGCGCCTTCGTACTGACTGAGCTCTTCTTGTATCTGTAAGGGTGGTCGAAGCTGCTCCCACCCTCCGGAACATAGAACAGGGGGAGGCGCGCGTCTCTAAAGGTGAGACTGAGAGTCAGTGAGTTCAACTCCCAACCTCCCAAACCTCGAAGAGGGAGCCCAGCTCCTATTCCTGCTCGTCGGGTGTGCAGACATGTCGTCATGGGGCAATAAGCATGCTTGTAGAGGCAAACTCAGCCGACCATTCTACGTAGTCCAGCTCCTAGAGCCGGCCTTAAGCTGGGCCTTACGTGGTCATCCTCTGCTTATGGGGTCATGATGATAGATAAGATCAGTCTCTTGGGCATCGATTCCAAGGCCCGTCCTAGTAATAAGACCCTAGTTTAAAAGTTTCAGGGAAGTATTGTGCTCGCTCTCCTGCAGCAATCAAACTCATGGCCCTGTTGGGTAAGGAACAGGGAAGCCGGAAAGCAAAGATGAAATGAAAGTTCAGACGACTGATAACGAGAGGGCAATCAGAAGAAAATGTCCCCTCACAGAGGTCATATGCTTAATCATTCTCAGTACAGTGCGTGGAGAGAGCCGACGACCCCCCCAGGTTGACGTGCCGAGGACAGAAGACCCAGAAGGGGTAATGGTTAGCTGATGGCTAGTGGGGTTGACTTGCGGATCTCCAGTTGACAGTTTGAGACTCCGATTGGGTGGCAGTGAATTGTCGTCCCTTGAGACGAACGGGACCATCTTCCGCCGCCAGACCGTCGATTGAGCCCTACCTGGCAAGGGCCATCCTCGGATTTTATTAAGTGGGGAGAAATATTACCTAAACATGGGCCCAACGCTCTGTTGGATCGTAGCAAGTGCTGCTGGGTCTACTACCCTCTTGGATTGAAGGATGTATTCATCTTTTCTTTCCCCTATTTAGCAAAAGATGGCGTCTCACTGCATCTGACATGTTGCTTCCCTGTGCTATTAAATGAATGCATACGTCAGTGATCCACTGATACGCCGAGATTCAGAAGCTGAGACGAGCCGCAGAATTAAATGCCGTGATCAGATCCACCACCGGAGCTCCAGAGGTGAGAAATAAACTCCAACACAAGGCAAGATAATTACCGAATCAGCTGGCACAAGCATCGTTTACCACAGGGGAGGAGCGGGGCAGTTGGCTTTTTTTGTAATGGGCCTTCAAGTCAACGGTCACCTCACCTGCTTCCCGCCCCTCACATACCCCAAACACCACGAGCCGCCGATATTTTACTTGGCCTTGAAGTCAGCTCGTACAAAATCCGCGCGAACGTGTCCGAATATCGAGGGTCGGTGAGAAGGATTTCTGCAAACGCGTTCTCATAGGCAAGAAGCACAGCCCGGTTCTGAGGTTCGGAGACCAGAGTCTCCAAAACCATGGCCGCCTTTCTGCAGACCTCTGGCACCGGATGTGGGGCCTTGATCACCTTCAAGAGTCTGTCAATGGCCCTGTCGGCGGCGGGACGGAAAGAAGAGTAGTTAGTTAGTAGGGTGCTCTTGTGGAGAGGGTTTATAAGACCCCAGAGCAAGAGCCATGTGTGATCTTCTACTGTTTTGTTGTTTACCATCTCTCACTCGCGAGCTTGAGCCGGCAGTCGACGTTGACTTCTGCAAGGTTGTAGAGCGCCCCGACAGCAGCGGCTTGCGCGTCTACCGTTTGAAAGCTCAGAAGATCAACCAACCTTTTGTATATCTGTAATGAGGATATGAAAAACTTAGACGCATAACAAGAGTTGACTTTACATTGTTCTAGAGAGAGAGAGAGAGAGAGAGAGAGAGAGAGAGAGTCATTTAACCTGTGGGGCAGAAGAGAGGAGGAACGGCTCATTGTCAGGGTTTATTATAAGCCTTCCAAGTAATTCAGCAGATGCGCAGTGCCAAGCCTTGATAGAAGATCTGAGCATCACCATGATGGCCTGTACTGCGCGTTTTTCGCTGGCACAAAGCATCCCAGACAAAAAAAATCACCAGAAGAACAGATGAAGAACAAAGAAATGCACGGCTCCAACGCACATGTACTCACGTCATTTTGATAAAAGACGGCTTAGATGAGCTGAATATTCGAAGATCCAGCAGCGGAGACAGATTAACGATTGTCTCAAGTGCGTTGGTTATCAACTCTTCGTCTTCTGCACCAGAAGGAATAAAGAAGGCAGATCAGAAACCCTTTTTTCAATAGTCTTATTAATTAATTTACGCGATATCAGGAAATCTGAACAAGTATTTCTCTCCATGAGATAATAACCATTTGGTCCATTCAATAAGCAGACTAAAATTCAGATCAAATTATTTCTATGAATATATATAATAAACCATGTGGAAAGAAAGACCCATGTCAGAGCTCGATGCATGCTTCCACTGAACTCATGTCATACTAGTCGCCTTGGAGAAGAAAATATCAAGCTGGAGAAGATACATGGTATTGTTTAATCTAATACATGATCTTGTTTAATCTAACACCATGATGCAGGCAACATGGGACAGATCAATCAAGCTAACACACCATTTTAAGTTCCGAAGCTGGAGAATTTAAGAAGTATAGACACCATGTATTAGATTAAACAATACTATTCAATTGATTCAAATTCCTAGTTAACAAACATTAGGTTTTGGTCAAGGTTTTCATGCGCTTTTAAATGCTTCTCACCTTCACTGTTATGCAAAATGATGCAAACCAAATCATTTATGTACACGTAGCAGAATCGTTCTCCCTTGCTTTTTTCTGGCAAGCATAATAATAGAAATTAAAGAGAAAAATTCACTGGGGTGAGAAAGGATGTCTATAAGTAGTAACGCCAAGTGATGATGTGGTCGTCACCTGTATTTTGGTCTTCTACGCATTGGAATAGTGTCTCCATGCAATGCCTATGCTGGGCCATAATGACTTCATTCTCGGGCATGAAAGAAAAATTGCGGATAATATTGGATGCAGCAATGGCACATTGCTGCTTTTCTGCTCGACCTTCATCATCCAAATTAAACAGGCCATCTTCCTCGAACCAAAACTCAGAATAACGGCGTTTAGGTCCCTTTGCGCTACGGTGCTCTCCATTAGAAAAACCAGTGCCATTTCTGCTTTACAGATCATCATTTTTAGCTTCAATTCGGATAGCAGTGTACCCAATAGGGTTGGCAAGCCAAAGATTTAGAAAAGAAAGCATTTGATTACCCAGGATGGGACTCGGAATCATTTGGATTAGGCCTTTCATAGTCATTACCAAAACCCGTAACCATGCAGTTCTCCCCCAACACTCTTACCCTTGAGGGCTTTGTGTAATCTTTCGGAAGTGCAATGTCACGCCAGTCATCGACCTGAAAGATCAACAAGAAACAGTTATGCGCCAAATGCTCCGATAATAGATCACAAGCCAGAAATTTGGGATTCAATGATGTGGCCGCCTGCTATCATCCTAGTAATGTTTTAACATAAAACCATGCGAATCATTTCTGTAAAAGGACTTATGTATTACAGAGTAATTACCTCTTAATGGGTATTTAGGTATTACACTAAGGAAATTAAGTAATGAGAGAAGTTCCGAAAAATGATAAACAACATAGAAGACTTTTTCAACTAATTGGGAAGCAAGGGAAAATAATTTACAGAGTTGCGATGCCCAGAATTCTGTCATTTTCTTGTTTCATTTGGGGAAAGGGGTCGAACGTTATTCCCTAGATAAATAAAGGACATACCATTAAGACTTTTTCAACTAATTGGGAAGCAAGGGAGAATATTTTACAGAGTTGCGATGCCCAGAATTCTGTCATTTTCTTGTTTCATTTGGGGAAAGGGGTCGAACGTTATTCCCTGATCCTGCCCAATTAGAATCGATCTCAATTAATCCCTATAGGTTTCTTATAAGGTAAGGTCTTGGAGGCAAATGTTATTATTTTCACGACAGAAGGCAAAATTTTTTATGATGTCTTCCAATCATCAGATTAACCACAAAGAAGATGAATTTTAGATCAAAGAATGTGTTAAACGTGCAATATATACAATTTTACGGCATACACAACATATTATACCCGTACGTGTACATTTATAAATGTGGCTTACAGAAGTATATCCTGACGCATAGATTTTATGAACGAATGACAATCGACTTAGTAAATACGCATACCAATTATACCTATACCAAGTATACATATACCAAGTGCATATATCAAGATAGGGAGAAAGAAAGGATAAAGGAGCGTGCAACTGTCCAAATAATCCATTAAAAGAGGGAGAGAAAAGTTGGTTAAAAAGATCTCTAATAGCGTGGCAAAAATAATTGGTACATAGATAAAAGACTAGACCTGAATAAATATTGACATGGTAATGGAAAGAAACGAAAGAATCCATTTACAAATGAGATAAACTAAATAATGGAAATGAAACACTGACAAAAAAAAATGACGGCTTAGTTCCAGAAGAAGTTCGTACGATTTGAAGGATGGCATCAAGTAAGCCAGGTATCTTAGCTAGTGGCATTGCATCTCTTCTCATGTCATCCTTCTCTTTAAAGGATAGCAATGTAAGGATGTTCAGCGCCCATGTCAATTCACTCTTTAATCCGCTCTGCAGAGCCAGGACAATTCTTTTGTTGTTTTGATCTGGAAACGAATATGATAACACAAAGATGAATTGATTAGGGCATTGTAAAGATATATAACTGTTGAAATTAAAATGGGACTTGTAAACAGGTCGCTATAAACTAGTGAAATGACTGGCACAAACAATTATCAGTTAATGCGTATAGCCGTTTCTATCGGGAGTAGGTCACTTGGTTGGCAAACATAGCACAAACGGTAGACGACAGCACAAACAACCTTGATTCGATAATGAATGTCAAGGAAGCATAACCAATTATTCCAAACCCAAAAATAAGATATTACAGTTCACTTGGAATGTTAACAGAAACATTGTGCCATGCTGTAATGGTTATACTTCTAAACAAGAGTTGAATATGAGCATTCCAGAATATTTCTTAGTCATAAAGATTTTTCAACTACACCCAAAACTACAAACAACTGAAAATGACTAATTCTGAAGTCTAAAGAAAAATACTCATTAGCGTATCAGATTGTCTGAATAAAGGAAGTCCCTCCTACAACTGCGAAAAAGTTCTTCCAAGACTCCAATTGTTATCATTTAAAAAAAAAACAAAGAGAACAGGAAGGAGGAACAAGAACAATCATGAAGAGAAGGCCACGTTGGGCTTGAGACTAATCATTCTGCGTTGTTCCCAAGCCCCTTTATAATGTATGTATACAGCATGTGCGATAGAAAAACCATATAATCATGTTACACGATCCACTTAGGGTATCCGTAAAGGACAAAATGTCATGCTAACATGCAAGAAAATACACAATAAGTTCACAGAAAAACCCCCCTGGCACGATCATACAGCTAATGTCACATGGATCTACACTCTCCTTCAACAATAGATATCTTATGAGCAAATACTACCAGTTTTTCACTCAGATGTACTACAAACTACTCCGAAAGAAGGCAGAATAAGCCGTAGCAGACTTTATCTCATCTTCAAAGTCTGCTCAAACAACATAAATCTAACCTTAAATACTCAAGTGAGTATCTTAAAAATAGTACTTGGATGAGATGTACTTGGAGGTGGCTGTCATGCAATTAGTGACACGAATCAACAACCAAAGTGGTAGAACTTGGATGAGATGTACCACTCAATACTTGTCTTGAAGTATTTGGCTGACTATACAGAAATGTAGACAAGTACAGGTTTCATGCTGCGACAACATCTTCTGTAGGCAGCAATGTCCTCAGATGAAAGTCCCTGTATACTAGTCTTCGTGGAGCTTGCTGGAGCTCCCATAGGATGCAGTACCAGTAGACTGGATGCATCCTATGGGAGCTCATAAGGATGGATATCATGACGAACATCATGATGATTTTATCTTCTACAGTGACTAAAGATCATCCCGCCCTTATTTCCTTAGACAGCTCACCTCAACCCTAAACAGTGTTTACAAAGATTAAAAACTCTCCTTTTCCAAGCTCTGCAAAAATATCAGTCTTCATTTTCACGCCCTTTCCCCTTGCTCCCTCACTGGTACATGTAGACTGCATCCAGCTTCAGCCCAGACACCTCTTCAGGTAACATCCACATCGCTCTTCCTGTTGTCTTCCTCAATGTTAAATATTTTCTGCAACCACAGTTACTAATCCAAGTCATAACAACGTTTTCATACATTAACCAACTCCCATATTTTAGATCATCAAATTTTTTTAAGTTTTCATTTTCCCATTTGTACGCCCAATTTTCCCCTTCCAGAAACATATATTCGTCCAGCAGCACTACGACCTCACTCTCATTTAGCATCACAAGTCTTATTTTTATGGAAACATCTTCACTCCCCATATTTTCTGAAGTCTTCAACATTCAGGATGAGACTTTCACTAGCCGTGAGAGAAAAAAACACTTTCTTAGGTAAATGCATGTCCCAAAAATAAGATGAGTTGACGATGAAAAAAAAAGGCAATAATCAGCGCATTCCATAGCCTCTCTTCATTAGCAATACTGGGGTGAGAACCTGATGATTACAAATGCCAGTAAATACGATTTGTAGCCTCTTTTATACTTCCGATTGCTGCAAGTATCCATCCTTTCAGCGTAAATGACTAACATATCTCCACTAGCCAACCAAAGAGAGGAATGAAAGGTCCCTCGAAATAACGAGTTGGCATATGAGGCACTGGCTAGAAAACAAAAACCTGCTCTGGACTCAAGTTAACAGGACATTTTGAAGAGAAAAGTAGGGTTTTCAGATACAGAAGGGTGAAAAAATGAGAACAGCATGGCCAACTTCATTATCTTGGCATGACCTGAACTAATGGATTTTTATTATTCTTTTTGAGATTCCCATATCTGTAGAAATGACAAAGAAACCATCAAAGAAAATGCAGTTTACACCTCCAAAAGCAAACAAATTCTGTAACAGAATCAAAGAAGACTTTGAGCCTATTCCGGAAACAGGCAACAGAAATGGAAAAGAGAAACTAGAAGAAAAAAAAAAACAGACTCTGCCCAACAAACTAGGTCTGAATCAGTCTTTTCGCACTTTATCTGGGCCCAATAACGGTTTGGGCCCTCTTTTAGCGTTCTCATCTTTACATCCCAGTTACAAACTGGCTGGGCCTCTACTTTTGGGCTTCTCATGCTTCTCTCCACTCTATACCACATCACAACATTCTATCGACTCATGGCATATGCATCATGTTTATACCTAAAATACATACTTCATATATTTTCACAAACTGTCAATTTTTTTAACTTCTCCTCCTTTAGAGTTGCCACAAAACAGCCATCCTAATTATTAGTAAGTCCTCCTGTCAGCTTCCTTTAAGCTGGTAAATTGTCTCAGAGGACCTTAATGTAGCCAACAGCCCTTTGACCTATGATCTCTAATCCTCGTAGACATCAACCAAAAAATCCTTATTTTAACTATTCGTACCCTATGAATGAAACCCTTTTTCAGCATTCCGTCATTTATTCAATGAAACATGGTTGAAGAGATAGCATACTATAAAATTTCCCATTCAATCACGAAGGGAATTATAACGATTTCGAAGTGCATTTGCTTTAACCAAAAGGTGTGCACATAAACCACTTTCTTGAACACATATTTGATTCGATTACCACACGAAGATAACTGAAATGATGCTTTGAAATGGTTATCGGTTATCTCACGAGATAGGATGTACATGTGTTCCTCTCTTCCCACAAAAAGTTTCAGCTATTTGTTCCTTGTCTTATTAATGATAAAAACCTTAATTTTTGTAAAGCCTCGATCTTTAAATCCTTATTATAATCTAAACTAAGTCAGACAGTTTTCCTTGATTTCTAAGGCATGATTTGATATATACTGACCGATAGAAAGCACGTTCTATTTTCAAGGCATTCCCTGGTGTTTCTCAAGGAAATGAGTCTTAGGCATTCTTGAGACAAGCTAAATCGATCTTCAACTAGATTTTTGTATTTTTTATTTTTTAAGGTTGATGATCCAAAATTCAGCACTTAAAACTGGATTCTGAACGCAGTCAGAGATGCAGATTGGTGTTAGAGCAGTATTCGATAGCATTAAATTGGTACCAAAGTCCTTAGTAGAACGAAACTGCATGACCTATTCCACGTTTGAGCAACCAGAGAGAAGAATTGGCTCACTTCGGTCTGCTAAGTTTCGAGGCTTGTCAGAATAGAAATATAAAACGAGAGAGAGTAAGTACGAGTAAGAAGACAAAACCCTGCCTGACACCACAGAGCAAGAAGAACTTCATGCATAAGGTCTTCAAAAAGGAAACAATTGTTATGAGAAGACAAAGAGACCTAGGGCAATCAACAGTCTGGACTTCCCTCACAAAATCGTAAACCTCAAGAGAAAAAAAAAAAAAAAAAGCCGCAATGGAGTGGTGTCGAGGGATCTAACCGGCGAAGGAAACGGGAACCTGGAGTGTGGGACCTAGGAGGGACGCGGGGGCCATGGAGTCGCCGGTCACCGACGAGAACATCCCCGCTCCACCACTGCCGCCGCCGCCGCCTCCTCCTCCTCCTCCTCCGGCGGTGCTCCCGAACGGCCTCCCGCGCTTCGCCGGCGAGGGGGCGGCGGTTCCCCCGCCCTTGCCGCCGAGCTCCCTCTTCTGCATCTCTCCCGCCCCCCTCTCTCGTCTGGTGGTGGACCCGAGCAATTTAACCCCTCCTTGGCTGACTCGGCTGACTCGCCCGACTCGGTATCTGGACACCCGCCCGAGTCAGTGTACACCTCCAACTCGGTCAGCTGACCACATGGCGGGCTCTTTGGATTGATCACTACGAAATTCAGTCCCGGGGGATTAACATGTATCGGGCCGGGCCTCACACTGCTACCCTACCGACCCGGCCCGCCCAACGCCTACAAGCTGGGCGGGCATCCTCGTCTGGTAACGTCTCTCTCTCTCTCTTACAAGAGTTGGGGAGTGGTTTTCAGAAGATCTCGCTTTGGAGTTTTCTTCTCTTAGTTATTACCATTTCAAAGCATGCATCTTTTTAGTGTTAAAGCTTAGGATTACAATCGCGTGAACCCTGATCTCTCTCTCCTCGGCGTCTGAATAATCTCTCCTTGCGTTCTACTTGGCTTCAGTAGAGTCAACAGGACGATCCACGGGCCCTAATTTCTTCACCAGACCATGAAGGAGATTATAGAAAGATCGGGTGATGTCCCATCGAGTCAACCCAATTATCCTAACCGTAATGTCGCAAGGAAAAAGTTTTCAAGCATCCCGTTGACCATCTCAATCTATGCATCTATAACCGTACTTGGAGAAGAGATTGCATCATGGTCTTCAATCTACGACTCCCAAAACTCCACTAATCGTGAAGAACTACCCTATAATGGGTAGATTCCAAAGCATGAGCATCTCCTCCCACAAACAACATCAAGGAAGAACACGCCACAGGGAAAAGGGTCAAACTCGAATGGCACAGATTCAGCACACATTACAACTTCTATGGAATGTTTCAGGGAGAAGAAGATGACACCGAGCATAAGAGGAAGAAGACCAACAGTTAGTCAAGAAATCGCCTGTTTCCTTGATCAGTACTTACCCTATGAAGAGGAAGAATCCAACACCGGGAGAGACAGAGATAGAGAAGAAGTTGCATAACTTGAGAGGGACTAAAGGGCCCCGCCGCCTAGTCCTTGGAGGACTTGTTGATTAGGGACTTGTGGATGTGGGGAATGACACCGCCCCCGGCAATGGTGCCCTTGATGAGGGTGTCGAGCTCCTCATCTCCCCGGATGGCGAGTTGCAGGTGCCGAGGAGTTATGCGCTTCACCTTCAAGTCCTTGCTCGCGTTGCCCGCCAGCTCCAGAACTTCGGCTGTGAGGTACTCCAAGATCGCCGCAGAGTACACCGCTGCCGTGGCTCCAACCCGCCCGTTGGCCGCGATCCTCGACTTCAGCTGCCTGTGGATTCTCCCCACCGGAAACTGGCAGCAGTTGCAAGCCCAAATCCACCGTCAACTCAGTTTTTTCTTTTTTTTTCATTCAATCAGGGTGTCAAATGAGGAAAGTGAAACCAAAATCCTGAGAAGATTCACGGAAAGACCAACAAACGCACTTGGTTTCCGGTTGTGAGGGTGAACGACCCACCACCGCCTCTGATTTCGGCTAATCTCACCATTAATCCACGCAAACCAGTGAAGATCCGCGGGAAGCGAGTAGAGGAATCACAAGAAGTTCCATGGAAAGCTAAACAGGAGGACCGACGACTTTCCGATTACAAATCGACGGAATGCACCACACAAGAGATGTCTAGATTTAAAGATTGCACGGAATATGAATGGAGCTGGGCGTTACTATGGGACATAGTCGTTCTTAGCTCGGATCAGTTCATGAAAATCATCACCAGGGGCTAAAAAGGATCTGACGAGCAGGCCTCAGATGGAAATGAGACGAGGGGTTGTCCGTTTCATACGAGATCAGAAAACATCGTGAAAGATGCCATAGTAGAGGGCGACGATTCCCCCGGGTTCTCGCACCTGGAGGCCAGCGCGGGACGAACGAGAGGTGGGCTTCTTCTTGTCCTTGTCCTTGTTCGCCGTGGTCTTCCCCGCCACAAGCCCTTTCCCACCCTTCCCCGCCATCTTCACGCCCTGAAAGACCCGAGCCAAATATGTAAGATGAAAGGAGGAGGTGATCACCAGCAGAAGATCACTATCGTCGCCTCAAACCCTCCGGAAGCACGACAAGGTAGAAAACCCAAGCAGGTGAATGAAGAACAAAGTTATCCGGCAGGAAGAGCGCCGAGAAGATTTCCACACACGCTCATGTCCGCGAACAGGGCAAGTACCTTAGCCTGGATCGAGGAGGAGCAGCAGCAGCTTCCGCGCCGAGAGAGAGAGAGAGAGAGAGAGAGAGAGAGAGAGAGAGAGAGAGAGAGAGACTGTGTGTATGTGCGTGTAACGTAGCAGGGGAAGGGAGAGAAACAGGTTTTGAGGAGATTCGGGGGAGCCTGTGGCGGCAAGGAAAGGCGGTAACTTTTCAACGGCGAAATACGAATTTGGAATTCGAAGTTTGGATCCGAAACATAGGATTCCGGGCCCCGCTCTCCCCCCGCACCACCTTGCAAGCCTGGTCAACGGATACCTCCTGCCTGCAGCGTTCTCCTAACTTCAGGTTATATTGAAAAATAAGGAAGAGGTAGGTACAGATATCAATAAAGTATTACATTCATATAAAAAGGCCCTAATGTTATGATTTAGCAGTCTAGGTTCTTACAAACTGCCAGAATAATAAGATTAAATACTTCATTAAACATTTTATTAAACACAAATCATTTAACATTGATTAAATATGATTATTAATTACCAATTATCAAGAAAAGACCAACGTATCCTTCTTGGTGAAACCCTAATCTACACCCACCCCATCAGTTCTCTCTTGCACCTCCAACTTCTAACCTACCCCTATGTGGCCTTCATTAAATAGATTTGGGTCCTCTCCATAAATACCTTCCCAAAACTCTCCCTCTTCAAATAGCTATAGGCCCTCTATCACATGAAATTCAGTCTAAGCTTGTTTGATTGCTCCACCATGTGACACCCTCCTTGTTCTTCCCTCTTAATTTATCCTCAATCATGCATCTTGTTCATTCATTTATTTTTCTTCATATCCTTAGTTTTGGTAAGTACAAGTCCAAATTTATTGATAAATATTATCTAATATTAATAATTATTTATGTGTATCATTTGTATGTTTCTAATATTTAATACGTCAACAATGTTAGTATATCAATTATCTTTTATTAAATGATTTTATGAAATTATTGCTAATAACAAATATAGCTTTTAATCTTTGAGACTAAGTAATAAAAAATTATCAGTTGAAGAATCATCTCAAAATGAAAGATTTTAGTATATATTTAAATGGGTATAAGTCAATGTGAAACATGCAAAATATTTTATATTTGATTATATGATTATCTTTTATGTGTTTGGCATTTTGAAATTATGTTATAAATTTCCTAATCTATTACATATATTAATTCATAAAAAAATGAGAAAAAGAGTAAATATTCAAGTTTTAAAGAGAACATCTCAATAGTGACGAGTTGGTTGCTTACATAAATAAATGGTAGATGTAAACTTGATGATTTGGGCATGAGGTAGATGTCAAACTTATTCTTTGTCAAATTAGAAAACTCAGTTTAAATTTTGAATAGAAATGATTGCAAGAATAAAGAGATTCAAATATCACAAGGTTCAAACATCTTATCACATGTTTAGAAAACTGATAATTTTTTAAGCAAAGATTTCAAACATTGGAGACATGATAAAACAAAGAAAATAATATAAGGTGAAATTTTACTTATAAGACATTTTTTTTGATAAAAAAATAATAATACATAAAGATTCAATGTTTATAATCAATCTTTTTCTATTGCACTTTAATTATACATGAGAACTTTGTATCTTTTTCATCAATTGATTATGATAGACTATTAACTTAATCATCATAACCTTTGCTTTCCATCATATCCTAAAGTAATTGGGTGATGAGGGGCACAAGGTATTACTAGTCATATTGGTCCGAGAGGAGCTGAATATATATGAGATGAACTTGACTTGTTTATGTGATTGATCCTATGAGTATCAATGTGTTCTTTGGGGGGAATAAATCAAATATTAGAAGGAATTTTGCTTTGGGATTAGAAGTAGTAATATGAGGGACGAATTATCATTCATTGTTCATGTTCTTAGTGAGAGAGTGTTGACATGTCAACACATTTATCTACACATAGATAAGTTCATCTAAAATTAACAAATAAGTAAAAAATCTAAGAAATCCTAATCCCCCCACCCTCTTGTTGTTTTTCCTAGCCTTGCACTTTAAAAATATTTAAATAATGGAAAATATTCAACTCAAGTGTATTGCCATCTTTTTTCAAGATGGAAAAGCTTGTTGTATTAAAGGTCAACATGAAAAGGCCTCTTAGCGAGTCAAGTGATAGTTGACCTTTTGGTGTTGCAAATGATTTGAGGCATTGGAATGGGATTGGACTTCTTGAAGGACAAAAGAAATGTGTTAGAGACTCTTGACAGTGGAAGATGAATGATGTGAAGGCTTTCTCTCAAATCTTCTCGTGCTCCCTTCGATTTCTCCTCATCTCTAACTTTAAGTTGGGAGAAATCTTTCTTTTTACATGTGGTTTATAAGACCAAAAAGTGAACTCAATGATCAACTGAACATGCCTTAAATGGTTGTGAAAGAGTCTAAAATAATACATAAAATACATATGTACAAGTTTTAAGATTTATAACTATTTATATACTTTAAATTTTAATTGGATGTGGAGTTTTATACATTAGATTCCTATATAATTAGACCTTTCCATCATTGATGGCAAGCCCATATTAGTCACATTCTATTTTAGATAAAAATCACTTTAATTGGTTGATTTAAAAGCTTTTAGTCCATTTTACCCTAAGGTGAAGTTATAAATTTAGTAATATCATAAAAACCATAGGAAATCAAAATTCTTCAAGAGTTTAATTCTCTATTTGTTTGAAATGTGTTGGTTTTTTTATTAAATTTTCAATAAATGGTATGAGCCTTCACCTATTTTTAATGGATTTTTTTTCATTCTACTACTCTCAAAACCATTGATGTTTGAGTCTTCCTAGTTTCAGTTGATTTAAATGACATTTCACATATTTATAGTATAATAAAATAATCATTTAGTTATTTTAATTAAGCTTTGTCATTATCAAAATAATTAAAACCCTTCAGCACCATTAATATTATTATTATTATTATTATTATTATTTTTACAAACCTCGTTTTATTCTGAAGTCTCCGGGGAGTCGCCCTACATATGGGGTTTGACACTGAATATTATTCGTAGCCGGCCACGTGGCACGTTATGCCCTCCCTCTGCGTTCACGTCAGATCAGCCGCAGGCGAGGACCATCTTGTTCTTCGGTGCAAATCGTCGTAGGAAGGCCCTGAAAACGGACGCCACGTAGGGTAAAGGGTTTCGTGTTAGAATTCTATTCGTAGCTCACTCCTTGTGTTCATGCTGATTTGCAACAGATCTCACTCTTTGTGACCTCCGTCATCCCTCACCCCCCCCTCCCCCACCTCTCTCTCTCTCTCTAAAACCCTTTAAAATCTGGTTCCTTCTGCTCTCTCTCTTTCTCTCTGTCGCTCTGTCTCTCTCTGAGACGTTGATAACAATGGCGCTGTCTCTACACCTTGTCGCCTCTAAGACGCCCGCTGGGTCCGGCGGCGGCAGCCGTCTCCTCCTCCCGCAGCTCCGACGAGGAGGGATCACACTCTCTTCGGTCATTTCCCTCCGCCGTCGCCCCTTCTGGATCTCGGCTTCCTCGTCTTCTGATCGGGACTCGACGGCCGTGCTGGCGTCTCTTGGATATTCGTCCGACAATGGCATTTCAGGGATGATAGACGTGGATGCTGTCACTGAGGCGGAGCTAAAGGAGAACGGCTTCCGCAGCACGCGGCGGACGAAGCTCGTCTGCACGATCGGGCCGGCGACGTGCGGACTGGAGCAGCTGGAAGCGCTAGCATCCGGCGGGATGAACGTGGCGCGGGTGAACATGTGTCATGGCGATCGTGGCTGGCACCGGGAGGTGATCCGGCGAGTGCGAAAGCTAAATGAAGAGAAAGGCTACGCGGTTGCCGTGATGATGGACACGGAGGGAAGCGAGATCCACATGGGAGATCTTCCGTCATCTTCTGCCAGGGCCGAGGTAAGGTTACTGACAGGTTTTAGTCCGCTGCTGCTGCGTGACCGTCTTAAATTCAATTTCCTTTCTACGCGGCTTAAACTGCAATATGATACTTTTTCGCCAATTATCCTTTTAGTTGCTTATGTTAGAATGATTGTTGTAATATATCCATTAGGATAATTTTATTTATTTATAATTTTCGGTTTAATACATGTTATATTAGGTTTTCCAACCGATGGTTATTCCTCTCAAAGTTAAAAAACTTGATTTGGGAGAGTGTTTCTGCCATTTTGATTCTATCCCAGAAACTTGGCGATGAGAAGGGTGTGTGATGTGGGTTTGGTGATGGTGGTCGGTGTGAGAAGATCCTATGGGATAGTAAAAGCTAGGGACATTGACAAGGGCACCAAACTGAGGTCAGAGGCATATAAAAAAATGAGAGGGTTGCTCGCAGTCCTGCATGAACGATGGGAAACCTGACCAATAACATGCATAACATCTGCCTTTCACCAGATGTGGTCCAGGTAGTGAAGAAGTTTTGAACAGAGAGCTCACCTTGGCAAATAGGATTAAGTTCATTTTGAAATTCACACTTGGAAAGAGTGCTAACTTGAATTTAGTGTTTGACTTGAGAAAGCCATTGGAAGAGTTGTGAATTCTAACAAGTCTTGATGGATAATGGATAGAAGAATCAACTGAGTGATTGCTGTGGACCATGGTGGCATTGTCTCTATCTTTCCATGTTTGAAGAATGGCTGCTGGTGCTATAGTTGAGATCATTAGACGATCAGTGAGTACCATGTGTGTGTGTGTGTGTGTGTGTGTGTGTGTGTGTGTGTGTGTGAGAGAGAGAGAGAGAGAGAGAGAGAGAGAGAGAGAGAGAGAGAGAGAGAGAGAGGGAGAACTTTCATGTCAACATTCTCTGTAAATTTTGACTTCTAACTTGGTCAAGTCGCGGAATAATTCGATTTTCTCTTCCTTGCTCCTAATCCTGTAGGTATTGAATCTTATTTTGCTAATTGAAACTCTCATTTTTATCCATTAAAATATCTTCCTTTCTGAATTGCAATCTTCATCTTCACATGCCTGAAATCTGAAGCATCTTTGACTGTCTCAATGTTAGTGGGTACATCTACCTTCCACTTTGCAAAGAAAAAGAATGTCAGTCTTGCCAATTGATTTGTGCATATTCCATTCCAATAAACTCATCCTTTGATTTTTAGATTCTTTCCCTTTCTGGTCCCTGTTACATGCAGTTGATGGATATGCCCTCCATCCATCCAAATCCTTGTTCAAGTTATTAACAAATTATAATCCCAGTTGTTGAATTCAATGTGAAAATCAACAGGAATTGTCTGATTTGTCACTGAGAAGTTAAATGTTTGCTGATGTTGGATGGGTTCAGTCAATTGTTTATGTGGTACAACATTGTCATGCTAATTCCATTAGATTAGGAGAAGTTTGTCCTCCCGAATATCTTTTCTGGAAAACCTGAATCCCTTAAACATCTGACAATGAAATTGGTTATCTGTCATTTTATCTAAACTCAGATGAACCTGATTGTCTTTTATTTGTAAAATTACTGTTATCTAAGTGATCTCATATGTATGAAGTTGATAATCAAAGTGGCATTGCCATGTAGAATGGGAATTTTGATGATTCCTCATGCTGTCTTATACACACGACATTTGACACTGTTTTGTATTGTCTGATAACCTCATTTAAGTCTCTAATATCTTTGATACTGTATAGGATGGAGACATTTGGACTTTCAGTGTTCGAAACTTCAATTCACCACCTCCAGACCACACCATCAGTGTCAACTATGACGGATTTGCTGAAGGTCATAATTATTTGATTATTCATTTCTATTAAAGGAAACACTGGGTATCTGGTTTCAGTATGCTTTTTCCTGTAAAGATTGCTACATATGCCGTTTTCAATTCCAAGCTGGTTTTGATATGGTACAGATGTAAAGGTGGGTGATGAACTGCTTGTGGATGGAGGAATGGTACGTTTTGAGGTGATTGCGAAGATAGGACCTGATGTTAGGTGTCGCTGCACTGATCCTGGCTTGTTGCTACCACGGGCCAATTTGACTTTCTTGCGTGATGGTTGTCTAGTTCAAGAACGTAATGCTATGCTTCCTACCATCTCCTCCAAGGTATTATTTGAGTAATGTCAATTTGTCATTTCCAAGGTCATTTAAGTAAGAAATTGTACACATTTTCACGGTAAATTTCTTTCTTGAGTTGCAAAGAATCCTGATGACTGGCCTTATTCTCGGATTGGTTTTTTTAGATAGCTGCTCACCTTTATTCCTATAGCGTTACTGATTCATCAGACATGATAACCAACTTATCCGATCCTTTTATGTTAATTTCGTATTTTTTCATGGTTCATACGATTCAGTGAAGGAAATATTTAATGGGTTGTTGTTTTGATATTATTTTTCTAGACTGCATATTAGTCATTATCACATGTAAAGTAAGCTCATATTATGGGTTTCTCTACTGAATGTTTATATATTTATTATGACTTACTATTCTAAGTCTTGTTTCATATCATAAGTTGTATATTTATCGCACTTGTTATTGACATATGTGTTGTCTATTTTTAAAACTTCATGATCGTGACAGCTTGGATAAACATCATATAGTAATGGTTTCCTGAAAGAGATTTCGTGCTTTACTTACAACAATATTTTCTTGTTATTCCGATGACAAACTCAGGCACCATGTCCGTGAAATAGCTACATATAGAGTATGATGTTGTAGAGTTAAGGGGAGATTGTTGAACATGGATTTGAGATATACTTCTGGTGATCTTGGAAAAAAAAAAAAAAACCCAGTGTCATGACGTACAAGTTTAAGTGCGTGGGATTTTATAATCTTAAGGCCTTGGTGAGTTTGAACCAAGCAAATCCTATAAAATCTGATGATGGGAACATAAAAGCCTTAGAATTTCATGTTAAAACGTTATCTGTTATTGCAATAATCAGAAATCGTCTAGCTTTCCACCAGCAGAAGACCGTAGTGTTCTTTCTAGCCCCAATTGGCCATCTTTTTGGGCGAATCCATTGATAACGGGACACTATGGATTCTTCTTTGGCTTATCAATGAGAAAGCAGTACACAAACAATAAATTACACTTAAGAAATAGTCATCTCGTGGAGTCAACCAAAATATAAATGTTTTGCTGGTCTTCAATAAATTTCGTGAATGCTTGTCTGGTATTGATTAAAAACAGATATCCTGTAAGTACTCTAATTCGTGAGCTAGGAATTCTCTATTTTACGAAAAACCCAGACTAGAAACAAAAAACCATGGGGGTGTGAGGTCACTGAATCGTCGTTGTGGAGAAGATAAGAACATTTGTGTGTATTTTCTTTTGACCTGTCATCCACTACTCGCTGTGGATTCTAATCTTCTGCCTCTCTTTTTTAGCAACATGAGATTCAGCTGTGCTCTTGACTTTCTTTACATCTTCACGGGGTGATGTTCTACATACTTCTGGAATGTCAACACCAATCAAGCCATAGTGCAGATTACGTATTTTCGGACGTTTGTTTACATGTGACTCGTACCTGGGAATTTGCAGGACTGGCTGGATATAGACTTTGGTATTGCCGAAGGGGTTGACTTCATAGCGATTTCATTTGTCAAGACCGCAGAGGTCATCAACCATCTCAAGAGCTACATTGCTGCGCGGTCTCATGGAAGGTAGATCGACCCCTAAACGCTCCATCTCACGCGTTCAGTGCAAGAATGCACGTCTTTTTATGTTACTCATAGTGTTGTTCTTCTCTCTTCCAGTGACATCTCTGTGATCGCGAAGATCGAGAGCGTCGATTCCCTGAAGAACCTGGAAGATATCATTCGAGCATCGGACGGAGCGATGGTAGCTCGAGGAGACCTGGGCGCCCAGATCCCACTGGAAGAAGTGCCCATGGCCCAGCGAAAGATCGTCAAGCTTTGCAGGAAGCTGAACCGGCCCGTCATCGTGGCGTCTCAGCTTCTCGAGTCCATGATCGAGTACCCGACGCCAACCAGGGCCGAGGTAGCCGACGTCTCCGAGGCCGTCAGGCAGCGGGCCGACGCTCTGATGCTCTCCGGTGAGTCGGCCATGGGCCAACATCCAGAGAAGGCCCTCTCCGTTCTGAGAAATGTTAGCCTGCGGATCGAGAAGTGGTGGAGAGAGGAAAGTAAGCATGACGCCGTGGAACTCCCCGGCATCGCTTCCTCTTTCTCGGGCGGCGTATCGGAGGAGATCTGCAACTCCGCCGCCAAAATGGGTAAGAGCTGCACTAGATTGATTTGCTTACTTGTGCTTCTGTGGGTTTTCCCCTGAGGTTGACTTTGACTTTTTCAGCGAACAACCTGGGGGCGGATGCTCTGTTTGTGTACACGAAGATGGGCCACATGGGGTCCCTGCTCTCTCGGTGCCGGCCCGACTGTCCGATCTTCGCCTTCACCCCCTCGGTGGCGGCCAGGCGGCGGCTGAACCTCCAGTGGGGTCTCATCCCCTTCCGCCTCGCCTACTCCGACGACATGGAGAGCAACCTCCGCCGCACCTTCTCCCTCCTCCGGGCCAGGGGGATGATCCACTCCGGCGACCTCGTCATCGCCGTCTCCGACATGCTCCAATCTGTTCAGGTGATCACCGTCCCCCCTGAAAATTGATTCTGACTCTCTCTCTCTAGAGTCTTTTATCCAATGCTTCGTTTGGTAATAACTTGCCCTGTACGTCACATTTTCGATGCCCGAGTTTCGCATTGAGTCGATGATATGGTAGAACACCCCCCCGTGTGAAGATCGATAATTCTTCTTCTTCCTGGTGCGTTGACTTGGACTCCATGAGAGGTGGCGCTGCTCAGTATGGCGTCGATGCTCTTCTCTTTATCATGAATAAAACCATACATTCTTGGTAATGTTGGCTCTGAAGGCGATGTTATGCCTCTGACATCTCCAAGGGGGTTGACTTCTTGAAGCCTGAGGCGGTGGGTTCTACTAATCTTTGTCTCTCTCTCTCTCTCTCTCTCTCTATCTTCAATGGAGTTTGGCTTCTTGTCCCGGTCAAAGGAGGGAGCTCCAGGAGCTGTGGAAGTCAAAAGGAGAGCCAACGCTGCCAGAAGGAACGTGGGCTTTGTGGGCTCCACGAGTCCCAACTTTATTTTCGGACTCAGCGGAGTCACCTGGGGAGGCCCATCAAAGCTCCGAACTTTTTGACTCCCTCGAGTTCCAAACTTTCCTAAAAACCCCCAACTTTATCTGTATGTACATATTCCTCCCCCAAAACCTTTTATAAACAGTCAAAGCCCCCCCTCTCCACCAATCAGATCCAGCCGTCCACACCCGCGCCCCCCCCCGGGGGAGGTCCCGACCCTTTTCTGCTTTGCTCTTTGTTCGTTGCTTCCGGGGCGGGGCCTCCTGTCGTCACCCATCCCGTGCTGTTACTGTATGACCGACAACCAGAGGAGAAGGCCTGCGGAATATTTCCTCCAGGCCTTTGATAACAGCATTCATTGTGGTCATATCCTTTTCTCATCCTCCCTATCCATCCGTCAATCACTATTAATTAGTTTTCTACCCTTCTCCTTTGTCTGGAATAGATGAATATTTATCTGAAATTCTCAACTCTTCTGGATTTGTCGCAAATAACAACTTTAATGGGTGTTTTTGTATTGAAAACGTATTCAGAGGGTCTTTTGAAAACCACCGGCCTTCAAAAGTCGTCCTTTAATGGAAATGACAGCAGACGATCGTTACTCCTCCCTCTAGCAATTGCCACTTGGCGTATGATGACGTGGCATCCCGATGTCCGGGTGTTGCGGAGTCATGGCAGACGTCATCACGGTACCACTAGGAAAGCAATTTTTCTGTTAGTCACATCAATAGGTTTCTAATTGTTTTAAGGCCATTACGTTGTTAAATGTCTTTTATACCCAGAATCCGACGCGCGCTTAAAAACTTAAAACCCGGCATGGCCGCGTTGGAGAAGAGGCTCATTCTAAGGGGTATACAGTCAAAAACATTATTTATGGTATTAATCAGAATTACTATCCGGTGGAGGGGCCTTTGCTGTTCTGTGGGCCCCACCTGTCGACATCGAAATAATTGAATGATCCGGGAGATTTGCACCGTCCGATCTCCCCTGGTCCCTCTCCTCGCCACGCAAGGAACAGTGGATCGGACGACTGACGGAGACCCACCCATCTCTAGCCCCTTCTCTGATAAATGGGTCCGAATCCGACCCGTTAAAAGCCACGGTCTCGATCGTACGGTCCACGGGGCCATAGACTTGACGTACCAACCACATTCCGATGCCACGTAGCCCGACAATACGTGGCAGTCGACGTACGAACTACCCGTAGTACCCTTTATATCTTTCGTCATCCCCACCACGTTGACGTGGCAGATATGGGGTATTGTAGTCATTTAGTGAGCGAGGCGTCGTCTCTGCTTTGCGTGCACATAGTGTCGCCACGAGGGCCGGGAACCGCATGGGGTGCCACGGAGGACTGTGTCAGCATTGGAGTACATGATGGCAGCCTAGTCAGCATCGCTTCAAGCCCACCGCCCCTGTCGAGGCCGACTGTCTTTAAAAGCAGGCCTCCTCCTCTCCCCCACTCCTTCCCCCCACAGGAAAATCTGCCCCTCTCTCTCTCTCTCTCTCTCTCTCTTTCTCTCTCTATCCAGTTCTGCCCGTTGGACACGCAATCTCCGGCGATGGCGATCGCACCCGCCTGAGGGTGGGAGGAGCTGATCGGAGGAGGAGCGAGGGAGGAAGCGACCAGTTGGATTGCCGCCGCCGCCGCCCTTGGCATGGACAGAGGAAGCGCCGGCGCCGGGAAACCGCCGGTGGATCGCCGGAAGACCACTTATCCTCTCAGCCACGATTTTCCTGATCCATGCTAACCTCGTCTCTGGATTCCGTCTTGGCGTAGTGGTTGAGGAACGCGCTTGCTTGCCTTGGCGAGTTTCCGAGAGATTGTTCCGTTCCTGAGGTTGAGGTTGAGGTTGAGGTTTAGGGGAGCGTCCGAGCTTTTCTTCTTTTGTTCTTTTTGGAGAAGGATGCCTGAATCTGTTTGTTTCTTCTTGATCGGGGAAACGATTGTAATTGCTCTTCGGATGTGATCTTCAGATGGCTGGATCCTGAGATTAATCCTCACCAGCCCCTTCCCCTCACCTTGGGGAGGAAGCTCTCTCCCCCCTTTTTCTGGTGCATATTTTGGGAGTTTCGGATTCAAATTCTAAGGCAGATAAGCGGAGGCTTCATTCGATCACATCTGCCGGTGATTTTAATTTCTGAAGTCTGATTGAAGCTGCTGCCATGCCCTTCCCTCTGAAGATCCAGCCGATCGACGCCAAGGGGGCGGCCTTTCCCTCCGAAGTCTCCAAATCTGCCCCTGCCCCCAAGTTTCGACTGAAGAAGCTCTTCGAGCGGCAGTTCACGGCGGCGCTGAGGTATTCTTCCATCGAGAAGGTTCCTGCCGGCTACGGTGACGGAAAGGAGAGGGAACCATCGTCCGAGCTCGAGCCAAGCTCGCTATGCCTCGCCAGGATGGTTCAGAGCTTCATGGAGTCGGGGCCGAACGAACGACCGGCGCCGCCGCCGAGGTGCGGTCGCCGCCGATGCAACTGTTTCAACGGCAACTGCGACGATCTCTCCGACGACGACCTCGACTTTGGGGACATCTTTCCCTCCGCCGCCTCCTCCCACGGCGATGCCGTTGAGCTCCTCAAGGTACTCCTCTCTCTTTCTCTCTCTCTCTACACTCCGGAATGATTGGTTTCCGTGACCCGATGAGTCTGAATGCGGGACGGGGAAGTACGTTGATCTGCTGCGTCTGTTCATCTTCGAACTGGTTGGTGGTGATGATGGGCAGAGCCTGGTTCCCTGCGCGAGCATGGCGGAGAGGAACCTCCTGGCGGACGCCTCCAAGATCATGGAGAAAAGCAGCAACAGAGCGTGCTGTGGCGGGAGAGGAACCCGAGGCGGCGGGGACTGCAGGAAGATCGTCGCCGACGGCCTCGCAGCCCTCGGACACGACGCCTCTATCTGCCTCTCCCGCTGGGACAAGTCCCCTTCCTTCCCCGCAGGTGAGCCCCCATCTCCTCGTCCTCCATCTCTTGATCTTCTTCTTCCTCTCTCCCTCCCTTCCTTCTATCCGTCCGAGCTGGACCTCGATCTGAGAGGAGTCTCCTCCGATCCGCAGGGGAATACGAGTATCTTGACGTGATCGTCAACGGCGGCGGGGAGAGGCTCATCGTCGACCTGGACTTCCGATCTGAGTTCGAGATCGCCCGCTCCACCAAGTCCTACCGCGCCGCTCTGCAGGCACTGCCGATGATCTTCGTGGGGCGGGAAGATCGCCTAGTCGAGATCATCACCGTCATGTCGGAGGCTGCTCGCCAGAGTTTGAAGAAGAAGGGCCTTCACGTCCCTCCATGGAGGAAGCCCGAGTACATGCGGGCCAAGTGGCTCTCCCCCTCCCGCCGCCTCTACCCTCCTCCTCCTCCTCCGCCGCCGCCGCCGTCGGTCCAGACAAACGGCGGCGGCGACGACTCCGGCGACGGCAGATGCGGCGATCAGTCCGTCCAGCCCCCCTCCGCCACCGTCTCCGGCGAGCTCGAGCTGCGATGCGAGGAATCCGGCCAGCCCGTCGCGTCCCCGCCACCCTCTCCGGCGGAGACCGAGGCGGTGGCGGCGCTCCCCCCGCCGTCTCCGGCGAGACGTCTGCCGGCGGTCAACCCCAAGCAGGCGGCGCCCCCCCCTCAGAAAGGCGGTCCCTGGGTGGTCACCGGCCTTGCCTCCATAGTCTCAGACCTCCACCACTACTAACCTTCCTTTCTTTCCCCCTTTTGGAAATTATCTTCTCCCTCGAGGTCCTTTCCTTCTCCCTTCCTCAGAGCGAAGCAGAGAAATCTCCATTATAATGCATACTGGCTCTCTACTACTACTCCCCCTTCTTCCTCTTCTCGCTCTTCCCCTTCCGCCGGACACGCGGCGCCCCTCTGCAGCCTCCCCCCCACCGCTCTCTCTCTCTCTCTCTCTTCCCTGCACGTCGGACAAGAACAAGATCACGCCTCTCTCGTGACCCTCTCTCTCTCTCTCCATCTATCTCTCTCCCCTGTTCAGCTGCGGTCCACGATAACTCTACTCTCCATGGTCCTCGGGAACATCATGAAGGTGTGACCGATTCTCTACCACGTGTCATCGCGAGCCGCGTTGCATTATGTTAATGATAGGAGAACTACTTGGCTAATTATTGTGACTAGGAGTCCGAGTCAGCATCCGGATTCTGGTCGATTCCGCCGACACGTGGGAATCGGACGGTCTACGGAGGGACTCATGGTGGACGATTCTCCATGGCGATAATGATGACTTGAGAGACGGAAGCCGGGATCCCCCGACCACCCGGCATCAGTCATAAATCGGGGGGAGAAATGAATGCGGTGACCTCACCGCGGAGCCTCAGCTTTGTCAGGACAGCGATCGGTCACCAAATCGTCCGACACCCGGGCCCCCCAGTTCAACCGTTTCTATCCATCTAGTCCCTTTGCGAAGCGCTCCACCTCCCACTCGCGCGCCCAGCAACCAAATGGAAGAACACGCCCTCCTGTCCGCCATTTGTACTCTCCCCGCGTGCATTCCGTGCGTAGCATTTCGTATGTAGCACATGGGAGCGGCCCATAGTGGTGGGGCCCGCACGCGAAACGGCCCAGAAACACGTGGGACCCAACCCTTTGCTCCAGGTACAGTCAGCGAGATAATCTCACCTCCCCTCTCTCTCTCTCTCAATCAGTATACGTGCGTAACTTGGAACAAATATTGGGAAATTAGGAACGCACGTGTGGCAGGTACAGGGTAGATTAGCAACTATAAAATATTTATGTGATTATTAAATTGTCAATTGTTATGAGGAAGCTGATCCGCCGGAAGGGATAGGGATGGGGGTTGGGGGCCCCTGGGCCACGCGCTGAATGAATGGTCAGTGATTTCTTGGGTCAAGTGATCGGACGGCTGTAGATAGATGGCATCCGCCGTCCAGGTTGGAGTGGTTTGTCCATCTCTCTCTCACACACACGCTATTAAATACGGTTCCACGCGGTCTCTAGCACTCGCCCTCAATCCAAATATTGCGTACATACCCACACGTAGCCTCTCTCTCTCTCTCTCTCTCTCACTCAACATTGACCAAGTTAATCAATTATGTCAACCCGGACTCCGAATCTCTCTCTCTCTCTATCTATCTCTCTCGGTTGACTGCCCAAGGACGTGAGCGCCTACGTATTGATCATTATTAACTCTACTGAAGATATTTCTGCCCGCGTACACGTAACCCTTCTACTTATCTATCTCTCTCTCTCTTCTGACTGGACACGGGGGAGGGGGGGGGGGTTATGTACAAATTTGCTCTCAAGACGGTACCTTGACGAGAAACCCGGTCCGTCCTTCCTGGACGGTGTTTTCTTCATGGTTATCGGGCGACCGCCCTCTTCGGCGGACGAGTAACAGGGCCAGGAGGGTGGCTGCCACGTTATTGTCTACGTACACGCTCTCTCTCCCTCTCTCTCTCTCTCTCTCTCTCTCTCTCTCTCTCTCTCTCTCTCTCTCTCTGAATTGGCTGTGAAGTACGGAAGACGATGTGGGGAGGTCGGAGAGGAGAGGACGGGAGGATTGACTGTGGATCAGCTGGTGAGGCCAAAGCTCTTGGGATTTTGGTCAGCGGGCTGAGCCGGGGACGGGCCGTGTCATCACTGCAGTCTGAGCCTCGCCCGGCTGGAGAAGCCCACTGCGCTGCAAGCAATTATCAGCGAGCGAGCGAGCGAGAGAGAGAGAGAGAGAGAGAGAGAGAGAGAGAGAGAGAGAATCCGGCCCTGGCTGGGAATGGGCAAGGCTCGATTTCCGTTTTGGACTTAGATTTTGAGAGCCACATTTCTAAGAAAAATGGTCGACAGGCCTAATTTCTTGGAATCTTGAGAAAATTTTAAATCTCTCCAAACATAGCGGATAAAAGATCGGAGCAGGAACGAGCTAAGAATCAGTGAATCACGGCCGCCATTTCTGATGTGCCATCGTTCTCATGAACTCTACCTTAATACCCAATGATGATAAAAATGACTCTCTGGCCCTGGTGCATAGTTTACCAAGATTAAGACAAGACTGGCTCTTAGAGCGGTCATATTTCTCAATTAGAAAGCTTCAAAATGCGCTCGGGCCTTTCTTCTAGATTGCTTCATCGGCCGTTTCCTTTTGCTCCTGATTCCTCTAGATTTCCATAATTCTTCGTTCGACGCACCTAACAGCCCTCAATCCATTGGACCACTATGTGATTGACTATGGTATCAATTTCCTTTAAACTTCTGCATTAACTCGTTTAGAAACTTCATTTATCTCCTCCTCTCTTCTCCCTTTGCCTCGTGATGGCCCAAAGGGGATAAAAAGCTTATGAACTTTTAAAGTTCTGTGACTGAGAGTAAATGAATTGATGCCTAACAAGCAACAATTTCATCACCGAACTTTTAGTATTATATACTTGATTAAAGGAGTAGAAATGAAGTGCTAAGCTGTAAAGTAATAAATAGATAAAGCATAATTACAATTGATTTCATGAAGAAGTAGAGTACATGAGGTTATATAAAAGAAGAGAAGAAAGAGAGAGAGAATGAGAAGTGAAAATCATGGAAAAAGAATATGAATGTGGAGAGAATAAATCCAAAATGAGTCTGATGGGCTCAATGGGCTTATTCTAACAATATCAATTTCCTTTAAACTTTCACATTGACTCATTTAGAATCTTTATTTATCTCCTCCTCTCCTCCTCTCTCCTTGCTTTGTGAGTCAACAGGGAAACTCTAATGTGATGGCCCAAAGGTAAGTCTGAAATAAGGTAAAAAGGATAAGAAGGTTAATGAACTTTTAAACATATGTGATTGAGAGTAAATCAATTGATGCCTAACGAGCAACAATTCCATGACTGAACTTTTAATATCATATACTTGATTCAGGGAATATAAATGAAGTGTTAAGGTGTAGAATAATAAATATATAATGCACAATTACAATTTTTACTTATAAATTATATAGCTAAGAGACAACTACACAATAAGGCAAAAAGATGATGTTTTTAATAAAATTTTCACCCTACATTATGACTAGTACTAGGAAGAATAGTGTTGATGTATACTAGTGATCATCATGAAAGATTTAAGTCTTACATAAATATTTCACCTAGGGAAAAAATAGAGACTAGATAAAGACCTCAAGTTGTAAGCTGAAAAACTAAAGTAGTATGATCAAAGTTGATCTTCAACAATTCATATAAATTTATAAAAAAATGATGGAAACCTAAATATATTGAAGTTTGTGTATATTACCACATTAACAAATTGACATTAAGTAATGAATGTCATATGATTTTAAAAGTCAAAATTCAATATTTTAGACATAAATAACCTACCAAATAGTCTATTCCTCAACCTACTTTATTTCCAAAATGACTATTAGACTATTGACTACTAAAGGCATCTTGAGATTTTTCTTTTAATTTGTTATGGTTCTAATTTCAACTTTTTGCATGATTTAGAAGTTCCAAAGCATTGCATAAATTCCATATGGACTAAACATTAACTTATATTGCATATTATACCTCATTAAATTTATCATTTGAAACTTAATTTTAATGCCCATAAATTTTGAGCGTAGTCTATGAAGTTATTTATGTATTAACCTTCATATATTGGAATGTTTGATACATGTAATTTAGAGGGTAAAATTCATATATTGGGATATTATGGTCTATGTATTGTGTTATGCCACAATATATCTCTCATTTAGTAAAATAATATACTTAATATACCAAACTAATTATGTATCACTCTCAAGTTCCATATCTGTGTTCTGAAACATGATTTATTTGTGCTAAAATATAATGCTCAATATACTCTATTTTCCCACTCAATCAATCTTATACCAAAAAATTAATACCATACTTTTTTATTTTGTAATTTAATTCCTGTGTGCCAAAAGTTTGTACTTGATATACTAAGTTAGATGTAGACCACTTTTGAGTTTAATACTTGTGTTTCACAATGTGGTTTTTATTAGTAAAAAAATAAATTTGATATCCTAGTGTTTAACATTAAAACTCTTCATATACTAATATGTCATGATATAATTAGTTAACATGTAAAATAGTTCATATATGGACATATTAAGCTTGATAACATTAGAGCTCATATAATGATATATTAAACTTAATATACTTTGCTAATCTATGCTATAAATCTTCATATGTTAGCATATTAAGCTTGATAAACTCTTTTTTGTTGCATTATACCTTCTCTAAAATGACATATTAAATTATATAGACTCCATTGTTCACAATATGATTATTAATATTTTGATATATTGAATTATAAGTACTTTATTGTTCTTCGTCATAACTTTTTGCACATTGGTGTATTAAACTTTGACATATTTTATCATTCTACAATGTAATTCTTCTGATTATGTCAAACTACCCTTAATATACTTTGCTATTTGATAGCTCATTTATTCATGCACAAATATTTTATTTGATATGTTAAGTCATTTTGGACTGCTCTTGAGTTTGAACTTATGTGACACGATTTTAATGTACCTTAACTAGGTCACAAGAAAAGCTAGATAGAATATGAAGAGAGGAGGGGTGAATTAGTTCTCTAACATATTTTCATACTGTAACATGTTTTCAAGTTTTCTCTTAATGTTATACTTAGTAGATCCATGCTAATAGGCTTAGATTGACATTGGGTTAACACACACTAAGTTGACTTAATTAGGACAACATGCTAAATATTAGAGTGTATGAAACACTAAGATTTATAGTGATTCACCTTTCTTGGCATACATTTACTTTTTAGGGATTCATACCCTTAATTTCAACAATAATTGAAATTAACTAGATCAAAAAATCTTTTAACATATAAATTTAATGACTCTATCACCTCACACTTGACACTAAGGCACTTACCCTCATCCCTTTATTACCAATACTCCTTCAAGTGTCTTCAATTATAACTTTTAAGAGAAAACTTAAACTTGATTTCTGTGTTAGTTGATGAAGATCTTTAATTTTAAGAATGCTTAAATAGTTAGAAAAACATGTGGCAAGGTTACTCTTGAAATGACAATTTATTGAGTGAGTTTTAAATAAGGGTATTTACTTTACAATTGATGTACTATTTGAAAGTTCTTTTAAAGAGTTATATAGATAACAAGAAATTGGCTATTGAAATTTAAATATTAAAGGTTTTATTGATCAAAGATTATTGGGTCAATACTCAGGGTGATTTGCTACTCAAGTTGCCAATTGACTGAGTTCTGGTGTAGTCTCACTACAAACATGTAACGAAATATTTTTCAAACTTTTCTTTGATCTTTTAATATGTTAGGATTTGCCACCATTATTAGAGATCTTCTAACATGTGTCAGATCTTCCTTTATATATAACATGGCATGTTATATATAACATGGCATTATTAGAGATCTTCTTTTCAACACAATTGAAAAGAAGATCTTTGATGAGTTGACATAATTTTTTCTGGGTAGACACTTTTAGGACTTCACACACTTTTCCTCTCTTCAAATGAGTCAAGACAAACTTTTGTGGGTAGATACACAAGTCCGCACATTTTCTCTCTTTTGTTTTCCTTTCTAAAACTTATCATTTCGCCCTCATTTCTTGCACATGCATTTTCTATGGTCTTACTATGCATGAAAAACCTATTTCAATAAAAAATGTAAATCTGATAGTTTTGATCTTGATTATCAGGTTAGCATAGTAAAAACAGATTTATTACATTTTTTTATATTCATATGATTAATTATCAACATCATAATATGTAAACCCAATAAATCAACTTCTTATATATTGACATACTATTCTTGATATGCAGTGTAATTTTGCTGCTTAAAATTTATATGTTGTAATGTCAACCATGATTATATTACATGATGCTGTAACATAACATTTCAGATCATGAAATATCAACTCTTGATATATTGCACTATTGCAATGTAAATTAATATGTAAAAAATGAATTGTGATGCACCACTTTATTACATAAATAAACATCAACTTTTATGCAGTGCATGATTTTGCATAGAACTCAACTTTGATTTTTTTGTTAACGAAAGAACATGGAAACCCCTTTTAATCATCATATGTTTTTTTATCAATTTTATAATTCCAATTTCCACCTACAAAATTAGTATATATTATGGGAATATAAATCATACATGGATCTTATTGATGAACTAAGATTATATTCAAAAGATGTAGCTTCAAGAGTTATAGAGATTTGTAAAATAGACTTCACCTTTGGATCTCTCAAAGCAAGAGTATTGGACATGTTAACCCGGTGCACTATAAATATGCCCTCAAGCCTAAAAGTACCTTAACCAAAGACGATAGAAAATGGTTAGGATTCTTGGAAACTGAAATTCCTAGTGAGAAAGTCAACGAGGAAGAGGGAATTGATGTAACTCTAGATTGACATATCAGCTCTAAAGGGGTAGCTCAATTTCCCAAATTTGAATTCTCTACCCATTTGACGACGAAATTTGACTATCCATGGTTTAGATGTTACGTTAGAGTCCAAAGACAAACGCAAGTCTACGGGTTGAAAGATGAATGAGATTATTCATTGAGGGGGGATATGCTCACGTGGAGCTGTAACCACCGCACACTCGGTATGCTGACAGATGCGCTGACTCTCCTGGAGTGGAGGATGGTTATGTCACCTAATGACGTACAGCGTTGCTACTCGCCGGTATTCAACGCTATTTATGGGCGGAAGGTTATCCAAGCGGTGGGCTCTGACAAAATCTGGTCGAGATCTCGGAGAAATTTCGGAGAAAGTTCCTGGCAGCTGTCGAGTTTTCCCTCACTTGCCCTGTGAGATGGGGCAGGTGAGAACGCGGATTGTTTAGTTGTTTTCATGGCTGATTTGCGGAGCGAGTGAGGAAATCGGAATTATATTCAATGTCGTGTTTTCTGTCCTGGTCAGGGATATAAGCCGGAGCCGATCTTCCAGTCAGTCCTGGGCCCGGAGCTGGGTCCACGGCTGGTGAGGAACAATTCGTCCTCAGAGTATCTGCCATTGATCATCACTTGAGGGGAACGAAAGCTTAAGAGGTTAACTTGAAGAAGAAGAAGAAGGCGGACGTAAGCTACAGGTGAGGCCGTCCTTGCATCTCACTGTATCCATCAGATGACGACAGTGGGGCGAGAGAAGAAGAAATGAATACGTAAGAAATGAAGGCTTCACCCATAGATTATTAGCCAGGCCAAGCCCGACCAAGACCATCTACCTGAACTGACCGGACCGTCGAGGACTGGCCATGGCGAGCCGGCGAATGACGGGGCCCCGGGCTGGTGGGCATGGCCTGACGTAGAGCCTAGGCACTGGGCCCGGCCTTGTGAGAAAAGAACGTAACATCAGGCAAACGGAGGCGACAGGATCCCTGTACTTCGTAGTAATAGCCCCAACAAGACGCCTACGTTTTCTATTGAAGGAAAACACCGGTATGACGCTGATGTGAGGCTCTCTCCTAATAAAACAATGTGATTTTAATTATAATTGACGATTTGACCTGCTCCAAGAGGGTGTTTTCTTAGCAGCTTAGCCGGGGACGAAGTCAACGACGCATACTCGAAGAGCAGCAGAAGGGGAAATCTCTCCTTCTGCCATAGAAGGAGCTACCTTCGTGCGTACATCACCGAGGGTGAAAGTGGCCGGACATAGAAATCTCTCATTAGTTTTATTTCCCATAGAAACCTCACATTTAATGACGGCGTAATTGAGAGAGGGTGAAGGAGATCTAACATAGACGGGGTTGTCTGGGGGACCAATATTGATTTATTCAAATCAGAGTCCCACCCTCAAGTGCCTTTGACTACCTGCTTCGGCAGAATGGTGGGACAGGTGGCGGAAAACTTGAACTGTCCTCGCTAGATCCTCTCCTCCCTCCGGCCTTCAACCAGCGCCTCGTTTTCCTATCCTACCCAACATACCCTACCACAATATATAATTCATCTTCATCTATCCCAAACTATCTCTCCTCGCCCTCCTCCTCGCCTTGCCAGGGAGTGGTAGCTGGATTAGGGTTCCCCTCCTACCCATGACGCACTTCCTCCGGTCGTCGTCGTCTTCTTCCTCTTCGGTGAGGTTCGTCGACCTCGCTCTGTCGACAACCGGGCCACGCTCCCTCTCCTACGTTCACCAGAACCTCAAGTGGATCATCCGCGAGCACGTCCTCTCCCTGATCAAAGAGTTCCCCACGCTCTCCCCTTCCTCCGACCACTTCACCCAGGAGGACGGCATCACATTCCACCTCCTCTGCGTCCACGGCGGCCTCCCCTTGGCCTGCTCCCGCAGCGCCCTCGTCGCCATCTGGTTGCATCAGAGCTACCCTTTCGTTCCCCCGATCGTCTACCTCTCCTCCGCCTCCGCCGCAGAGATCGACCGCTCCAACCCTCTGGTGGACGCCTCCACCGGTGCCGCAAGCACCCCCTATCTAAAGACCTGGCAGTACCCCAATTCCAACCTCTGCGACCTCGTGAGGAACCTCGTGTACGTCTTCACCCAGTGGCCCCCCTTTGTAAGCTTCGGTCCCTCTCAGAAGCCCATCGCCGATCCACCGCCCGGATGGGCTTCTCTTGCCTCGAAGAGGGAGGCCACAGACCGGCTCTACGTCTCCCTCAGCCGCGATGTGGGGGTCTTCAAAGCACAGACGGACAAGGAGATCGAATCCCTGGTGAGCATCCAGGGAAAGCTGAAGGAGCGTACGTGGACCGCCAACAGAGGCCTCGAGGGGCTCGTCAAGGAGAAGGAGAAGCTCAGCGGGATGGTGGTGAAGATGGAGGAGAGGGCCGACGTGGTGCGAAGCTGGCTGTGGGCGAACAACTCGGTGCCCCCCGCTGTGGCGGAGGCCGCGCCGGAGGAGGTGTTCGAAGTGATGGACGACAAGTCCAAGTTCGTGTTGAAGAACGAGGCCGAGTCCCTCGCCATCGACGACGTGGTGTGGGTTCTAGACGAGGCGCTGATGAAGAGGACCGTGGAGTTCCATGGCTACATCAAGCAGGTGAGGGTACTCTACAGGGAGCAGTTCTTCCACGCCGCCATGCTGAACAAGCTGCAGCAGCAATACTGAACAAACTCCCTCTCCCTTCTCCCCTACCTTCACGTTTACAAAACAGCTGTGCTTCTCATCTTCTCTTTTCTGATCAGCCAGGCACATATAGTCCTTCCATCTGGTGACAAAACAGCTGTGTTTCCATCTGTGTACATCGAAAAGATGGGAAGGCGGTAGCTTTGTTTCAGCTTTTAACGAGGACAAAGATACCTGAAATCCCCACCTGAATATTTGGCTTAGAGAACCCTCTTTAATCCGCGGAACTGCGTTCCGTCGTTGATCAGTTCCCATCCTTGTACATGGAATAAGCTCAACCTCCCATTTTCAGTACACTTTGTTGACTGGGTTTCCGTGGAATCTGCACACCCACCCTCGTGTACATCGAGCTCTTCTGTAATCTCTTCTAAGATGGTCCCTGATCTCTGAAGAAACGGGGATACACCGCCAGCCAGCTCAGAATCCCCCTCGCAGAAAATATCGTCATACAGAAAAAAAGACAAAACGGGCATAAGTGGCCAAAATCAGAGGAATATAACAAAATCTTCATCAAGGAGATATCTATATCACTTGGCACGAGAAAGTCAACAAATTGGTGTGGCGACACAATCACATGGGCCAAGCCAGGACCGAGTCAGACAAGCGAAGGGAAAGCCGAGTCCACCCTTCCCCACCCCTCCTCCCCCTTCTTGTGGTGGAGTCACTGAAAGTCGCCGTTTTACCCAGTTGACGCCCACTAGAAAAGAGGTCGAGCATTATCCAAACCATCCCGCTGAAAAATATGGAAAATAGACGGATTTAAAGTGGCGCCCGAAGTCTCCCGGTATAAGTAACTAATTAATTAATCAACCGATCAATCAATCAACTCCATAAGGAGGAAGGTTCCGTGCAACAGGACCCGGCGATGCTTATCCGAAAGCGAACACGTCGCCCTCGGCAGCATGGGTTCTGATGTGACGCAGGGAGGCTCTCACTACTATTTCTGCCAAGCAAGCAGGCAGTGAGAATCACAAGGAGTGACTGTCATTCTTCTGCAAGGTTGGAGAACATTAAATGCCCGAATAGATAGCAATGTGAAGCTTAGTGGAAACATCAATGTGACAAGTGAGCCAAGGCTTTGTTGTAAAGATGGGCATGCTCGGTAGGCAACGAGGAGCACACACAGAAGAGAACGAGATATGGGCGCGTGCTAGGAGAGAACTGAAAACAGACATATAAGCCTATAAAGTCGGCTATTATGCAACCTATGGCAAGAGTTTACCATATCTGGTAGTCGGGGGGGATTACCTTCAAATGACAGAGCCCGATGCGTACAATACGGCGCCGCTCAATAGCAAAGCAACAAAGACAACGAAGCAGGATATATAAACAAGCAAGAGAGATCAGAGAGAAACGTACAGCGCGAGTCAGCAGACGGGACGGGACCTCCTCCGTCTCTGCAACTCTCACCTGGGTGGTAAAGAAGATGTAACTTTCAATAACAATCACCTCTTCAGTGACAGGCCTGAACGAACGAATCTGGGAGCGCGGCAAACCTTCTATACAAAGCCTTGATGACGTCTTCAGAATGAAGATGCGTCAAGAACAAATCCTGGCAGTCCTGAACACGGGCGCTCTCGAGCTCAAATTGCCTGTGCCCGCAGTGCTCGTCCCATTCAAACCACATCTTTGCGATGAGCTCCTTTCTGAAGCAACTATAGTGGTACTTCTCTTCTGGAGAATCGGCAGCTACCAGTCTGTATGTGAAAACTCTCTTGGTCTGACCCGGCCGGAACGCACGAGCAATAGCTTGTTGAGATACGGAAGGATTCAGATGTACATCTAGGATTATGACTCTTGACGCTCCCACGAGAGATATACCCTCACCGCATGCCTTAATCGATCCGAGGAGAATCTTGGCGTCCGGGGAATTGTTGAAACGCTCCATTGCCCATTCCCTCCGCTCGGTATTTGTGTCGCCAGAGATTGCAAAAATCTCCTTTCCAGAACGCCAGCCCTTAATCCGAGCAAACAGCCTCTCCAAGAATCTCAGTGGAAGGATGTACTGACTGAATACGAGCACTTTCTCACCAGCAGCGTCCGCCATGGACAAGATATCCACAAGGAATTTCGTCTTCACTCCATCTTTCACGTCCATAGAGTCTAAGAGATGGTCGATCTCCTTATCTGTCACTTTGATGCTCCTATTGCCGGAAGCATGGGCAGCGAAATCTTTCAAGCAAGGGTGCAAATAGATCGCACTTTCCGCTGAAATTCTCTTGAACTTGTCATAATTCCCCAACTCTTTCAGGAGTTCTTTCTGGCGGGTTCTCAGCTTCAACATCACGGTAAAGTCAGCAAGCCCAGGCAACTCTTCCAAAAAATCACCTTTGTAGTAATGGAGGACATCCCGTGTCATTTCTCGAAGGTCCCGTATGATCCCAACCCTCCTCGTAAAGTCCTCATCATTCTGCAGCGTTTCCTCCACTAACTCAAAAAACGTTGCCTCTGTATCACCCTTCATGTTTCTCCTTCTGCGGCCTGGTGCATGTACCCCACTGAGGATACGCTTGACAACGGCACGCGATGACTCCATCTTTAGGAATCTACAGCGCACAAGATTCAGAATATTGAACACCTCTTTTACGCGGTTCTGGAAGAGAGTTCCAGAGAGTACGACTTTGAGAGGCGTCTGTACCTTTGCAAGTGTTGAAAGTATGTCAGTATCCTCATTTCTCGGGGTGTGGCCTTCGTCCAGAATGAGAAGGCTGGGAACCTTCAATAGCCTCTCCTGACAGGCAGCTCCTATCTTGTCTTTCACATCACAGATTATGCAGGAAAACTGCTTATAGCCCAAGAAGAGAACGCTCTTATTCTCCTCCCATGTTTTCAAGACCTCAAGCTGCTGATATCTGCTCTCCGCCTTAACAGAGTAGAAGTCAAAGAGCAGGATGTCTTCTACTTGCCAGCGCTGAAACTCTCTCTTCCATGTAGGCAGAATGCCCTTTGGAAGGATGATCAAAGGTCTTGCCGAAGGAAAACGAGCCAAAAAGCTTTGAATAAAGCTAATGAGCATTAAAGTCTTTCCTGATCCTGGGGCGTGGGCCACAATGCACCCCCCTGGCTTATCACCCACTAAGTTTTTCATCAAGAAGTTGAAACCCTGTATTTGATGTGGCTTCATCTGTTCCAAATGTCGGGGGTGTATCGAGAGTTTAGCTGAAAAAGAATCATATTCAGAAAATTTAGGACCAGGGAATCGCATATCTTCATCAACATCCTTGGATTTCTGTGATCCATATGTGTACGTCTTTGTCGTTTCAGACCCCTGAAAAGGCCAAATAGGATAACGAATTAAACAGGGTATTATTTCTTAAAAACCACGCATTTTGCACTCATATGAACTGACTCTTGGATTGGTTGCTTTACATGGCCCACATGATTCACTCATTGGTAGAAGGTGACAGGTAACACAAGCCGACTATAATAAGGCGTCGACAATAGAAAGGAACATTACACTATCACCAACTTTCGGTCATATCATCAATTTTGAGTTGAACATGCGAAGATGATTATATAGTGACTGTCCTACTCAAACAGATTCTAAACTCAGATGTTTCCTTCAAAACTTATTTTGTAACCCTTGTGTCATATACTTTAGGTAGATGACATAGATAAGCAAGAACAATGGCTGAATTAGCTCGTAGTCTGAAACGTCAAACAAGTCCTGAAACCATCTCAGTATTACATTTTACTATCAGATTTTAAAATAAAGCACCATGCAACCTTACAACTAAACCAAAACTTTCCTATTTTTTGTACTTCTTACGTGCATGGCGTTGGATTATTCAAGCTCAAATTCGTGTGATTGTCCCTAGACTTTGAACAGATGATGGAACTTTTCTGGACAGGTATCATGCAAGACCGTACGTATCTTTATCAAAATCCCAAAAGACTATTTTCCGCATTTAACCGGCTACCCGTCTATGCAACCCTTTTCATACAAGTAGACCCTGACAGCTAGCACTGGAAACAACGATAAGTAGCCCTTGAACAACTCAACAGCGGCTCTAACCCGTTCTGCAATATTTTTGAAGGTAATGAAAGATCACATGGTCACACGGCCAGATGTTGAGGGTTTAGAGAACGAAACTATTAATCCAATGCGTAGGAATAAGATCCTACATACTGGAAGGAGGAAGCCAGGGATATGAGTGTTGAGGAAGGATGCAGAGACATAAGGTGTCCAAAAACCTGGTGTCAGATTTATATAGACAACGTTGAGCCTAATATTTGGCACGGAGACAACGTATTAAATGTTGGCAGAAAAATATAAATCGTTCTTCAAATCAAGAATTTAGCCTGCAAGCAGGTGCAAGGCATCCGGGCTGCCAACCAAAACGGTGTCAAGACTATTATCAACATTGAATGACCATACCGAGCTGATAATGAAAGCACTCTCCAAGCCCCATTTTCATTGGCACTGTTTACCCACCTCACAACATATTTTCAAGAATTTCCTGAAGGGCGTAGAGAGCTTTCGCCACTTAGGCTATTGCAACAAAACCCTGAAGTTCAGCTCCATATATACTATCGTCAATTGAAAGCATTGCGCACCACATTTTCTCCACGCATTCTTCTAGATCAGACATATATTAAGCTAGCCGTTATCTCAGAAGTTGACAACTGAAAAGGAACCTCTAACGTTGAAGCTGGTTTTCAAACGTGTTCTCTTTGATATCCATTTATAAACAGAAAAGTCCATTGATCTCACATTACTTGTTCTTATAAGATAGCGGGACATCAAGTCGGGTGAAGAATCTCAATGACCATTATACTATATCTTCTCAATAGGTTGTAATGACCACATTTCATTTGTAAGTATTATTAAGAAACATTTCAAATAAAATTCACCTCCCTCATGAATCGCAGTAATCCTCTGTGAGAGAAAGATGTCAGTGGTCACAAAGAGATAGAAAAGATTAATTAACAGCATTTTTTCGCAGTCTACACGGAAAAATATCCAGGGAATCCTAGGGTGGGTACAAAAGCTTACAAACATAAAATAAAGAATGAAGAAGGCATTTTATTAAGTTCCAATCCATTCTCCACAATGCATAAGATAGATAAGCAGGAACCGGAAAATAGAGACACAAATTATGCTGGCAATCATCCGGAAGTTGACATTTGTTAATCTCAAATAAGCATAAACAAATCAAGAAATTTTCATCCTAATTTATTGTAGCTAATATTAAGGATTATGCAACATTATCTAGAGAAATAAATGACACATAAAGTTGGAAGTGTGTCCAACCAAATATTAACAAATTATCTAATACCTTTCTCCATTGATAATCAAATATGGTTGAAATCCTCTTCTTGATAACTCCACAAACTTGACAAACCACCCCTATATCATCTTTGAGAAGATAATCATGTTCACAATCTTCTGGATGTTCTTGTACCATCGCAACAGCTGCAGTATTGTCGGACACAGTGCCCTACCAAAAAAATACAAAAAACTGACAACCATGTCATGATCAAAAAACTATGTTTGGAAATGTGCATTAATTATTACATAAAGTGACAAAACTGACCTGAAACAATCAAAATGCGATTACTATAAGAAACAAAAAATCTTAAACTTCTTAATTTAGTATAGTCTACAAGCAAAGGTGCTGACAGCTGCAAGGTGTGTTGACATCTAATCAACAATCTGTGTTGATTATCTGCACTCTGCGTTGATTATCAACACTCTTTGAGCATAATCAAGGCGTTAACTCCCAGAACAATCATTTTCAAAAACATGTAAACCTATTTATTCAACGTGAAAGAAATGCAAACCCCACTTCTTAACAAATGGTTACAGTGACCAAGAAAGAGCAACTCTTTCTCGATTGACAATGTTAGAGGAACTTGAGAAATGACGGAGAATGGAGGCCTGCTTGAACAAGCAGATCAATAATTTCTTTGATTTGGAAACAGAGGTTGTCAGTTATCAATGTTTCTTCCTCTTTCCTCTACACTTCGATAGATAAGAAAAGGATTTTCTCGCGATTTGCCATCTTCTGTAGTACTTCACATTGTTCTCCATTGTTTTTGTACAGATCTTTGTAATTTGTACTTTTTACTTTGCAATTGCTTTTCCTTGTTTTTTCTTGTTTTCCTCCCTCAAGGAAGAAGATTTCAGAAATCAAGAAAAGAATCATTAAATCTGGTGTTCGCTGACAGACTTCTGATAAAAGAAAGTGTATTATTTGTGAAAAAGAGATTTAACTGCGGATGGAAAACAAGCGTGCCATGTAAAGGGGAAAAAAGTCCTAAGAGGGGACCTATTGATGAGAAAAAATAAGAAATAAGATTCATAAAGAAAAAGATATTGCGAAACAGAAAAATAATGAACGGCGAATACCTTGGAGTACTCCAAGGCTAATGACATCTCTTTCCATAGATCTTCTAGGCTATCACTTTCTTGTGCATCACAAGCATCTTCGCTGGTGAACTCCAAAAGAGCACAAGAATGTGATTCATCTTCAGGATTCGACGGCGCACCACTCAGATAGTTAATCTCAGGATTTAACAGAGTCTCAGCACTTGATTTATCTTCTTCAATCGCCTTGACATCCGAAGACTCAACATTGCTCTCACCGTCATTCTCTATAGAGGACTGTTTGCACTTGCAAAACAAGAATAACGTTGTTAAGCGTGATAGTTACAAATGATGGGATATTTATGCACAATGCTTCACAAGCAAATCTCGAAATGGAGACAATAATTCTTCGAAAATAGAATAGGACTCAGGTTTAAATGACATCAAAGAAAGTCACAGAATGATAACTGAAAATATGAAATATAAATGATAAGCTGGAAACAAGGGGATACCACTTAAAGATTGGAGCCTAGACATTGGGATCAATGCATACAAGAGTGAGTGAATGAGATGTACGAATAAAGGCCTTCATACTTACTTTCCGTCTCCATATTTTTATGTAGTAAAACACGTGTGTAAACATGATTTTTTCAGAAAGAACAGATGAACGAATAAAAAAGCCTGCTGGTTGCAGATAATAGAAAACGAAAAGAACTAAAAAGTCGGAACAATATATCCAAACAGAAAACACCACTAGAAGGCTTGTCTTTTCTTAAAGGTTCTGCAATTGTCTATAACTTCATACACAAACTATAGCCTATGGGCACTCGAATGCCGCAGTGAAGTAAAACAAGACTCCTACGATTTTCAGTAAATGAGGAAAATAATGTGCCAAAATAATGTGCACCCAGTATTTATGTAGCTGCAAGTCCATCATGACGGCAAGGAGAAGAGAGACTAAAAGGTACTTGCTTATATTTTATGAGTATTTTCGGAGCTCTGTTTGTCGCCTTACCTATTTTAATAAGAATTTTATTCAATAAAAAAAATACTGACAAACTTAATGTTAGATTATACATACAGTAAAGAGCGTTATGAACCATCAAAAATAAAATGTCAAATGAAAAATATTGATGACTATAAAATTTAGCTTATTTTGTGTTGAGAAAGATTTTTTGAAATTAATTATAATAATGAAATGATACAGTTTGTTGATCAAATACTATCCAATATTAAGAATCTTAAAAGTGGTGTCCGACACCTGTACACTAAGATGAAAAAATAATATAGGGTTAAATACTCTCAGGAAAAGGACGCACAGTTTAGAGAGCAAAGCTGTAATAAAATTGACGGATATGATAAAGTTTTATGTCTCGAGATTATTATACAATCCATAAAAAAAAAACTTTCTGCACATCCGAAAAACCCTTCTCAGAAAGTGTCTACTTAGTTTCAATAACTTCTAGAAAGTGGCAACAACCAGCAACCAGGTCACATAACGTTCACCTTGGAACGACAACCAAACAAACAAAGCAAAACTAAGTGTTATAAGCCACGAAAAAATGAAAGAGAAAGGAAACTATCCAGTAAAAAGGTTTTATAAGCCGCACAAAAATGGCAAAGGCTGTACTAAATACTCATCCCAACAAAAATGAAAGAAGATTGCAATTTTAACTTTCATAAAATAAACTTTATAAGTACACTGTGACATTCACATAAAAAGCGCAAGTTCAAGAAACTGCTGGCGTGGTTCTTCAACAAAGAAAAAAATATATACGGAGAAAATTTCTCAAAAAACGTAGCCAATTTCCGAATTTTTCTCCAATGCGAACCATTCCCACAATCAGAGCGATGCAAACTGTAAATAGCTGCATTAACTCTGAATGTTTTCACCTCTGCACACCAAACATTGTGAAATGAATAGCTTACTATCACCACTTTCCTCATCCCAGCTTGTCATTGGCACAAGGAAATTTTTAGTTACTAACACTACAGTACATTGAAAGCTAAATTATGACGCAATTTTTTTTAAAAAATGATTTTAAAATTGCATAGCTTACCAGACTAATAACAAGGAATCTCATCATAGAAGAGAAAGGCATCAAATAAAAATTGATACGAGGGGTAGGTGGAAACTGATTATACGCCTTCTAAGGCACATATGTGTCTGGTATATGAGATGGTTAACATCTTCCAGTCACAGCCCGTCATTTTCAGAGATCGAGAATGATGTAGAAGAGAATAACACTCACAATCCAGCTATAGGAAAATGGGACACTTAATTTGGCCATCAATTACAAGTTATAACCTTGATCAGTCAGAAGTATTGCATAACGTTCTGCTAAAACATTGAAGTACACAACTAATAAAGCTCTCCTTAGATGTTATCTGGTTATCACCGACAAAAATGCTAACTTCATGGGTACAGATTAAGTAGTAACACAGATCCAAACGGAACTAACTTGAATTTTCAGTATAGATTTTGTCTTGTCTGCTTTTGTCAAAAAAACCTGATGATACTGGGCAAATTGATCATAGGCTCCATCGACAGAATAGCTATTGACAAGTTCGGTGCATACAATGTCACGGTCTGTGATCTGGCACTGTTGAGCTTCTTCGTCCGAGTCAATTACTATTATTGGCTTGTTTGCTGACGTTCGTTTAGTTTTCTGATAAAAATCAGGATAGTCAATTTCATCTTCTGCATAAGTGATTGCGATAATTGCATTATCATTGGCAGTCAATTTGGCTTCCATCACTCTGGCTTTGAAATGTGGAGAAAATTGGCAATCGCTTCGTAACGCATCACCAACATCTGGCCCAATACTGGCATTAATATCTACAGTTGTTTGAGAACTGGCGAGTGAAGATCTCACCATAAATAAGTAATTCATTAATCGCATATTTTCAGCATGCAGTTTTTCATATTCCTTGGTAACGCTGCCATAGTTACCTTCTGCAATGTCTTCCGATATATCAGGCAATGTAAAAGCATTATCACTATCTGTAGCTTTATTTGTCTCCAGATGACGGTTTCCAAGGATACAAGGCAAGGAACCCGATTTATCAAAAAAATTCTCATCATTGCACGTTCGCATCCTTTTTTGCCTTTGGAAATACATCTCCATGACTACAATCAAGAACCATAGGGCGTTAAAAGATGACATAAAAATTTAAAAATGAAGATTTAAGGAAAACAGTTACCGAAGATGAAGAATTCATACATAAGCAAACAAAAAACTTTATATGCTGTGCAAAAGCAATGAGTTAATGCATCCAGTATGCAGTGTTGTTAAAAGTTTTGTAATGTTTAGAAGTGAGACATGAACATAGGCTGATCTGATCACAGACTGTGAACAACTAAGCTCATAATGAAGATCATACTAAATTAGGTTTTATCACAATTCTGCTTATGATACAAGGGGGTCCATGAAAAAGAACATTACCCCCTTACTGTCTGCAGATGTCTTCACAGACTTTGCAGTCAGTTCCCTAAGCTGGGACACAATCAAAAAATGATGTGGCGTAAAGGTGTACTTGGATGATTACTTCATGACTCTTACACATTCCCAATTTACTAATGATACAAGCCTGCTTAAAAGGGAAAATGCGTAAAAAAATCAAGCATCAAAATGTTCATTGATCTGTCAGAATATGGTGACCAGGCTGTGCAAAACTTCGAAAAGCCATGGGAACTAGGATCCAACAAGATGGGTTGATCGACCATATTATTCACGAGAGTGTATGGTAGCCGAATTGGCATTCATGAACCCTGACGTCGTGCTTCTTATATGGGCGAAAAACTATAAGAGCAGATGAACTAATTTAGAAGCTTAGTCAAAGATCGGAGCAATGGAAGCAAAAATACTTTCAGACAGAGGAAGATGGATCCTTTTCATAACTGTTGCTTCCAGTTTGACCATGCATGTGGTTCCCATCTTAAAACAATCAACGTCTATCAAAAAGAAATTAACGAAATAATAAATGAGCTCTTTTGCAGTTGTGGAGGTGGAGATAAACAAGCCTTTAATTTGAATGGGTGGAAACTCATAAAAGCAGAAAGATATCTCATTAAAAGATAATTTCAGATTACGATTTTGGTTAGATGGTTGTTCGGATCAGGAGAGACTAATTCTTATGAACATATTTTTGAAAGTGAGGTTTATTCCAAAGTATAGGAATAGAGTGCCTCTAACTGCGAAAGATTTTTTTTACGATACATCATCTTACCTGCAATCTAAGGGTCAACATGATTCTATTTCATTCATTAAACTTGCTAGCAGTGATGGAAATGGTAGATGATCTTCAAGTATGCATATCAATTACGATAATGAACAGAAAGAAACGAATTTCCTAGTTTATTTCTTCCCCATCACTCCCCATCCTTTAAGACGAGAACGACATTTTGGTGCTTTCCAGCTTCGTTTGTATTTTCTCCATCGCTTTGATTCTAGTTAGGTGGATTATGAACTCGAGTTCCTATTCTGACAACATCGTGGCATAAATAACCTAGAAAGGAAAGAAAAAAGGAAGAAGGAAGGGAAACCCTTACACTGGTGGTTGGCGGCTAGGGTATCATCAATCAGGAATCCCCTCAAACTTCCACATATAAGATTTTTCTTTCTAGAATATTTTATTAACCGATCCTTCATCACATTACGGATTGTTGTATTTAGCCAGCGATATCATCGAAGCTTCTCTAGAGCAGCTGCTGCGTATGTGCATCTCCCGTGTGAGACACGAACCCAACAAAGAAGGCACGCTTCAGCATTCAAAGTGGAGACTATCCACATCTAGAGGAACCAGACAAAGGCGGCAAGGCTGTTAAGAGTGATCTTCTCGGTGCCATCCTATCAAAGTAGACATGGTTTCCCTCGAGTAGCATCTGCTTCCGGTATCCAACCCCGCAAACAATGCACATTAAAAGCAAACAAAGTTCCACATCATCAACAGCCAGAGATATTTTACGCATGAACACGATGGTCAACATGCGGACAAACATCGACACAAACCGCAATATAACTTCTGGAAACCCGATGGAACATCGTGAGAGAGGGAGAGAGAGAGAGAGAGAGAGAGTGATGGCAACGCGGGGAAGGAAGTACACTGGGGGGTGAGAGAGAGAGAGAGAGAGGGAGAGATGGCAACGCGGGGAAGGAAGTACACTGGGGAGAGAAAAAGAGCGAGAGCGAGAGAGAGAGAGGAAGGGGAGGGAAGGGAAGGCGGTTAGCCGCTGGTAAGGGCCACAAACTATTTGAAATTGTGGGGCCACAAAGTAGGCGAAATTATAGAAACCCCCTTCTTTTCTGCATAGAACAAATTCCGCATTAACATATCTTTATTGAAAATTAAAATAACATGTGCCCACTCTGTTTAATTTTTTTTAATTTTTTGCGAAAGAAAAATGTGATTTTTCCGAGAGTTGACTTGACTTCCGATGGGCTCTCGCCCAATCAGCGCTCCCAGATAAGGTCAGAGTGGGCTTAGCCTTCATGTCCACTTGGCATGAGGGGCTGATCAAGATGGATTGAGTATATTTTCTCTCTAATTTCGGAGTAAATTTTATTTATTTTTGTAGTTTTATTCTGCTAAGCTCAAAATAGAGACAGGGGCTTATCTCCAATTAGTAGAAAAATTATTTATAATTTGGTAAAAAACGTGCTTTTCAATAGGTTATACTTTTCTAAAGGGTTGAAATGGAAAAAACTTTTACACTTGATGGCCACGGCTGGCGGGGAAGCGTAGTCGTTTGGCAAGATGTTCCCGGAAATCCTCGAGAGCTCACTAAGGCGAGAAGAACCGATTCCCCCCGAATTCCCTTACGCTGCATCTCGCGGCACGTTAAACTCCAGCGAAGAAGCGGGCCGTGCTTACGATTCATCCGAGAGAGCATAACTTTTGTTCCTAAGGAAATCGTACACGTTGCTTCCACGTGAAGCCAGGATCGTGCGCTCCCACGTGTCCTCAAGACGGGTCTGGACCGTTCCAGGTGTGCTCCTACGTGGGTCTACGTGGCGGTTGGAGGCAGCATCCGGAACGTTCTAAAGGAGAGGCTTCCGGGTTGCCTATTTTTTCTGATGCTTCCTTCCGCAACTGCAGGCTTAGAGGAGAAAGGAGAAAGAAGGGGAAAAGAGGGAGGAGGAAGGAGGAACGAGGAGGAACGGAGGAAGGAGGAAGGGGCAAGGAGGAGCAAGGAGGAACAGGAAGGAGTAAGGAGGAGGGAGGAGGGTCGGAACTCGAGCGGGGGACGTTGCTTCGTTGCCTCTCTCCGTGGGGGAGGTGGGGACAAGATGTGGCAGATGAGGCCGCCAAGCAGGAAGTCCGGCGATGTGGAATCCGCCGGGGGGCTGCCACCGCCGCTGTATCCCACAATGCTCGAGAGCCCTCAACTGCGTTGGGCCTTCATCCGGAAGATCTACTTCATACTCGCCGTGCAGCTTCTGCTCACCGTCGCCGTTGCCTCCGTTGTCGTCTTCGTCCGCCCTATCCCCCACTTCTTCGTCTCCTCCGGCGCAGGCCTCGGCATCTACATCTTCCTCGTCATCCTCCCGTTGATCGGTACGTTAAATATTGTCGGCAGCATCTCTACGCATTCTTTCCTAGCGGCGAATCAATCGGTCGTCCCGTAGTCTGGTTTTCATCTTAAAGGTTCTCTTCTCTTCAGTTCGGTGTGGGATTCCGGCAATGAAATGGATCCCTACTCTGGCAATGATGGATCGGAATCCCGAGTAGTTGGGTTTTCTTCCACGCCCGCAATCGTACGACAATTCTTCTTCTCTTCTCTCTACGTTCTTCCAGAAAAAGAATTTCCAGTCAAAATAAAACACAGATAACTCCAGAGAATGGCAGAAGAATTTCCGTGTCTTTGTTCGTTTGGACTTTTCACTGTCAGATTCTCTGATGTGCGCTGAAACATTTATTTACTTCGCAGTGCTATGCCCGCTCTATTACTATCACCAGCGCCACCCCGTGAATTATCTGCTGCTGGCCGTCTTCACCCTGTCTCTCAGTTTCAGCGTCGGCTTGACGTGCGCCTTCACCAGTGGTAAGCATCCCCAAGAACCTGACACCGAGTTTCCCCGCCTTTCTTATCCTTGATCAATGAAATAAATCAAAATATTCGCATTTTCGTTGTGTTCTGCCTTCGTTAAACTCCACATTCCGCTCTGTGGAGGAGTTCGTTCGTCATACCGTCTATCCTCCTCTATGGACGGCTTTTGATCCGTGTTTTATCTAGACTGTGAATCGGCTTGCGATCTTTCACCTTGGAAGGAAGGATCCCATCGGAACTCGCCCGTGCTAATTGATGATTCCATCTCCTGCTGCTGTTCGGCTTGAATGTCGATGAGACCAACGGTGGATTCTTTCTTCTCGAAACCTTTCTGAATCAAATCCTCGGTTCTCGGGCATGCCATGCAGGGAAAGTCATCCTCGAGTCTGCAATCCTGACCTCCGTCGTCGTCGTCAGCCTCACTCTCTACACATACTGGGCCGCGAAGAGGGGCCACGATTTCCAGTTCCTCGGCCCCTTCCTCTTCGTCGCGCTGCTGATCTTGATCGTCTTCGCCTTCATCCAGGTCCCCCCACATCCTACAGTCTCCTCCTCCTCTCTTCTCTCCTCCTGGTTCTGGCTTCCCCTTATGGGTTATGCGTTTCGGCCATTGGTGCTGCTGGTGTCTCCTCCAATGTCTTCATCCTCTTTTCTTCCTCCTAGTTCTTTTTTCTTCCCCTCATGGGTGAGGCATTTCGGTGCAGCTGGTGTTTCCCCTGGGGAGGCTGTCGGTGATGATATACGGGGCCCTGGCAGCGGTGATCTTCTGCGGCTACATCATATATGACACAGACAACCTGATCAAGCGCTACACTTACGACGAGTACATCTGGGCCGCCGTCTCCCTCTACCTGGACATCATCAACCTCTTCCTCTCTCTGCTCACCCTCTTCAGGGCCGCCGACACCTGAAACCGCTTCCAGAATCACCGCGCTCAGATACATTTTTCCCAGTGATCATACTCTCCTTGTAAGTAAGCCCACGAATATGAAAGATGCCATCTTTTTCCTCAACTGGAAACACCCCCACCCCCAGTAGAAGATATTTATATGTATATCAAGAGAGAGAGAATCCTCTCTTCCCTCTGTACTGTTGTTGAGGAGAGAGAAGCGACTGGGCCGTGGAGCTTCTCCCTATTCTGGATGAAGTGGGCACGACATGGCTGGGCCTATTAGAGGGAGACCTGGAGGAGAGAGTGGTTGGCAGTCTTACTCGCATTTTAGAGAGAGAGAGAGAGTCTGTGTTGGTGGTTCTTTGCTCTCGGCTCGCCCGACGGTCAACGTTCCTGACCCAAACCGGAACGCCGCCACCTGGTGGGAGCATTCTCCACTCAGGGAAGGACAAGTCGATGCCGAGTCTGCTTATTTGCAGGAATTCTTACTTTGAAAACTTAGAAAAAGGTGCAAATAAACTATGTAAATTAGACGTATGCATGCTAAGAATATTTTCACCCCAACTTAAACAAAAAATACAGTCAACGAGACCTGCTTCTTTAACATGCCATCTTTCCCCCTTATCTAAGACGATAATAGCGAGTAATTAGCGTATGGCGATGGTAGGTAGATAACTAATGGAGATGGTGCGTTTACTCTCCCTCCCTCCTTCCCTCTCTCTCCTCTCTCTCTCTCTCTCTCTCTCGCGCGCGCGGGCGGATAGGTGGGTCAGACGGCCAAAATGCATAAAGGGCCATTAATACGCCTAGATATTGTGTTTCATTAATGGACCTACATTGGTTAAGGAGGCCATGAACCTCTCCTATTTAGATGCAAGGACTCCAAAGGCTAGTCAAAGGATTTGGCTGGAAGATGCCAATTCTGGATTTATGATTGAGGTATTGGGTTTGAGAGAAGGTGGTGTTAGGATGTGCGCTTCAAACACTTCAAAGAATTTATAACACTCCTTGCCAATGTTTCCAACATGCCATTGAAGTTGAGTAGCATTGGTGGGGCCGAGCCCATTTCCTATGTCAATGGGGACTAAAATAGAGTCAAATAAACCTACGTGGCTAAACCTACTAACGTCACTAAGCTTCTTCTTTGCGGTAAAATGGTCTTTTACTAAAATAATGGTATAATCATATTGATTGTCTCTTAAATGTTGAATATAGAGATGTCAAATTTAAAATTTATAGAACTGAATTCACTTTAAGATAAACCAAGTTATAAATCTAATGAGTTATGGTTGAATCCATAAGAAAGATGATAGATGTTATGATAATTTCTTTGGTTTCATTAGTAAATTAAAATATAATAAAATAAAATAAAAAACAAAACAATAGAGAGGGGAGGGGGGGTAGAAGACACGTTCTATGCTCGATTAGCTCTGACCAACTCACCCTTCCCCTTGCCATCGTGAAGTTATTAATTTAAAGTAAAATAATAATAAAAATTATCATACTCTAAAAATAATAAAAAATAGGAAAGGGGATAGAGAGGAGGATGGAGGGAGAAGATATTAGAGGGGAGAGAGAGATGATGCAAAGGGAGAAAGATGACTTTGCTTGAGGCAATCACTGATGGAGAAAGACACAATGGACTTAGAAAAAAATATACAAAATATGAGACAGGAATATGAAGATTTGAGATTGTAAATAAGTTTTGAATTGATTCCAAAAAAATAAATTATTCAAAAAATGATACTAAAACAGATTTAAAAAAACTCTCCCTTTGACATTAGCGATGAGCTGGACAAATGGATTCAAAATTGAGGGTGAATCAATCAGTTTTTAATGCATGAATCAACTCGGAAATGAAATTAAAACTACTCATAACTAAAAAAAACTAAGGAATTTGACACAAAACATATGGAAAAACAAGATTTTCTGCCTTTTGATATTGTGAATGGTGGATGAATGAGTTTGAACGAAATCACAAAAGAAAACATGAAAAATCGATTGCCTCCTTGATTTACCTACATGTCACCTGAATGAATTGAAGAAATAAATTCTACAATAGAGAGAAATTATATTTAAATATCAAAATAAGACAAAAAATCCATGAAGAATTAGAGGAATACTACAATCTTCACTTGGTGGATGGAGGAAAAAAATGATCCTTTTTTGGCCCAAGATTAGATGTTTTTATACTCTCGTTAGATCTTGAATCGTTTATAGTCAATGAGGAATTAACTTGCTTAAAAGTTGACCGATTTTTAGAGAGAATCAGCTTCCATTTCTCCATCCATCTTTCTGCCCAGTTTTACTCCCGTTTCTGGTCATTTTTGTCCACTTTTACTCATCTTCAATTATTTTTCGATTTTTTAAAATTTAATTAAGTAAAGCGACTGACTAGTCCGATTAATGTGCTCCAGAATTCCCTAGAATTAACACAGATTTCAAAAATATATTCAAACATAGAAAAAATTCGGAGGAAATCATTCATATCTAAAAGAATGAACTATAACTATTAAAATCTAATTTTAACCCTAATTATGAAAAATTTAAGTGAAAAAATAGAACATATAGTATATTACTATATATCAAGGAATATTAAAAAATAAACATGCGCTAAAATATACTGAAATCATGCATGAAGCATGTATTTTGTGCCATTACTTAAAAATATGCTTTACCTGATTGCTCATTTAAATCTGTATCATTTAGCATGAAGTAATACATCAAATGTAATAATTATCTGTTATTTATCTCATGAAATGACTTATTATCACACATCAATTTAGGGAAAAGGTTTTGATACTACAATTGATCAAAGTAAATATTATACATCATGAACAAGAGATACAACATAAAGAGGTATATTTTAAAAAAAGTCGTAATTTCTTCAACAAAATGATAATCAATAAAAGGGAATATAATATTTTTTTAAAGAGGCTTTCAAAAGGAACCAAGAACGGGGCTAAATCGGTATTTTTTTAATTAGATTTATATCACTTTTTCTACCCTAAATTTTGGTACCAAAAAATTACCACATTGTCACCCACCTAGGCTATTCCTTAGCCTAATGCTCTTTGGTTCTAGAAAATTGAGGTTGCAGAAAATGTTGAATACCGAGGCTTCAGATAACCTCCAATGAATTTTACAGCTACACCCAATGCAATTGTTTCCTAAAAACACTTTTAGGTTAATGACTCTAGCGAGTCATCCAGATTATTTACCAACTAATCTCTTCTAAATTTACAACTCAAGTCAGCTTGTGTATTAGGAGTACTCAATTGCAGATTAAAAATAACAATAGAAAGTAAAATGTCTCTCGAACTGTGTGCATGACTGAATTTTTGACATTCTAGAGATGTAAAGCATCTTGCAGAGAAGAGAACTTCGGATGCTTGAGATGGAGATATTTATTTCAATCTTTCAGTATGTTTCTGAACACGAGACCTTTCAATGCATTTCCTATAAAATCACCCATTTTTCCTGTTTTTTAAACATATTTCATGGTAAAACAAATGGCTAGAATATAATATCTCGATGATCAGGACATGCTTTAATAATTCACGTTGAGAATCATGCAGCTCTTTCTTACTTTCATGTAGTGCCACCCATTTAAATCTCTCTTTGTCTTTGTCTCTATCTCTCTCTCTCTCTAATATGTTTACTATTTTCTTAGAGTAATTAAAAAAAATATTAAAAAAAGTATCACAACAAATTATTAGAGAATTATGAATCATATTGAGATTTTTGAACATAACCAATATTTTCATGCCTTCAATGTTTTTTTTAATATGAAAGTGTGATTTTACTGTCAAGTACATTTTTCTCAATTTGATGCTTATTTTTTTGTTATGTATTTTTATTCAAGGGTAAAATATTGGATATTATGAAATTACTATTCTGCCTTTTTAGAATATTTTCCAACTATGGGTTTAAAACTTAATTTTCTAGATAAGTGTAATACTTCTTTATTTCTCAATATAATTATCAAAATGTAAAAATATAAACCTAGACTTCTATGCATTTTATCATTATGGAAACTATAATTGTCTCAAAATTTATAGATTAAATCTTATTCAAATTTGGGAGAATGATATCAGTGGTGGACTTCTTGTGGCTAAGTAGACATCGTCACCTAATGTTGTATGATCAACAACTTATGATAGGGATAGTGATACTCAACTTATGAGTGGATGATGACAGATTAATTATAATTAGTAGAGCTAAAAATACTCATAAATAAAGAAATAAAAGTAAGTAATACTCATTGTGGACCCCAACTTGCAGTAATAAATAAAGGCATAAACTTTGGAAGTATGATTAATTCTTGCAATCATAATCATGGAACATATATAGAACCTCACTATATGAAAGAAGGGAAATGCAACTTAGTCTAAGAGGTCATTACATTTAGCTCCACTTTAGTCAAAGACTTACTCTTTCCACTAATTAATGGCTCTACTATAGGTAGAGACCAAGAACTTCCTATGATATGGACTACTAAATATTGGGTTTAATGATTTAAATGTTAACAAATAATCACAGATAAAATTAATTTTTTTTAATGAAATATATTTTAAATACACTAACCTACAAATAAGTATCTAAATATTGAGATATAATTTTGTTATATAAATAAACAGACGTTAAGAATCAAGCTAAGTTGAATTGGAACAAAGGACAAGATTATTGAAGAAAACCTAAAGGAGGGACAAAAGTAAGTCGATAAAGTGTGTCAATCTTCTTGATGACAGAGAAGTATGTTGACTCAAAAAAGTGTGTGTTGACCTATTTTTACTTCAATTATAGCTGCATGACTCATTAGACAACCTTTTCTAATTAGACAGAAACTAAAGAGAGAAAAAAGTCTCTAATGCACTTGACATAAAAAAAGCCTATAATGTTGAGGAAGATCTCTAATAAGGGCAGAAAATCAGAACACATAGAAATATAAAATATAATTCAAAAGATCAAGAATATGCCAAAATATGTGTATAGTCTTTGGAGGACATATGCCAAAAG